ACAACTACTACTTTCTTGTTCTACACCTCGCCATCTGTGATCTGGGATGGCTGCTTGTAGTCACTTGCATGGAAGTCCAACATGAGCTCTTCCTTGGTAAAAAAATGCCCGCCAAAACTTATTGTCTTTTTGGTAAAATAAGATATGTCTTTCATATCGCAGGAGTCTACATGATGTTGATCATTGCAGTTCTTCGTTATCGCGCTACTGTTCATCCCTTCAAACCTGCCATCAGCAGAAGGAAATTTAAAATTGTTTGTGGTTTGGGCTACATTCTTGGCTTGATCGTATGCTATGGAGCACATACGTGGTCATGCTTTGTCCAGAAGAGGTCCCTTGTTTATACAATTTATTTGGATTTCTGGAGGGCATATTTTATATTCGTTTATAATGCTCCAGCAGCCGTTATGACTGTACTTTATTATAAAGTATATCGGGCACTCGTGAACCAAAACAAATACCTAAAGAGCTTAGGTTCAAATCCAGTGGTTCAAAGTACTTCTGGTTCGTCCTTCACAATCGTGAACTATATTAAAAATCATCGAACTTTTCTTGTTTGTGTCGGTACCGTTCTTTGCTATGGAGTTGGAAATCTTCCCATGTCTGGGTATTGTGTTTTGCACCTCACCGACAAACATGATCTGCTGGCAAAACATGGTTCGTGGATATGGTATTTAGCTGATGTTTTAAGAACTGCTGGATCGTGTTCAGCCAATCCTCTCGTTTATGGAATATTGGACAAAAATTTGTCTAAATTTTGGAGAATATGTTGCAAGAAAACACGAGAAGACAATTAGACAGTGTTTGCATGTTATATACCGTGGACAAACGTGGTACATCCCTATGACTATAGTATATATGATCTAATCAGTATTTTGATGCAGTATTTTACTTTCTAAAGTCAATGCCAGGTTTTATTTAATACAGTCGTAAGCGTAAAAATGTGCGCATTACATAACTTTGGAACAGAACGTGCTTACTATATATAAAGAGACTTATCGCATATAAAGTGTGGAATAAGTTTAAAAATTTGTGAATGTGTAAATATTTCAACATGCATGAAATGTTTTAAATTGAGCCTCATTTGCCGTAATAAAACGACGCATCGGCGTTGTTGTAATTTATGTATATATATTTATAGCAATGTTTAAAAATTTCATTTGTTTAAAGTATATTAAAAGAAATATAAAAATAAATCGAGATTTATAGTTCACTGAAAATGTTTAATTCTGCATGAACACGCAGCGCGCCCGAAACCATGAAAAGTTTTGAGAAGTGTAACGGGGGATTGTAGTAAAATAAAATGCGTCAGTTGCAATCAAACCGCCTTTCATGAGAAGACGCGATATTGAGCGCAAGAAAAACACGTTGCTGGAAACCAGTTTAGACAGAAATAATTTCATGATAATATATTAGTGAATAATTATAATAAATATAATTTTCACTCATTGTTAACTGCAAAGATATTTAGTGAAAACGCAAAACAAATGGCGCAGAATTCATTCAATGTTATTGAGACGTGATGCATCTGGCAAATATTGAAATTTGTTAAAATTTTGAAATTTGTTAATATCCATGAAATACTCAAAACTGTCATTTATAAAGAGCTTTCGTAAACTTAATATAGACTTTCACAAATTTTAAATGTTCTCGTTTTGTTGATATAAGATGTAAGTTAACATTTTGCACGAATGCAATGCACCAGCCCAGTTTTAATATTTACGAAAGAACCCAGAAGCTGACTGCTTTTACAAAGAGCATTTCCAAAACATTAATATCTTTGTAGTTTTTACTTTGTAAATAAGACTATATCATAAACATTGTTGCAAGATGAATCTTTTAATGAAAATTTTAAAAACCATCGCAAACTGTAGTCAAACACTTATATATATACCGTCATTTATTGAGTGTTTCATAAAATTTAATTTCAAAATACATTTATTCAGCTGCCTTATGTTAGGAAGTTAGGGAAAAACAATGAACTTATGAAAATCTTGCATTAGCAAGAATATATATTTTTATACCTTCATAGTTTAAACGGTGACATTGCCTGGACTAAAGAACTTTGTCTATAGTGCTACGTCACGCATGGTTGTTACGTGTTCACTTCCTATTGGTGAAATACATCTGGTACATAGCGTCGTTTACTTTGCACTAAGATGTTTTTGAGTAAATTGTTTTTGCAATTTGTTCCTTTTTTCAACGGAACCTCACAAAGGAGCTGCCATTTTGACGCCGGCTGAATATCATACTCATATCACACACAAAATACAGATTTTCTACCACTTGAGAGAAAATATGGAGCATCCTGCATATAAATATACTTATTTTTCAGTTGTTGTGTTTGGAATTATTGGCAACATTTTGGTCATCATCTCCATATTCAGACAAAGAAGACTGTTGAAAAACAACTACTACTGTCTTGTTCTACACCTCGCCATCTGTGATCTGGGATGGCTGGTTGTAATGATTAGCATCGAAGTCCATCATGAGCTCTTCCTTGGTAAAAAAATGCCCGCCAAAACTTACTGTCATTTTCGTAAAATAAGATATGTCTTTCATATCACAGGAGTCTACATGATGTTGATCATTGCAGTCCTTCGTTATCGCGCCACTGTTCATCCCTTGAAACCAGAAATCAGGAGAAGAAAATTGAAAATTGTTTTTGGTTTGGGCTACATCCTTGGCTTGATCGTAGGCTATGGAGCACATGTGTGGTCATGCTTTGTCCAGAAGAGATCCCTTGTTGATACAATTTATTCGGATTTCTTCAGGGCATATTTTATATTCGTTTATAATGCTCCAACAGTGGTTATGGCTGTACTTTACTTCAAAGTATATCGGGCTCTCGTGAACCAAAACAAATATCTAAAGAGCTTAGGTTCAAATCCTGTGGTTCAAAGTACTTCTGGCTCGTCCTTTACAATATTAAACTATATTAAAAATCATCGAACTTTCCTTGTTTGTGTCGGTACCGTTCTTTGCTATGGAGTTGGAAACCTTCCAATTTCTGGGTTTGGTATTTTGCACCTCGCCGAAAGACATGATCTTTGGGCGGGACATCGTTCATGGATATGGTATTTAGCTGATGTTTTAAGAACTGCTGGATCGTGTTCAGCTAATCCTCTCGTTTATGGAATATTGGACAAAAAATTGCTCAAATTTTGGAGAATTTGTTGTAAGAAAACACGAAAAAACAATTAAACAGTCTTTGTTATATACAGTGGACAAACGGTTCATCCCTATTAACTGCATACATGGCTATCACTATACTATTTATGCCCGCAAAACATCAGTATTTTGATGACTTTTTTATTTTCTAAAGGCCATGTAAATATACCTCAGCATATAAAATAATATTGTATAACAGAATTTAGCCAGGTATTACTTAATACAGGCGTAAGCGTAAAAATGTACGCATTATATAACTTTGGAACAGAACGTCTTTACTATAATATTATGAAGAGACTTATCGTATATCAAGTGTTGAATAAGTTTAAAAATTTGTGAATGTGTAAATATTTTATCATGCATGAAATGTTTGAAATTGAGCCTCATTTGGCGTATGATAAAACTCGGTGTAAAATTATACTTCCACAAACACTTGTAGTGCAAACACTTGCAGGACAAACGGTGACAGACGCATGCATTTTATATATTTATGTATATATATATATATATATTAGCATTTTTAATAATTTCATTTGTTTGAAGTATATTGTACGTAACACAAAAAGTACGTAACCCTTTCCCTTTGAATCAGTGAACACACGCAGTCCGCCCGAAGTCATTCGGAAAAATTAAAATATTTTTTGGCGGACCGAATTTTCCTTGCCACCATTATGCCAGCAAGGTCAAACGCATTTAAGATAACTCTGCCTAAGCAAAACACTAAAATTTGCCACGAAAAAAACAACAGCAGAATAGGAAAGGGACCGGGTGGATTAAAGGTGAACTCGCCGAATCTTCTTTTCCTAAACGCACGTTCATCTCGGCCTAATCCGGATTAACTGGATTATTTCTTTGCAATCGAATGTATGATGTATTCATGGAAAGAAAGTATGCAACCATTGCATTCTTTGCAAGACTGTGCTGCAAACTATCGTGAGGGATTTCTAGCTAGGAAAGATTTCTTAACCTGGTTTCCATTTAGTCGTAATTCTCGTGAACATGCCAAGGTGGCTGATGTAATAGAATATTGCTACGCGTGTAAAGTCAACGATTGCGGTTTGAACACGGGAAGTACAGAAAATAAAGACAAATTTACAGCTGAAGTGCTGGACTATTTTACAATGGTGGAGATGACGTGTTCATGATAATTATAATGCGTAAACTAGGCTTCAAATGTTTTTCATATAAAGTATTCCACTGTTTTATGAAATACTCCGCTCTCTGGGAATTACAAATATAATTATCAGTTTATTGATAATCATATTGTTGTCCGCCATGAAAAATTACAACATATCATTCTCCTCATGGAAATTGTTGTTGTTCATCTGGGAACTGCTGTTGTTTTATAAACAGCACAATGAATTGGATTTACATTCTTCTTACGTGTAGCCTGTAGGTACGTATGAGAAATGTAACCGTGGAATATTGTCATAACGTTCACACATTTCTCGCGTGGACACCACGAACACGCGAGGGTAGAACTCTCGTTGTCCGCATGTATTCCTTAAACCACGGAGCCGGTTGCCCTGGTCATACGAGAATAAGATTTGACGATAGTACATCATGAACTTGTATCAACTTCAAATGAACCGTTTTTCTAACTCTAAGCGATAATACCTTTTGCACTTGGTATCAGCAAGAAGGCTCTTGCTCCTCGTAAGTAAGTAGGTTGGAGAGCTGATGTAAACTGTCAAAAATCATCAACTTTCCTGCAAAGGTGTTCTCATTTAACCGGACTATGTTAGTCCATGGTACCCTCATTTTCTCTTCAAAGTTGTGACAACATCTTCCCACCCCACCCCCAACATCAATAGATCAATGTTACCTACCTGTACCAGATCAGAAACGGATTTGTTGCTCGACCAGAACTTGTTATACAGCTGAGGTTTTTGGGAATAGCAGCTTTCAAACTAAAGAAAACATACCAGTCTTATAATTGAAAGGCATAACTTTACTCATATGGATACGTATACCAGTCTTGGGATACCTTTTGGTAGGAGAGACTTGTGCTCTAGGAAACGTGCATGAGACAAGGGCAAAATTCTAATGGCAAAAATCTCACAGACCCGACAGTGACCTGTGACAGCGAGCAGGGGTTTTATCGATTTAAAAGGAATGAAATTCGATGATTTCGACAGACCTTATTTCTCGCCCACTGGATGGTGTGATCAATTACAGCAGGAAAGGATTTCAGGGTACAATAAGGGACATCGCCATCTTCAGGGTCGCGCTAAAAAATATCGTTGACAAACTTGAAGCGAGAACACAGCGATACAACAGTGAAGACACTCTACTTTCATCCGAGAACACAACGCTGTTTGATATGAATCATACGTCCTTACAACAACAAAATATAATATAGATAAACATACCTGACTCGAGTAAGACTCCGTGAGATGAGGAACAACACACTATTGATTGATTTCAAAAACAAAATATCATTAATCGAAAACAAACATTCTTGAAACACACGATCCCCGTCCTACGCGGCGGGTGTGCAGGCAGTAAGTGCCGTTTGAAGGGCCAAAGAGTTCTCCCCTATTATCGCAATTGATTTTGACCAATAGTGAAAAGAACTCACCTGGATATGGCCTTTAGGACCCATTGTTCCAGATTCCAGAAGTGGAACTTGGTTGGTCACGCACCGGCTTTTGGAAGAAAAGGAAAACAATGGTTTTATTGCACCATTAACGAGAATCATTAGGTATTGCTAGAGCTACATGCAGTAGAAAAAAATGAAACGTTTATGAAGTACATCTTTATTACATCTTTAACTGACCTATCTACGTAACGTCTAGCTTCAACGTTATCTAAAGCGTTCACAACAATATTCTTTGAGCGGAAAAACTCATCCGTGTAAATGACTTCTTCGGTTTCTGGAGCAACTGGAAAATCAATAAGACGTCTACGTTTGAAGCATTGGAAAGACTGGGTTGGTGCCACGGACAATGGACACCCGTTTCAAGGTCGAATTTCAATGGCGAGGGCTGGGATGAAGAGAAGAGAAGGGCAAGGGAAAGAGAAGGGGAGGAGAGAGGTGAGAAAAGGGAAAGAGAGAGAGAGGTAAGGGTGGGAGAAGAGGAGTAGAAAAATGTGGGGAGAGGGGAGAGATGAAATCGAGGATTGATTCTAGAAGGAGAGACGGTAATATCTAACCGATAGCTATTAGATTGAGTAATTCGGAAAGTCATATCAAGAAAAATGTGCGGTGATACAAACCTTTATGTTGGTGCGGATCAATTTCAATGTCAGGATTGATTTCTAGAATCGCTTTTGAAGCAGTCAGTGATTTCGATTTCTATGACAGAGGAAAATATAATACACACGTTAGAACATCAATGCTCACAACTGGAAAAATAATTCTTGAATTGTCAAGTGTTTTCTTAGAAATTCTCACCTGAATATCTCGCGGTCGAAACAAGAACTGGCGATTTAAATTTGATTTCTCAATTAGGTCATTATCAGTTATTGTAATCTGAAGAAAAATTTAATAAGCTTGTTAAATTACCATTCAAATTAAACCAAAATTCCATCAAACTTTGATCTGCGAAAAGCTACAAAATGCTTACCTTTCCTTCTTTACCCGTTCCAATACCAACCATCGCGTAGTTCTTCAACATTTCACAACCAATAGCACCACAACCAACCTTTTACACAGAGCAAAATAGAACAACTAACGTTATCGATTACGGTATTCGTATACGGGAATTTGATCAGATAAGTAAGATGATGGAGCGCTTATTTAAAAATACATATCAGTCTTCATTGCCTCGCATTCTCATTCTTTAATATTTTACAATTTGTTTTGTACCAGCTTTGCCCATCTGTATTACTTAGGAGTACGACAATGTGGTGCTTATTGTCTACACCATGCATCCTCATAGCTTGGGATCGTTCCAAGTCAGACAGTAAGTATCTACCTAATATGAACGAGTTTTGTGATTGGCTTTTTGTAACAATAGTGAACAGTGTTTATGATTCGTTCTTTTAGAAATCAATTTCTATACTTCATTGTGTTTTATTGTTATCATCAACCAATAGCAAAGCTTGTTCATATAGTTAGGTATCGACCAAGTCAGATAGTGACGACCGTGTTCCGGGAAAGACAAAATGGAAGTCAAGATTTCTACTTTGGTTGGTAAGACTACGAAGAATTTTGGTAATTTGAGAGGCGAAATATACAACCCTGTAGAAAGAAAACTTGTGCACATGTATACTTATATTAAATACTTCCCTTACCATAAACAATTGTACATTCTTTAGTTTTTGTAATAGTTCTTCCCCAACGCATATCCTCAAGGAATCATACCTATCATTCCTGGAACATGGAAGGTAAAATTAAACTGACTTCTTAACGACATTCATGACTTAATGGAAACCATGTCTAAGGGACAATATAATGGTGTGATATGCGTAACGAGGCTTGCTTACTTCGGCAGAAAATTCCCAGACTTGTCAGATGTTTCTTTTGCAAGTTCAATTGCATCCAAATATAACTATAAATAAAAAGTTACACAAAACATCTTAGGGAAATGAATGTCCTTTTTGCTCGGCCATAAAACAAACAGAAATTACAACAATGATACCACGGTTAGGAATATGGTCAGGGGGAAGATAATCCTACCCCCCGGGAAATGTTTCGACGTGAACGGGCAACGGCTTAAAAGTCATCGATCTTTTGTCTCAAGTCTTTGATTTTTTAACATTCCTGCGTGCCTACCCATTGCTTCAGTGGAGTGAATTTTCCAGTCAAAGCTTTGAGAACTTCCTGGGCAACAAAACCGCCAACAGCAGCAGCCAGGGGGGGAAGCAAACCACGGCTGGAATACGAGAGTACGGTCAGAAGGTCCTCGTCAATCTTATCCACCTGTGGAAAAAATGAAACCACAATGGATGATTCAAGATTTGAGAACCATTCATAACTTTGGAAAGTAGAATTAAGCGATGGCGTAGCCAGCTCGTTAAGTGGGGGAGCGTATTCATGTATTATTCGTCTTTACCAATATCATTTCTTTCGAATATATGACTGTATTGCCCATTGGAATATAGGCACAGAAATGCGCCTCCAAAAATTCGCGGTACAAGGCCTTCAAATATCATATTTTTTCCGAGACACCAAGAAAGAAATTTTCATTACCTTCGTCTTCATTTGTTGTTCGTTTATTTTCGCCGCGATCTTTACTAATTCCTCCGCGTTTTGAGAATCCCTGTGAGTTTGATTAACAAGATCATGATTAGGCGTCGTTAACTTTCACTCAAAGAGAATCGAAATGGTAAATTTCCTTAATTTTTGCCCGCGCATATGGGCGAAATCGGGCATGAAGGCGTTCAGCTACCTGACATTAGGAAGATGACCATGATTGTCTTTAAACGTGTCTAAAGCCCGCATAGCCAGGTGAAGCTGAGGAGCTGCCTGAAAAAGATTGGGATGCAGTATTGGTGGAAAATATTCAATCGCTTAGCACCTCAATTTATGAACTGTTAGCAATATTGCATATAAGACTCAGGGGCCTGTTGTATCAAGCCAGTTTACTTCGAACGGTGGATAAGTCAAAATTAAATAACAATCTTACATCTCTCTTGAATGAGTCAACTTGAATATTATACACTGAATATGTAGTTGTAAACAGTATCTTTGTATTAAGGTAAAAAACATTTAGTTTGCTTGTTGAACAAAACGATAGACTTGCTTTCTATTTTGAACTTATCCACCGTTTAAGCTAAACGGGCTTCTGGTGTACATGAAATGTATGGATTGTTAGTAATAGTGTATAAGACTCAGGTGTATATATGAAATGAATATTGTGATGATGCTACTCTGAGTCACCAACCGGATAAGCTGAAAAATTAGCTTGACCACGGCACTGGGAGTTGAACCCGCGACCCGGACTAGCAAACCAAAGGTCGCGGGTTCGATCCCCACCGTGGTCAAGTTAATTCTTCAGCTTACCCGGTTCGTGACATAGATTAGCATTATCACAATAACAGGACCGCGGAGCAGGGTTGCTCGCTGGGCTTTAGCCCCACCAATAATTTTTTCGTAATTAGTCTTTAATTTCGAATATTTTTTAGTTTAGTGTTCGCTCAAATTTACAAGCAATATTTTTAGCAATTTGTATTTTTTGCTCACAATTATATGCAGTGTATCTTATCTGGAATATCGTAACTTTTACTTCTTCGAACGTATGTTTAAATAACCAATTCAAAGAAATGAGTATTCTAATTTCCAACGATATTTGTCGTACTAAATCCGCCATGTTTACAAATGGATTGAAATTAGTTATGTTCAGTACATATGTTTGGCCAAAATAAAAAACTTGAACAGAGACAAAAAAGGACAAGCATTTGACCATTAAAACAGCGTGGTTATCCATATCAAAATATTTGACATCATAACCAAAGCATAGTTATATTATTTAATGTTTGTATATATGAGCGCCAAACATGCTTGCAACTTTACACAGGTACAAGCATTTGACCATTAAAACAGCGTGGTTATCCATTTCAAAATATTTGACATCATAACCAAAGCATAGTTATATTGTTTAATGTTTGTATATGAGCACGAAACGTGCTCGCAACTTTACATAGGACAAGCATTTGACCATTAAAACAGCGTGGTTATCCATATCAAAATATTTGACATCATAACCAAAGCATGGTTATATTGTTTAATGTTTGTATATGAGCACAAAACATGCTTGCAACTTTACACAGGACAAGCATTTGACCATTAAAACAGCGTGGTTATCCATATCAAAATATTTGACATCATAACCAAAGAGTAGTTATATTGTTTAATGAGCACGAAGCATGCTTGCAACTTAGACATGCAATATAGAACAACATTTGACTATTAAAACAGCGTGGTTATCCATATAAAAATATGGTGCCTGAATATTCATTAAGGACTGTTGTTTAAAGTCTTTCATAACTTACCTCCATTTTACAAAGATCTACAAGCAAAATATTCGGTTCCTTTAACTGGTCCTCGAGAGAATCCTTGAATAAAGAGACATACCAAATTCTATTTACACTGGATAGATATTTACACTGAATAAAAAAGTGACTTTCTAGCCACGGAAACCATCCTCCGTGCTGGAGATATTTGTGAGAAAATCGACTTACGAAATGGTTTAATCTTGACGTCTTCACTTGGCGAGCAATGCCTCCATATTGATACGGTTGAAATTCATCAGAAGATGTGTCACAAATGCTCACAGCATATGGCGATTCAACTTCAAGAAATACATTTTTTGTTAGTGCAATTGTAAAACGATGCAGATTTTCTTGCAACTTGAAAGGTCTTCCAAAGTTCATAATCATTTCATGAGGAATGAAAACGCAGAAAAGTGCGAATTTGAAATAATCTAAAACGGGGTAAATATCGACGCGAAAATATGCCCTGAGAAAACGTGGAACGAAAGGTATGAGAAATAAAACAGGTTTGGTTTAATACCATACTCAGCTTTTCCATAAAGTAGATGCAATTTATATACTGCAGAAATGCACTGCAGGTTGCGAAAAGTTTACCGTAGGACGTCGCTCTAATGGCTATATCGATTTGCGATCTCTAGCTTATGTCGCGGCAGCACGAGCGATTTTTGTCGCCGATTTTCTCTTTCTAGTGTATCGTTTTGAGCGAGTGATGATCGCAGTTGTATTGCTTATAACAAAGAAAAGTATTCTATCCTTTTGGATTTACTTGATAGCATACACCAGGAGAAGAAAATAACCGTCAAAAATCGCCCGTGTAGGCGAGACTTTAAACAGGTTTTCGTCTCCTGAACTGCATGTTTACGCGGTTCTCATATCACCTTTAACAGTCTGCGTGGTGCCATTCAAAGCAGTCATTCCGACAATTTCTTTGAACTCGATCTTATCTCCGTCTTCCAGGCCATGCATTTGATTATCAAGAGTCAGAAGTACGCCAGGATTAGCCTGAAACAAATCGAGGAGAGCAAGCGTTTGAAGAAAACGAAGCAGACACATGCAGTTATATTCCTGCCCCGCGATATCAGACGTTATAAAACCTAGAAGAGGAATAATGGAGAAGGACCGATAAAAGCGAGCAGGCAGAATTTTGAGCTAGCTTAAAGCTGACTATGGCTTGTGATTGATCGTGGCCTCATGTAGAATCGTGTATACCCATAACCAGGGTGCATTAGGGGACTATGGCCCAGTCTCTTTATATATTCTCCTCTCGACACGACGGCAAAATGCAAAATCCTCCCAAGATTGAATACCTTAGAAATGTCAGATATAAAAAATTCCTTCGGTTCTTCGCCGGTCCGATCAACGACTTCAAACTCGTCGCCAAAATCACAAAAGGTGTAAGAAAATAATCCCAAGACGTCGCTAGCTATGAACTATGAAAAAACACCACATCACATTATAAAAAAACAACAACAAGTCCTCTGTCTTTCTATTTATCAATTAGTTTGCAGGCTTGTGATAACGGGTGGTTTTGCTCGCACCCCGGCCAATAAAGTTTAGAGCCATTTCGCTGAAAAGGACCAGCATGCATGTGATAAGGCAATAAACTAAAGTACAGACTCATTGGTTTGCAAAATCAAAAAAGGCTTATTGTGTGTGTTTGATATTCTATCAAGCTCTTTCTTCACTTAGTGATTACTGTAATTATAGAGAGTCACACCTACTTTTATTGGGGGGTTTTGTGATCTGCAGAACTTGTCCACGACTAACGCTTGTTTCATGGACGCCTCGGTGAGAACAACACACTAATAAAATAGATAAGGATAAATATTAATATTAGCAATCCTTTGAAGACTATAATAGTATAAAGGCAACGTTTTCGATACGCACGTGCATATAAAATATGATATATAAAATAAAATACTGATTCAGTATTTCACCTGAAATTCCTTGAGAAAATCCAAATTTTCTTCAAGAGGTTTAGTGAAAACTCTGACCTCCACATAAGGATTTAGTTCAGCTAGTTTGGAGCAGCTTGCCTCCGCCCTATGAGAAAAATAGCCACATGCAGACATTTACGGACAAGTTTTGTGTGTTTGTATTGTACAGACGAAATGACGGAGTGACGGAGGCCTTACCTATTTCGTTCTTTCTTTATGTCCTCTTCTCTTAAATAAAACTGACTTCCCAAGTCAGATATCGACGCAGTGCGTGTGTCGTGTAGTGTTATACTCTAAAGGGGAATGGTGCGATGGATTAACAGTAATCACGGTAATCTAACTAACTAGTAACTGCACAGTCTACAGTGTCTCTTGTGGTTCTCTAGAGAGTAGTATCATATGTCAGATTTTCGGGGATTGAGTGTAACCAAGTGTTTGCACAAATCGAAAGTTAATCGTTCTATTGTGTTTTAATCTCTATGTTAGATGATTTCAACTGAAATCCCTTCTATTTATTAACGCCCGTTTTCCCGCGCTCTTACATACCCATTTTCGCGCGCTTTTTGATTTCTTCTAAAATCTAACACAATGTGCAATGGCGGCAGACGCGGATTTTTACAGTCGCTTTTGAGGAAAAAAAACAAGCAAATTGTGTTTAAGACTGCTTCAAAGAGTAAGCGTGGAAAGATATGTGTTTTATGTCAAGGTATGTATATTATATTACGATGATTGTGTATTAAAATTGTTTAAAATACATGTTTTTAAAGTGTTTATACAATCTTGCTATCTGGATACTTTTTTGAGAAGGACGAATATAAGAAACGTTTTTTCGATGGCAAAGTTTTACATCATCGAAATTCTTCATACTTTGTCTGCTTTCATAACTTTAAATTTTGGATTTTTGACATACTCAAGAGATATGGTTGGGGCATTTCGTATGATTTTGTACATTTGTACTTTATGTTTTTGCTGTTCGATGTTTAAAACTTTTCTTTAATATTCTATGTTTAAAACTTTTCTTTAAAATGCATGTGGAAATTCTACAGGCCTCTGCAGGTTTATAGCCTAAAAACAGACCAGGAGCAGCTGCTTCCTAGGTCTGTTTTTATGGTTTGAAAATCTGTTGTTATATATCCACTAATTATAAATCCTTTAATTATAGAGAAAACCAAAATAATTTTAACATTACCTTTACACCAGCAAGAACAACATTTTTTGCTAAAATTAAAAAATATGATTTGAAACTTTAGTAGGAGATGTAGGCATATCACTATCCATTTGATGTGTTATTTGAGTTTCATTACCTAGTTCAACACCCAAGCCTCCAAGACCACTGACAAGCACATTGGAAACAGCCATTTTCTCCATAGCACCATCACCAAGCACATACCTCTGACGGCTTGAGCAAAAGGTATAACTTAGTTTATTATTTTATTTGTTGTATACGTACATAACAACTTGATTAAATGTGATGCAGCAAAAACCTACCCCACTGATCCCTTAGAAATAAAACCAGACATTAGGTTTACCAAGGTGTACTTTGTCCTGTTTCATTTCCCCATGTTGTGCAAAAACTTTGCCAGCTTATGCATGCTTGGCCATTAAGGTTATACTTTGAGGGTAAAAGCTCTCTAATGGGGGGAGATTGTTACCTCCAGGGTGACCCTAGTCACCTCCAATGGGGGGAGGCAGGGAAGTGCTTGTAGATATTGCGTTTGGCTTGATCTTATCTTTAGGTTGAGTTACCTGTAAAGTGAGTCATCAATTTCTACTTCAGTTGAGGAAGACATTTCACTTCTTGTTTCAATCTAAAATTCCGTTCAAGAAATGGAAGGAATCTCACCAAAGCTGCAAACAAAGTGGCCTGGCAATAAATGGAATATGAAAGTATTAGAAATTATCCCAGATAGCTGCAAGCCTGAATGCATTACCTGCAAATGGTTGGCAAATACTTATTTTCCTGGCCATAATCAAAATGGCGGTAACTAAGTACTAAGTGATAAAATTCCCAGGTATAAAATAAACAGGATGAAATAAATTAGAAAATTAGTTGCCAACTAACTGGCCAATACATAAGATAGTTGTTATGGGGATTCTGTCAAAATCGCAATGCCCAAGTGATGCATCCTGCAAACAATGTTTAAAGTCCATTTGAAACCCATGCAAAGTGCAAAATTAAATCCAAAAAATTTTTCTTTGTGCTTTGCTATCATACTAAACAGCACAGCAATATCTATACACAAATGTCAGAGAATTTAACCACTATTTAAAGTACTAACCTCAAAGAATCAAATTGAAACAACGAATCAACCAGTCCTCCGTGATTTTGACGCGATTAATGTATCCTGCATAAATACTGTCGCGCAGGTTGTTTCTTTGATTTCCTCGCCCTAAACCATTCTTTAGTTCTTTGTTATTTAATTAAACAAATGTAAAAATATATTAAAGATAAAACAGCCTAAAAAATATTTTTAATATTTTTCAATTATTAACTTCCTTTTTTCCAAATTCCGCATCTTTCACTTCCAATTGTACTGAATTCCCTGGCTGGTGTCCCAGTAATTCCTTAAACTTCGTATTCATTAACTAACAATTTTTATAAAGGCATTGCCGCAAATATAATATTTTGTTAATAGAAATTAATCGCAATGCCTTTCTAAATCATTTTTGTAAAACTACCGGTCGATATATTGTAAAACGAAGAATACAGAGATATCTAACTGCCACTAAATCAAAGCTTCAAAAAACTATCCTACGTTTTCCCAAATAAATTACTACTTCCGACAAAACAATATGGCCGACACGGGGAAGAGTTCGCCGGATTTGGAGTTTTTAAGACGTTTTGCCAGGGATCAACTCATTAATATACTCGAAACTGTGAGTTGTGTTAACGAATGATTTAGAATAACTGAATTATTTAATGTAATTTTAATTTTAAAAATTAATTTAATTGCTACATGGCATATATTTGTTTGAATGTTTGTTTTGTATTCAATGGACTATCCATGTATTAAATTGTCGCACCACTACCACCTCTGGCAAATTCCACTCTGAAAGGAGCATTCTCACTCCATTCCAAGGAATGCATTTCCGTGAGAAATTTAATTCTAAGAAATGTATATCCCCAAGGGATCTAATTTCTAAAAAATGCAACCCCCAGGAATGTCGTTTTTGGAAATAAGCTTCCTTTGAGGAATTCCATTCTTTTCATCCGTTTTATTCACCCTATAACTTGTAATTTGTAACCTGCTACCTGGCTTCATTATTTGCTATTACCAGAATTCTGGAAAACAAGACCTGGTTATAGACCAATGTTTGATGAAACCTTTGGACAGAATTGCTGGGGCGACATTTTTAAAGGTATCATTGACAAAAATGAGGTTGGATGTGATTATATTGTGGTTGCATTCATGCACAATTTTTCACGCCTTCAATAGACCTTTTCAGTAATTACGTCACAACATTTTAACATCACAACGTTTTAAATTTAGAACCACCTTAATTGAAATGGATTTCAAGTTTTACTCTCACATACAAAGATGCAAAACATCCTTCTTCAACACATGCATGAAACTTTTTTTTTAAATATTTTACTAGATGGATAATTTTCAAAGCAAGATTATGATTTTATTCTAGGAACATGGTGTTGACAAAATATTTAAACTTGAGAGAACAAAGCCTATGGTGTGTTGCGACAGGTTGGGATCACAACAATTCATTACTCATAAATGAGTTCCATTGAGTTTGCTATTATGCAAATATGCCATACTGGTTCATACATGCTGATTGTTCAATCTCAAACCAAACACCACTTACACCTCTATTACATTGTGCATATTATACTATCTGAGAGATATTGCCCAATTTTCTTAGCCAGATATATCTCATCCGTCCAAGCATGACACAGGCTAAATTCATTGCAGGTAAATTTACATTTTAGCCATTCTCATGTTCAACATTTTTCAAATTAATTTTACTGTGCACATTACAACTTGTTATACATGCAAAATTACTGAACTAGATCTATAATACACATTGGCATATGCTTTTAAGAGGAACGAAAACTTATAGGATTGTTACGTTGATTTTCAGATCATATAAACGCTGATAAAAACAGTGGTATAACGCGAAAATATAAGATTATCTTTGTGCCAAAAAAGGTAACTGAAAATGTGCAAAATATTATTCTGTTTCTTTGTTCTTGCTGCCCTTTTTCTCTCTAAAGATGCCTTTTCTTAAATTAGTTCTATGTGTGTGAAATGATCTTGGAACAGGAAGGCGTTTATGGAGGTACATCCACCATTTCTCTTTCAACAACTTCTTTCAGGGACGTAAATAGATGCGTTGAATGGGGAGGTGCATATTCACCTATTCGTTCTGCACGATGGATTTGTTTTGCAGGCGATTGCGTTTTCAAAATAAGTCCGTCCCAATCGTCCGGTAAAACTAAATTCATGAATATTATCGGACTTAGTTATTTCCATGACTTTTTTACAAAAAGAAAGTAAAATGGCTCAACAGAACATTAAAAGTTTTCATTTTCCCAAAATGTTGTATCACGTTTCTTAGCTCATTGTAACGTGTTGCTATTCAAAATATGATTGAATGCATTAAAATTATTAAAAAGCAATATTTTGTTATATCTGTAAGACTGTATGCTCTGTTTGTATTCATCGAACTATTTGTGCACCGCTGTAGATGTAATATTGGAGGAACTGACTGTAGATTTTATCCCAATGGATAGTGACCTGTTGTCAATGGAAATTCCAGATATGTTTCGCAATTACTTTTTGGTAAATCCTTTTTAATTGTAAAATTGAAGTGCGCCACCTGAGCGCTTCTGAAAAAATAAAACTTGAGTTCAGCTTACTATATAGACAGTGTAGTCTGTAGAGTTTGTAACAAACCGCTTTTCGTTGGTGTGTCATTAGTTATGATACTAATAGACTTAACGAGTGATCGTTCGGGTTGTACGTGGCTGATAATGTGTTCTATTTGACAGGACGGTGATCAGCACTGGTTGGGTACAATATCAAACGCTATCATGACATTACAAACGATTTTCGGAACCATTCCTAATGTTTTTGGCATTGGAAATTTCGCAAAGGTAAACTTAGAGATGCTTAGATCACAATGGTCTCTCTATTTCGAATTAAACTCTGTCCATGACGCGACATTAATCCAATGCAAAATCTACCATTCAATAACAAAGACAAAGTTCCTAGAAATGCTACAATGTAAACAATACCAGCCCCAAGAACTCCCTGTGCAAAAGCGCTCTTTTTACCACAACTCTTTATACTTCAGTTGGTGAATAATATGTTACAAGTTATAAGCAAAGATAAAACTCCGTTCGTTCCAGCTGATGGACCGGAGATAGACACGCTGTTACTGATTGATAGAGGTGTGTTAGTTCATTCCAATAGCTTCCTTTTTTCGCATTCGGCTCTGGATTTTCACAAGAGGAAATTGATTTTCACCATTTTTTAGACGTAGACTACGTGACACCTCTGTGTTCTCAAGTAACTTACGAGGGATTGGTTGACGATATTTTTGACATAAAATCTGGTTGGTGAAATTGCTCCATCTCCACTCACTGAGACCTCTTTCTTTGGTGATAAAATTGTAGAATATTTCATCATAATTGTGACATTTCCTTATTGCCACATTTTACAGGCATGGTTGTGTTTGATCAGAGTGTTACTGGAACTGACAAATCTATGACAATGTTACTCAGCTCAAACGACGAGGTGATAAAATATTTAACAATGATTGAATAAGGTTGAACATATAGCCAGAGAGCAGCGTGGCAGCGTCTTCAAACAACTTAGCATCAAATGTGGTATAACAGACAAAACACCTCTCGACGTTTCGATCATACTAACTCTCCTGACGAAGGCCCTCAGGTCGAAACGTCGAGAAGTGTTTTGTCTATTTTAGGCAGTTGTTATACCACATTTGATGCTAAGGTTGAACACAGTATAAAGAAATATCAAGTCTTAAGCTACAGTAACCTATATTACGTCACTGGTTGGACATAACGATTTCACTCATAGCTATTAGCCAATCAAAGCCTGCGAATCATTTTAAATAAATAATCTCTAATTTCATTGGTTTGTTGTTTTAGATATATAAAGAGATCCGGGATCGACATTTTACTAACGTGTTCAGTTACTTAAGTTTAAATGCGAAAAAACTACAAGTTGGATACGATGTGAGACCATTTTGATAAATGAATCTGTCAAACCCCGTTGAATAAGCGCTTACATATACGTTATATTTGTCTGTGTATATAGAAACGCAAAGAGCTATCCTCTGTGAGTGCTATGAAAGAATTTGTTTCAAAAGATCTCCGTAGTCTCCAAACTAAACACAAGTCGCTTCAAACACGTAAGAACTTTAGCAACATAGACTTGGTTGATGAAATAAATTTTCCAAACTACATTGTGGATAATCAAAAACAATCATTTCATTGTAGACATCGGTGCTTGTGAATCGATTTTAAAACTTAAAAAGAAAGAACAATTTGAAAATCAACTCAGGGCAGAACACGGTTGGTGAATTACATTGACTAGGAAAATAATCAATGGTTAATTGTAACTGTGCGAGATGAAATTGATATAAACAGTCGACTCCCATATTTATATAAGTCACATTTAATTCTAACTGTAATATTTCCCCATCGTAGATATCTTGGAAGGTGTGGACGACAAAGACAGCATAGCCTTTATTGAGGAATTAATATTAAAACAAGTAATACAACATAGATCCTAATATGTCTTGACGGAAAGCACTCTTTTGAGAAATTATATTTTTATACGTGAGACGGGGCACTTTTTAGAAAGATTGTTTTCAGAAACATGGAACATTTCGATAGTCATTTTAGATTGAGCAATAACCAAGAGATTGAGTTCTTTCAAAGAGGAGTATTTCATGGTGGCTTTATTGAGAACAGAGCTCCTTCAATAGACCCTGTTTTGATAGTGGCTTTTTTAGGGCGGCTCTTTTAAGAGATAGGGCCATTTCCAGAGAGGTTGCTTTTTTTCAAGAAAGTTCTTTCGAGAGTTTAATATGAGCAGCCCCATCGTTTTTGCGCAGAGCAATTCGTTCTCGTAAATTGCCATAAGCACCTCTTTCTGGATGCTTCCTTCGTATTTCAACTTATCAAATCAAATATTATTTTTTTAGTATCCTCTCTATCGATGTCTGCAGTTAATGTGTCTAATGTCAGTCACAAGAAGCGGTACGTCACCCACACGAGTAAAGTTACTAAAGTTCAATTGAAATGACCATAAATTGACTAATCGTCTCAATTCAAGGTTTGGACAGTAAAGTTTATAAATCACTGAGACAACAATTGTTACAGGTTTGAAATTGTGTTGAGTTTTCTGAGATGCCTTTTTATTAAGATCAAATAAATCCTGATCTCCTTTGCGAACCCATAAAACAGCCATTTGTTTTAACACCATATAGACCTACGGTCATCAACACTTGGTAACCTTGTTCAATCTAAAAAAGCTTGGTATCTTTACGGAAAACGATGTAAGTATTACTGCACGCTGCCTGACGAGTTCATGATGATACAGCCATTTGGGTAGTCGGAACTCGGAAAACGTTTTGCAACCGACAATTAAACCGGGCTGGCTCACCTCGTATGAACATGCCCTTAGATTTTTCAATAGTTGTTCCTTTGGTTAGTTTATAGTGAAGATAGAAGTCTCCGCAGCATGTGAAATTGTGAATCTGTCTCTAGTTTGAGTAACATTGAATTATTTACTCTTAATAGAAACGAAACAACTTTCGGACATTAAATAAGAGACTTTACATGGTGAGTACCATATCAGTACCATTTACGATTACATAGTAAACAGCAAATAAAATTGACCGACAGTAGAGATGTTATGGGACAAAAACGGTACGAGTATTATAGTTTCACATATCAGGAAGCCTCGGGCTTTGTAATGGTAGCCTTATCTCAATCATAAGCATCATAATCTTGAATTCCATGTTTCTTTAGGTTCCGAAGTCCGGTGGTGATCCAGTGAATCTCGAAAGCCCAACAGATATGGCTTACATCTTCGGTGGATCTTACGCACCATTGAGCTGCAAGTTGGTTGAGCAGGTACCTATATAACCCCGGACAGTTCACGTAGTAGCCCACTTGCAGGTGTTTTATGATTGAGATGAACTTTGTCATGGTTACAGGTGTGCACCCGTGCAGGATTTCAGGGTCTTGAAGAAGTAACTAAACTCTTAGGAGGAACGTTTCACACAAGACAAGGCACCTCAAACCGAGGTAAGAATTACTGCTAAAGATTGAAGCAACATTTTATTACACCAATTGAGATTCGTGGCATGTCCACTACTTTCTCCAAGATGATATCATAATTTTGAAAGGCAAAGAGCTGAGGGATTCATCTCAAAGAGTGACAAGTATTATTCACATGTCCTCTAATATGTAGTATGTTTCTTTTACAGCATCAGCTACTGCTGTAAACAGAAAGAAAGTCATCTTAGTTTTCTTTCTTGGAGGATGTACATATTCGGAGATCTCGTCATTGAGGTTCCTTGCAAAACAACGAGGTAAGATTGATGTGCTGTTGTGTAAACCCCAGGCTGGATGATGGTGCAGTACAACATCTTTTGTTCATTTCTGCTGCTGATATTTTCTTTTCGTACATAGGTTGGAAAATAATTGTGGCTACCACATCAATCATGAATTCCCAAAGATTGCTCAAATCTATCCAGGATGTTGAATGACATATGTTTGTTGGTCATGTCCAAATACCAAGGAATTTGAAACAGAGAGCAACAATTCCAATCTAGTTAATCCATCATAAAAATACACCTGCAAACATGCCCAAATTTCAATGTACCCCATGTGCCATATTGTGCACAAATTAGAATTTCAAAAATTTATAGATGCATAGTCTGATTGTCAAAGACTTTAAAAGAGTAAATATTGAATATGGCTTATCACAAATTGTAATCGTGATTTTAGTCAAACGTTTATATTTCGTTTTTTAACCTACCTATAGGTATATTGGGTATATATCTAAAGTACTCTATCTCTCAGAATCTTTTTCGTCATCGCTAGTCTCTGAGTCACTGTCACTGGATTCACTTGACTCAGTAGTGTTCAGGTTGTTAGCAACATCTCCATCCTCAATTGTGAGTCTTGTTTTCCAACTATCGCTCCTGGTCCTTGGCAGTGTCAAACCTGCACGTTGATACGCTGCTGGACCAGGTCCGTGAACCCCAAGGTTATTGGGTGGTTCACGGGAAATAATCATTTTGCGCTGAGCAGTCAGGGCAAAATTATAGTTTGTCTCAGTCTCCAGCACTTCCCTTATCTTTTCTTCCAAGTTTTCCATTGTCACAAATGATTTACTTTCTTCCTGAGTATAATGAGTAATATCAAAACAATTACATTTTATCCAATAACAACACCCTATAGTTCACCTTGGTGATTGTTAAAGTCAATGCTGAGGGTTGTTATAATTTTCTTACCAGCATTGGCAAACCCAGAGGCACCATGCTCATATTGTTGCATTTTACTCACACAAATATTAGATGACCAATGGTCAAGTATGTGGGAAGTATTAGGACATGAACTACCAAACTATCTCCTAGAATCTCATGTTAACCTGTTAATGTTAAACTTTACTTAGATATCCCTTGGAAACAAAAAAAATTGCCATGCTTAATACCACAGATGCCAAGTGGCAGAACTCTGCACTCAATAAGCAGTTAAGCACAGAGAAGGGGTACCACCTATTGAATTGAAAAACACTGTAGTTTAAGAGCTCAAGACAATATGAGTACATACTATGACTTTCAGGACCAACTCCCTGTTCTTCTCACGTTGTTCAGCATCAGATGTCGCTTTTTGTTTCTCAAGATGAATTTTCATTCTTTCATGTCGCTCCTTCTGTCTACTTTCCCTAAAAATGTATTTAAATTTAATGAAATGACAAAAAGGTTAATCTTACTTTTCCAAATATACCCTAAACACTTGGCACTAAAAAGTACATTATCTCCCCTCCCTTCACGGGCTCACCCACCTTCCTCCCCCAGGCAATGTATTTATGCACTCACCACAGAAAACTAACCTTGCAATTTCCTTCTCTTCATTATATTTCTTGATATCTTCAACTGCCTTCTTGTGTTGCTCGTACGGAGAAAAACTTCCCTTATTTATTTCCTCAATCCTCCGTCTTTCCCTCGCCTCTCTTTTCTCATGTTCGGCACGAAAAATTTCACGTGCTTTTTGTACATTTTCACGGTATTGTTCGTACGCTAAAACCTTGCTTAAATCTTTTTCTTTCCTCTTTCTACGTTGGGGAATGTCTTGGCTAGGTTTCTCGGCTTCTGCTGCAGCAATGCAAAATGTTCTCGGCACAGAAATGAGAGGAAATTTAGCAAAAAGTTTAGCACGTTTTAAATATAATCTAGCAGCCATATTGTCAAATATAGCGAAATAATGCCGACATTTTTACCGAAACTTAAGCGCCGCATATTAATATTGGAATACTGATCCCAAATGGTTACCATAAATATAACTGGAATGACCAACTGAATAGCAAGAAGTTAAAATAGTTAATCAAAAGGCAGTCAGACGGTTAATTTATTACCATACGAACAAATAACTTTCTACACGCCACTTTCTACGAACCTATTCTACAAGGTTTAGGTTTGCCTCAAGCTATTGATCTCTATATCGTAACTGAACGCAAACTTTTTAACAATTAGACAACGAGTCCGAGTTGTCTATGAGCGAATAGTCAACGAGGCGAAGCCGAGTTGACTATTTGCTCATAGACAACGAGGCCGAGTTGTCTAATTGTTTTAGTATAAACTATAACATTAATTTACAACTAGGAAACACAATATAAAATTCTTGTTGGCTTGCAAACCATTCTGAAATTTATTTCGTATATTAAAGGAAGAAAATATTTTAATTGTTGTTCGCGTAAAATGTTTTAAAATTCAGTTTAAATATAAAAATTCAATTGAGTATACGTTATTTTTATGTATTTTCTTACCCTTAAAAATTGCAATTCCGTATTTTGTTGCTTTTTTTGTTTTTTCTGGTACGGAATTGTCCAACAAGTCGTCCAAAAAATCTTCAGATACTTCGGCGAAACGCGAATTTTCCGCCATTGTTTTGAATTTTGCTACTAGTAGGCTATCACTAATAGCCTACCAGTAGCGTAGCCAATCAGAACGCAGGAAAAGTGATAGCCTATTAGTCAGTTTATACTAATATCTAATAGAGCATATGTTTACAAGACTGGACTCAATCTCAAATCCTTTGCCTCGCAATTACAGACCTAGGATTGGGAGATTGGTTGAGGCTTTCAACAATCGTACTCAGACCTCTTAGCATCAAATCTGTTGTACACTGGTTAATGGTTTTACTCGAAGTATATTATGATTTCTGTGGTCCAGTTTGCGAGGTTGAAAAATACTTATTAAAGTCAATGCGTAACAGAAACTGCGCCAAATGAGGACTGGCTTGGTGACTTCTTACACCGGAAAACAATTTGAGCAACAGCGAAGACTGCCGAGAATAACTCTGAAAAATGGGAAAAAGTAGTTTGATAGTTGGTATTAGTTGATAGTTCTTAGTAAACTCGCCTATACAGGGTGAGAATATGTTTTTTCGATTATACCTTTTTAATGCTTCGCACTTGGGCGAGTTCCCTTTCTGAAAGAATCGACTGCGAGTGAGACAACAGCGCACAAAATGAAAGGCATAATTCCATGATTTCATTCAAACAATGAGACACCTGAAAATGAAGAAAAGGAGCAAGAATTGAAGTTCTTGGCTGCCATTTTCTGCAAGAGGCAATGTCACGAAAGATAACCACAGGAGAATAGTGAGTAAACTCCAGGGAAATTGACTGATAAATGGCAGAAACATTCCTTCAGCAAACTCGAGATTAAAATGTGTGGCTAGTGGAATGGAGACCTCATACCTGTCTCATGAGAAGGAAGGCCTGTGCATGGAGAGTTGTGATAAACTGGTCGTGAGCAAGTCGTAATGTCTCAAAGTCTCTGGTGCTGTTGATCCGCTCTAACAGGTTTGAGTATTGTGCTTCGAGAACGTCGACCTGTAGGTTGAGATGCATCGGTAAGAAAAAGGAAATCTCAAAAGCCAGCTTCCTTTTTGCGGGAGTCGAACCTGAGACTTTTGATTTTCGAACTGTCGACAAATATATTACCACAGCATTTCCCACTGATCTCTATAGCATAATATATCCCTAATAAGTAACCAGCCATATCAGCTGTTTTTTTCCGACCTGTAAGTAATATTGTAGATTATCGACCAGAAACATCATTTCCATTCGTAGCAACCAAATGTCCTTGGAAATCCCTTTCTGAGCGGCTCTGGATCCTTTGAACATTGTCCAAACGTTTTGCAATTCCATCTGTGTGCGCCGTACGTTCACAAGAAAGCGAAACAGACTGTTGAACCTAGAATATGGTGCAGGTTAAATCCACTACTCGCCTGCTGTATTGCACTAATGACAATTAAAACTGCCTGGTATTAGGGTGAAATTCACAACCAGTATCGGCGCTGACCGCAAGCAAATGAATGGATGGACCGGTTTCAAAAGAGCAGAATAATTATGTGGCTTACTTCTCGAGGAAAGTCGGGGTAAGAACCACATGTAACGGCCATTGTACATCGTAGTGTAGTTTCAGTGATTGCCACCCAGTGACGAGACATCCTTGGTAACAAATAAAATAAAAGTTGACCAGATGATGCCAGGGCTACCGCTGGGCAAGAGTGTGGCGTGCTCTTGTTTGGCTCAATCCACCTCTTGATATTTAGATCAGAAGTACAAAAAGGAACGCACCTTCTTCCTTCTTTTGTTTATTTTTTGACACGTCAACAGAAAGCGAAAAATAAGCTGTGTTTTCTTCCTCGTCTGGGAGTAACTGAAAACCAAAGAACTTTTGAAATTACACTATTACTTTTCGTATTTTACTCCGTGCAATGAGACATAATGTCTTCGTCATTCACGCAGCCAAAACGAAATGTTTTGACACGAAAATAGTGAGTGAGTTATGAAAGACCAATGTAAGTTACCTTGCGCATAATTTCATCAAAAATAACTTTGATATCTATAATAGGAATAAGTGAACTTTATAGCTCTATAAAAAGACCAGGGTTTTTTACATTTCTATGAAAAAAAAATGAAAAATTTGTAATTCATGAACGAGGCTTCAATATTTTTCAAGCGCTTACTTTGACCAGTATTTTCCGTCGGAGGAACTTTCAACAAATCTTTAGATTTGTCGATCAAGGAACGAAATATTTCTCCGCGTCCCAAAAGATAAAAGTCCTTCAGCAACTATGAAAGATGGCATGCGCGAAGAATTATATTTCAGTTTTAAGACGCTTCTTTCAATTAATGAAATACAGTACACCCTCGCTTTTTATAAAGTTACCTTCAAGTGTTTCAGTAACTCACCCTCCTCAACAACAAGATACCAGAGATGCTGAAATAAAATTTTTAATTTTGTAGAAGTAGTGTTCGCAGATGATTGGCAAGTTATTCAACTCAACGCCCCAAAATATCTGGCTTATTGATTGAATAAGCTTATGCATATTTGAAAAATCATCTCAGAAAAAAGCACTTTAATTAATATATGTCAAACTTTCACTATTTGTTATAAGAAACGTTTGTTTATTTACCTCAGCGATACGCGATTTAATTCTGTCGATTTCTTTCTCAAAAGACGGCAAATGAAAGATTGGTTCCTGTTGCAACTTGTGCAAGGATCGACCAAATTCAAGCTCGTTCTCTTTCATGACCGCGTCTGAATAAAAACGAGCATAGTTCATTAGAAGGCAAGGGAGATCCTTCTCGACTGGCTCACTGCATTCAGACAACATTTACACAACGATTTGGAAAGAAAAATCTTGTCACACAGAGCAACTGAGTTATTTAGCCAATAGCTGGAATCACTCTTTCATAATCAGCATTTCCAACAATACTTACCCCGTCGATTATCAGCTGACTTTGACAAGGCACTTTCTAGCATTTTCACAGATTCTCCGACGAAAAGAATCTACAGGTAATAGAAGGTTAAAAAAACTTACTTTTTGAGAATGGTGGTAAGAAAAGCGTTCTTGTTGAAAGGGCAACAAACCTTTTCGGCTACACTTGTTGAGATGTACGAAGGAAGCATTTCTGCGTTCAAACTGAAGTGATTTTCAGGAATTTTTTGAGCAGCTGGTTTCTGCTCCTGTGGAAATACCAGAAGTGAGCTGATGATTACATGCAAAAACACTGTGAAAAAGAATGAAACTTTTTATAACAACAAGAAAGAAGAAACTAAACACACTTGAGCTTGTTTCTCTTCAGACATGGCCTTTTCATTTTCAGTGTCAGATTTTTCAGCATTTGTTTGAGCATCGCCATTGACGGTTGATTTTACCATGATGAAAAATTCATTGTAATAATCCAACAGAAGACCATGCAGTAACCATCCACTGAGCTGCTTGTACATCACAGCATGACATACATGCAACATCCTGAAGTGAGATTAAAACTTTTCACATTTCACATTTTGTGTATCAGTTTCTATCCATTGTAACTCCCTCAACTTAACCCTAACTAATTATTCCACTTAAACTTCATGTTAATCCTAATCCCAACTTTAGTCTAACCTGAAATCTTAATCTCAGGACTTAATCCTAAATCTCAATTTTTAAAGCAGCAACAACCAAGCCCAAAACAACAAGTCTAAAATTACCTTTCAAATGCATCCTTCACAACCGGGATTCCATTTGAACATTGAGAATGCAATATATTCAATATAGCACATCCCTTGGACTGAAGATAAATGAAAAATACTTGTGAATACACCGAAACCTTGAACAATTCTTACACTTTCAACTGTTATAGTGTATTAGTATTAACCTTTTTTGCTTCAATTTCTTCAAGTGAATTGGCCAAAGCAGGGAACAACAGTTGATACTAGGGAAAATACAATACTTTCACAACAAATCATACCCACAGGGTGAAATTTCAACAAAAGATTGTTCTAATTTCATTTATATATGTATAAATGTTCATATTCAATATTACCAGAACTTCCAGTTATTTGAAATTATTGATGATGCAAATTACCTCCTCCAATCTGTGCTGTAATCTTGTCAATGGAATATTATCATCACTCAATATCTGATAATACCAAAAGCAACAGATTATAACAATAAATAAATTATTTTATAGACATCAATCTACAAAATTCAGAAAGTTACGTTGATGACTTCACTTGCCTCTTGTTCCAAGGCTAAAAGTGTTTTACGATAAGGCTCTAAGACTTGGTCCAGTCCCGTGCACAAAGCTTGTAAATACAGTCCACAAACTCTTTCTGAGTTTTCTAAAGAAATTATTTGTGTGGATGTATATCATACTGAAAGAGGGATATTAATGTATATATAGGGATACAATTAAAAAAGCACTATTTTGATATTATACATATGCAAAAGGATTCAGGACTCTACTGAAATTAGACTCTAAATTAAATTAGAGCAATCAAGCACTTAACAACCTATCGACTGGAGGTATATACTACTTTTTGTCTACAGACCAATAAAATTGTCTGGGGTTAGACTGAGTAAGATAATCTCTACCTAAATAGACATAACTCAATGCATTGTCAGCTAAAATGCTAATGAAAATTTTTTTGGAAACTCATACAAACCGGCCTCATCTTTGTCCCTTCCAGGCAACAGAATACTATAGCATTGTATGAATGTTTGAAAACGCTGGTAATATGAGCCAAGTTTGCATAAATGATTCAATACTTCAGTTTCGCTCGGGTGAAGGAATGGCAAGTCGCTGACAACCTGCATAAACAGCCAGTCAATGAAACATACATACATGTCAGAGATATCTGACCAGAAACGTTCTGACAAATTCAAGCGAAAAAATTGAAAATTCGTAACTTCTACCAACCTGGAAACCTTGTTCTTTCTTGTCTACAAATATACTGCCGCTTATGCCAGATAAAGCTACAAGAAGCTCGTGCAGCATGATTTAGGACCCCATTTTTAAACGAAAACAACACTTCATTTTTAAAAACAAATTTTCAACTTTTGTCCGCCATATTGGTTTTTCAACTGCGCATGTGTAGCAAAGAAATGCTTCCAATGGACGATCAATGTCATCCGCCATATTCGTGTAAAATTTATTCGCATTAATCGAGAGCGATCAAAAAATCTGTATCTAAGTATCTCAAAGTATTGATAATGATACAAACTGCAACTGAATGTAAACTATGAGAAGAATAAAAGAAGAATTCGTGGAATACATGACTTTTTCACTTTGAAATTTCAAAGTTTCCAAAGTTTATTTTAGCACATGCTAAGTGGAAACATCGGTCCCTGAAATTTCCCATAAGGCAATGCATCTCGCTATCCTTCCTTTCTTTCTCATGTCGATTCCAAAGTAATTTTGTTTGTGTCGACTAAAAAATGAAGGTAATTACATAGCTTTGGAAAATCCATTTCAATGTATTTTTGTCAAAAAATGCTAGTTTGGGCTTTTAACTTTCATGCTCCGGTGCAGCATTGTTTCGATGAGTCACGAAAGGGGGAGATTTACATGGATTATAATTCGTAGTACTGTTACAATGAGAACATAGATATTCCAGATTGATTTTTTGTGAAGCTTTCGCCGAGAATAAATACACTCTCGGGAGGTGTACAAAATTTGATATTGTGTGACAAGCCATAGATATTTGCACTTGAGCTTATAAGTTGTATTCGCCGAGGTTTAAATTAAAAAAGAACTTGAAAGATTACTGTGAAGTGTGAATACTATTTCTGACTTTTTGCACACATTTCAACACATTTATTCAGTTTTTCTATCGTTGAAAGTATTTTCTTTGGGGTGTCTGAAAGGGGTTTTACCCTGCAATGATTTTTGGCCAGAATGTATCACGATCCGTGATTTTCGTAGAAAATGGCAGACAAAATCCAATCTAGTATCTACTCAGCTTACATAAATTATTACAAGACAGACTTTAGGAAAGATTGCCAATACCCATGCTATGTCTATGTTGATCATAGCCATAAGTAGTTTTGGATTGGTAAATGCAGACTTTTACAAAATAGTTTCCTTCCTATTTCAGCTAAATGTTTCATATCCAGCAACTGGAGCACAAAAAGTGATTGAAGTTGATGATGAGCGAAAACTGTAAGCATTGTCCAATGTTTTTACAATCTCCAGGCTTGCAGCTGTGAACATTAGAATGGTTATTTACCATGTATTTACTATCTCTTACCAGACGTAGCTTTTATGACAAGCGCATGGCGCAAGAGGTTGACGCTGAATGCTTGGGAGATGAATGGAAGGTAATGAAGTGATAGCAAGTTGATTGGAGAACCATATTTATTGTACTTGTTATCATATCACGAATTGGTGAAGTCAATTTACATTCTTTTCTAGGGTTATATTGTTCGTATAAGTGGTGGTAATGACAAACAAGGTTTCCCAATGAAGCAGGGTGTTATGACGAATGGCAGAGTCCGCCTTCTCTTAGCCAAAGGTCACTCCTGCTACCGACCCAGAAGAACTGGCGAACGAAAACGGAGGTCCGTCCGGGGGTGCATTGTTGATTCCCAATTGAGCGTGCTCAATTTGGTCATAATCAAGAAAGGGGAACAGGAGATCCCAGGTCTTACCGACCGGGTTGTGCCAAGACGGCTGGGTCCCAAGCGTGCCAACAAAATCCGAAAGCTCTTCAACCTTAGCAAGGAGGATGACGTCAGGCAGTTTGTCATCCGACGTCCACTGCCCGTTAAAGAAGGCAAGAAGCCTCAATCTAAGGCACCAAAGATCCAGAGGTTGGTTACCCCACAGAGGTTGCAGCGTCGTAGAAAAATCATGGCTGAGAAACGCAATCGGGTGAAGAAGAATAGAGAAGAACAGGCGGAATATCACAAGTTGTTGGCCAAACGTGCAAAAGAATCCCGCGAGAAACGTCAAGAGCTTTTGGCTAAGAGGCGTAGGCAGTCGAGTGTGAGAGAGTCCAAAAGTGAGAAATAAGAAGAACATCTGTGAAATTTTGGTGTGAATAAAGGCAGATAATTCAATATTGTTTGTTTTTTTGTTTTGTCTTGGAGTAATATTATTACATTCTATCAAACTGAATAACCCATTAACTGGCAATAAACAAGTACTTACCTACTTTGATGTTTTACTTCCTAATACATCAGATTACTTGACCATCCATCCAGTTCAGGGTATTGCCAATTGATGTGTTAACCTCAAAACTCATTGCACAGTCAGCTAGAAGTACAAATCTTCACACATTTTCACATAATATTTTGGATTTACATTAGAAATATAATAAAATTCTACTCTAAATACATCTTTCAAACTCTCATAAAAATATCAAAAAACTGCGGCTATCAAAGCTACAGAGATGAGTCATTCCCAATTGTCAAATAAAAAACATTGATTGGCATTGGTCACAAACTACCACAAAATGGCCATGAATATCCAACTCCTCAAAATGCCACACTTTAAAAACCCACTATCTGGAGCCCAGAAACAATCCAAAAACTGCCTACAGTAGAAGCAGCCATAAATCTTCATGTCAATGTGTGGAATGAAAAACGTTTGGGGGCATTGCAGTTGTTCGGTAAAAATCCCTCCAATCTTGAAGTTTTTCCAAACTGGTCATCATCCATCAGTCTATGGCAATGGACAGGCTTTGGCCATTTCTTTTAAGTCAACTTTTGATCTATCATGGAAATATTTGTAAGGCATCAGAATAAAATAAACAGGATTAAACATGATGGAATGAAATTGCAAAAAGGAATGAGCATTAAATAAATTAGGTCCTATCATAATTACAAAAAATTATCTGTACCCAATTTTAAATTAAAAACAGTTCCAGCTAGAACAAAGACATGTACCCTTGATCACTAAATGAGGCTTCTAACCTGTTATGAGTCATGTGACTTTTGACAAGATGTCCGGCAGCCAAGGCACTAAGTAGTGACAATTCACCAGCCAAAACTGTGGCGACTATCACTCGTGCCAACCGGGAAGCATTCTCTCCTGGTTTACTGCTGTGAGGACCAACAACTCCCAGCATCTGACAAACAATATTACCATTAGAACCTCTACACTTTCTGCAGCACCTAATTCAATTTTGCTAATCTTAGCTTTTGAAACCTTAATGAAACCACTGGCACAATCCAGTTATACAACAACTCTTGAAATAGTGGGTGATCTCACCTCAAGACACGCAGCTTGTGGTGGTAAAATTGTTCCCCCACCAATTGTCCCAACTTCTACTGATGGCATTGTACAGCTGAAATTAATGAATCCGGGTGATTTTGCATTGTAAAGTATAGCATTTGAAAGATTTGTGAGAAATGTTGGGTTGTGGTAACTAACAGTACCTCATATACAAGTCTTCTTGAGTTGGTCCACATCTCTCCATCAACGTTATACACTGACTACTGCCAACATTCTGGGCTGCATCCTGATTTGTGGAAAAAAAAGCTGGGTTGGGATGGGTAGAGGGGGTGTTGGGGGAGCCCCGGCCATCTCACCCCAGACTTGGCTCGTACTGTAGTTTGTACACTACCACTAGTACCAACCTGTCCCGTGGCTATGAACACAGCGGTCACAATATTTGCGGCATGCGCATTAAAACCGCCTAAACTTCCGGCGATTGCAGAACCAACGAGATTCTTGTTGGTGTTCACATCAACCAGAGCGGATACCGTGGTCTTGAGAATTCTGGTAACGACACTGGCGGGAATGATTGCTTCGCATACGACAGACTTTCCCCGTCCTTCGATCCAGTTCACAGCCGCCGCTTTCTTGTCGGTACAGTAATTACCGCTGATACTAATGATCTCCATCTCAGGAAAATGATCTTGCAGGTAGCTCAACGCACGTTCAGTTCCCTGAAACACACCAACACTGCAGAAATTATTATTTGTTATTTATTTATTTTTTGTGTTTTTGGAATTAGTGTTCGGTCATGAAATTTTAACTTGAAAATCCTATTACTGGTTCAGGAATATTTTGTTCGGTATTTACAAATCTTTTCAGTTGCTCACCAATTTGAAGTCTAAGTATTACGGATGATAACGAAGGGCCTGTTTACATGGATCCAGTTATAGGCGAGGTAAAAAGCGCATCATCACATCAAAGGTTAAACCTGATTAGTCTTAAGTTATATGCAGTTTTCACCTCGCCTAGCCGGGATAACTTACTCCATGTAAACAGGCCCTAAGAGCCTTAGCCTTTATGAATGCAAAACAATTCCGTTGTGCCAAACAGATCATAGACGAACACGAACTTTAACTTTAACATCTAAACAACTTTTAGCTTTTATCATCGGAAAAGCTCCTTATTCTAGGTAGTTTTCTGCACCTGTCAATCCCTTAACATACGTGAAGACACACCTTTGATATCATATTCATTCCCATTGCATCCCCAGTTGTCGCCTGGAACCGCAGGAACATCAGTCGGCCGGCGATGGCGCATTGGATCTTTTGTAGCCGCGCAAACCTACAAAAATGACACGAGAATCTGGTCACACTTATTTAAATGGCACACATGCCTACAATTCTTTAAAAGAAAAGTAATATACTCGTTCAACTTAGCATCAAATGTGGTATAACAACTGCCTAAAATAGGCAAAACACTTCTCGACGTTTCGACCTGAGGGCCTTCGTCAGGAGAGTTAGTTGATACTAACTCTCTTGAGTATATACTCGTTCAGTCTGTTTCACACTGACCTACTGGTTGAATCAAAAGCATTTTGAACACTCTTGAAATTCTCTTCGTCAGCAAGCCATTCTTTAAGATCACTAAATAAAATACAAGCCTAATTTCTATTTTTCAAAATTTACAAGGTTGGCAAGGAATTGAATCAGGAACAAACTATCTGAAAAAAAAGTAAAGAAAACTGGGACATCCTTATAGCAAAACTCATTCCAGGAACTGTAAGAGTATTATTTAATTATGACTTATCCATTGTTTAAAGCTTAACGGACTTGACATGCACAACCGGTCCAGGTTATTATAACTATTGAATATTTTGATTTTTTTCGTACCTAGCTTGTAATGCGGAGGGGAACCTTACAGCAGGACCACGCGTCATACCATCGGCAAGCACTCGGCTTCGGACGCCATCGCTCGACTACAAAGAGAAAACCAATCTAATTAGTCAGTTTGAATTACTTCATTCATATACAAGTTGTTGACGTAATGAATTACCGCTAAAGCTCTGCATCCTCGGTTGGTACTGGCAACCAAGCATCCTTCGACTGTCGCCATGGGAACATGATATATCTGACCATCCAATAAAAGCGGTCCGGCCACGCCCACTGGAATGGGCATGTACCCAATGACATTCTCACAACACGAGCCAATCACCTTTAAATAAAAGGAGTTAAAGTTAAAATGTAACTATCAAACAATTCTCTACCTGGTTGGTTTCCACAGCCTTAAACTAAAGAACTCTTTAATGTACTGTAGACACTTCACAGTTTAAAGCTTGCTTTCAAATGAGATGTGAAATCTGACCTTTGAATAGTCGTACGATTCATAAGGGAGGTTTGTTAGTTTCCTGTCGTTTTTCAATTTCTTTTCAACCACAATCCTCCTGTAACATTATCAGGCGGCGATACAATTAATACTCGTCACATTACGTGCGTGATACCCAGTGTTACAAGTATTTATTCAAATATATACACAGTGATCTTACCGCAGTCTCACAGCTCGTGTTAAGTCGGTTAGTTTCTTCTCCAGCTGATGTACTGGAACAGCTTTTGTCTCGATCTTTTTCAAAATTTCTTCATCAGTGTCCCCATCGAGATTTGACTGAAATAGTTGAAAGAGTCACTCACTATATGCGCTTACGCAATAATCAATATCCTATAACTCAATATTCCGATAATCATGACTCGATATACTCGATATTCCGATAATCATTACTCGATATTCCGAGTATCACGAGTCAACTCTCCGACAATCAAGACTCAACAATCCGATAATCAATACTTCATGCAATTGCAATAATGATGACTTCATTCGTCATGGATGAACTACGAGAATTAGGTTTTTTCATGTAATGATATATCTGGGGGGATCATGGCACTCTATCCTTCCATCACCCTGTCCTAGACTCCTATCCCCTAACCATCCCTTGCTGCAATGGACGCCCGAGCTAATTCACTGGATGAGCAACTATTTATAATGAGCTCAATATCTATATCTGAAGTAATAAGTTCTAATCTTTAGCCAGTATGACGTTCAAAACTTGGACACTAATCTCCACTCCAGTTATCTAAATAGAGTTCAATAGCAAAGTAGTATATAATTATATGACATGGATTAGCATACATTATCGTTTGTCACAGACTTCACAAGGGCTGACAGGCCTTCACCAATTTGAAAGAATGCTTTTCTTGCATTGATGATAGCACCACCATTATGAGATATATCTCCATTCGTGGTACCACCATTGTTTGTCAGGTCACCACTCTGGTCTTGGCGTCCAGCTATGGTACCATCTGTCACTGTAACATCCTTCGAATCACTATCAGTCGAAGTATCATGAAGTATTGTATCATCCGAAGTTCTTGTCCTGCTAGGAACGTGGTCCTTATCGAAGATGTATTTAGCGGTCAGTATCAGCGCCAGTGTAACGGTTATAACCTGGGGAAGAGCAGTGCACAAAATTTATACAACCTTAAACCTTTCGAAAATTACGTTATTCGATTAGCTCGGAATCACGCTTTAGGCAAACTTTTAGCTTCGACCAAGCATAACCCGGAAAAGAGTATATACTGTAGCCGCAAAATGCTGAAAATATGACCTAGCAAAGTTTACAACAAAATTTTGCATACTGTGTTTTACTAATTTTGGAAATATATCCTCTCTAGTTGTAGTGGTTTACTTTCAATTTCTTGTCTCGATGAAAATTTGTATTCTAACATGTAATTGCCCATACGCACCTGTTCTGTGGACATGTTGAGACGTCTGAATAAAAACGAAATTGAATTCTGTTAATACTTTTAAAATATCTGTTAGCATATTGTGTTCTACTGGTTTAAAAAGTTGGGGTTTTTCGTCGGATTCTTTTGAGAAAGGAGTGTACGTCAGATGTAAGGCAGCTGCATTTTGATGTGGCATAAGTATACGTTCTCACATGATTAAACCAGTTTAAAAAACTTCATGTACAGATGCGAGTCACTGTTGACATATTTAGACACCTACCCAAAGAATTTCACATAGACACTGTCCTGAAAAATATTGCCTGACATTGTTTGTTTCACAGAAGATAAGTAGAGGTGCATGTGGACCATGAAAAGACCCAATGACTATAAATACAAAAACAAAATACGAGGTGGTAGTTTACAAGAGATGTCTTATTGGACAGGAGGAATAGGGTTGTATTAGAGAGGATGACTAACTATAAGCTTAAGGAGGGGGCTCTGAGGAAAATGTTTTTTAGAGAGAGTCACTGATGAGTTAGAGAGAGGCATTTTAGGTTGCAAATTAGAGAGAGAGAGCACAAATTAGAGAGGAGGTATATGGGTGGGGATTGCAGAGAGTAACAAGTTAGAGAGAGGGCATATTAGGGTGGGGGTTAGAGAAGGTGACAAGTTAGAGAGAGGGCAAATTAGGGTGGGGATTAGAGAGAATGACAAGTTAGAGAGAGGGTAAATTTGGGTGAGGATTAGAGAAGTTAACAAGTTAGAGTGGTGGGGGCATATAAGGGTGGGGATTAGAGAGGGTGACAAGTTAGAGAGAGGGCAAATTTGAGTGGGGATTAGAGAGGGAGACAAGTTAGAGTGGGGGCATTAATATACAGGGTATATGAGATGCATTAGTCGCATACCAGGTCTTTAGAGTTTGTTGAAACTCAATCCTAAGGCAACTTTAACATACCATAATCATCTTAACTTGTTGTACAACAGGGTTGGAAACATGACTGGGTTCATCAATCTCAATGTGGGCCTCTTGAGCTTTTTTAGTATTCTCATCAACCTGACTCAACTGTGGGTTGGGAAAATTGAAAAACAATAAATTAGGTATCTGCTGAGCTAGGATATGACAACATTGAAATAAAAACTGTTCTATTAGAATGCCACCATACCTCTGCATATAATGACAAAGCTGCTGGAACAAAACTTATTGAAACAAGATAATTCACTACGACAGCAACTACTCCAAAAATACACAGCATTTCGATTGCATCCACCCCTGTGAAATGACATGATTGTTTTGCATGATATGACCACTAATTGATGCTAAACGTGCAGCATAATTAGGTAGCATTCAGAAACCACAATGTTTGTACCTGAGTAGGTCCCAATATGAATGACCAGTACTTCCACAAGCGTGTTGAGTGTTAAAGTTGGTCCAATTCTTGCTGATCCCAATGCAATTTTATGATGAACATCATGCTGCAAATATATGAGACAAACATGAAATAATTTGAAAGATATATCCGACAGATTCAATGCCATTAAATACACAACAACTATTTAGTCATCATTTCGACTTTATACCATGAAGATGTCTATAAATAAAGTTGAAATGTTGAATCAAAGTGTTGTCCTTATTCAGAGTGACCGTGTTGTTGTGTATTTCATGAAAATGCTCAGTGGTTCCCACAATCAATGTGATGAGTAAAAGTGATTTGGCAAAAATATTCCCAACATTAGTTTTGAATATGATATTGAGAATGATGTTCATGCCATACCATTGATGATGATGATAGCACCAGTTTCTCAATAATGTTCACTTTCTTTATGTCAATTAGGAGAAGGCAGAAAGGTAGTGCCTCTCTAAAATTAAGAAAAAGAAACCAAATATTAAGTGAGGTTGGATAAGTTTGAAAACTTTTTCTAAAATATTTTCTATGCTGATATATATGTACCTTATGTGAGTCCAACTTTTACCAAACAATGCCAGCAAAGTTGAGATAAATATCAGCAATGAAACCATAACATGCATAATTGTCATTCCTGAAAACAAATCAATAGGGTAGTCATCAATTTATTCAATTAACCATTAACCACCCCGTTACTTTGATTACAGATTTTGTTTCGATGTATATTGTGAAAAACTTTTGCTTGCATGGCAATGTCTAAGCATTTCACCAGTATTACCAACCTACAAGCGCTCTTGATTCTTCCTTGAGAAGTTTCTTGCATCGAAAGTATAAATATGAGATAGTGAGGATGTAGCTTGCTGTTCCAAATGCCCAAGTCTTAAATGGTCCATCAACCTATACAAATGTCATGTAATTTGGTAAGAATTTAAGTATGATCTTAAAATGATTTAATTTGACTCAAATTTACAGGCAATTCTTGCTAAATTGATGGATGTATCACATAAATAATTGGTGCAAGTTTGTGCTTGTCTCAGCTGAATTGTAAGGGAAAAAGGAAACTTTATACAAGTACTATGTTTGTGGTGAAATTAGTTATTTAATAAAACTAGTAGGACTACTAGGATCGACACTCTTCAATAGGTATAAAATAGTTAAAAAACGGTAGAAAATATCATTAACACTCTCAATAGCACTCACCACGGACGAGTTGAAATCTTTAGGCACAAGTGAGTGATCGTACAGGCCCAAAGTCAACAAACACGAAAATGCTGTTAGCCATATTACTAAAATCTCAACTGGTGATCGTGCACAAAGCGATCCAAACCAGCGAAAAATCGTTGTTAAAAAGACAACACTGTCTTCAGCCTCTCTCCTTTGCACTGCCATAGCTCGCTAGGTCATTCTGATCACGACTAAACCAAATCTAAGTTGTTTTGTCTTCGTATTTCATCGACTTTATAGTATTTCATCACCTTAGACATTTAAAAAAGTTGTAACATTTTGTTACAAGCAAACGCTAATTTCAATCACTCTCAATGACATTACGTCATCTATCACGTTTAGTCGTTTGGCGCAATTTATGCCAGTTTCAAAACTCGTGCCGCAACCTACGCGGTAGGTATATTTCCTGTCGGGAGACAACTTGTCTAGCAAATTACTCTTCCGTGTTTTTCCGTGCAGTTTTTGTGGCTAGCTTGCTTGCGCTATTAGGCTAGCTACTATCATATACTCAGCAATTTGTGCGATGTTTGTTGAGTCAGCAATTTGTGCAATGTTTGTCGAGTAAGCGATTTGTGCGATATTTGTCGAGCGTGTATTTTTTCGAGTGCGTATACCATGCACCATATTTGGCATTTAGGAATTTTCACTTTGCACTTTGCAGCCATACTTACTATTCGACGATGGTCGAGTATAGTATACCGTTTTCCCGTACATTCGACGATGGTCGAATTTTTCGTTTTTCAGTACATTCAACCATGGTCGAGTTCACCGTTTTCCCGTATATTCTTTTCCGTTTTTCGGTACATTCAAGCATGGTCGAGTATACCATTTTCCGGTATATTCGACCATTGTCGAGTATACCGTTTTCTGATATATTCGACCATAATCGAGTATAGCATTTTCCCATATATTCGACCATGGTCGAGTATGCCGTTTTCCAATACATACTGGACTGTGGTCGAATATAACTATACCATATTCCGGTATATTGGACCATGCATATATGGTTGTTCGAACGGTTGTTCGTTTTTTCCGGATGTCTTTCTGACGAATGGTAACTTGCTTGCTGCTGGTTCGCATGCGCCGACCGCGTGTTAAGCAAATGATTTTGGCACAGATGATGTTGGTTGGATCAAGAGAGATCCAGGGTAAATTAGGTATAAAGTGCTAGGGGATTACGGTGCCTGCATATGGTGGGTAGGACCTAACAACAAAATACCCAGTAAGTCACAGGCTGCATGTACGGAAACCACTGAAAAGAGTATATGATTTGAACCTATAGTTGACCTATTGGATTTCGGAGTAACGCGTGACTACGATATCTCAATTGTTCTACTTGGTGCCCGGCACATTTAGCGCCGCATTTTCGTTGCGCAATCACCATAGAAACGCGTACAATGACGTATTATAGTCTGTTGATAGCTCAATGTATTGATCAGACAACAAATGCTAACAACTATGTAATTTTATTGAATCGTTGAATGCGCACAGTCAAATAATTGTTCGTATCTTTTCTAAAATTTCTCCTAAATATACAATCTTCTTGGCTTCAATCAAGTACACCAATAATTTATCTTTATAATTATAAATTATGTCGGCAATTATCAGCTGTAAGTCACACGCGCAATCATATAACTACATTGACATGCAAAAAAGGCAGTGATTTTATGAGCTTTCTTTCCCTAGACGAAGCCTAAACTCTCATTTTGGGGTGATACCACACATTCAACAAGTTGTCGAATATTCCCGTCCACGTTTGCAGAATATTCCCTTTGTTGGAATCAACGGCAAACGTTTAGGTGAAACTTTTCATCCATGAAGGATATTTTGCTTTTTTTTCCCTGTCTAATTTGATAAATTGAAAATACATTTATTCAATTGTCCGAAGAAGATTTACGAGTTATGACTTCGTACGGAAGGCTGGTGTTATTTAATATAGACCAGAATAAGCTTTATAAAGTTCTAGTATTAAAGTAAGCTGTATATGTAATAATAAAACTTTAGAGCCCAATTTTGGTCTATACTAAACAACACAAAAGTTTAACACAGTTTCGTGTATAATTATGTTCACTTGTTCATGTATTGACTAGTCACGCCTTTTGACATGGGAAATAATTTGTGAACATTTCGCATCATTTAGGCTTGCTCCTAACTGCCATATATCTTGAAACGAATCAACACGTACAGCTCAAGCCAGACTACCTTTCACTAAAATTTATCTAATTCTACATTTCGTAAATAGCAGCCTACATCTGTACAAAAAATTTCCCTAAATATTACCAAATTCATAATAAATAGTTTCTCAGAAATCATAATTTTATTGTCTAACCCAACAGGTCATCGGCTGCAGTGTTTTCTTGGAAACCGGAATCTCTATCGAGCTTTTCGTCGTTGTTTCCTGGATATTCGCTCAGCCATGACACAGGTTTTCCATCCTCGATGTCTAGCAAATTCTGCTCAGCGGTTGTATCAGCAGGCACTTCTGGATCCGCGCCCGTCTGGAAGAGGAATGGGTCTAACTTGGGTTCAGTTTCTGCAGCCGCGTTATTGTTATCGTTGAGAATATCTGTATCTTGTGCATGCTTTTCGTCGAGGCTGACCGCAGGCCAGGCTTCGATCAACTGGTGTGCGTTTTCATCATGGGAAGTATCACTTTCAGGCACAACGATCACATCAAGACTGTCGTCTTCTAAACTATCGTCTACAATTTCCGAGGGATCACGAGGTTCTGGCGAACTTTGAACGAGCACTTCCGTTGTGCCTTGTGGTTCAGCGATGTTTTCAGCGATCGACTGTTCCTCACTTTTCGCCGAACTTTGGACGCTCACCTCTTCGAGAGCTTCGGTGATGATTCGTTGTGTAGTCATGACGATGGTCTCGCTATCTTCTGTAATGACATCACATGATTCTTCCTCATTTGCTACGATTTCTTCTCCAACTTCATCTTTATTTGCCCGGGCTTGTTCGGCAGGTTCCACAGCCGGCGTTTCTACATTTTTTATCTCATCGACATAGGGTATTTCCTCCATTTTATCGTCAATATTGTCTATATTTACATTTTCAATGATCTCTTTTCCTTCATGAACGACCTCAGTTTCCCCAACCGAGTCCTCCTTTGTACTTTCAGTTCCAGTCTCCTCAGTTTCCTGTTTCGGCTCAACCTCCACAGGTTCTGGAGACACTACAGGCTCAGGCGAAATCGTGGGTTCTGGGGAAACTGCGGGCTTAGGTGACCCTACAGGTTCAGGAGTAATCACAGGTTCTGGAGAATCTGCGGGTTCTGGACATACCACGGGCTCAGGAGAAATCACGGGCTCTGATGAATCTGCGGGTTCTGGAGGTACTACAGGCTCAGGAGAAATCACAGGCTCTGGAGATTCTGCAGGTTCTGGAGACACCACGGGCTCAGGAGAAATCACGGGCTCAGGAGAAATCACGGGCTCTGATGAATCTGCGGGTTCTGGAGGTATTACAGGCTCAGGAGAAATCACAGGTTCTGGAGATTCTGCAGGTTCTGGAGATTCTGCAGGTTCTGGAGACACTACGGGCTCAGGAGAAACTTTGGGCTCTGGGGATACCTCGGGTTCTCGAGGGGCCTGATCGGGCTCAGATACAACAGATTCCTCTACATCAACCTGAACAGACCCTTCATCCGCAGCTGACACCTCAGTTTGTGCAGGCGGCAAATCAGGTATATTTTCGAGGCTGGGAGCTTCCACATTCTTTTTCGAACATTCCTCAGGTTCTTTTTCTTTTACTTCCTTCACTTCCGTGGGTTTTGTGATACCCAAAGCATTTGATAATTCTTTTACTGTCTTAGCTTTGGGCATGCCCTTAACCTCAGTTTTCACTTCTTTGCTCTTTGGGGCAGCTTTTGAAGGAGCTTTTTTAGCACCAGTCTCCTTGCTGGATTTACTCGGTCCAGTTTTTGCGCCAGTTTTCGTCTCGGACTTTTTAGTTCCCGGCTTAGCCGTTTTCGTTGCAGTCTTCGACGTCGCCGGGGGTTTGGTGGGTTTTTTAGCCCCAGTTCCCCCCTCGGTCGTCTCTGTTGTCATACGGAGTGGCTTTCTGCCGGTCGGGGATATTTCCTTCACCGTGGTCTTAGTCGTTTTCTTGCCGTTGACCTCCGTGACTGTTCGTGTAGTTTTTAATGTCTGAGACTTGGTCTCAGGCTCTCCACCAGCTCCAACTCTCGTGGTCTTTGTCGTCGTCACCGTACGCGTCTGCGTTTTACGAACCAGAGGTTTTGTGGGTGACGTAGGTCGTTCGTCCCCAGTTTCCTTGCTGGGCACACCGCCATCTGTCGCATCTTTTGCTTTTGTCGAAGGCTTCGCACTTTGCGGTCTTGTGCCACTGGCCCAAGATTGCACCTTGGCAGCAACGGGTTTCTTTTTTGCCTGAGTGGTGGCGCTACTTGCGGTTGGGGCGGTAGCAGGTCGAGCTTTCTGTGCGGGTTTCTTCGTCGGAGCCGTGGAGACTGTCGACCCGAATGCCGAGGTCTTTGCAGGTCGCGATGTCCGGGTGGACGGGGCAACCTTAGGTTCCAGTTTAGTTGAGGGAACACCCTTTGGCTCAGGTTTCTTGGTGGGGTTCTTAGTATTTGTGGGGGACGTCTTCCCAGTAGTGGTTTTTGTCGGCAGCGGTTTCCCCGAGGGTGGGACCTTCGGCCTAGATGTGGTCGTAGATGATTTGGTGGGGGTCGCAGATGTTTTAGGTGTGCCTGGCTTAGAAGTGCTGGACTTTCCAGTTGCATTAGAGTTAACGGCGCTTGTCGGCCTCCCTGTCTTCCTCTGAGCTGAGATTTCCGCAGTATTCGATCGCGTTGGTTTTGCACTTTTTGGTCGGGAACCAGCAGTGCTCCCTGGCTCTTTCTTAACTGCTGCTTTTGTCCCTGTTGGTTTAGTCTTTGTCGGATCTTTTGCGGTTTTTCCCGTCGTTTTCTTCGGCGTTTCAGCGCTGCCTTTCTTTCCAGGGGGACTTGGAGATTTTTGTGGGCTTTGCGGCGCATCCTGTGTCTTAGATGCTAAACCTGCAGATTCTGGCGCCGTGACTTCGGAATTTTTCGACTCATCAGGCATGACCGGAGCCACATCGGGTTCACTCACTGGGACTTCGCCATCACTCGGCGGGACGAATGGGACTTCGAGATCGATGGGCGCAATCTCGGGAACACTCGGCTTTACCTCAGGATCACTCGGCGAAACATCGGAATTGTTCGTCAAGACATCGGTGTCATCTTTTTGAATATCCGAGGCAATTTGAACATCATCAACGCTCCCCGTGTCGACTTTAGCAGGTTCCGTCTGCTCGGCAGATTGAACGTCTGAAATCTCAAGATTGACCTCGGTGCCACTGGACTGTTTATTTTCGCTCGTGCTATCCTCTGTTTGACTTGTATTGAGGTCGTGGTCGACAGGTTTCGATTCAACCTGCTCGGCTACGGCCGATTCCGGGTCAAATTTTGCGAAAACGGCGCCATCCACAACATTCGTAGTATCGATAGTCGTTCCACAATGCTCTGAGCTCGGTAAACATTCGTCTTCAGTAGAATTTTTGCCAAGTGCGCTCTCGAAACCACCAAGCTCGCCATTTTGTTGTTCGGAATTAAACACATCCCCATTATGTTCATTGAATGCGATCTCTTCGTTTTCCATGTTTTTGCCTTTTGACGACTTCGACTTTGTAACCTTTTGTCCTTCGGTTAAATTGTTTTGATTGATGTCTGAAGGCGGCGTGTTTGTACTCGAGTTCTCGACAGGATTCGGTGATTTTTGAGGAGTCTCTTCCTGCGAATGTCGAGAAACCTTTCTTCTCGTGGCTATGTTTTGGTTGACGGAGAACTCGATCTTCCGAATAGCGCTGGTGATATCTTTTTCGTCGCTTTCTTCCTCGCGTTTGTTTCCCGTTCGAACAGCTGTACGATAGGGAGATGGCGTTGCTTTAAATGAAACAGAAAAAACGGGTCATGAATAATTTAACGATGGCTGACATGAAATATTGATCGAGAGACACTTGGCACAATGAGGAGGCCTGAAAAATTTACAAACATCGATGCCTAAGTGTTTTGCCTATTGTGCTTGGGGTGGCATTAATAATATCGCAAATTTGGGTTACCTATAAGCATAATATCGAACTATTTAAGCACAAATATCTCGACACGACAGAAGTATAAAATTCAAAATTTCAGCGATTTCAAAAGAATATATTTACTGGTTTTTAATTTAGGAGGAAACTGAAACATCAATCATATTAATAGAAATTTAATCACGTTTTCAGGTATATCTGGGTTAGTATCGTTTTTTACTTAGACTTTTCAACAGTTCTATTCACGTAGTATATATTTGAATCCAAGAATGAAATAGTCGCAACAATTTGGAAGTTTTAAATATTCATATAGCAATTCAGCACGGTAGCTTCGAAGACTTCACTCATTAATCTTTTCAAAACGAAGTCTGAAAGATGCCAATTTAATAATTGTTAATTGCGGACCCACGCACAAAGAAGAAAAAAATACTCGTTTTCAAAACTGATTTCAAACTCGAAGAATCACTGAGTTATGCCACAGACGTTTCTTCAATTCGAGAAACGGGACTTTTTCAAGCCGTCTGAATAAATAATATTGTTCAAGTTTTGAATGAATTAATGTGAAATGGGCACACGTGCATGCAAAGAGAATATGGAAACAAAAGAAAAACGATATCAAATGTACAATAAGATTTCAGATTTACATGTTGCCTTTACGATGACATTTTTGTGCTTAATTTTCAAGAAATATCGAACAGCATTATTGTCATCGCGACGATTTTATTGGATCAGAGTTGCATAACACTGTCTGGTAATTATTTACTTCTAAGGGGAGTCTAAATTTATTACATCGCTGTATGGGGCCGACGAGTGTTTGCACAAGACTCGCGTGAATTCAGTTTTTCTTTCACTTTAATACGCATAATAAAGACTCATTATACTACAAAACTTCAGAGTTTAATTTGAAAACGATAAAAGTTTCATTGTCATGCGTATAAATCGCCTGAGTGCCTATATTTTGACGTTTCCCAATCTGATGTGGTGAATTCACGTTTTGAATGTTTGATACAGAGCTGCTTCGAGCAGCTTTTGCGGCTTTTTTTTCGATGACATATGTCAGCCGTCGGTTTACCGAGCCTCGCCAAACTAGAAAAAACCCTCACCGTATGAAACTAATCGTGCTAAATGTCACAACGAAAGATAAAGAGAAAATCCGTTTCAACTTTGTGGTTGAAAAGTTTGTGGAAACAAACAAAATCTGTTATTCCAGGGAATAGCAACGGAGTTGCCTAAGCCACATTATTGAATTTTTGTGTTTATAAATGTTTGTCTTCAATGAAACAACGGACATTACTGTCATTAGCCACGGATTAACGCATTAATAAATCGTTGGACGACTAAATACTAATTACAATAACAAAATAAATGCCACTTTTGTTCAAGGGTGTTAAAATCTTGCCATGTGAATATATTGGCCTGGAAAAATTGGCTCGTGAACAGGATGGAAAACGAGGGGGGAGGTGTGGGTGCTGTGCCATTTCCCGTTATCACATGAACATAATTAATTTAATAAAAAATGTCGGCTTTTTGGTCAAATATACGATAAATAGTAAAAAAAAGGTTGCTGAAAGAATGCTCGGCGCCTCGTACCCAGTTTTCCCGCAATATGTCTATAATCGTTTCTTTTTTTCTGGACGTGCGATTAACTTCTAACTCCAGCTTCATAAATAAAGCTCAGTGGACCAGCCTCGCGGGCGTGATTATTAACAATGCATTTGCATCAAATGCGAAATGCGTATACCTTTTGAACAAATGATTGATGAATAGAACAGAAAAACTTGAAAAATGGCAAAACAGATGATTGTTTAATTGCTTAATCGTTCAATTTTTACCCAAAAGCTTCGTTTTATGCCCGCCTGCTTTCGCAAATACGGGTGTTAACGCAAATATAGCTTTGTTTTGAGCGAGAGTTAAAGTCCAGTGCTTGTTTTGTATAAAATTTGCAAAGCAATTGGTATTGTTGAAAATGTTTAAATTCTGAGCGAAAAAGGCTGGTTGCCATGCAATACAATAATAGACAAAGTGAGATAACATCTTGCCAGCCCATATTGGTCATGCAATATTTGAACAAAACTGTATAATTTTTAGAGATGACCAAGGCATCTTGGCACAGCTGACTTCAGTTTCCCAGGAAGAAATCAAGCAAAAAGAATTGTGATTCTGTTGCAATGTGCCAACCAGCTGGGGTCTCAAACCCCTTTTACAATTGCTTCCCTCAAATGAGATGCTTTTGTGATATTAAAATATTGTATTTCTTGTTTCATGAACTAGTTTTGGAATATAAAAGTTCTTATGTCCATATTAAATTGTCCATTCCTCAAATAACTCAGATTGTCAGTATTAACCCAGAATAAAACTTTCTTCAATCAAATCTCTTGAACAAGTTGACCCCAAATCTTGACATTTGTAGTAAATTCCATACTTTTATTCGAAATTCTAGTATTTTATTTAGTATGTCAAGTATGTTTACCTTTCAACTGATGCTCCTTTTTCACTTTGTCTAAAATTTTCGTCAGCTGTGATTTCTGAGGTGTTTTCGAAACAGACGGCGATACTGCAACCTCTTTTGAGCAATGGCCGTTCTCAGAAGCTAAAATGTAGAAATTATCATGCTTTATGAAATAAATTTATCTCCCATTAGAAGTAAACTGGTAATTAAACTGGATATATTGCCTGATAATGAGTTAACAAGGGTAAATGCAAATAATTGTGGGAAAGCCATCAACTTTCCCTGTCAGTGAAATTATCTGGCTTGGGAAATTTGGTAGGATCCAAATCTGGCTTACAATTTATATTCTACCACTTCTTTTACAACGCATCTTATACACCAATGCCCACAGACAATGGGATTTCTTAGTTCTGTAAATATACGTTATTTGGGACTCGTAGTCAAACCACATAGCATTAGACTGAATTGAATTAGCTATTTTATTCAAAACAATAAACAAAATTTCAGTCTTATGATAAAATGTTTTATCTATTTTAATGCCTTACGCAATATTCTGTTCATTTGCAACATGAGTTAATTAGAATTTCAAGGACTGAATGACATTGGTTCAAATAAGTTACAATTACCCCATGGAAGTATCAATTTACATGTTTTCGGGGTCGTTAGAACTTGGAAATCGTATTAAAACAACTTCGATCGGTTTAAAACTGCTTTAAAAGAGTATCCGAGACGTAAATTGCTTTCGAGTTAAGAGCGAGATGCGGTGCTTTGCAATTCTTTGTGATAATCATGAATATTTCATGGCGAAAGAGGTAACATGACACTCGAAAAAATTTGCATACAGATAAATCTTGAAATGCAGCTGTCAAAGAGCAAAGGAAAAGTTTCACGAAACGTCGACAAAACGCAACGTTTGTCCAGCATTCGTGCACTAAATAACACATAGCTTTACGAGAATAGTGGAGTTTGACTGTTACACTGAAGTTCAACACAACAAAGGTTGTAACTAGCGGACAGTAGGCCCGATCAAAAACATCATGCATTTTTCACGAGTTGTTGCACATGTCTGAGTTATATTACGCACAAAGACAGCAGGAAATATTGTGCTAAAAACTACCCGTATTACATCTAAAGCTCACACGGATAAACCGACTAATGTGCTAATGTTTCACACGAAAATCAACGAGCTAGTTTAGCGTTTAAGTTGACTATAAAAACAAAACAATTTGCAGTAAAAACAAAGCAAATGATAACGTTTTCACTTTAGAAGCGCGACAACTTGTAAACATGCATGCATGTCTACACACAAATATTGAAGTATATTTACTGCGCTAAATAAGAAGACGAATCTTTGCACTTTTACAGACGTACCTTTGAAAGAGAGAGGAGAAATTCGCGATAGATTGATCAGTAAAGATCAAAACGCCAACGACAACTTGACCCGTGGGACGTGCAGCTGAAATTCTTTTGCAAAAGATAAACAAGCGCAAACATGTGACTTGATGTCCGATGACGTCATTCCGGTTTAAAGGAAGTTCCTTAATAAATCTCGTGTTTATAGACACAGAAATGACGATCGTTGCTTGGGAATTTCTCCTCTCTCGACATTTCCTAATTTACATTCACAATGAAGTATTCCCGGTGGAGATAAGCCGAGCGTAACTATATCACAGACATTGATAAACCCTAAACAACGCCTATGGCCCCTCCTCTCAGGGTGGCAACGGGCTAGTTCGGAATGCAGTGAAACTATTGAAATCATATTCATTACTGGTTGAGTCTCCATTCACCGCCCACGGCCAGATTACGTCTAGCCCACAGAAAAAACCAGTAATTCTGCATTTCGCGAGAATACGCGAAATTTGCGTATTTTCCAGCATATGATGAGTACTATTCATATTTGGTCTCCTAAGCCAAGGTGAGGATTACTAGTTTTTCATTCAAATTTTACAATTTTGTTGTGGCCGAGTGCTGAATGTTGTCACAAGCAAAATACTAGTTAAAGCGTCTGTGTATTTCTTGTGTTTCGATCATGCGCAATATCGATTAGACATTTAAGGTATTTCTCAGAATCTGAGATACTTCATGAGTAGACTTCAAATATAACTAATGCAGATTGATCCGTGTGACCACTTTATTACAAAGTGATATACCAAAGATTTCGAACAAACATTTCAAACGTGGAGTTCCGGTAAAGCCGTTGTAAATTAGTTCAGCGCGCTGCCAATCATACCGCGTTTGATGTCTTATGAAAAAGGTCTATTGGAATTGATTTTAAATCTTGAAATAACAAAATCCCCCAAACATCAGTTCAGTTCTCACAGTAAGTTGGAGTTGGAAACACGTTTGTAATAACCTATATCAAACTTACCAGCTTTTGGAAGATGGGTTAAAAGGTAATGTTCCAATGTGTCCCAGCCACCGCCAATACGGAGAAGAACATGCCCATTTAGCATCTACAGAAGATAGAATGCTTTGTCTATCTTTAATGTTACCTTAGAACAATGTCGACTCAAACGTGTAATTGGTTCATTGCAAGAGGGTCTTATTTTAATGGTCTTATTTTCGAGTGGAGTGTATTCACAGTTCAAATTCGAGCTAGGAACATGCATTTGAGTAAAATCCTCAATTGAACCTAGCTATATCAGTAACAGATGCGATTACGTATTGCTCATGTAGACAATTTATGAATCCAGCCAGGAAATGGGAACCAGAACTTGGGAAAGCCTTAGAATCTTAGAATGGCAAGGGTGGAACCTGTGGTCCTGTGAAAACCTGAGGATTGAGGGAATTTATAGGCAAAATTTAATAATTTATAGAAATATTCCACACGACTTACCCGTACGAATATGATTTTCCCCAAGATCATGTATTTTCCCTCCTTGATTTTTCGTATGTTATACACATTGAAGTTATCGATAATTTTATACACCTATTGAACAAAAGAGATGGCGTTGATAATAATCGCACTGAGGAACAATTTGCAAAATGGATGTTTATGAAGCCAGCAACAACTATATCGTGGTCGTTTATCTTTGAGGTCTGCCGATTACGATTAAACTACTATTTATATACACTTATAACTTTAATAGTTAATGGTCAGAAATACTAGTGCGTACCATTCTCGCCGGCCTATGTTTTGAAGACACTGTAAAAAATGTACGTACGACATATACAAGCGTGAACAACAGTTAGATGCCAATTCAAGAATGCAATATAAGAATGTGCATGTAACTCTAAGCTCAAGTAATTCTCAAAATGGTTTCTACTTGAATTCCATTCCAGTGCCTTTGTCAATAGCAAAATTTAAAATTCCTCCGTATCATGCATTACACTTGAACTCTACTTTTCATTTAGCCAACAGGGAAATAAACGAAGTGTTGTGCTGATATATTTGCAATTTCTAGGATTACCTAAATTCACTCCCTTTAAGACCGTTCTTAAAAGAGTTTAGACCGATTTAAAGTTCACAAAAACATATTTTTTTAAAGATCTTTAAGTGCAATAGGTCAGCTATCACCGTTGACATTTTCGTCGGGCAGATAAGCCATGAAATATAAATATTGAAAAAAGGCTTAACGCAGATAAACAGACGCATTATATTGAAGTATTAGGACAATTGAGCTACGACATTTCAGTTTTAAGATCGCATTTCGAAATTCAATAACATGCCCAAAATAGACGCGGCTTTTAAACCGTGTTTGCATGTGAACGTGCACTTGCGCACTTCTGGTGAATTAAAAATTAAAATGAAAACACGGGATGAAGAACACCTGCGCACGAAACGGTCTTCCCTCACGCGAACAGCACGGGAGAAACGCAGTGGATGGTTCATATAGCCTCGAGACGAGTTGATAACCGGTATCATTACACCCTACGCCACCCCTCGCCCCCACGTTGGGGTGGGACTGCCCACTAAAACCTATTTATCAGCTCGCGAGGGAAAGGGAAAGTTCTTGGTGAATTCCTATACAGAAAAAGACATACTACTTCACGTCATTGCCATACGACGTGAATTTCCACTCTCCAGAAGCGACTGAATAAACTTGATCTTCGACTGAAATTTTTGCAAGTTAGCTTTGAAATTGTAGTTAGTTTTACAAGATCAATTTATTGCTTCATGAGACTGGAAAAGTTAGCAAAGTTCATATCGTATTGCCAAAGTATTTCTCGTGTTTCAGATTGCATTAAAAACAGCAGATGACGAGCTGTTTCATCAAATAAAAGCCTGTGACAATCATTGATGTATCAGCAACAACGACAGATGCTCATACGCCAGTTCTATTTAATTTCTCGATTAATTTTGCCGATTAACCCTAATTTCCTCGAAGAAAAGATGAACGGAGATCTTCATTATATAACTCGTAAATGTTTGCATTTCATAGATTTATGAAAGTCGCTTTTCTTCAATTTAGAAAACCTCTTTCGAGAAAAATTCTCGTCGAAATAGGCGACCTCAAATGAGGGGAAAACATTAAAATTTGATTCGGCAAAAAAAAAGTGAACTCGACCGAAATGAAAGTCGACGAGAGTTTTGGCAACTTGGTCTCACCATTTAAAGCGGTTCGCCTAAATTAAAATAGCCAAGAAAAAGTTTGCTCGAGAGTTTGCCGAGAATGAAATGTTTGATAAGATTCTTTCCTTCTATTCTTACTATCACGAACTGAGAATTTTAAGATAACAGTTTAAGATTGAGAGCTGCATTGTCAACGGTCTGTCCAACAGGAAAACAAGAGGCGACGGAATACTAATACGACCAGCAATTTATCTTGCCTATTTCCATAATGACGTGTGGCCTATATTTGCATGCGACTCGCAGGTATATAGCTATATAGCAATAATATCATGTTTATGAAATCCGACACCACCACTGTTATAAAATTTGCAGGTGCAAATCCCAAAATGACAACATAGATTTGACTGTTGTTTTAAACGAGAATTTATAGTTGCTTATTCTAAACAAATCGCTCACCTCTTTGTCCAATTCGCTTTTGGGGTGATGGCGTTTTGACTTCTTCTTATCTCCCGTGGGAGTAGGGTGTTCATCGTTTTGGGGAGGGGAGTGGGTTTCTGGACTGGGGCAACTATTGTTCGACTCTTCGTCCGAACTGGCGAAATCCACTTGATCTGTCGAATTCTCTTCGGCTTCTTTTTGCTCTTCGATTTCAATTTCCTTCTCGAGTTGAATTAACTTGGGTATAGGCGTGAATTTAAATGCCCCGGAGGCACGGCGGGCGATTTCCATGAGGCATATGACCACCTCTCTGCACCCTTCTCTACATTCATCCGCTTCGACGACATCGTTGGATTCGAAAAGGATCGAATCAGAAATCCCAATCTGTCTGCACCACGTCAGGAAACCTTGTACATTTTCACGAGATTTGAAGAGCGGGCTAGTTGTTTGTTTTTTTTCGGTATGCTTGTGTGAAATTTAAAGCCCTTCGCGGGAACTTTGACTTTGTTTTTGCGACCGTAATCGTCGGCCGTTTCTTGAATAAGGTTCGCCAAACGACAGAGCACAACACCGTCTTCGAGAGCGTAGAAAAACAGCTCCGGCGTGATGATAATATCAGGGAAGAGTTTCGCAAGCCATTCCGTCTCATCTTCGAGCATCGCCCAAAGCAATTCGTTTTCTTTTTCCCATCTTTGAAAGCCGCCGACGCTGCTCGTCTTGAGACGTTTTAGGTTGCCTTTATGCGACGATTCTGGCCGGCTTCTTCGCTCTAAATCGCCACGATTGGCATGACGAAGCACAACTTCGCTTGTTTCGGCCATTTTACGAGCACTTTACTTCGAGGTGACTATATTAAAATATACAGAGGCCGCTTGGAATTGTGCTATTTAGAAGTGTTGTTCAAACTTAAAGCATGCTAAATACCTGGACTTAATGCACATTTTGAATTTAAAATATTTCGGACAGGTGGCTGCTTGGAAAACGTACGTTAGAAGCTGTCTAGTATTACAATCAGCTGTTTTGTAGATCTTGCGACATATAACTGAAGTGGGAGATCGTGAAAAGTTCATAGGCCTATATTTAACATTGTTAAAACAATATCAGATTTAAGGCGTCAGGAAAACGCTTCGAAGAAATAATACTTTACAAAAATATGACAATTAGTTCCGTACAAAAAGGCAGGAGTTGGAAAAACCGCTTAAAAATATGTAAACATATTTCATTTATATATAGCTACACTGTTTTGTTCGAATTGGACTTTCGAATCACACATAAGACAATGTCGCAAATTAACATAACACGGTGTTTAAAACATTTATTTAATTAATTTTTTTGCGTGGCGACACCGTTATAGTTTTTTGAGGAGTTTTTAAACACGAGAAGCGTCTAAAATGTGCTGAGAAGTGTATTTTCAAATTCCAAAACGCGAAAATCCCCGCGTCCTTTTATTCTAGATTGTTGCAATGCCACGTTCGAAATTCGAATATTTTTTTTGTTACATTACAAAGGACACATGCTGGTTTCCTTTGCAAAGCGTGTGAACAAAATTGAAAAATAAGATGTTTACTTTGAGGTACTTGCCAAAGCAGGAAGAAATACGTATAGATTAAAAGCAAACGAAAGTGTGAATAGCGTTATTATGGGGAACGAAGTTTACTTTTCTTCGACAAATTAACTTCGAAATACAAATATTTAAGTGCAACATTCGAGTTCTTTCGAACATGGAATTTCGGCATGATTTTCTAATTACAAAACGCAACGCGTGACTTCCCCTGTTGAAATAGCAATCGCGTGCAATTCGATACGGCAATCGAACATCCTTTAAAACAGAAATGCATGAAGACAGGAACAGGGTTAAAATTCGATCAAAAACTCGACGCATTATTTGAACACATATTTTAACAAGATTAAAACACGACAATTTAAACAGCAATTCTTTGTACAAACGTGATAAACGTCTCATAAGTTTCCTGGTAAAAGTGTTCAGCATTTTTTGAGGACTTTCACTCTTCGCTTTTGAACACTACAACTTTTCGCGATAACACACTGAGCGCTTTTTGTCCGCGGGTCGAACGTAGGTCATAAAGACTTTTAATATCACAGTATGAATTGCATAAACAAAATCTCCATGAACATAATTTATTCAACTTGTAAAATATCTAAGCAGTCTATTTGCTTACCTGTTTTAGGTTAACACAGTGAGTAAGTTTGTCAAATAAGCACATTCTATTTTACTTTCGTATGCCTATTGTCACACAAAAGGGAACTCGGAACACGATAGGATAAACTTCCGAAGCTTGGTTATTTTCGGTTATTACTCTGTCTATACTTTGAGTAAGAATCTAATATTTGCATATTTTCGAAGGATATGGCTAAACCTAGCTTATATGCCCTTATATAATTTCAATCTATTCAATTTACGTCGAATACACAAGGTATAATTCGTTACAAATTAGCCTGGTATAAATACTTCGACCTTGGCGAAGCAAGAATAGAAATCAGCCGTAAATACGATTATTATATAACAAAGGACTTTCAAGGCAAGATTTCGATCAACAATTGTACAAAAATACATAAACGAACATGCAAGCGTCTCTCTCACCAAATCATCCACGCAATTGCCAATAAAAGGCGCGGGTATCTTCGTTGAAGTAAGACAAAAACATCCTCAAAGTGATAGACTCGTTTCTAAATCGCCATCGTCGCCGAGAGTATCGAGAAATCTATAAAATCTGAAGTCCTGGCGATATGGCAACCACTTAGCTTGTCTCTGCGTAATCCAGTACTTGTTAGGACCGATATTGGTCGAATACGATGCCTATTTGACTGTCAGTGGGCACTATACAAAAGCATTTGAATGTGACATTCAGTACTCACATGTGTCTCACGTAGCTTCTGTCTGATTCTCTGGCCATCCAGTTGGGAAGTCGGCAATATCGTGGGCCGACCATGATTTGCTTGAGTGGAACTGTCCTTCTGCACGCCGCTGAAAGGAAATAAAGAACGAGAAATGTACTCTATTTACATAAACAAAGCCGTAAAGCCCAAGGGATTTGATAATATTGAAATTTGGCCATTTTTGTAAGCAATTTGTTTGAGCATGCATTACAGCATGGTCGGCGGTTTGTTGTGGCGACAAATTAGACACGAGTGATTGATAAAAATCACAAATTGACTGTTACAAGTGCAATTAAAGCTTAATACACGTTTTCAATAGTTTTTGATACATGTCAAAACAGTTTGTCAAAATAACCTGTTTTTAGTATTGATTTCCTTTTAATACCTAAATATAAATGCCTGAATTAATTTTAAAATGTGAAGTATGCTTACCATACGATACTTCATCTTACACACGATTATTCAACGATGGTGTGCACTATAAGCGCAGGTAGGTAGCTCTACTGGTACGCTTTTTGCGACATCACATAACCATCTTAACCATCTGGAGGGTTCGTTTTCTTCGCTGATATGCTAGAGTATCCTCGCTTTAAAAAAAAACGAAGTAAAAGACAATTCTTTGTCCCAAAATTGGCAAAAAAAATAACAAACAAAGAACTCCAGTTTAAGCTCGTATGACGGTCAGGTGATGAAAGCATCAATTCCGGTCAGACTGAGTAAATAAAGTAATAAACCCTTCCTCAAAACACAAAGAAAATGTGAATATTCGCAAAGAAAAATATATTTATTAAAAATTTCTACATTGTCATATACGAACACAAACGTATTAAATGCGGTCTTCTTTTTACCCTGACTAACTAATCTCGTCCAGTACATGAGCAAACTTTCCTTGATGTGAAAAATTAGCATTCAGATATCTTTAGAAAAATACACTTAATGTGACAATTATTTCACTATTAATTCGCCATTCATTCATTCGGGCGAAATCTAATTTTCACAGGTAATTTATCAAAGAAAATTTGTCCATGTGAACGTGGCCAGGCTGGTCTAAATATTCTCTCCTGGACTGCTTGGCCACAATTCTTGGTTGAACAGAAATAGCAATTCCTTCATCATGCTTACATGATAATACGCTAGTTTTGTACAGCTGTGTAATGCAATCAGTGGTAGATAGACTACAAATTGTGTCGTCACAAGAACTCAACAAGTCACCCTTGGGGAAGGGGGCAAGTAACTCCAACTCCAGTGATACCAAAAAGTGATAGCAAAAGTGGACCTTTTTTAAGTACACTTCTTTAGTCATTTTGATTTCCTAGAGAGATTTGCCTTTATTAAAAGGTGCCTTTGAAACTTGTAATTCTGGTCTCCTTTAACTTTCAACTGCATTCTAAAGTTGTTGGCAAGTTGTCATTTTATCCAAAGCATTTTAGGAGGCCAATGAACATCAAATCCATAGCATTTTGAAGGAGCATATCATCACAAATTCTGTAATATTTCTAGCATTTTGATATTACCATTACATTGGAATTTCTTTACGTCCTAATGTGAACTCAATTTAGTGTTTTTCTAACCTAAGTTTCATTTGATGATGTCTGATTACTAAGAAAAGCAATGATTTCCATTGATGTTCAAAACAGAGGCGTGGGGAAAAATAGGTGGGGGTGTACCCCACCAATTTTATGAGGGGTTGCCGGTGAATTCTTTTGCTCCTCTGAAAAAAAAATTAAAGAAATGTTGCAAAAGATGATGATTGCTCCTATGTGCAATCACCCTTACCCCCTTCCTAGACCCCAGGTTTAAAAACGTCATTGTTATTTGGTACGAGCTTTCAAAATAAGTCGGTTCCGGATACAATTGCTATCTACCACGGTATTTCAAATAAGCAAGCCTATTTAATGAAGGCTGAGACGACAGCCCACATAACTTCATTTGCGTTCGGCTTTTGGCCTTCGACTTCAGGGTCAAGGTCTAGCAATTCCCTGACGTGTTTCATCGCCACATCGTAATCTTCATCTGAAAGAGCTGTGAAGGCATTTTCCAACACATCAGAGGAATGTGCCAGGTAAATAAGAGATAGTGTCTTTTTGTCAAATCGTTGAGGATCATTCACCCATCGGCTCAGGACAGAATCCTGAACCTTGCGAATAACACGTTGCTTAATGGTGGCATCTACGACAGGATGGGTGGTCATATCAAACAGGACATAATTTTGCTTTTCCGTTGTGAGTACACCTTTCTCGACCAGGTTCTTGGCAATCCTTTCACGAACATTTCGCATCTGAAAACCAAGCTTGAAGGGATTCCAAGTCTCACCTAAAATGAACCAATGATTTCAAACCTTGATTCCAAAGACTATGTTGAAATTAGGATAGAGAAACAACAAACTGTGATGTTATCTGTTATATTTTAATTTTAACTTGTTTAGTTATAATAGAGAAAGGGTCCAGTCAATTAGCCTTTCTCATGATGACAAATATGCCACCATTTTTGGGGTACTTTTTTCATTCTTCAAATGATCTGTGATTCTAAAAAAATGCTTTTCATGTTGTTATAACTGTTTAAAGTACCACAAAAATGTCATGGTGAAGAAAGGCTAATTGAATCACAGCACCTTTTAAGTTATGCCTGAGGTCAAATTCCCTGTTCAAGTTCATTAATTATTAAAAAACGTATGTGGCAATATTGTTGTCATTTAGTAGGTCAACTCAATGCATAAAAAACATTTAAAATTGTTGTTCTTTAGTCACAATTTCTTTATCCATTATAAATTTGAGGTGTATCATTCACTGTTGACCTCATTTTAAAAAATGAGAATATATTTTGTGACCATTGCGAACATATTTTTCATCGATTTTAATCGGTAAGAGTTCATATTATATTTCATTATAAAAGGACAGTTCAAATTATATTCCCATAAACGCGCCTTCCAGGGCAATCGCTTTAGATATTTTTCTGGTATTAGAGCGTATAAGCTCTACAAATAATTTATACAAATTAAAAGGGATACAAATTATATATAAACACTCACCACTAAGCAACTCGATCCAATTTTGTACATTATCTAAGGGTTGTGTTTCTTTTATGTGCTTCAAAGCTTCGTCCAAGAGCACGTCTCCTGTCGGCGTAGTGCTTTTGTGAATGACTTTACGACTGAGCAAACCTCTTCGTCTCATACCGGTCTTTTCCAACTCGATCCTGCCGCGAATGCCAAGCTCAATCAAAATACAGCCACGTAGACCAGCCGAGATGCAGTCGTTCCAAAACGATGTATAACCCTTTTAAAAAAAAGCACAAAACTCATGGAAACCTTAGCCCTTTGAAAAGTTGCTCTTTAAAGCGAAAGACAAGGTTTAAAGCCCTAACCTCGCGGTCTTTTAAACCGAGTAGTAAGATTTCTTCCATTAATGTTAGCCGTGTTTCCTTCGTCTCCGATTCATCCTCGTCGTTTTCAGGTATGTCTATCGCTGGATCTACGTCGTTTGGACTGCTTTCTGCCGGCTTACTTCGCTGAATTAGCTTTCCAGTCCGTCTCGTAGCCATTCTAGAAGAGCTTAGGCTTTCATTTAGACAAAAAGAACCCAAAATTCGAGAAATATTTACACAATTTTGCCGAAATGTATGAGACGTTTTATGGGTTGATTATATTTTCACAGTGCGCTGATCTTCTGCGCATCATGACTGAAGAGACCAGAGACACCCCCGTTTTCAGTACTAGTTTCCCCCCCCCCTAAAACATAAAAAAAAATGCAGGTAAGTTTTTAAAATCCGATTTCGTGCCAAAAATGGGCGCAAATTACCAAATATTTCATCAATTTAAAGTAAAATGCTTTCAGTCCATAAGTACCGTGCATCGTTTCAACTATTAACTGTGTTTCAAGGTCCATGCTCATATTCGCCGGAAAATGGCATATACGACCATGGTCATATTCGCCGGAATATGGCAAATACGACCATGGTCATATTCGTCGCAAAATGGCAAATACGACCATGGTCATATTCACCGGAATATGGCAAATACGACCATGGTCATATTCGTCGCAAAATGGCAAATACGACCATGGTCATATTCACCGGAAAATGGCAAATACGACCATGGTCATATTCGCCGGAATATGGCAAATACGACCATGGTCATATTCGCCGGAAAATGGCAAATACGACCATGGTCATATTCGCCGGAAAATCGCAAATACGACCATGGTCATATTCGCCGGAATATGGCAAATACGACCATGGTCATATTCGCCGGAAATGGCAAATACGACCATGGTCATTTTCGCCGGAAAATGGCAAATACGACCATGGTCATATTCGCCGGAAAATGGCAAATACGACCATGGTCATATTCGCCGGAAAATGGCAAATACGACCATGGTCGTATTCCGGAAAATGGCAAATACGACCATGGTCATATTCGCCGGAAAATGGCAAATACGACCATGGTCGTATTCGCCGGAAAATGGCAAATACGACCATGGTCATATTCGCCGGAAAATGGCAAATACGACCATGTTCATTTTCGCTGGAATATGGCAAATATACGACCATGGTCATATTCGCGGGAAAATGGCAAATACGACCATGGTCATATTCGCCGGAATATGGCAAATACGACCATGGTCATATTCGCCGGAAAATGGCAAATACGACCATGGTCATATTCGCCGGAATATGGCAAATACGACCATGGTCATATTCGCCGGAATATGGCAAATACGACCATGGTCATATTCGCCGGAATATGGCAAATACGACCATGGTCATATTCGCCGGAAAATGGCAAATACGACCATGGTCATATTCGCCGGAAATGGCAAATACGACCATGGTCATATTCGTTGGAAAATGGCAAATACGACCATGGTCATATTCGCCGGAAATGGCAAATACGACCATGGTCATATTCGCCGGAAAATGGCAAATATACGACCATGGTCATATTCGCCGGATATGGCAAATACGACCATGGTCATATTCGCCGGAATATGGCAAATACGACCATGGTCATATTCGCCGGAAAATGGCAAATACGACCTTGGTCATATTCGCCGGAATATGGCAAATACGACCTTGGTCATATTCGCCGGAAAATGGCAAATACGAATATGGTCATATTCGCCGGATACTTTTTTTCTTGTAGTGATGAATTTTCCTAGTTTTGATTCAGTTTAATTGGGAACCTAGTCCAACATAGGCCCGTGCATCTATCTTCTTAATTTTTACACAATATAATCCTATAATCTTTGTTTACCAGTTGAAAATCCAGTCCAGTTAAAAAATTGAATTCATTCATTTCAAAAATTCAAATCAGCTTATTTACAGTTCATTAATAATATATTACAGCAGATATATTCTTGATAAAAATTCAAATTGAAAAATAATGTTTATTTATATTCGGCCATTTCGATGTAAAGATTTTGGACGGAAATTCATATCTTGTGTACATGTGGTAAATCTCGAGATACTTTCGAACTTTGTGTCGAATAAAATAGATCTATATTTATTATGATTTTTCCAGCTATGATTGCTGAAGTTGGACAAAGGAGGAAGCATTGATAAGCTCAAGAACTTGACAAATCTCCGGCTATCTTCTGCGAGCTCTAACCCTCACCCTTCCCCTAGGTAAAGAGTTCAACAATTCCACCGCATCTGCGTTCGACATCCGGGACATATCGTGTCCGTTCACCATAACAATCTCGTCCCCACTCTTCAGAGATGGCGCGCGGTCGTGAGTCGGTCTCCGATACACCGTATCGACGAATATCGAGGAATCGCCATATATGGAGTCCTGGCCACCGCGGATACTGAACCCGACCCCAGAGGAATCGTGTTCCACGTCGATTTCCAACAACTCCGGCTCGTTGTCGTGAGGAGAGAAGAGTTCTTTGATGCCCTTTCTCGATGGATGCTTTTGGTATTTCGGTAGGTCGCTAAAAAAACAACAACAAGTGTTGCTAAAACATCTAGTGTTCTCAAAACGAGTACTCGAGATGCAAAATTCATGGAACCATGAAGATTTCCTCAGTGCAAGACTTATCTTTTTTACTCTACGTGCATGGTTTTGCCCAATCCAATAATTTTGGATGATTGTACGCAAAGTGTAGATTGTAATGATTTAGTTTTAAAAAGCCTTATGAACGTGAGTAATAATAACCAGTTGTCTGCCATTTGCCATTTTTTATTGTGTTTGAAAACGAGGTACTAACTCCTGGGCATTTGAAATCGGGCATAATTGTGATAACAGAGTTGATGTTCGCGGGCATATTGCAGAATTGCATATTTTGATTATATTTTGAGTACATATGGTTTGAGTTTATGCAGTGATTTGATGGGTAACAGTAACCAATTTTGTCTGTATTTTTTAAAAACTTTCTACTGACCTGCTGTCTCCTAAGTCAATCTCTCCAATATCGATGTCAACATGTTTCTTTGCTAAACCTCCGTGAAGACTACCGCTGATACTCCCCCACAGTCCCTTTTTCTGTTTCTCCTCCTTTACTGGCCAGGCTTCGTCCCCCTGTGGTTTTTCCTTGACGGGGGGTGGCTCCACTTTTGGAGGCAACAGAAAGGTCTGTTTGGGCGGTTTCTTTGCGACTGGCGGCGGAGTCCGACCGTTTCCCGAAGGCTTCTTCGGACGGGATAATGTGAGGGTCACGGTATTCGGGGTTTGTTTCAAAAAGGACAGGACCTGGGGGTTGGTCATGCCTTTCAATGACTGACCGTTCACTGCAAGCAACTTGTCTCCAACCTTCACGCGGCCATCGCGCGCGGTCACACTTCCTGGGGCGATTTGGCGAATCTGGGAAAAGCAATGGATATCATAGGCAGCCCAGACTTTGACTTGCGCGTGTGATACTCGCGCGCGTGTCGCGCTTACGTTGTTTACTTCGTCTATATATTATGACAAGGTAGGAAAGAGTTTATCAAAATATGACAGATATACCTTCGTAAATGTATAATTATCTAAAAAATTACTTGAAGAAACGCCACAAAAACTACAACCTACTAATCACTGATGATTAAACTACATTATCCTGAAGTTTTCATGTTTTAAACAACATCTAAAGACCTCAAATTAGCGAAATAAAACAGGAATTCATACGGAATTTTGAGAAAACTATCCGAGGGTCACTCCGCCTAAGGAAACGTCATCTTTTTTCAAATATTAGCTAAACGCTCATTGGCTTACCTGCAGGACCATCAATGAGAACCAATGGGCGTTTAGCTAATATTTGAAAAAAGATGACGTTTCCTTAGGCGGAGTGACCCTCGGATAGTTTTCTCAAAATTCCGTATGAATTCCTGTTTTATTTCGCTAATTTGAGGTCTTTAGATGTTGTTTAAAAACATGAAAACTTCAGGATAATGTAGTTTAATCATCAGTGATTAGTAGGTTGTAGTTTTTGTGGCGTTTCTTCAAGTAATTTTTTAGATAATTATACATTTACGAAGGTATATCTGTCATATTTTGATAAACTCTTTCCTACCTTGTCATAATATATAGACGAAGTAAACAACGTAAGCGCGACACGCGCGCGAGTATCACACGCGCAAGTCAAAGTCTGGGCTGCCTATGTGGATATAAGAATTTTATCAGAGAGGGCATCTCGAAAACCAGTCTGAATGAAACAGCATAGGGCCATACCGTAATAACATCATTCGAAGTATCCTTGCCACCAGCTACGCTTATCCCTATTCCAGCATAAGGATCCTTCGTTAACGTCACGTTACACCTGGTCTCCTCATCAATCCCCTTCTTTTCAACACGTGCCTCGTCGAAGGGTTCTTCCTCCCCTCCGATAAAAGACACCGGGATATCCGAGCCACCAGGATCCGGTCTTTTCTCCCGGCCGGGACTGCCAACCGGGGGTATTTTCCGTTGTTTATCACGCGGAGACGTTGGCGGAGTCTTGACAACCATGTTGGATGAATCGCGGGGAATTTTGCTGTTCTCGATTGCGGATCGAATGATGGTCTCATTAGAACGTGTTGGAGACGTTTTCTTTAGTTTGCTCTCGTCAATATAAAGGCTGTCTACATTCCTACAACAAGATATACCCCAAAAAAGAATAATGAGCTGAAATTCCTCATTATCTACCGTATGTATTGATGTATTTGGAACAGACCCCTAAACGTCATCTAACGTCTTCTAACTCGCTTTCTTTTAAGCGGTTGAAATGGTCAAAACGGTTGTATATTTCGTCAAGAATATAGCGGTGAAACTGCATTTTCCGTGCTGGTCAGATATATAGACTGATAAACAGAAAGAGTGGCGTCAGCAATCGTTTTCATACGTCAGGATAAGAATCGCATACGACAAATCGCATCGTATAAATCGGACTTAAAATACCAGGAATTCGTCTGTGCTGAAATACAACAGGACCAATCTGGCCGTTTTTACTGTATAAAGGAAAGTGCACTTAGGATCGTTTCAGCTTGGTCTAGCTTTGATCATGTGACACTCACCTGTCATTCCTTCTTGCCACGACTAGTTGTACGAGGGGTGGGGTGGTGCGCATGATCCTCATAGCCTCCCCATGGGTCGCCCCCAGCAGGTTCACGCCATTGATTTCAACGATCTGATCTCCCACACGTAACCGCTGACATAGATCTGCAGGCATTCCAGCTTGGATTTCCTTGATGTAAAGCATACCCAGGGGGGTGTCGATGCCTCCGGTGATGACCAAACCGAGTGAGCGCTGTTGCTTTAACAACTAGAACAGAAACAAGGAAGACTGGTTCACGGTTTGGTATTTGAGGTTCAGATTTGACTTCTACTACAACTACTGATCAATGCACTATTGCGCTCAATGATTGGCTAATTTGACATAGCTAACGTATTTGATTGGTTAATCTGATAGGGCTATCGTACTTGATTGGTTAATCTGACAGAGCTATCGTACTTGATTGGTTAAGCTTTTTGAACAACAAGCTTTAAACTTCGACTAACCTGAACTGTAAACAATCCTTCATCGGAACTTTCCTGTGGTAACATCATTGTCTTAGGGCGTGGCTTACTCTGACCACCCCTGTTTTCACTTGATGACGTTATCCCATCTTCAGGTAAAGATGAACGACGCTTTCTCACAGGGCCTGGGCACGGCTCAGCAAATTTGGTCTCAGGTTGAGGTCTAACAAAAACGTCATCATTATCCACAGGGTGAACATGCTTATCAGTGATCATCCCTGTTTTACCAGAAGTATCCCTGCTTGTTCCCGACACAGCTGACGTGAGTGCGCTCTCTTTTGTCTTTGACTTTATTAGTTGGTTTTTTAGTGGTTCAACACAGGCTTCACTTGAACTGCTGGACACTGTTGATCTTATGCGTGAGGAAGAAATGGAGGGTTTGGGTGATACCACTGGTGGCTTTGGGGGCACAGAGGGTTTCGGAGGTACACCTGGCTTCACAGGCTTAGGTACTGCTGTTGATTTGGAAGGATTTTGAGGTTTCTTCGGTACCTCAGGGGCAAGCCGCAATGCCATTGCTGGATCGCTTAAAGTCCGTGTAGGTCCGTGGATATCCTTGTGTACAGTTCGCGACGATATCTGCGACACGGACTGGGAATGAGGTATTCTTCGAGGAGAGTATTTTAGATTTTCAGGAGGGGGAGGAACGATTTTATACGAGTTGCCCTTTGGTACATTGGAGTTGCGCACAGGAGACGGGAATGGGTCACTGAATGTTCTAGTTATACTCTCGGTGATATCATTGTCACTTGATTTGTCATTAGGGTGGTTGTTTGCTTTTGGGGAGACAGGTGAAACATGTTGATATCTATGGATTTCTTGCGACCCTTTACGATCAATATGACGTTGATCCGTTCTATCCCCAGAGGTCTGTGAATGCACTGCTGTGGAACTTCTTTGAGCTGAAATAATGGCCTCTGTTGAGCTAGTCTCAGGCTTACTCGTGGTATACACTGCGTTTTTGGCTTCGAAAAGGAATGACCTTTCCTTCTCTCTTGGTGAGCAAACGCTTGCTTGTTGCAAAGAGCTATATTCGGCGACATTCCCCTCCGACCAACTGGTATTGAAATTCTGCGTGTCTTGTAGAGCCAATTTAGAGCTATCAGTAAGAGAAGTTCTTTTAGGTCTAGTTTGTGAACCTTCACCTCCATCTGGCGTCCGTGCGACAAGGTCAGGATTGGAGAAACATCTTGTACGCTCTTTGGGGGAAAGGTCAGATCTATTCTCCCCCTCCGCTTCGACCGGGGGCGGGACAGGGGGTGGGGGTATCTCATATATTGATTTTCGTTTTCTTCGAACTTTCTTTCTGGAGGAACTACCCTCCTGTTTCACTGAATCGCTTGAGCCCGCCTGGTCATCGGATGAAGCGCACGCGAATTCAGCAACGACGCTTTTATTAAGAATCTTTGGGCTCGGGCTAATAACAGTCTCCACACTCGGGCCAGCATCGGTGTTCGGACACGGGCTAGCATCTATCTCCGAACTTGGGCTAGTACCAGGCCGAACGCGTAAACCACCCGGAAAAGGTTCTGGATCACTCTTTCTCGCCTGCTTAGGATAATGAACAATCTCATCAGTATCTAATCTATCCAGTGATAGCGATTTCTTCCACTTAACTTCTCGTTTCATTGGTGAAGTTATCATCTGAGAAGTGGTTACGGGTCTCGTAGAGTCCCTTCCAAACACTCGACCCAATCTCTCCTTAACCGACGCCTTTTTCTTCATTTTTCTTTTGGTATCTTTGTCCATAAGATCGTTCCTAGTATCCAAGATTTCGGACCGAGGCCTTGCAGCAGGCCTACGGAGGATTTCTTCCACGTGTTCCGATCTCCGAACAACGTCCCACCCTCCGTAAAAATGTCCCGTGATTCCAAGTTAATGTCACGTGACTCGCATTCCGGCCCAGTGTCGTGGTATCCCCCGTGGAGAGCGGAAGGATGTCGGACGCCATGTACAAAATCCTCGTTTCCAACCCCTTCCCAGCTCATGGCGCGAGGAGGCAGTTTATTAGTTTTCTTCTGTCGGTTTGCACTAACGTCAATATCCGCCCCAGACTCGCGCCTGTCTTCATTCTTGCCCGCAGCGTCAGGGGATTCTGCAATCAATCGGACAGCGCCCTTCTTGACGTGTTTTATGATGTTATTCACCTGATTGAGTGAACAACCGGACACACAAATATCGTTGATCGCGATTACGTAATCGTTGACCCTAGAGCATGGTGCGAAAGAAAAGTCATCTATAAACATGTTCCCAGGCCAAACAAATGCGTCGGAAACCATTTGACATTTGAATGGTTTTTGGAGGGGAACTATTCCATCAAGAAATGATATTCTCTTCACCGTTTAATATAGTCGCAGTTAATAGAAATTCATACATGGTTTAGAGACTAAATAAAAATACAATACAACTCATTAACTATGTTATTGTCCAGGTTTATGCAAAAAATGGTTCCTTTCTCGTCACGTTTCTATTGTATTTTAGCCAAATTTACCAATGGCATTTGTGTTGCTGAGCTCATCAAACTTGACTTGAATAATATGTTAATAATAAGATTGCTATTGATTTATTGTTGCAAAATACGATAGAAATGAGATTAGAAAGAAACAATGTTTTGCATAAATCTAGCTCAACATAGTTAATGAGTTGTATTGTAGTTTTATGTGGTTTCCAAACCATGTATATTCTATTAACTGTGCTATAGTGCACTACATCTTTGCCTACATGCGACTGACTAATAGCGCAATAAAGCGCGTCAAATTCAAATTACCTTATTCGTCCGTCTTTCTTTAAAATCCCACTTGCCGACAGTTCCACGATTACAATTCGACCGTCAGCCGAAGAACTAACTTTCATTCCCAGTCCTTTGGATTTCTTCAGTTCAAACTCGATCATAAATGGAAAATCTTCGGAACGTTTCCCAATTACCATATGCGACAACAGCGACGCCTTAGAGCCAGAAACGTCCTCGACAGGCAACTCCGCTGACACAGTGTTTATCTCATCCGCGGGGTATGATCTCGGCGCCAGCGATTCGTCGACCACCACGTTCGATTCGATAACATCGACCGTGGTCACATCCATGGATTTTGAATCTGAAGAGGACGACGTCGTATCTGCGTCTTGGGACTCTAAAATCTCATCAAGCAGACATATCGCGGAATTTGATGGAGAGATGCGATTTGTTTTTTGTTTTTCTGACTGTGTAACCTGTGAGGCCTGTTCTGGTTGAGGAACTGGGGTTTGTGAATCTATTGCTTGTGCTTCTATGTGGGGATAGCGATGCGGTGGTGAGACGAGGGGAGGCGGTTTGCGTACGTTGGGTTCACGTGAAAGAGGGGGCGATTTCGTTTGTGTTGGGTTTGAGTGTAATGGACTAGCAAGGGGGGAGTTTGATTGCCGCGTTTGGTTAAGAGAATGGTCCAGAGGTTTGACAAAAGATGGGGGAGGAGGACAGATGTCTAAGGAAGGGAGGGTTGTGGATGGTTCAGAGGTAGGGGAAACGGATTTTAAAGGTGATGTGAAAGAGGCGGTGGGGGATATTGATTTTGGGGGAGGGGGAGGAACAAACGATGGAGGTGGCGGCATATCAAATGTCGACGTTGATGATACAAATTGGTGTTTAGGAGGGGCAAAGTTCAATGTGTTTGGGCGCACTGGGGTACGAGAAATAGATACTGGAGGAGGATCATCTTCGAAATGAGATTCGGAGTAGAATCGGTCTACTTCTGGCGGCGGTGATACGATTGATGGAAATGTCCCTGAGTGTTCAATCTGTGAAGGAGGCGGGGGGATAATCTGCAACGAAGGTTCATTGTGTTCCTCCTCGTGGTATTCCGAGGGTGAAAATGCGCTTTCGTGCGGAGAACTAGACGCCAATATATTCGGTTCTGAATTTGAAGGGGTAGCGAATTTATCCTGAGCCGCTATGGTAGGTGGGGGTACGATAAAAGCGTGAACAGTTTCTAGGGTGCCACTCTGCTCCTCTTTCATGTCTTTCTGTGAATAATCATTATTATTGATGGACATTGATGGGGGTAGGACCTTGGTCTGTTCAATAATTGTAGAGACTGATTCCTCGTCTTCAACCATCGGTGGGGGTTTAAGAATGTACTTGCTAAAGGAGGCCTGTCTTTGAAACTCCCCGAGTTCAGTATCTTCGGCGTATACAAAAGGAGGGGGCAGGAGGGACCCTTTGTTTGTTGACACTTCGTTCTCTGTGGTAGGTGGGAGAACCCCGGCTCCAGTACCTGGATCGAGTTTGTCCACTGCGGCGTTTGGAGGTGGGGAAACATATGTACGAACATGGGCTGCAATTTTCAAATCTTCATGAGTAGGCGAAGCGAAGACACTGTCCTCCAGATTCATTATCTGTGGGGAAAATTCTTGTTCTCTGAAAGAAGAAGTCCTTCCCTTGGGTTGTGGGGCAAATCCTTGATCACTAGCGAGCAAGATGTCCAGTTCATCTTTCTTGTATGTCTGTTGTTCATCATCCGACAAGGGAGGCGGGGACGATGAAGGCAAGGGGGGTGGGAGGTCAGCAGGTAGGGGTGATCCCATGGACTCTTTTTGAAAAGAACTTCCAGAAGCCTGCGTTTTAGCCTGGTTCGTGGACTTCTTTCTCAGTACAGCCAAAGTCAAGTTTGATCTTGGCTTCTTGAGTTCTTGCAGGACAGCTGTATGCGATTTTCCTCTCAAATCTTCGCCATTCACTGAGACGAGGCAATCGCCGACGAAAAGATCCCCAGTTTTGTCGCAAACGCTACCCGATAATAGTCGACGTATCTGTGAAAACGTTGAAATTTTAGAGGAGAAATTGAAAAAAGATCTGGCGAAAGATGAATTGTGCTTATTACTAGCAAAAAGAAGAATCTATTTAGTCAGCGAGGTTTCTAAAAATCATTTTATGGCGAATATTCCCCCTCAGAACATTGCCTAAAACAAAACCACTGAAATCCTTTTGAAGTATGCTTTCGAGCAAACGCTCGTTCTTTTTGTCTATCCTTTAACAAAACTAACATACATTGCGCATTTGTTGATAAAAAAAACACGCCTTATTTTAATTGCCAGACTCTCTGAATATCCTTAATAATTATTTATCACTTCGCGACCAGCATCTGCAAATTTACGTCGAAATTTAGCTTACAATCAATCGCTTCTTTGTAGTTTCGTTTCGAAATATCGAATAGAAAAATTTTATCGATTTTTTGAAGAAGCAATCTCATAGCATTGTTAATGAACGAGCTAAAATCTCTTGCACTGAAGTTACAAAAACATAGCATTTTCACCCAACTTATAGTTATATTCCTACATATAATATCCTGACTTGGCCTTTTGATGCAGGTCAGAACTTGATCAATATTTTCATTTACTGTTTAGCCAGGCCCTGAACAGCTTTCAGACATTCGATTCCGTGTCTACGATAGAGATTTAGACTATGTGCACACGCCAAAGCAATTAAATAGATAAAAACGATTTTGAAAACGCTCGAAAACGACGTTCGTGTAGACATAGCCTTACTTAGGATGAATACAGGTGTTTCTAAAGCCGCGCAAAAAACATCAGCACATGCAATGTAGCTTTACCTTAAAAAGGCCTTTCATGTGTTCCCCAAAGGGGATCAGGGAGATGCCCAGAGATTCGTTCAGTTCTTTATCGATGCGAACCAAATGCAGTTCAAAACCATCGGGAACGTTGCGGGGGCTGACGACATAATTTTTGCTCGAAATCGCCTTTCCTGGCTCCATGTAATCCGTGGATTCCTCCCCGTCGCCTTTTCCTCGGGAGAAAGTCGGTTCGCCGACGGTCACGAACTTGTGAGAACGACGCGAGCCGTCTGTAAAATCCTCGTCTGGATCCATCGATAACTTAACTGTCTCTTCGATCAATTTCGCTGAATAAAACGACCCAGGCTGGAACGAAACATCGAAACATGATTGCCGATTCATTTAGATTCTACACCTTCTAAACAGAAGTTGCTAGGCCGAGGAAAAAGACTTAGGCAAAACTATGTTTATAATACTATATGTCCCTTGAATTTGTCCCTTAAAGTAATACGACGCGTCAATCAACTTCGTTGCCAGTCATTGTTGCCATAATGACATTGTCAAATCTTTGTCAATCTAAGCGACTTTAACAACCTCTTCCATGTGACGGTAAATATTACTTAATGTAAAACAATTGATTTTTGATTCAAACTAATCTTGGTAAACCATACCTGACGTAAAAGACAAACATTAAAAGATCTCCATTCGAAGTTTTGAACTACGACGATTCATTGCAATATTTCCCGAGCGGCCGACAAAATTGTGCAAGAAAGTTATAGCTCTGTTTATAAATCACTCAATCTCAATATGTATATCCAATTTTCGTTTGCACAAAATTTCAACGTCGCTGTTTTTTAATTTTGGACTACCAGAGCGGCGTTTGATGTGAAACTTCGTAGGATCAAAATAAAAAGGCGTCGAAAAATCGGGAAGACATAAGAAAGATATGGTAAAAGTCATATACAAATGCTTTGTATCCATGACTCCATATTAACATATTGGCCATAAAGGGAACTATAATCACTATCGCCAAACAATTACTTAGCGAATGGTTATTGGCTTTTGAATTACGTGGAATAATATTATAAAGAATTTCGCAAGATTAGGAAATGTTCTTTGGCAAGATTTTTTTATACGAAAAGTTAGCATTCCATTCTTTGTTTCATTGTTTCATCGTGACAAAAGGTTGAGAAATTCCCCATGTGTTCACACGGGTATACATTCTTTCGTGTAAAGACAAGCTTAAAAGTTATATGCACACGAGTCATGTTAATCCTCGATTGTCATAATGTCATTTTTAATTTGCCAAAAATCCTAAAATTTTAATCCATGTTTTATTTTTCATTTTTCAATCCAGCGTATTTTTCGGGACTGCGTCTGCAATGCTAGGCTTATAGGCTATTCCGAGAAACACGATGTAACAAAACAATAGAAAGAAGTTTCTATGTATGAAGATGTTTTAAACTATTAATATTTAAAAACAATCTTTATAAAATGCCGATCAATTTCAGCATAAACGATGCACAATTTCAAAGCTCAAAGGTCTGCATTGACCGTACAGTGCCTAGCTATACCGAAAACAAGCGTATTTAAGATGTATATGAGTTTTGGTTAAGAAGTATATGAAGGTCGGAAAGTCGGTCACGATTAATATACTCACAAGGCTCAGGTTCTTTCTTTTCCTCACTGACGCAGGGGAGTCGGAAGCTTCCGAAGAACCGTCCAAACTCGACGAGTCTGTGAAAAAAATTACTATACCTTAGAAAACTATTCGGAGTTCACTTACTCGGGCGAGCAACGAACAAGTTTTTCTTGATCAATTTACTTATCACGATTCACGATTCTTATTTGTCGATTCGGACGTTTGACAAGTTTGCTTTACAGATTTTAATCTTTTACACGGATGGATTTACTGGGGGGTGCAGGGGATGCTTAGACAAGAGGGGGTGCAGGAGGGGTACTAATTATAAGGCATCAATTCAAATCAAATGTGGGGTGATTATGTATGGAAATTAGTACCCAATTACAAATATTATGCCGGTCTTACATTGATGAAGCTCTGGGGCCAGTTGTATAAAAGACTAGTCAACTTTTAACTGTAGTTAAGGACAGAATTGGCTAATCGGAGACGTGTATTTCCGAGTTAACTAGGATTTAACGATGCAAAATGTAGTTAAAGAGTTTTATACAATCGGCCTCTGGTGGTTAAGTAGCGCCTTACCATCTCATTTTTATAGTTTACCCCGAAAAACTTGCTCGAACGTTACCGTTCCCCACACGAGGACACGAATGTACTTCAGTTGTTTATAGAAATCTCAAGACCTTACCAACATAGTCACTCTCGTTATCCACGAGCAGCAACGATGGCTTCGCTCGTGGTCGCTTCAGCACCATGGTCACGCGACCATGTGGGATTTTTTCTAGGAATCCTACTGCATCCTCGAATGATTTATGAGAAATGTCCTCGCTGTTGACGCTCAGAATTTCATCTCCGACCCTGTAACATGAAAAACAAGGTTTGGAAAAGGGGACTTCAAATCAGTAGGCGTAACCGCAAAAAAAATTATTCTACGATACAGAAATATGCAATTGAATACACCAGACTTACTGCAATTTCTCGATGGCAGGGGAGCTGTCGCTAATATATTGGACATAGACCACGTAATCGTTTGTGTCCTTTGAACCGCCACAAGCAATAGAAAAACCAAGATCTACATGTTTTTCTAAATAAAGGTAAAATCAAAGATATTATTTAATGTTTTTCTACATAAAGGTAAAATCAAAGATATTATTTAATGTTTTTCTACATAAAGGTAAAATCAAAGATATTATTTAAAAGTGAATTCTGATACAACTTTACAAATAATCGGCGATGAACATTCCTATATTTGAGATCAAAACAGTGTTCTCTCAGGATTGAGATGAGATACCTGGCCCCAAAACCCGGGATGTAAATCTGTCGTGAAATTGAAGCAAAGCGGTGGTGAAGGTTTTATACTAACCTTTGGTGAATTTAATCTTTTTTATTTCGGTCAAGGGTGGGGAGTACACCGTGTTTACGTTATGAAGCGAAGACGTCCGACGCAGGGACGACTTGGAGGATGTCGATTCCACGGAGGTACTCGAGAAAGGTCGACGGACAACGAGGTTCACTATACCTTGTCCGAGACGCTAGAAAAAGCAACGAATCGCTTGAACCACATTTTGAAATAAAAAAGTCTTATGCGTTGTAGAAATCAACCGGCTGAAACAAGCTTTTCTTTTAACCTCTTTTGGCTAAAATATGATCGCCTTTGAACGAACGGCTGTTTTAACAGCATTTTAAAAACCATATTGCGTTTGACTCTCAAAGGTTTCGTTGCACTGTATAACGAACGAAAACAAGATCGAATTGATCGAATCTTAGTCGTTTGACTTACCTTAAACTTCCGCACAGCTTCGGCGTGGGAAAAATTGTTCAAACTCACGCTATTGACCGAGGCAATCTCGTCTCCTAGACATAAACAAAACACGTGTATGAATTCAGTTTTTCTGGTCGCAGTCGAATCAATACCACAAAGCCTTTGCTTGTTAGTCTTTTGAAACCACCCTACGCCCCCTTTCGAAGGACAGAGTAGGTGGCCTAGGCTAAATTTACTATAAAAAACCTGTCTGTGACCCACTGCTCGTTTTTCACCCACCTTCTCTGAGACGGCCATCGCTGGCGGCAGCTCCCCCGGGCAAAATACTTTTCACGTAAATTCCCATTTTCCCCTTCGGCGAGTCACGACCACCCACGATGGTGAACCCCAAACTCTTCGTTGGACCTTTCACCAAAATGACCGAGAATGTCCGCTGGACATGCGCCTGGCTTTCGCCCAAAATATTCTGAATTTCATCGCTATTCAGCAGAATACTGTCATCGCTGACGCTGCGTTTGGAGTAGCGTTTCTTTGCCGCTTCGAGAGAAGCTTGTTTATTCCTACGCTCGTTGTTTCCAGTGGAAGCCGACTTTGTGGGGGAGGCCTGGGAACGAGGTCTGGCCGAGGTTTGTCGTTCGGTTTCCTGGGAAGCGGGCGCTGCAGGCTGAGCGCTTTCATCAGTGATTTCGTACAAATGCTGCCTTCCTGGTGAAGTGACTTTTTTGTCCGTTGTACGACGACGAATGAACTTTTTCAGACCCACTTCTTCAGTGTTTTTCGTCGAAGGCTGCGGTACGGACATCTCGTCTTCGGATGAGTCGGAATCTTTGCCCTGTAGTTAGTGAATAAGGTCGATTAACATTAGCATATTTTGCGGAGATCCCCACGTTCTCCGAGTTATTATTCCAGTTGTATAGAGTTCACAATCTGGAATAGATAAGCGCGCGCGGGAATTTTAATGGAACCATTTCCGACTGACTATTGGTTTTCCTGCATTCTGATTGGTCAAGATTCGCATAAATGGAATTGAATTTTGATAAACTTCTGATGACTAGCACTTGTAAAGACCTGGAAGTTATTTCAAAAACAGTTTTTCCAAACCTGAGAACTATTATTAAGCACCAGTTGTATTAATCTCGGAGAAGATCGTAATAAATTTACAGCCTCTTCTTTTTCTATGCCAGCAAGACCATTGCCATTGATTGCTACCAGTTCATCTCCAACTTGTATGCGACCATCCCTGATGAAAAGCATGAAATTGGTGAAGATATGTATAATATTATAGTGCTCTTCTCCATTAATGCTATTTGAGGTCCTCTATTAAAGCTATTTGAGATATTTAGTGTATTTATGCTAAAATACACTAATATGAAGCTTTGAAGGATAGGAGGTCAATAGGAGAAGGGGGTGAGGATTGGGGTGGGTAAGTGGTGGCTAGAAAGAGGTGGATGGGACTAGGCGGGTGGTGGGTCCATGAAAAGAGGCGGGCGTGAGTGGGAAGGTGGCACATGGAAAGATGTGGATTGGCAGTGGGCAGATAATGGGAGGAGGTGAATGAGAGTGGACGTGTGATAAATAAAGGAGTTGACAGGAGGTGAATGGGGGGATTTGGGAGGGATGAATGGAGGAAGTTAATATGGGGTTGGTTAAGGAAATGGAAAGGGGAGGGTCCATATTACCCCTCCTTTAAAAAAAAAAATTTTGCTAACCTATGAGCAGCACCATTTTCAGACACTCCAGTCACAACAATTCTGCCCTTTCTTGCAACAATTTGTATTCCTAATCCTCTTGAATCTTTTAGAACATGGATCTTTCTCTGTAAATCCTATGAGGTGAAATTGGCAACCGACCAGATTAGATTAAAAGCCTTCCTAGTATCTCAAAGACCGTGGGAATCGTGAAATTAATCTGGATTAGTAGAGGTGGTGGCTGAGTAAGTTCTCTTAAGTAGAAACCATGACTTAAGTAAATTAAACAGGCCCAATGGAATAGGCATATTTACAGAGAGTCACAGCAGGAACAGAGCAGAATGCAAAAGACATTTACATTCTAATCAAACACTTCCATTGAAGGATATTATAGAAACATTCCTTACTTGTTCAACTGTGTTTTGTAAACCAATACTACATTCACTGTCGCTAGGGTCATTTGTCACTTCAACATCGCGTGCTTCTAGCACTGTCAGGGAAACGTGGCCAGACAAAACGGACTCTTCTAGAACTTGTCTATATAAAATTTTTGCGAGCAAAAAAATCATTAATACATACCTATTACAAATCACATATCCGGCTACGAGGTATTAAAACACGAAATAAACAAATCGAAAGCAAATGTTTACAAAAAGCGCAATGGACATGTTTCTCGAATATTAATTTGTCGCAATTTGATGTTCTAATTGGCGTATAGAATTTGCTTGTTCGGCGCAAAAAAAACCCCCAGCGAATTATAGCAACATCTGAAACGGTTTTCCCACAAAATTTGTGAGGGTTAAACAGTGTTATTGATTGGTTAAAACTTAGAACCAAAATAATGGTAATAACTTTTAAATAAATCATGCCAAACAATAGGACTTGTATTTCTGAGTAATTAAAATTTGCTACATTCTTTTCAGACATTTCTAGCATTCTATTAACGTGGAATGTCACAAAATTAGACGGTTTTTATTTGAATATCGTCGAATATTAAACCTTTTCTACAGTACTTACAATATACATCACGATATCACGGTTGAAATTCTCACGATTGTGACGGTTACGCTGGCTTGCATCCCAAAGTGTCAGCAGGACAATTAAATATTATTATATAAACAATGCGTAATATTGGAATAATATTAGACTGATAAAGTTATAAAATATAATAGTATTATACCTAGCCTCTTCTGTGGAAAGTCCAGCAAGGGGAATGCTATTAATCTTCACAATACAGTCGTCGATTTTGAGTCTTCCGTCGTGAGAAACAACCGAGTCTTTCTCGATATCCTTAACTCGGATGGCTGATTTTAAATTGTTATCCAACACTTGTGTAACATGCAGGCGATGCAGCTGTAACCCGAATACCCCGCTTTCTGATAGGCCGGTGAACTCTATTACCTTAAACATGATACTCCTATTAACTTCTTCATTTCCGTCCATTTGTAAACCCACACCGGAATAATCTTGCATTTTTACACCATCTTGCACGCGTTGACAATACTGCTGAACTTCATAGAAGAATCCCGATTCATTTTGAGTCGGTTCGTTTAACGAAAATCCTTCCTTTAAGCCTGTTAAAGAATCGACGGCCATTTTTATCTTGTGTCGTCTCGGGTGCAGGTATATTCAAGCCAAAATAAATCAACTGAATGCTTGAATTGCTTGCTGTCAGACATTCCAATATTAGGTTGTCTGGAAAAGATATATATCCCTGTTCTTCTTAAACTAATATATATTGCCCTGCAGGATATAATACGGATGGCTGCTGTTCATACATACTCCGCAGAACGCGTGGCCTTCATCTATCCTACCCGATCGCAGAAAATTTGAGTAGAAAGTTCAAAAAATCACAACATCACAATCTATAATATCGAATGGACGCCATGGTATCCAACCTCCGTAGCGAAGGAAGCCCCCGCGAGAGTCCCGCGAGCCTCGACGCAAATTATGCGGCAAAATTAAGCGACGCAAATACTCCGTTTCCCACGCAAAGGCGCGCTCCGGAAAACTTTCTTGACGCATTCAGCCAAGCCCAACGTTAAATTAAAATCACATTATAGTTTACAAACGGATATTTTCTGTGTTTTCGCAGTCCTAATAAAAAGTTCTCAGAATACTTTTCCTGTTAACTCTAACTCATATAGGTTCTGCAGAGTGAACCTCATTCCCTCATTGAATCAAAGGACTGGGTTGTAATGCTCTTTGAAAATACAACGAATTTTCATGATATACACACATAGTGCCCACTCGCTAGTTTCCACTCAGGAAAAATCTCCTTTGGATTGGGACGGATAGGAAAATTTCCTTTGTCTGTGAGTTCTCAGGTGGCATTATAAACAAAGGAAACTTTTTTGTCCTGTTCGATCTAAAGGACCAAAGGAGAATTTTCCGGGGTGGAAACTAACCTTAAGTGACAAACCTTTGAATGGTATTGTGCACGTTTTAATGTGAAAATCAAAAGACAAGCGATGAACAGGAATTCGAACAAGATTTTATTGAACATTGGGAAAAAATTTACATATCACGAGATTTCATTTTCTCCCTCTTTTCTTTCTTTTTCGATACTTTCTTAATTTCCATCTCATCTTCAGCTTTCTGAACAACTTGTCCTTTCTCGGCAAGGATCATCTCAACATGGCATGGTGAACTCATGTAGGCTAAGAAAAAAAGTGAATTTCATGAGCTTCTAGAGGACAAAACACGAAACTATGTCATAGCTTTAAACACCATGATCTGTCAATTTTTTGAATGAAGACCTACAATTCTCATCATTATTTCTTTCAGAAGTGCAATTTTAACAGATCTATAAATTATACTTACGATTAATTCGACCATGGGCCCTGTATGTTCTACGCCTCATCTTGGCAGCTTCATTAACCTGTATATGTTCAACTACCAATGCGTCCACATCTAAGCCCTATGATAAGAGTTATAAAACCTGGTAACATTGAGAAGGCAGGAGGGGAGGGAGGGGAATAATTATCCTAGGAACAAGGCTTATACTGACAGTGCTACAGACACATATGAGAGGACAATTAGAAAAGGGCAATTGCCTAAAAGCTTTAATTTAACATCTTCCCACATGTCACATTGTATGAGGCAAGACCAAAGTATTGTTCATTTGTTCTCCAGCCCAACTTAGCCCCTACATCTGTGATTAGCAAAGCACAACTAATTTGATAAAACCTACCTTTAACTCTGCATTGCTTTCCGCATTTTTCAAAAGTTGCAGTAAGATCTCAGCACTCTTTTTTGGCCAACGACCTTGTGAGCCTGGTACATTGAAATTCTTTGCCTGTGATATAATTTCAGATGTAAATTTAGACATAATTCTTATAAATCTGTAAATGAGGTTTTAAGGTACCAGTATGTGGTTCTAGTGGTTATTTCAGCAATGGAAAAATCTCCACTTCATACCTGAGCCTTTCGTCCAACACCACCTTTGAATCTTCTGAAAGGGACAATTTGTTTTTTAGCAATCACATCTTTGAGATATCGGTTCGCCTTTCGGATATGCATATGCTTGATGGCTTGAGCTGCCTCCCGGGTGTTTTTGAAGTGCACTCGGAGGTTTGAACCCCGTGCTTTGCACGACTTGGTAGGATTTTCCGGTTCTGTCGAATATCGACCCATCTGAAATGGTAATAAAAAAGGGATCACACCTATTCTTGTGGGGACATTTGATGAAATGGAGACCATTCTGGTTGCTTAGATTTATTATAGTTCTTTATAGTTCTGTAAAGAAACAGTGCACTCTAATTTGACTAAAGGAGTGGATGATACTAACTGCTATCTACGACATGTAAAAAATATAGTGCTGCATGGGATATCACGTAAATTATCACGGTGAAACCTTCAACCTATCTCATTCCCTTCACGTTTCTACCATTTGTATCTTTTCCTACATCGATTTAAGTTCAAGTTTTCAAGATGAAAAGCACATCTATTGACTTCAAATTTAGGCGGTATTCCTGATATATCTTGAAACAAAACACTAGTAAACTATAGGAATGTTTAGTTGAACACTATTGTTATCATGCAATGGTAAACACTTCACGTTAGGATAAAAGTTCGACCTTTATATCCTCACATAAATCGGTAAAATTCTGGCTCAAGCCAGTTGAGGAAACAAACTACGCGATGAGATAGAGATCGGAATGCGATGGAAAAATTTTAAGCGAGATTTTGAAGGATTGTTTACCATATTTTTGAAAAAATTCGTACCTTTTGGGAAAGGAGAAAGTAAGAGAAATGTCCCCAGTCCTCCACTCGATTTCGCCCGCGCAAAAAAGAAACGTGCCTGGGAGCTGGGCTCTAGCGTGGGAAAGTAACAAAAATTCTGAAAATCGAATATTTTTTTGCGATAAAATGTTTTGGGGTGAGTAACAGAGTGTTCTCTAAGGTTGCGTATTCGTTGCAATTTGGAGGCATTTTAGTGCAATTTATATGTATTGAATTAGTATTGGAAATTTCACAATATCAGTAATATTTATTATGATCAAACAAGCCTCACTGGCCCACACTTCCAAGTTTAATAGAATGTTATATTGGTGGGAGGGGGGAGGTACAAATTTAGTACTCATTTGTAAACTCAAGGATTATCACTTTTTACAATGGTGGTCTTTGGGAGAAAATAGGGGGTGGGCACCACTTGCCTTTCCCCATTCCCCCTCCTATCAACCATGACACTTTATATAAATTGCGCAAATTTAATGATCTGTTCACCCCCTGAATCATACCTAAATCTTCATTTGACCAGGCATATCTTTGGAAGTTGGCAAACGTTACAGTCAAACAGTTGAAAAATCTTTTCACATCTCAATGGCAGCACTGACTGCTACCAGTGATGCAAAGGGGGCAGTTACTGTCATGGTTGAAGTTGAGAAAGCATGCTACCCCATATGCACCTTGAAACCAGGCAAGATTCCACAGCAAGCACTTGACTATATTTTCACAGAAGGGGAAGAGGTCTTATTTTATACTGAAGGAGACCTTGATGTCCATTTAACAGGTATTCCTCCATTTTACAAAATAGCAGATAAACATACACCTTCTGCATTCATATCATTTGTCTTGGCAATGGCCAAAGCAAGGTTACTTCCCTGGAGGCAACATTAGACCAATTTTGAGGGTCAAGACCAGATCATTCACAAATACTATTTGATTTTAAGGTTATCTTATTGATGAGCCAAGTCCATTTGAATACAGTACTGAAGATGATGAAAGTGGTTCAGAGTCCAATGCAGTCAGTTCAGATGATGAAAATGAGGCTAATGATAGGAAGAGAAAGAAATCTGATAACGAGGAAGAGACATTAGATAGTTTAATCTCTGAACTAGATGGCCTTAACGAGGATAACGAGAACAAGGTGGACATTTGGTTGGAGAGATCAGCGAGAAAGAAACAAAGGAATGGTGATTTAGAAAATGACACTGCAGCGGCAGTTGGAGGCAGTAGTCTTTCTGGGTTGCTGCTTTATAACGAGGACAGTGAGGAATCCGAGGATAATGATTGGATACCAGGGGGTAACAATTGGATACCAGAGGGTAAACGGAAGCTCAAGAAGAAACAAAAATCTGAAGTGAAGGAAAAGAGAGCAAAGCAGACTTTAAAAAGTGATATCAACAAAAAAATTGACAGTGAATCAGATAAAAGTCCCAGTAAATTAAATACTTCAAAAACTAAACAGAAAAACCCTAAAAAGAAAAAATCAAGTAATTCTAAAGAACAGGAAGAAAAATAGTCTAAATAAAACTATATAAGAGATTGTATTTACCAATATACCTTAGAGAAGGTGCTTACTGCTTATACGTCACACAGTTTTCAATCTATGTAAAATGAGGTTAGTTTTCCCACATGTTTCCCACATTGCATTGCCATTTATTCTTTGACAGCCCCATAAAGTAAGCACCTCTAAAGTATATTAGGAATGTTGTAAATAACATGATATATGTATGTGTGAGGTTTTTTATTCTAGATCTACCGCTTGGAAAAAACCTGGACCAAACTTGAACCATTCATTGTACTGGTCTTCTCCATAATTTTCTGTTTTAAAAAAATTGCCTTGAAATATCTACGCCATTATCCCCCTTAATTGCCAATTATTCTGAGAACTGTCAAGTTCAATTCCCGGAATTTTTTATCAATAAGCCATTCATTGTGTATGTGTTCTCTATAACTTTCCGTCCGAAACTTTTCCCGAAAACGTGCGCAATTATTCAGGGAAACTTTAAATTCCGAGAACTGTAAAATTCGATCCATGTTATCCTACTCCTGAGGGATGCGATTTCGGTATCGGATTTAATTTGTGATTTATGACGTACTTTAAGTTCGTGCATTCAGACTGGCAGGAAATATGGCTGCCGCTGTGGAAAGTTCTTCTTCGAATCAAAGGTATTATTGCCACCAATGCGATCAAAATATATCTCCAACGATACCGGTGAGTAACTGTCGTTCCCTTCTGCATCTTTGGAAACGATTTCCACCTCATAAAATGTCCCCGATTGTCTCTTGTTTCTCTTTCATTTACCGCCTATTTGCCTGAAATCTTTGGTATGTAAATAGTCAAAATAGAAAGCTTGTTTGCTATTTTATTTTATTTGACCATAAAGATAGGTTTCTTGTGTTAAAATGGGTTAAATTTTGGATCCTTTCAGTGGGAAATTTTGAGCATATGTCCATTTGATTAGGTGGTTTATATTGTCGAAATTTGCCTGAAAGTCAATTTCGTAAGAATAGAGTTACGTTGTAAACAAAATACATATGTAGTTTGGGGCATTTTGTGATATATAGTACTTGATAGTTGATACTATACGAAATGTATTTGACCAATTATAAGAAACTGCATTGCCTGAAATAGCTTTGAATTTGTGGAGTTTTTTTTAGGAATTGGTTACGATTTTAAAACTCTTATTAATAAAGGGAATAGAAATTTTCCCTGAACATGTCTTGTTTTCCAGAAATTAATTATTTTTACTTATACTGCTTATCCATATGAAAAACATATTCCTTAATTAATGAAGTTGTAACTTCTATTGTAGCAATAACATGAATGTAACCTCTTTAACTACAGTTATATTCATAATTATGAACATTAAATTATTCTAAAGTCTTTGTGTAATGTTAATGTAATCTTTGCTCCTATAGGACTATACATGCCCAGAGTGCAATTTAGGATTTATTGAAGAGTTAAAAAATGATGAGTATGTACAAACCGATTAAATGAAATACTATACTGAATCCATTTTATTGAAGCCTTGATTAATTTTATTGATTAAAAGACTCATTCTTTTGTTTTGTTTTAGTGATATGGACGTAGATGAGTCAAATAGGAATGAACCTGAGGTACTAGAGATTGCAAAAAAAAACACTACCTGGTTTTAAACTGGTGTCCATAAATAAATTTCAGTGAATTTTCAGTGACCTTTTCCATGAATTTTTGTTGAAAAATTAAAATAAAATTTTACTGATTTTGAGTTGCTTTTTTTGATTTGCAGTGTAGATAATTGATCAAATTTTTATGTTAAATCATTCTTAGAACCCTTTTTCATTTATGATGAGAAGCATTGAGCCTGGAAGAAATGGTATGTTAATGCTTTGTAAATATGTTTGTCTTACACCAGTAATTACATGAATCTACAACTACAGCAAAGATGGCACACTTCACCCTCAACATGACATGTGCATTTCAGAGATCCGTCTCAGCAGACCGCCTAGAAGAAGGAGAGTTCACATGCGAACGAGACCTGGGGGATCACAGGAACAACAATTTGGACATTTTGCAGCTCTTGATCAGTAAGATTATCCTACAAATTCCTGTCTAAAAGGCATGTCAGCCCTTATGGAATAATTGAATTTTGTTTTGTAACCTTTTTAGGCTTCTTCAATTATTTAATCAAAGACCAAGGCCACCAGGTAATTAGTTGTAGGAAATATGATAATATTTATATTGCAATACAAGTGAAAAATAGGGGTGAACAAGAACATGTTGCCAAGGAGATATATATTTTTTACTAAAATTATACTAACAGCCTTTGTTAAGGCGTTCATAAACTTGATATGTTTAGATGTTTTTTGCATATTTTAAATGCTGGTGGTGGATAAAACAATATGAGTACCATGTTTTTTTCCTGTAGGCATGTCTGGTGGGGAATCATTTGGAGCACCTGGTGGTTTCCTGTAAGTGAAATTTCACTCTGGTTGGCAGAGGAAATTACAGAAACACATGAAAAACTGATTAAAATTGGTTTCCTAAGAACATAGGCTCATATTATGTCATTGCTTATGTCCCATGCTAATTGTACACTAATTTATATAATGAGCAAATTTATCACCTGTTTTATACTTGTCAAAAAAACATTAGTAAACCTCTTATATGACAAACTCAACTACGACTAGCAAATGTGCTATCCAGTGAATATTCAGATCAGTGGGCTTGGCTCTGATCTCCTTTTATTTCTGAACAGAAATTTACTCCATATCCATGGCAACCCAGCAGACTATGCGTGGGGTGGCAGAGGACTGGACTCAATTATTACTAGGGTAGGTTTGGACAAAATGTGGTGCAAAGGGCGTTTTAAATATAAAAAAATTCCAAAAGTTTGGCACCAAATTACAGTAGTGTTGCCAATATAGCATAATAAAATAAAGTTAGCAAACTTTGTATACTTTCATATTACGCGGAATTGATACTTTTTCGAGTATTAATTATTCGCGCCTAATACAACAGTATACAAAAATACAAAATATATTTTCCGCGATTTTCAATACTTTGCTACCAAAATTTGCTGGTTTATTGACTTTGGGATGCTCTTTGAGATTATGGAAAAATACGACAGTTTTTCTTAAAAATTTCACTATGTTTTAGTTACTCGACCAAATGGAAGGGTCTGGTCCACCCCCGGCGGACGCAACACAGATCGAGTCGCTACCCACAGTAAAAATTACTAAAGAAGATGTTGGTAAATATTGAAAGACAGAAAGAAAGCATGGAAGAAACGATTAGAAGGAAAGAATCACAACCTTCAAATTTTGTTTCTTTTTTAGATGTAAGTTTAGAATGTCCTGTATGTAAAGAAGTGTTTAGTTTGGACGAAGAAGTTAAAAAATTACCGTGTAAACATTATTTCCACGAGGATTGTATAACCCCGTGGCTGAAAAAGGTGAGCATTGGTACTCGTACTTACTCATATTATACTGATGAAAAAACTTTAACATTGGTACTCCGTATTATAATGAATAAATATTTTATAAAAAACATACAACAACAACATTTGGTAAACCCAAAACCATAGTTTTAGACAACAACAACAACAACAACAAAAATAGTGAGTTTCAAATAGTTGAAATAGGGTCGTAATATCACTATAAAACATGTTGTCTTACAAAAACCATGCTCAATGTTAAACGTATCCTAGTGCTTTGTGATAGACAGCATAATATTGTGCGCGAACCATGTATGCTAAAACACTTATCAGTTATTTCCTATTTTTTAGCATGACTCGTGTCCAATATGTCGACTTAGTTTAAATGGTAGAAATAACATGCAAAGCGAGGAACGTGTCGAGGAACTTTAATTTGCGCGCGAGTGGGCACATCACGTTCCACGCGAGACAATACGAAAAATATGTAAAGTATCGAGAAATATATAGACGATGTAAATATAGAATGGAAACTTTTGCGTTTAGTAAACGAGTGTCCTTGATGATTGTTAATACCAAGTTTAAAAGCCAGGCCCAGGGTCTTAAATAAAGCGCGGAAAAAAGGACTAGGGACTTGCCTGCGCAAAGCCGGTGAAGTTAAGGCCCTGGGTACGAGGTTCGCAGAACGCAGACTTTTTGGTTGGCAAGTGCGTTTGCTCGTCTTTCTTGATTCGGTGAGGTCAAACGAGAGCAAGTGCAAAAAAATCAGGTGATCGATTCGAAGGCAATCAGTTTTCACTCACAACTAGTTTTCAAAAGCCTAGTTTTCGTATATCGTAATTTAGCGATTAAAAAAAGGTTTAACGTTAAAAAAAGGTTCTTTACCGGTTGATCACCGTTGCAAATATACGACAAATATATTCTGCGTGTTTTTAGGGAGTTATTTAATTTAAAAAACATTGTGTTAGAGCAATCATATCAACTGAACTAATGTATTTGTACTTTGTAGTTTTAAATTTAGAGTGATTTGAAACAACTCTGATTCGGTGTTTTGTAATTTGTATTTACCATATTTGCGATGTATAGATTGGACCAAGGGATACAATTTCTCGGGCAAAAAGATTTTATTAACATCGTCACATGTTCGAAGTTTTGCCGCCAACAAACCAGAAATAAAACAACGAATAAAATTGTTAGATCGGACTCGTACCCAGCAGTTTGCTTCGTCGCGTGGTCTTGCTCATTCTCGTACCCAGAGCCCTTCTTACGCGCGGTCCTGCTCTTCTTACGCTCACTGCAGCCTAAACAGTTATATTCTCTCTAACAGTTATATTCGCGCGTAAGAAGGGCTCTGGGTACGAGAATGGGTCTTTTCAAAATTTTTCAATGGAATTTTCTTCCCGCGCGCTCCACACGAAACAGCGTAGTAACCTGAGGCCGCGCCTGGGTACGAGACAAATCATGACTAACCCAACGAGTTACGAGGTGTCCAAGTTAAAGAACTTCCTACTTAAAAACACCAATTCCACTTTAATCAATTTGAAAATTTCCTACCAACGTCTTATGGCGAACAAAACAACAGTTCTACTATTTACAAAACATATATTACGTTGGATACTATATAAAAGGGATTCGATAATCTAATCCCATCCGAGATTAACCCCTCTGGATTTACAAATCCCTACATCGTCGGATAACAAAATTATTCCAGTCGTACTGGTGGCGTTGTGTCCATCGAAACGACTTCAATATCGTCAGATTTTTTCTCTTCAATGATTCCATTTACCTTTGCGATTGGAGCATCTTTTGTATTTGAAAACGATGAAATTATCGGCGATTTGTTTTGTAAAATTATTTTTTGTAACACAGGAGAAGTCGATTTTTCTTTAGAGGCGAAAACTGTCGGAATCAAACCGTTTGTAGCTAACTCAATGTTTTCCATTCTATACAAAGCCAGGATCTTCGAGCCAACGTACCATCGAGGTTTGGGCGTCGGGGGTCTAATTTCCTTGTTGGCAATCGCGGTGATCTTCCTCTCGACTTGCCGTTTTGATACGGTGCAATGTTGCTCCCAGGTCTCCTCGGAGACTCGACTGTCAGCCTTGTTCGTTTCCAGTGTCCAGCGCTTGCGAAAGAGGCGCACGAGTTTTTGAAGTCCAGCCACGCTTCCGTGAAGCATTTTGATTAAAAACGGCATGGCTGCACAAAAGATTAAAGAGAATTGACCTCGCCATTTTTCATCCACATAGTACGCTTAGAAGAGATTTTTTTTGGGAGAGGTACCGCGTTTCATAGACGTAAATTCATGAAAATTATACAGTACCTCGCGAACTGGATAATATTGCAGTCTCCCGTCGATTAGTTTTCAAGCTCTTTTTGAAAAACTTGTCTTAGTTTAAACATAACGGTTGTAAGTTACAGTAGCTGAACGCATTCAACCAAAATCACAAAAAAATCGATTTAAATATCAAACAGCTGCCTGTTCGTCTTCAATTAAGTTTACTTCTCCCCAAAATCAATAGTTTAAGTAAGTGTTTCTCTGATTACCAAATACAAACAAAACAATTTCTTGTGTCACCGACATTGAAAACAATAAGAAACTTCCTACTTACCTTCTTCGGGTACTGGCATAGCGGTGTTACAATAGGTCGCTGTAGTCGTTGGACTTGAGTTTGCAGCATTCTCTTGATGTTCTTTTCTTGCGGTTGTGGGATCAATGCTATCCACAGCAAGCATACAACATGCTTCGAGTTGTTTCAAGATGGTCAGGCATCTCCTCTTCCCATACACATCCGATGGCAACAGGTTTCATTGGTTTAAACTGCCTTTTTAATTCAGCTTCCCATGTCTTTTGCTTCGCCAGATGTCGCTCCATTTTGTCCTCTGAATTAAGCTATAAAAACACAATTTTCTATACGATTAAACAACCATACAACCTGAAGTAATTTGGTAATTCATATATACGCCGTGTTAACAGGGACTCTTATTGGTTTGAAAAACACACCTTCACTAATTCTTCATTGTTTTAATGGATTTCCAGTAGTAATTTTATGTCCAGAATCCACGAATATAATATAATCCCAAAGTTAATCCTAAAATAATCCTAAACCTCACACTACTAACGTTGAAGGATTATATTAAGGATTTGATTAAGGATTAGATTAAGGATTAGATTAAGGATTATATTCGTGGATTCGTGACATGGATTTATTATTGCCGGATTTTTAAGGAAACTTTCTTCTTATTCTTGCCATGCTCTAAAACCTGTCAGCGGATTTTGAATCCGTTGAAGGTCGGCTACCTTCGTGACGGTCCGGCGTCTCATCGGACCCGTTCTTCATTATTACCTGAGAAATCTTTTCGCCAACCTGTTCCATGGCGTCATCTTTACCATCAGCATCTCCTTCGTCATCAGAAAGATAGCCATGGGGTACGAAGAACCCATCTTGGTCATCTTCATCTTCGTTAGGACCGGATTCGTCCTCATCTTCGCCCTGCGGGACAAACACAACAAAGCTGCTGCCAAAAATTGCACAAAACAAACGAGCCAATCAGTGATTTTATCATCCATGATCAAACTAAACGTCGAGTAACATCACCCGTTTGACGTAATTATGAGAAGGGTCTATATAATGGTAACTTCTAGTGCATATATTTGGTCAACATTTCATCGGTTAAAACAACGATAAGATCAGTTTTTGACTAGGATTTTGCTTATTTTAAAGAGATGAGAATATGAAAAAATTCTTGTATAAGACAACCTGGTATATTATACCTGGCCACTTTAAAACAATACGTTTTTACAATGTTATTATTGGCTGCCCTAGTTTGCTGTGTTTCCGCAAGTTTGTATTTCAAATTGTTAATAAAAAGGATGTTAAAACATCGTTCGGTTAACTAACCTCACTGTTTGATAAACTCTCCCCAGGCTCTTCTTCTTCCCACTCTTCATCACTGTCCACTTCATAATTCATCAGAACCTGTTTTATGACAGGTTTAAATAAGAATATTCTCTCGAGTCAGTCCAAGACAGTGGAAAAAAACTGCCAGTAGCTGGTCGAGACTGAATTCACATTTATACGAAATCGCTAAGAACCTACAAACCTCGTCTTTCTTGAAAGGTGTTCTTGGCCCGACACTGGAACTATTCTTTCGCCAGCTACCAAAATACGCTGGTCTATAGTTCTCATGAAACTGGAGTAATTTTGCTTTCACTTTACTTAACTCTTGTTCAGTTGATTCTTTCTGGGTTTTGCTGTCAGAGCATACGTCATCATCATCAATGATCATAATATCGTCGTCACCTTTATCTGTAGCGCGCTGTGCTTCAGTTTGTTCATCCTCCCGCTTGATTTCACGAGCAATTTCTCTCAAAGCAAGGAGCTCTTTTTTCACCTCACGTAAACTAGTGGTTACCTATGGACGGAAATAAGAAAGAATCGATCTGGGTCGCGAAAACGAAGACACTAAAAATGCCTTTCCTAGTCCTTAGAATCTCAAGTAGTCTTTAAATGATGCAACGCATTAATCATTTAAATTTATTTTCTTGTTACCTTTTAGGGACTTTTTATTCCACCTTGCCATAATAAATCATTACCTGTTCCACAATGGTTCTCGACAATTGCTGTCTATCGTTTTCAGACAAGGGCTTCCTGTAGGGCGTGCTTGCCAACTTCATAAAAGGCTTCAGCTCGAACGGCTGAAATTTCGACTGTTTCGGAACTTGCTCTTTTGGCTACAACATAAAAGAACGCAGTTAAGCAAAATTCTGGATCATTTAGTGGTTAAAAGAAATCGTTTAAAGTTAGCCTAGCGTTTGTGAAAGTCAGTGAAACATCTATCGAAAACTCCATTGTTAATTTGCATCAAATACACATAGCTACCTTCGCTGGAACTGTGGCTTCTTTCTTGATGAAAAACTTTGCAAAACTGTTCATCGCCTTCTTTTTCTTTAGCATCTACACAAGTGTCGAGTATGCGGTATTTGTTAAAATGATCAAAAACATCCAAAGAGTCCTTTAAATGATACAATAGACCTCATCCTGGCATATGAAAATGAGTGGCAATGTCTTTGACTGACAGTTATACGGGTAGATATCTACTCAATCACATACGTCAGGATATACTTATTACCTCCTCCTCTTCTTTTCTGCGTTTCTCTTCATTCTTTAGACTGTTTAATCAAAAGTGATCATTTTATCAAAGTTGGATGAGACAATTCGTGTACCGCGTCTACTAGAGGTTGACCCGCCTTCCTCCCAAAGACCCCCTTGACCAAAGCTTAATCCCCCCAACCAGAGGTTTACCCCCCCCACACACACAAACATCCTGCAGACAATTTCTCACTTTTTCTCATCTTCCTTTTTCTTCTTCTCAGCCTCTTTCTTTTCCAATTTTTCTTTCCTTTCCTTCTCATCCTGTTCTTTCTTCTCAATCCTTTCTCTTTCTCGTTGTTTCTTCATTTCTTGTTGTTCTGATCTCTCCTGTTCTTTCTTTTGCTTTGCCTCCATCTTTTCTTTCAGTCTCTCCTCCCTGAGACGTTCTTTTTCTTTCTTCTTTTCAAGACGTTCCTTTTCCAGCGCTTCCTACGAATGAGAAGAAATTCAGAGGTGAAACAGCGTCGAATTTGCGCCATGGAACATGACTCCCGAAAATATGTTTTTCCTGAAACTAGACTGAAAAATTGCAAAAGGTTAATTGCAAAATGTTGTAAAACGTGAAAATTAAGACTTTCGCAAAATTTCACTCAAAAGTTGTTATCACATTTCGGCTGAAAATGTTTCTAAACCAAGTCTAATGCTCTTCCTTTCCCATTTTGTCAAGAGATGATTTCAATTATTACTTTTTCTTTTTGCTTTCTTAATCTTTCTTCCTCCCTCTTTTGTTTCTCCTCAACACTCAGCTTGCGTCCAGGAGTTTTGCGTCTTGGAGTTGTCTAAAATAAAACATCGCAGTCAGTTGTGTCAGGACACATTTTAGGTGCACAATCATTTATGAATTTAATGGCAGAAACCGGGGGGGAGGTTGAAACATGCCTAGATTTTTTGCCCCACCCCCCTAATATGTCATAAAGTGTTTGCTACTGTGTGAATGTATTCGTATAGGAGAAATTTCGCATTTTTGCTAAACCTACCTTGTCATCACTTGATGCAGGAGGAGGACTTGGTGTTTTCTTAATTGCTGTCATTTCTAGGGTATCTGGTGAGGTGTTAACTGGTGAACATGGACTGCTAATTACAACATCTTCATTGTTACTTTTTAATACTGTTTCACCATCATTTTTTGATGGTGTCTTCTTCATGTTTTCTACAATTGTACTCTTCGAACCAGGTGTAACAGGTTTGAAAAATTTCAATAATGTTGCACTGTCCTTTACTTTTGGTGGTATACATGATGGTACCTCCTTTTCATCACCATTAGTTTCCGCATTCATACTACTGTTGGATGCACCATTACCGTTCAACATAGTACCATTGGAATTGTTCACAGAAATACTTTTTACATCGGATTTTGTTTCCAACATAACTGGTAACTGTGGAAGCACCTCACTTTTATGTTCAAATTGAGACTCTAAACCTTCTGTTTCCATTGAAGTCACATCAGAATTCCTCATGCATTGTTCTGTATGACTAACACTTTCTATGGGCTGGTTTTCACTAGTGGTTGTTTCATTTAAGGTCGGTGCCTCAGCATGCGAGGCTTCGTTTGTTGAGGGCCCTGTGGTAGACTCATTGCTGTCTTCTATGACAATACACTCAACTGGTAATGCAACTATAAAAAAATGTGTTCTGGTAATTAACAGATAAAGAGCTGAACCATTGTTGCTAATATCATTAAGGACTAATGACTAGTAAAACTTGAGTTCAGAAGGGGACACTCCTCCCTAGCCTAGGTAAGAGCGGGTGCAATGCACCTACCTCTACAAAATTGTAGTACATCTACCCCTGCCTAAACTTGCTTTTATGCTTGATTATAGACGATCATTTTTTTTATTGAAAAATATCCAAGTGCTTCTACAAACGCTGTAATGAACTATGGCTGACTGATGGTGATAAAGTTTATAAAATGTACCATTGACATATTAACTTCCTTGTTTATTTATCTTCTACCAAAAAAATGTTTCTTTTACAAGGGAAATGAATGCATAAATCTGATACGGTATGTCGTTTCACCATGTGATACAAAACTGTCACCATGAAATTGATGGTGAAATCGGTGTTATATTAAATCGGTGTTATGATTTAATTAAATAAAAATCCTACTTTCCAAACCTTGCTTTAGTCTTTTGCACGGCGGGCTGGCGCATGGATCTCTCTGCTCACTGACACAGCCATCTAGAAAAATGGATGAATTTTACATCTCGTTTGATATCATAAACCCGTCACATGTGAACAACTAGCTTTACCGTGTGTCGGTGTGGTGAAACATGCCAGGCAACTTACCTGAGATTGATGCCATCGTTGCGCCTAGCATTTCCGGGTAATAAAACCACGGAACAACGCAGTGATATTAAAGCTACCAGCAAGCGAAAAGACGAGTTGAAGGCGCTTTAAAATCCGTATAAACGCAGATCTATCTGTAAACATTTTGAGACCACCATCTTCGAGCGAAATTGGCGGGAAATTGTTTAAAACGCAAGAAGATGTTTCCATATTTCAACCTTTTTCCGCCAAAAATTTCCCCAAAAATTTCCTTCCAAACCAGCATATTTTTGTTCAGGGAAATTATTAAAATTAAAGTAAATTTCTCACATTGTAGGACCATAACATGTTTTTCTTATGATTCTTATTTAAAAACTTCTCATCCAGCTCCATTTATTTCCTAAATACCTCCGAATTACTGGATTTTTATAATTTTATGAATTTCGCATGATAAACTCTAAAATATTTCGAATTCAGCTTATCGGAAATTGTCGGAAGAAGTCGTCTAATTTTCTTTCGAAGCAGAACTTTCAAAATGGCGGAGTAAGAAGAGTGCGTTTTGGACACTGAGCTATATAATAATTCCTGGAGGACCGGCTCGCCACTAAAAAGCGTACCAGAAAAGATGGCGGATTTTGAGCTTTGCTGACGCCACATGGTCCCCTTTGCCCATGGTAATTACCACTGACATACCGCGATACAAAGTTAAAAACGTGTCCATCACCCTCCCGATTTTTATGAAAATATTTTCGGTTTTCGGTATTGTTTTCGGCATATATTTTCTCCGCATTTCATCTAAAAAGACTCTTTTTCCCTGTTCAACAAGTTAAATGGAGAAGTGATTTCTTGCTCTACATATGATGCTGTGAATGGCCTAATTCACCTATCGGGAGATTAATTTTTACCTCAGGTAAGCCAGTTTTCATAATATTTTCGTTTTTCGCCTTTGGTATAGACAACTACCAAAGCGTCTGTTGCAGTTATTTATTTTGAAATTAATGTTAAAAACGGCAAATATGCTGCAGAGTGCAGCCTTTTTGATCAATGGTACATGACTTAGTTACGCTATTAAAAACTATATTTTATGAAAAAGGATCAATAACTGATCTTTTGAGTTTTGGCTTTTGAATAGAACTCTTATGGGATTTGCACTGGAGCTTTCACTCATATTTAATGCCAATTCATGAGTATTTTCAGTCAAACAATTAAGATGAATCAATATTCAATCCTCCCAGTGAATCTACGTAGTCTCTCTATTGATCCTTTTTAGTCTATTGTAGATGAATTTAAAACATTAAACATGATGACTGTGTGAGTGCTGATACAAAATATTTTTCTGTCAGATTTCAACAGTGGTTGTTAAAAGTCTAGTATGTTATCTTGTTTGCCTTGTCAAATGCAAAGTCAATAATCATGGCTTAATAGACTTCTTGGCATCTTGCACCTTGTTGATCAAGCTACAAGCTTGATTCAAGTTACAAGATTGATTGTTAATTTGCAATGGTTTTTACTCCCCTCTGGCTCTGTCCTCTGGGTGTACTTTATAGAGTACAGTTAAACTTGGTCTGATCTCTCTTTTTTAGGATGAAGATGCTATTGAATTTGGGGATGACTTTTTTGCAAATTACTGGAACATTAAACTGTTAATTTTACCATGTTGACTTTGTTAGTTATAGTTAAGATAGTTATTTAAATGGAAAATAAATTTATACAGACATGCATTGACTGAGCAGTTTGTTTTCAATTTGCAGCAACTTTTATAATTTTCTGGACAGTTTTACCCTCCCCACCATTCAAAGGAATATTATCATGGGGCTAATCAGGAATTGAAGGTTAATAGATTATAGACTAATACAGGAATGAATAGGCTCAGTTGCATTATCATGAATTCATGAGACATTTGTTTAATAGCACAACTAGTACCATAATCTTCTTGGTACCATATATAATCAAATTTTTGTTATTTACCATAGCCTTTCTTTGCATTATCTGGAATATGATTCCACTCAAATTCTTGAGTCAAGCAGGGAACTATTTGAAAGTGCAATACTTGGGATACAGTAAGATATGGGTAACTTATAGCTATAATGACCTAAATGAAAATATCCTATGCGAATATATCTTGAAGTACTATTACTAATCAGCTGCCAAGCATCTTGCATGAGGTTTGGCCTTTGTTTCCTTGAGTTATGCATGGGCTGATATGCATAAGCATGATATTCTTTAAGGAAAACATCACATAACCACATATTTTCTGCCGGTAACCTTTAGTCGGCGATTGATATCCGAAAGATAATCCAAATTTCTGACCAGACTCGAAAAATATTTTCAAAAATTTTATACAGAAATGTATGAATAATGAAAATAAATACTAAAAAAATAAAATAACGGTTAAAACCTGTCACTGTCAGCTAATCGTACATAAAAATTTTTCGTCCACATTTTTTTTTTCGTTTTAATATTAATTTTCTTTGGCATTGGCAAAACAGCATCCACGATTGTATAGAACTGAAATAAACGCCTTATTGCAACGCTTTGTAACACAAAAATAAATCGAAAAATACAAAACAACAAGGTTTCCAACATGTTTCACGGCAAAAAAATATTCATAAAAAAACCAGGGGGGAAATACTGTTGTTTAGATAAACCAGGGGGGAGCATCTCTTGTAGCGGGCTCAGATTTGAGCCTGGTCAGTGGTAATTACCCTGGGCAAAGGGGACCATATGGCGTCAGCAAAACTTCTGCGCAGTGCGCAGAAGGCAAAGTCCGCCATGTTTTTTTCGACAAAAAGATGGCGGCGAAGTTACCGAAAAATGACGAGCCGGTCCTCCAGGAATTATTATATAGCTCAGTGGTTTTGGACAAAGGTTTATAGAACAACGAAAACAATGAATGCTCCAGCAACTTTTGAAACGTTTTTACTGCTTGATGGAGAGAAAAAGTAAGCGTTGAATAATTAAAATATACAATGCAAGATATTAAGCGTTATTACTGTTGAATAAATATGATTTCTGTTTATAACTTTATATAGAATTACGATAACAAAGGACACTAAGGTTCCAAACGCTGCTCATTTTACTGTAAATAAAGAAGATCACACACTTGGCAATCTTCTTCGCGCGTACGTCTTTAAATTACCCATTTATTACAATCTTTTTGTAATTAAAACGATTTCATTGTCAAATTAAATAAAAACAAGTGAGTTATTCAACACTCACAGCTTCTATGCCAAACTTTTTAGACCTTTTTCTCTTTGAGTAATTTGTACCTTATGTGCATAATTTCAGCCAACTTTTGAAAGATCCTCAAGTGCTATTCGCTGGATATAAATGCCCACATCCCCTCGAATCAAAGTTTGTCTTGCGTGTGCAGACAACTTCAGATTCAAGCCCACAGGAAGCGTTCACAAATGCCATCACAGATTTAATCAGTGAAGTGTCATTGTTGGAAGAAAGATTCAAGGTAATGCACCTTGCCGACTAACAAATGAACATCAAAGCTCATCACCCCCCTGAGAATATGATACAGATGTTTCAATTGATATAAGTGATCACCAGCTGATGTTTTTTATGTACTGTATTGTTTTATAGGCTGCAATTAAGGAAAAGAAGGAAGGCATAGACTAAACATTCATAAACAGCTAATTTTGTATTCTCTTTATATCTGAATAATTGTTTCATATCTCTTCTATCAAATAAAAGCACACAATGCTACAGAAATGAAAATATAAAGTGAACAAGTCCCAAAACAATCATGTATAAAAGTGAAATTTTAAACCTTTGTAAAAATCTTCATTGAAGGTGTAAAAACAGTTTTTATTCTTGTCATTGTAAACTGTATAAATGCATCAAATTCTTCTACTCATATTGTATATTTTAGTTCTGCCCATAAGCTAAGAGAGGGGGGTTCAGAATAAACATCTACACTACTTCATATGGTGAAGATGAACTTCACAATTTCTGGCCCCCTAATTCAGTCTGCAAGCAGGCTATTCTCAATGCTAATGCATATGAAATTTGGATAGCAACACCTAACTTCTGTATGTGTTAATCTGTAACCAACTTCCTACTTGTATATTTCCACTATTTCCTACCTTTCTTACCAGCCTTCTGTGCACAATGCTGTCATAAGGAAAACAAGTTTAAAATTGAAGTTAATAAGTTCACAACAACCAGGTATAAAATCGACCGCTATTGCCAAAGTTGTGAATGTAATCTCAGAGTTGTGATTACTTTCATTATTAAAAGCCAGAGTAGCAATAATAGCAAAATTTCAACATTAATTTTACATTTTTTAAAAATTTAATTCTTAACAACATAATGATGACATGCCATCAATCAGATTGGATACATTGATATCTGAAGATAAAAGATAATAAAAGAACAGCTATTTTATCTTTTCTACAATGATTACTTTACAGTTTCCTACAGGAGATTCTGGTGAAATTTCCTGAAAATTCAACATCGAGTTTACAGTCATTGGTATGGAATCTACATTTCGTCCAATTCTTGTAGTGTTTGGTCAAGCTCAGCTTTTGCTGCTTCATATTCCTTCTTCGCGTCCTCCAAATTATCTAAGAAAAGACGTAAATTGGAACATGATTCATATGCATACAGCAAATTAAAATGAACCAATCTGTGCTGGTTTTAAATGGAAAATATTTTAACTTCAAAAAAATAATAAAGGCCATTCTTGGATAGAGTTTCTGCAAAGTTTAAGGGAGATATGAAGCTAATTACTTTCAAGTTCATCTGTTTCTTCTCCTAATTCTTTTACTCTCTTTTCAGCAATTTCAGCTCTTTCTGTTGCCTAACGAAAAATTCAAACCAAAGTTGGGCATTTATACTCTATTATGCTGTACAACGGACTGATTGCAAAATATTATATAACTCCGAAACTAGCATCTTTCATACCATAGCATATTCTTGTTCTAACTGTCTAATTTTCTCCTCATATCCACCCTCTCTTTCGACAGCCTTAAAAGTAGATATATATCAAATTAGTGCATCTGGGTTTTTTATCAATTTATCAGCTTGTTACTTGTCAGAAATGCCTGCTTTCCATTGAGCCATTATTTTCTGGAACACATCAAAGTGGCTGATATCATTAGAATGTTTCTGCATGCGTGACTGCAGTCAATATTGACCAATTTTAACATAGGAAATAAGGCAAATCTACACCTGGATATTTCCACAACTACAACAAAATTAAAACTGGGCTTAACTATACAGATTGCAAAGTTATCATTTTTACCTGATCTTCGCTAATTTGTAAACTTCTTAAGTTATTTCCAACTAAGTTCACTTCTTCCTCTAAAGCCTTAGCACGACTAGAGAGAAAATTAGTTTTGTTGGACTAAACACATAATGAATATTTACGATAAATTAAGCAACTAGAACTATTGCAATGTACAACTAAATGAAACTTACACTTCAGCGTCTTGTGCCTGTTCCTCTTTCTCGTCAAGTTCTTGTTCTAACTGGTTAATTCTTTCAGCAATCTAGTAAAAATATGTTATCAATTAACAAACAGAAGTATGTTATTTTGGCATAAAATTGTTACAAGAAACATTTGGTGAAGGTGAACAAAATTTTCTAGCATCTGAGGCATGTTACTCATAAGTGCTTACCTCTTCATACTTCTTCTGTGACTCTTCAGCAAGATCTTGATCTCTCTTCAATTGTTCTTGGAGTTGTGCCAACTACAAATTGATACCAGAAATCATATTTTATGGAACTCAAAATATCAATAGTAAGCTCAAGATTGAATTAAAAAACACCAACAGGAATTAAATTGAGCCATTTCTGTGAGGAATAATTATTATTTATATACCTTCTGCTCAGGGAATTCAATGAAATGTTACCCCCAAGGGAAGACATATCCCGATATATGACTATATATCCCGATATATGACTATATATCCCGATATATGACTAAACTGTTTCTCTTTCCAGCTAGGAATTTCCTTTTCCCATCAATCCACAACAACATATCACTAGATTTAGCACCATGTATGCTATGAAATACATACCCTCTCGTCATCTGACTGACCACGAGTCTCCAAAACTTTCCTTGCACTAAATATACAATGAAAAAATGGGATTGATCAAATCCAAGCCATAACAACCATTACTATCCTGATAGAATAAAAGGGCTGTAATCAGATCAAGAGTAAGCAATTGACAACCAAAATACTAGATGTAAATTTCATAAACTAAACTTGGACTCATTTGTCAGGTATTAGGGTGAAAACATATAAAACACAGACAAATTCAGAAACCATTTCAATAAATAGAGTTCAACTGATGTATAAAAATAACAAACTTAAGGCAGAAAAAAGTAGGTAAATACATAGGTGGTGAATTCCTTAAAAAAAATTGCAATCTGATTTGATATGGAGTAGATGACAATCATATAGAAATATTTATCTTCATTTTATACCATCTGCTATTTGGTGATGTACACCAGAATCAACCAATCTTGCTATATATTGTTTTCTTTTAGTTTCCTGCATTACACAAGTCATTTTGTTTATAAAAATCTTTTTAAACAGTAAAGTATAAGATATTACTAGGTTTATGACTGTTGTATATAAAGGAGGCGGTGGAGTGTATAGATAATGATTCATGTAAATAAATCTACATTGTCAATCAACACATAATGCCATTTGTCATATTTCAGACACAGAAATGAAGATGCCTCTTAAAGTGCGTTAGCAAGGGTCTGTATTTACAAAGATCCTCAGAGAAAAACTGTCACTAATTGGAGTGTTTAGCAAATTTCTGCAAACAGGAGGGTATTGGGAGTTTCCCACTTGACAATTGTTACACTTCAAAAGCCCCACCCCCAAGTGGGTTTGTTTTATGCAACCACACAAAAAGGGCAAAAAGTGTTTCACAACAGAAAGTTGCAATGCATTTCGCCTGTTTGTTGCTACAGCATGCTGGAGGAACAAAAATGCAAGAGATCACGAAATACGACGATCGAGAGGCATCCCTAAATAGTCAGCATTGTTTACAGATGCACAAATTCTTAGGTAATTAGGTAACTGAATTGGTTAAGCGATATATTTTACGCACACTTTGAAAACGGGACAGCACCACAACGCGGGGATCGAAGATTTATTAATAACATAGACGGCAAAATCAACGTCGGATGCAATTCAAATTTTCTGCCTAAACTTTATGTCATGTAACAAACAGTAATTAGAACAATTTTTGAGCCGTTCGAAAATGTAAATAATTTGATACTTTTGACACCGCCATCTTATATTTTATCACAGGGGAGACTACTGTCAATCCTTAATACACATGATATTTAAATACCAAATGTGTCTGTTCACCATTATGCCCAAAACAAAGCTGTTTTCGGGGTTGCAGAGCACACCCACATCTTAACAGGGAACTTAGCAGAGTAAATATGTATTACAATGCTTTTAAACTTGACGATAAACTATCGTATCGATATTCAAACCATGTTGCACCCAACTCACTCTAGACTATTTATAAACAAATACTATTGGCATTTGTCGGGCAAATATCTAAACGAGCTTTGTACTTTTATACTATGCTAAATGATATGTTAAATTTAGATGTATGTTATAAAATTAGTCGCGTAGAATCAAACAGTGAAACGTTATGGAATGTTTGTGTGTCAAGTGGTCCTATTTTGACATCTCTTACCGTTCACTTTCGTCTGCCGTTGTTTCTGCTTGGTACAACTTCGAGTTCACCTCGGCCAGAGTCGATTCGGCTGAGTCTAATTCATCCTCTAGCTCTTCCAGTTTTTTGGTGAGCTCCTCGACTTCTCCTTCAGCCTAAATATTCGAGAGTAACTAAAATCAGACGTGGAATTTCCGACCATTAACCTTCCAAGTTCAGGCAAAAATTCATGCAAATTCTACGGCAAAAACACGCTAAAATTCGCTTTAAACACTCAATATACAATAAAAAGTGATCATTGAATGCGACCACACAACTATTCGGGGTAGTCAATACAGAAAAACACAAAAATTACATGACAGAAATTTCATGTTTTACCTTGTCTGCTCGTTCGTTTGCCTCTTGTAATTCGCTTTCTGCCTTCGACGCCTTCTCTTCTGCTTCTTCAAGCGTCTGCTTGAGGTTATTCATCTTTTTCTTTACGGCTTCCATGTTGAAAATTTGTTATTTAAGAACGTGACAAGAACTGGAGGATATCTGTGAAGCGACAGACCGTTTGCAAAGCTACTTCGCTAGGAGAACGACAGCCGAAGAGTGAAATATGCAAAGAGACTCGGCCCTTCGAAATAGACATCCGTTTACTTCCGGTGAACTCCCCCAAGGAATGGCTTCTTCGGACTCTCGGCCAATCAAAAACCACTCCAAATATGGTGAAGGAATTTCGCGTGAAATCGACAATCACGCATTTCATGCGAATCCGGAATTTTTTCCCAAAACAATTAAAATCGGGGAATGCGATATGCGTGGTTTTTTCGCGACAAAAACAAGTGTGCTTTGCAGCGTTCTCTTGTAGACGTCGGGACGATGCGTGTGTTTACGATCACGAATGCGCGTAAAAAAACTACCACTTCAGCCACTTCGATATTAACTAGAAATACATGCATGCAGCAACCCCTCGCTAATATTAATAACCACATACCTAATCACACGATTAACGTTTGAAAAACAAACCTGATGACAAAAATAAATCGATCTCAGATCGGCTACCAAATTAGTACAACATCATTTTGCGGAGTTAGACATATGAATGAATTATGAAAAGCATACATATCTAATAATATGGGGTATAAATACCCTACGTTAAAAACGCCCAGCAAAATTTCTAGCTGGAAAACTGCACCGTTTGATGCTCCACGATCCCATTGTAGTTTAGTGTGGTTTTTTTCTGGAAATTCTGCGACGTAAAAACGTGACAATATATATTGATTTTAAGTCCCTAAGCGCTTACAATATTTCATTCTGGGTTCTGACTTATTTGATATTGGCTAGAACCTGTAAACGTAAACTAGCAAATAAATAAATATTGTGAACATTGTTCTAGATAAAATATGAATAGTTTACCTAGAACATTTTAAAATATTTTGTATCACACCCCCCCCCCGAATAATTCAGACGACAACGCGCATGCTCGCTTGCCAATTTGTTATGTTTCGAACAGTTTCTATGTTACAATTATTAAGCGGAGGAGTTATAAATATTAATTTTTACAAATTTCGTACCTCGATCGGGACGTCCTGTTTAAAGTGAAACAGAGAAAGGCCGTTAACGGTTAACTAATAAGTTTAGAAACAATTTTTTTATCGTCTCAAGTGAAGAGAATGGATGAAGACTGTGAATGGTAGGATTTCGGGGAGCGAGTTTGAAGTACTATCGTAACTTGTGTTGATTTGAAATCACCGTAGTGCGGAAGGAATTTTGCAAAGAATGGCTCTTCTATGACGGCTGCGATGTATTGAAAGGTTATATTTCTCGAAAATTGTTTGTGAAGCGACTTCAAGTGCGTTTTTCCCGAAGTCAGAATCAAGATGATGGCAACACGGAAGCCTAAAGTTGCTCCATCGAAATCAAAACATTCTCAAAAGGAACAAAAATCGTCGTCATCTGAGGACATTGAACTTAGAGACCAAGGTAGAGTCCTTACAGTGGGATTATATTGAAAATTATACCAATTATTTTGAATATACACAATGCGCCTATAGGTTATTAGAGCTGGAATGTACAAATATGTGTACGTGTATGTGTCCTTTAATGTATATAGCACTGAGGGAAGTTAGGATATAATTATCAAGATGTTATAACGGTTCTCAAGAGTCCAATATTAGCCTTTTCCCGGATTCCTGTTAGGGAAACGATTCATTCATGAATGACTTGCCAATCCTATAGGTGCAAACCAAACTATTGTAGTGGTCAAGTTGTAGTAGATGATACCAAGACTATGCCTTCCACAATTTTTGGCAAGGACTACATGCTCTCACTTTTGTATTTTGCTAGTGCCAGCTGGTCCATTAATTTTTCAGTGCTACAAGATTTTGCCATCTAATAGGCTGACAAAACCATTTGTCATTTTTTCTTAATAATAAAATTTATCCGCTAGCTTGGACAGACGTGGAGAGTGGCTCTGGTAGTGAGCAACTAAAAGGAAGCCTTATATCTGTGAAGGAGGCTGAGGACGGCATCGACAATACTGAATTTGGAGGGACACCTGAACCCCAGACCACGTCTGAAGTAAATTCCACTCACGAGACTTTCTTCAGTGAAAGCACAAGAAATGGTTTTTCACATGATGGTGATGCAGAGTCGGAAACAACATCGGAAAGTCAGAAAAAGACAAAGATAAAAAGAAATACAGTAAGTCCTGTTGATGAGGAAGTCATTGAGAGTGGAAGAGATACACCTGAGAGCCTGCCATCTAAAGGTATGTTATATATTGTGCCAGAGAGCCTGTATCTAAAGGTATGTTAGAAAGGATCATAAACATTGGGTTTATAGTTAGTCCAGAAATTTAAATGTCAAGAATAGATCAGAGGTTGATTTGCAACATACTAACTATCAACAATAGGTCTACACCTGGGCTAGCTATTGTTTTTAAATACAAAACCTACATCTTATATAGAATCTGACAGTTAAAAGTACATGAAAGGCAGTTTTTCCAGTCACAGACTATGATTATAAATAAACAAATATAAAATATCAAACCAGTTGTGTATAAAATACACAGTAAGTTTAACTATACTTAAAGCCACATAAAGGCATAATTTTTCAACTATATTCACGCTAGATGACATAAATATCAGCACCAACCTAGGAGTATAAATCACCCGCAAGGTTTCTTTCATCAGTTTCATGTTGGCAACACTGTTTTTTAAAAGACGGCATTTTTTGGTTCTTTCGACAATTACCACGCCGAAAAGCGACGCATAACAAAGATAATCCACGCTATTTTCATCAACAGTGCACCATTTTATACAACTAGGGCTTCGCACGATAATTTTAGATATTTTTCGCTGAACGTTTTCATGTTTCTCTTCATTTCTTGTATTTCTTCAAATTTTTTCCCCGCCAAATTGGCGCCAATTTCAGTACATACGAGTCCGCAGTCATTTCAAAATCGAAGCATTCCAGCGGTCGGTAATAGATGTTTACTTTATATTATTAGCATTATTTATTTATTTATATATCTCACGTGAACTCCACGCCCAATTACAAGGGAGATTTGGCAGGAGAACGTGAAAGTCAAAGACGACGTAAAAATGGCGAATAACTGTCGTGATGCGCCGACATTATATTGACATGCCACGCAATTTATTCGCCATTTTCATGCCGTCTTTAACGTTCACGTCCTCGTGCTAAATCTGCCTACAGACGTCCGTTATCTCTTACCTCCCTATACACACACGTAAAAAGCCTTTCCACGAACAAACGTCTATATATGTCCGTTACCAGGTGCCTGGGAAGACACTCCTTTGTCGAGACCCTCATCTGCGCCCGCCCAAGAAGGGGAGCGTGACAGCGGTAAGAAGGGAAAGAAAAGGCGTGTAACTGTTGGACCGATAGAAGAGATCACGCAACGACCTTGGAGTCGTTCCGCAATCATGTATGTAGTAAAAGTCCGCCTACATTTCTCCTTTGCATGTCAATAGCCAAGATTTCTAACACCTGAATTCTAACCAAGATTAGGCAGGTGTTATAATACATCAGGTTTTGAAAGGTGATATATGTTACTCCTCATAGTTGCAATTGCACATTCTATGATTAATCTTCCATTGATTTTTGTTCAGAAACAAAGGATACATTGGAGATAACAAGCCCGGTTCTGATGTTGATATAAAAACTGATAGCACATCTGGTAGTCGTGTTTCGCTGTTGAAAAACCCGTTTTCTAAAACTGCCACCGTAGAACCGTTCAGTCCTGAACCAGAGGTAAAGGGATATGCCGAAATTACACCACTAAGATTAGATCAGATTATAGGCAACATTATAATAATCGCGTTGTAAGAAATCACATACTTAGAAGATGTCAAAAACTATCATTGAAATCTCTTTCAACTGTCGTTTTATCAGAACGATGGGGACATTGAACCAGGAGTACACTCTGCAGCGAATGGTGACAATCCAGGTGGGTTTTAATCATATAGGAGAAAACGTATGGGTTTCATACAGGTTTTGTGATAGGATTTGTGTGTCTTATAATAGACGAAAGAGCAGCGTCTTCTGCCTCGAGTGGAGTTCTCGCACTACCAGCTTCAGCAGGAGAACAGAATGCTTATATTCCTTTAACCTACGCGAAGGACTGCTTGCAAAAGGTACGCCCCTTCATTGTAATTGTTTACCTGATCTAGATAACTCATCCTTTGAGTGAATATAGTGTAAAATGGTCTGGAAGTAAAATATCACTTGAGCTCTGAGTTGATGAGAGTTGGCAAGCGAGAGTTCGCACCATTGCGAGTAGAACGTCCCAAACTAAATCGTACAAAGTTCATCAGCCATGCTCGAGCGAAAGTTGTATTCTTATCTTCTTCTTAAATGTGCGAAATCGAATCTAAGTCAACTGTATATGAACGTCTGCTGTATTCAAATCATTGAAACTAGGTCATGGACGACATGAAGAGAATGAAAGGTTTGCATCTGAAGATCGTTGGGCAAATTCAAGAACAATACAAGTTGATCGAAGAAGACAGTCGAGGACAGTTTAATCAATACGTCATCTCGATTCGTGATCAATATCAATCGAAAGTCGCAACATTCCGTCAGGTCATCGAAATACATCAGGCTGATTTGGAAAACAAAGAATCGTTCTGGAAAAACAGTTATGAGGTGGGTGCTCACGACAGTGCTCACGCCTCGCGGCGTCCTACTTAAGAATTTTACTTATGAGATGAGGTTCCTGAAAGCGTCCAAACTTTTCTCATCTTAAACTTCAATTTCTTGGCTTGGCTTTCTATTTTTTCTTTAAATTAGCAGTTACTCGAGTTTATGTTTTTATCCAAAATAGCGACTAGAATACAGGAACTGTTGGTCTGTTTAGAGTTTGAAAGAGAAAAACAGAACACTTCTTCAAGAGAAAAGACAACTCTTGTTGAAAAACAAGGACGAATTCTCCAGGTTGGAGGCCGAAAAGGTAAGATATTTTTGCATGTAGTCTTCGACAGATATCCTGAAAGCAGAAAGCGTAGAATAAGCTATGTAGTTGGTTTTGGGCTGTATTTTTGAAATTAGGTAATAGGAAGTTATGTAAATAAAATAGTCGGTGAATTGGGACGGTTTTTTTTCGTCGCAGATTGTTATCATAAAAAATCTCACGAATTTGCTGGACGAAAAACATGCGAAATACATTCAAGGTAGGTTTGAAAAGAACATCCAAGGCTGAACTCCATCTTGTGTGGTTTTAGACGTATCTCGCGAACCTGTGTGTTTTATTACGTTTAGTGAAACGCCAGCTTGGTCAACTACAGAACAGCAACCGCGAAATGGAAACAGAACTGGTTCAATTGCGCGAGACCTGTGGCAACAGCGATGTCCAACACGCCGAGGAAATGGCGAAAACAAAGGCAGACATGGAAGATTTGAGCTCTCTCAAAGAGAAACAAGGAGCCGAGCTTGTGGAAGTGAAGTCCAGGTTGGAAACGATCGAAAAGGAAAACCAAGAGTTGAAGACGGTGGTTGAAAAGGAGAAAGAAGAAGTGGAAAGAAAAACCAGTGAAGAAAACGAATTGAAGGAAAAGAGCGGGAAGGAATATGAGGCGTTACAAGTGGAAATAAAGAGATTGAAGGAAGAAAATGAGAATTTGAAAGTTGAAGTCCAAAACACTCAAACGTAATAATTTAGAATCGCATAGAGTGATTTGGGATCTCCTCTATTCGAGAGGGAAGTAGGGGAAATAAAACAGGGTATACCACCTCACGAGGCAGTCAAATCTCTTGTCTATTTTTTCTTTCAGGCAAGCTGCAACAGTTGTTGTCGGTACGGTTGCTGCCAGTAAAGTTGGGAAAGACATTGAAAAATCCACGGAGCAGGCAAAAGTGATTGAACCAGGCAAGTCGATTGTGATAATTTAAACTGAGACATTATTATAAACAAGGGGTAATGCTTGCTTTCTGCAACTTTGAAACAAAACTTAGTTGTGGGGAAATCTACATAGAAAAACTCAGTCGTCTCACTACACACTTTTCATCCTGATTTTTTTCTGAGCTGTCACATATCACCACAGTTTGCATTCCATCTATTGCAACACAAGTGAAAGCCAAAATTGCTTTTGTACTGTTCAGTTCCTGTCATATCGTCTGAAGAAGAAGCTCGACTTAAGACAGAAATATCGTCACAGAAAGAGAAGATAAACAGTTTGGAAGAAGATCTCGCCAAAAGAAATGAGAAGTTCACGGCTCTTGACGATAATGTTAGGTCACTGACAGCCGATAAGGAAAGATACGAAAATCAACTGACTTCTCTTCGTCAGGTGCGAAACCGATCTTTTGTTAAATTTTGAAACATTTTGAAACTAGTGATAAACCTAGCTAGCTTTATATACCTTGGGGTCTGGGCTATCTATCTAGCCTCATCCGACTGAGTTCAGTCCAGTTTAGTGAAGTTCATTCAAATTGTAATCAGTTGTAAATAAAATTCCATATTTCAGGATCTCACTCAGTCTCGACAGCGTTCCGAAGCCCTGCACTTGCAGTTGGAAGGTCTTCTTTCAGCGGTTTCGCCGAATCAGGACGAGAAGCAGACGGAGGTTCAGCTGAAGAAAGCCGTCGAAGAAAAAACCGACTTAATGGTGGAAGTTGAGAAATTGAAAGGCGAAGTGGAAGAATGGAAGGAAAAGTACAAACAGGAAAATGATCAGAAGGAAATTTCCGAGGATGTCAGGTAAACACTGCGTGTTTATTGCGCTGACCTGTATGTATGGTATACTATAGTGTTCATCTAGTGGATAAACATTGGTGCATTAATGTGGACAAGGCGAGGCCTAGATTCACTTAAACCGATCGAGCAACTAGTTATACCTGCACATCAGGAGTTACCTTTCGATTGACCTACGACTGACGATATATCTTTTATTCAGTGAGGAATATGAGCAGTTGGTCATGAGGCTAGCCGAAGAGGAGGCGAAGGTTCACGAGAATGAGACGAAGATCGCAGTAATGACAATGCTAAAAGAAGGCAGCGTGCCTGAGAACTTACCCACACCAGGTAGAGTGTCTGATCTTTTTGAAAGCACCTACTTTTCTTGCAATTTGACAGACGAAATTTCTGTGAGGAACTGATAAGAACTGTTATTCTTGTAAAATATGCGAAAATCATCATCTTGTTTAGCGGGAGGTCTTAGTAAAGATTTGGAAGAACTGGAAGAGAAGTTGAGTAAGAATCAGGAAGAACGAGACAGTTTGAATCTTGAGCTGGAACGAGCCAGGAATGATCAAGATGAGCTGCAAGGAAAGTTGGGTGACGCCGAGGAAAGGATTCAAGAATTGGAAAATGAGCTTGAGGAAATCCGTCAGGAGTTGATCGACGCCAAAAATGCGTCCAGCGGAGAATCCATAGAGGTGCGGATCCGATTTATTTGATGAGAATTTTTCGCATGGCTCGTATTTTTTTAAAGCTTTTTCGCTGTGATTCTATAGGAGGTAACAAGCCACCTCGATGAACTTAAACAGCAACTTGCTCAGGCGCAACAAGAAAAAGAGATTGAAAAGACGCGAAGCAACGGACTCTTAGAAGAAATAGAAAAGTTAACAATCGTGAGTGGACACACAGGCTTTGGTTTTCATCATCTTAGCTTATTGTAAAGATTCTGTTGCCGGTGGTTTGTGGTGGAAGGAAAGTTGCGTCCGTCTGAGGCCCAGTTTATACGTTGCGTTTTGTTCGCATAGAATGCAATTCAAACCATAAATAATGAGATAATAAACCTCATTAGGCTTTATTATTAACTCATTATCTAATTTGAATTTCATTCGGTGCGACCAAAATTATATAGGCCTAAGGAAATGAATACATTTTTTGTTGAATCAGTTTATTGAATCGTAGATCATCCTTTCATGAAACAAGACCATCATGAAATATTCAAATGGAGTATTGTAGTATCGTATTTTGGTTCCATCAATGTTTGTACGAATTACTTGCAATAGGAAATGAGCAATGCCCGCGATGGCTCCAGCACTGAAGTCGATGAACTAAAAGCGAAGTTGGCCTCGACTCAAGAAACTCTACAAGGAGAATCAAAAGTTCACGAAGAGGTAAAAACTCATCTATCTTCCCTACTCACTTGCCTCCCTGTAAACGACCAAGGGAAAATGTCTAAGGCTTCTTATAATTTCTTAAGCAACTCGGTAAAGCCAAAGAAAGGATTGCTGAATTAGAAAAACAGTTGCGCGATAATCTGCCCGTCGATGTTGGAAAAGAACTCGAGACATGTCAAGCCAAAGTTGTGAGTGGGATAATGATATTTAGTGTGTTTTGAGTTGAGTTTGGAGTTTAATATACAGTTCAAGCTAAGGTAGAATAAAGAGAGTTATGATAGATATTTACTCGTTAACTTATGTTATATTATGTTATTCTTGATTCTTCTTGCCTAACAGAATGCTGTCGAAGTTGAAAAGGTTGAGATGACAAAGAACATGCTATTGCTCCAAGGAAGCAACAAAGAACTCACTTCTAAAGTCGATTCTTTAAATAAAACCATCGAAGCAAATAAAAAGACAAAGAAAGAACTTCAGGTTGGAAAACAGATAATTTTTCTGCCTATTTCTATCAGTAGCGTAAGAGTCCTTTTATGTGTGACATTATCCCCGGAATTATTTAACTCAAATGAAGATATTATGTCTGAATGTTGAACCGAAGTGATGCAGTTTCTTTAGGAGGTAATTTGCAGATAATTTGCCACATTAACAATTTGCAAACATTTATTTCTTCACTTGCAGGAGAACCACAAGAAATCTCGCGTCGAAATGGATGAAAAACTGAAGAATCTTTCAAACCAGGCCGAGATCAAACACAAGAAGCAAGCTGATGAGCACAACAAGAAAATTAAAAGCTTACAGCAGAAGGTGGGATGAACGAGAATGAACAAGACACTTTGCGTATTCGGAGTTGTGAAACGTGGCAAAAATTCGACAATACCCCGAATGTAATGACAAATAGATTTCTAACGATTTTCGGTTTCAGATTAAAGAGCTTGAGACGACATCGACCCAAAAGGTTGCCGCAGTTCCTGTTCAGAAAAAGGCAAGCTTTACTGTCCATCCATTTTGTCGGGGTTCTCTAACAGTTTATTTGATATTCATTTTGCCGTTAATTCAGGATTCCCGAGTGGAGGAAAAGCTTCAGAGAGAAAAGGAAAAATTACATGCTCAAGTAGAAGCATTGAAGAAAGCTGCTCAGGTGGGCGATCGAAGATTCCTTTCTTCAAAATTACAGACCTTCAAGTTTTGATCAATGTTTTTGAAACGGTCGTGAGCGGCAACGACAAGCCTTTCTATTTGTTTATCTCTCCATTAAAATTCAGCTCTTGATCACAAAGATTTAGTAAAATTTTAATTGTCATTCGTCTTTACAAATGATGTTTTGTTTCATGCAGGAAGACAGCCAAAAAATGAAGTCTTTGGAAAAGGATCTTAAGGAGGCGAAAGCGAAGCCGTCTGGGGGTGGAGGTGCCGAAGATGTAAGTGAAATTTGTTCCCCCAATGCTATCAATATTTTCTTTTCTTGCCAAGAGTTTATTGCCAAAACTTATTACTGTTCACGAAATACTCGCTTCGTTATCTCTTTTTAAATCTCTTCTGTTCTTCAGCGAATTGCTTTGAAGAAAACAGAAAAGCAATTGAAAGGTGAGTCTTGTTATACGTCTTTGTAAACATGTGTAAACATTAACCCGGGGCAAATTTTTTCAAGACTGTGTCTCAAGTTTCAAACTTGTACAGCAGTATGATAAAATGACAGCTTTTTTCTTGTCTTGTTAAGAAGACGTGATATTTGTCCATGACATACTATTTTCTCACGTCCGAAGGAAGCTAATGTCATCCAATGAAGCTAAATTTTATTGAATGTTTTGGCGAAGGTATATTACTTACAGCAGTTAATCCTAAGTATGCTTTTTATGTTCGACAGATTTGTGTGACAAAACAGCTGGATATGGAAAAGAAGAAAAACGAAAGAAACAAAGAAAATATGACCAAACTCGAGGAGGAACATAAAGAATTGAAAAAGGTTAAATTTTTCAGATAATATAAATTTTGAATATATCATTTTTCAAAGATTGCAACGAATGCATTCATTTTTCAGACTTACGATTCACTAAATGCTGAAAGCAAAGGGGACAAGGCCGAACTGTTGAAACTTGGAGTTGCAGCAAAGGTGAGGTTTTTAGAATGAAATTGTGAATTCCTTCTGGCTGTAGGAATATTTCTGGTTGTCAACCTTTTAAGCATGGTCAGGAATCCTTTGCAAGTTTGTGTGTGTTGATAAAACGTTCCATCGTTACAGGAAGGGCTCGAAGCGCAGGAGAAAGTCCAGGGATTAACAACTGAAGTTAAGAAATTACAGGAAGAAAATAAAACGTTGACTGAGAATTACAACAGTGAACGAATACTTCGTAAGAAATATTACAACATGGTCGAGGACATGAAAGGCAAAATCAGAGTTTACTGCCGTTCAAGACCGCTCAGCGGTTCAGAACTTGAAAGGGTGAGAATTCACTTGAATTAATTGAAAAATGTGACAATTCCATACGTTACTATACCAGAATATCTATTTTAGGGCAACCATTCTGTCATCAAATCGCCTGATGAATACAGCATATCAGTTGAAACTGCTAGAGGACCGAAAGAATTTCAATTTGATCAAATATTTACAGAAGAGAGCACACAGGAAAAAGTGTTTGAAGACACATTTGTGAGTAAACAACCTTAATTGTCTTTTGGTTTATAAAGAATATATAATATTGGGATTTATTAAGCGTTCGTATGCCTTTTGCTCGAGTCTTAAGACCAGTTTTAAATCGTTGTTCTTTTCATTCGTTGCAGAATCTTGTACAGTCAGCGGTTGACGGATATAATGTGTGTATCTTCGCTTATGGTCAAACGGGCTCAGGAAAAACATATCCTTTTTTATGTATAGTATTCATTTATCTACATGCACTAAAAGATACGTAGGTTATGTATATATATACTGTCTGAGTATGTATGCCCAAGTATCCACAAAGCAGTTTGGAAACTTTGGATCTCTCTCGAATAGCATCCACCTAAAAACAAATTTCAAATTTTGTATGCGTATAATTTTCCTTCTAGCTGTTCTGATTGATTTGCGCCTTCGTGCCTTGATAAAAAATTATTCCTTCATCAAGAAATTTTGAAACTGTTAAAACTTTATTCTTATACGTTTTCCTTAACTTTTTCTACTTTCACGATGATTGGCGATAAGGACCAAAAGTTTCCTGGTATTGCACCTCGAGCCATGGAGAGAATCTTCGCAGTTATAAACGAAAACAAGTAAGTGATCAGTAAAAAAAGTCCATCAGGTTTTCTAGTTTTTTAAATTCTATATATTCTTTTATTTTAGGGGAAATTCGCCTTTAAAGTCTCTGTGTACATGTTGGAGTTGTATAACGATCGTTTGATTGATTTGTTAGCAGAAAATAGTAATACAGACGTATCCTTGTTCTTCAACTATGTGATATATATTATCGTAATTTTGAGGATATATTTCCTCTGTTCGATAAAATTGCCTACACTCTGGGCTGTATGTTTAATTCATCGTTCATTATCGTGTATTCTAGACTGTTTATGTGTCCTTAATTAAAGTTTTAACAGGCAAAGTTGGACATCAAAAAGGACAAAAAGGTCAAAGTTTACAGGGTTTTTTATATAGCTTAGTTTGTTTATTTGTGCATGAAGCTTTTTGCACAGGGTTTCAAAATGACACAAATTGTGCGTCGTTATAGGGGTTGGTCTTCGTTCACGGAGCAAATGTCCTTGATGCAGCAGACGCACAGTCTTTATACGGTATTTTTGAAAAGGGATCTGAAAATCGCCATGTTGCTTCGACCAGTAAGTTCATTACATATCCATACCAATTACCAGATGGTTACGTATGTTGTAGTTTGATCTGGGAACTGGTGAAAAGACCGTTGGTATTTATAGTTAGCATAATGAACTTATCAAAACTTTCCTAGAAATGAATTCTGAGAGTTCGAGATCACATCTTGTCCTGAGTATCATAATTGAAAGTACAAACAAGACAACTGGTTCTGTGCTCAAAGGAAAGGTTTGTAAACAATTCTTGGGATATTCCTCGGCATTGGTGTCTTATATAGCCAGTTGATGTAAGCGGTATAAAAATATTTATTTCTGTGATTTTTTGTAGTTGAGCTTGGTAGATTTAGCCGGTTCTGAGAGAGCTTCGAAGACACAAGCGAGTGCAGAACAGCTAAAGGTTGGATATGATCTTTGCCCGATTGCATAAGAAGTCCATTCAGACGTTAAACAGTTGGACATGTCAACATTTGATAACACACATTCCCCATGAGTTGCAACTTGAATAGTATCCACAAAATATGCAGTTGTAGTTATTATCGTTCTATACCAAGTTTCAAAACTTTAGTTTAAGTTGCTTTTTAAACGACAACTCCACCAAAATTACGCCATAAATTTGTGCTGTTGAAAGCTGTATATTTCTTGCTACAGGAAGCCCAAAGTATCAACAAAAGTCTCAGTGCGCTGGGTGATGTCATATCTGCCTTGTCAAGCGAACAACAATTCATCCCATATCGAAACAACAAGTTAACGATGTTGATGCAAGATTCTTTAGGTAAGATGATTTGCTTTTGGAGACGGATTGTTTTGCGCGAAGACGTTTATTGTTGAAGTCATCATCGCCTCTTTGAAGAATAAAAAAGTTTTTTTATTTTTATCAGGTGGAAACGCCAAAACGCTTATGTTCGTCAATATCTCGCCAGCGGACTACAATACAGATGAAACTGTCACGTCTTTAACGTAAATATCTTCCCTTTTTTGGTTGAGCAAAGTAGCCAAGTCCCGGCTGTTTTACTTAAAACCAGACTGATAAGGAATAGCGTTTACTGGTACTGGTAGAAGTGCTGGTTGAACAATCCAGAATTGATAAAGTTATCCGATAAAAAGGAAGACATTTCAGCAGTTTTTTTCCTTTAGTGAATTTTAGAACTGATAGAAATATTTTGCTTCCCTCCTGTAAAAAAACACTTGATCGATTGAAGATGAATATTATTAGATTTCAAGGATTAGAGGTCAATTCCTTGACCAGTAGAAAGGACAGTTCAGTTCATGTCATTTTGTTTTCGACTCTAGCTACGCGTCAAGAGTCAAATTGATCACAAATGATGCTTCGAAGAATGCAGAAAATAAGGAAATCGTCCGGCTAAAGGGAGTAAGTGATCACTTTCTCACTTTTAACACAAAAGCATTCTGCATACGTTTTCTATCAACCCTGTATTCACGTGAAAATATTTTTTGTTACAGATCATTGCAAAATTGAAGCAAGGTGAAAGTGTGGACGATGAAGAACAATAAACGTCTTTTGTTATTTATATATTTATTGTCCAGTATACCGCAACAAAATTCACGTTTTCCTTGGAACGAATTCATACACCATTTACGCTCTTAAGCATCTACCACCTCACATCTTCATTTTTTCATCCAATATCATCCCCAATTATCCTTCGTTCATCTCATTTTCCTACTTATATTTTCCAACTTAACTTAACCCGTTTTATCAGTATCCACCACCTGATCACCTCATATCTTCTTCAGATCTTTTAGTTCCATATGAACTCTCTGTCAGCTGTTTCTGGACTGACATCTTCCTAGCACTATGATGCCATTGCATGATTCTTTCTTTCTTTTTCTTCCGAGTTTTTTGCGAGTTTCATAGGTACATAGTTTTATATCATGTAAACACTGGCCACGTCAGGAACTGCTGGACAGTCCTGTGCCACGAGTTGTAAATAATTGTAAAAATATCAGGCGATAATAAAATCTTTTTGTAAGTCTCATGAGCACAGTTGTTAGTTTGATTTGTGAATGTAGGCCTTATTGTATGCATATACAAGTTTTTATCGAATCCAGACATTGTCTTTGATATCGAATTCACATGATATTTCCATATTGTTATCAAATGTCGAGAGATATTGGATATTTTAGTCAGTTGCTGAGTGAAGCTGACAAACTGCAGCTGAACACACTTTAGTCAGTGCATAGTTAAAATATCGTCTCCTTATAGTGTTTACTATAACTTTAAACCCCGTTTGAGCTTAGCTGGTTGCAGCCTGGCAAAGTAAAGCTTCAGAACAACCAAAATAAGCTGGTGTAAAACATTGTAAAAAATTTCATTAGTCTTAATATTAATACAAATAATTTCAGTTGATAATTCAATGCCAATTGATAGCAATCTCTGTTTTGCACAACCAATATATTTTTTATTTTAATATTTTTAACGAGTTCCGGGTGTCAAGTACATTTTTGCATAACATTTCTGCAGGATGTGTTAAAGTACGACACGTATGTATTCAACCAATCTTTACATATAGATAGCTCTCGCAAAGTGGATGAAAAAGGTAAGCGACTACATGACTAGTAAAGTTAAACATACGATAAAATGTATGTATAAATGCAGAAAGGCTGAGTAAAACCTAATCGTATATTTATTTACTTCGATATTTAAATGACCACTTATGAAATGTTTACAGTAGAATATAGCCTGTTTCGTAAAGGCTGCCGCCGGCGAAGCCACACTTTCGTTTTATTTTAAAGACAGCAACAAATTTATCGTTTCTCATTTCCGGGAATGAAATTATACGCCGGTTATCTTCTAATTGAAATTTATGTTTCAATTTATGATATGGCTGTCGCCTGCTGACGAATTAGATCAAATTGCAACTGTAAGTCTGTTAGTCTGTAATTGCAAGTAACAATCTTTTGGTGCAGCACACCGCCTGCAACCTTACACACGCCTGCAAATGCCTGCTGCAACCCAGCGAGATTCCTCTGAGATGTTCCTACCATCTTCAATTAAAACTAATAAGTTATTAATGGGGCTTTGAATAAGTTGCTCTTGTATGATGGACATGTAGAGGCTGAAATTCTATGTTTTTTTTAATGCAGGCAGGAATACCCAACTGATATGAAGAATTTCTGTTTATTCCTTCCAATTCTGTTTGCACTGTCGTCAAATGCTGTCGACCAACTTTCTGGCCATCTTCAACCTCTTGGATCACAGATTGCCCCTGTCGGAGATGTCTTGACCATTGATGTGGTACCATCCCCTAAGGAGTTCTTTGAAAATTATATTAAACCTGGAAAACCAGTTCTCTTTAAGGGAGCTGCAAAAAAGTCTCCAGCGTATGAGCTTTGGACTGATCAATATTTAAGGTTTTTTTTTCAATTTTAGTTCTCTAAGCCATTTGGGTATGTGCATGGATCCTACCCACTTTAACACCATATGAATTGGATTGTATTTTAGCTCCAAATTTGGCAAAGTGAAAGTTGATGTGGAAGAAGGGAAGAAAGAGAATCGATCAAGAGAACTTTTCAACATGCCTCTTGAGGAGTTTTTACAATCCTACCAAGAAAAAGATATATATCTTGTTGCAAGTGTACCTGAGATTATGAGAGGTAGTTTCTTAGATAATAAGTATTTGCATTGCTGTTTATGTAAAAGGTTGCTGCTATGGTGTACCAGCCTATTTTCCAGTATTCAGTCCATTCTATTTTTACCAGGGGATATTTATTTACTAAAATGTCTGTTATGTGGTGGCTATACTGATGATTTACAAGACAGTGTCATGTGGTTTAGCAATGGTGGGACAAAATCAGTCCTGCATTATGATGCTATTGACAACATTAACTGTCTCATGAGTGGAACTAAAGATCTCTTCATGGTTGATAAGGTAAGTCAGGGCAGGGTGACCACTGATTTGGAGATGTTCACTACAAAGTAGGTAGTTGACCTTAGAGTGGTAACAGGATCTGGTCTTACTAGAGAGGTGTTTGTATTAGAGAACTGGCCATATTAGAGGTGTTTGAGATATAGCTAGAGATATAGTGATATTCAAAAGGTGTTTGCATTAGGTCAAAATAGAGGTGTTTGTATTAGAGATCTGGCCAACGCCTCGCCACGTGTTAAAGAGGTGTTTGAATTATAGAGTACTGGTTATGTGGTCATATTCCAGGTATCTCAATGCGAACGATGTTCGTATTTTTTGCATCAGGGGCCAATGTGTGCTTCTGAATGCCTTTGTTTGTTGTTCAGGCAGAGCATGCGCATGTCAAGATTGACAAACCTGATGGATCGCATTCCAAAGTCGACGTGGATAAAGTTGATCTGGAGAAATATCCAGGATTAGCTGATGTTCCTTGGTACAAAGCCAGAATGGAACCTGGGGATTGTCTTTTCATACCTTACAGGTACGGGTGTGTCTAAATAGAACGAGAATGAACTCTAAACGCAACAATAGAAACAAGTCAACAACAACTGCCACTGCCTTTTCAAATTACACAACGGAATCCACAAGAAAAGATAAAGTGGTAATGAAGTGATTGTTTTATTTGCAGATGGTTCCATCAAGTGCGTTCGTATGGGCCAAGAAACCTGGCGATTAATATTTGGTTCGGTCACAAACTAACATTTAATTCAAGCGACTGTGAAAGCACACCTTATCGGGATAAGGAATTTGCACCGCTTTCCGAATTTCGTGTCTCAGAAAGCGTTGGACCTGGTTTAGGGTACGTAGAAAATTTCCTTCTCACAATGTTTCCATGTCGGATTACCAGTAGAGAACACCTCGAAAATAGTGCCCCAGCTCTATCACTTGAAAAATGCACTTTTGCTTTACTGAGTCAAAAAGGCAGTTTACATCAAACTTTTGCTTTACTGAGGCCACGAAGATTTAATCGTGGATGCTGGTTAACTATTTCAGACTGTTGGTGGTGGATGAAATGAGACAAACTCCTGTTGATGAGATGAAGTGGTTCGAAATTATCGAGGTCGGGACACCATAATAATATCAATTTATTCAGGAGCTTGTGGTGTACCAACATGTGCTGAACACATAAGCTTATCTGATATTTTGTCTTTTGATATTTTCATAGAGATTGTGGCTTAATGACGAATTAACAAAAGATCCTGAAGGAATCAATCTAGTGAGTCACTTTAATTGACCAGTTGCAATCGCTGACAGCCATTTAGAACAAGATATATAGTGGGTCCGTTAAGAATCACGTGGCCATGTTTTCGAGTTTCTTTTTTTCTTTTCCAGTTGAAGGAGATCTTCAGTAAAATCGACACGAATAAGGATTCTTTGATATCACAAGAGGAGGTGATGGCGGCTTCATTGCAGGAATACGAGCAACAATTGATGGAAATATTTCCTCCTGGTAATGAGGAAGATGATAATGATGATGATAATGATGATGACAATGATGATATTGTTAAAGAGGGTGAAGAAGAGGCTGAAAAACAAGATCATAAAGGCCAACGCGAAGATTTGTAAAAAGTGAACCGTAGAAAAAACAGAACATTATTCCACGGTTACGTAAAAGATGGCGGAGCTATTCTCGATAGTCGATATTCGAACAACCGGAAGTCCGTCTTTTTAACCATATTTTTTCGCTTCTAACCGGAAGTTGATTTGTAAAATTTCGATTTGTTCAAAGCCTCATATACCAAGATCGGTCGCTGACAAATAGTTCAGCATTATTTGCTTAATGTCTAATTTTGTTATCCAGTATGTAGATAATCTTATACATAAACATGTATCCACGTCAAATAAATAAAATGTTGCAAATTGATTGATGTTGCAGGGCAATACAGGACAGAATATCAAAAGTTTAGACAAGAATATATTTGCTAGCCAACTTGGTATGCAATCTTGTTCCACATGGTATGATATGGTCAGGCACATGATTTGATAAAAAAACTTATTTTCACTAATTTCACATGACCTGACATCACAGCAAAGTGCGAGTTATGCACACATGGACTTTGACACTCAGGTTGTATCAACCGGTTCAACCCATATTTACTAAACGCTGTGTAACCACTTTTAAATAGTAGTTATGACAGCAATAGGACGTTGCCATCTAATTTAATACTTTTGAGCTGATCTCGTGCGACAACACTTGGTTCAAAACAAGGCATAAAGTATTTCTATACGTTCTGTGATAAAAATTCTTCAAAACGAAAGGATTAAGTCATTGTTTTAAAATGGACTTTGAACAATTTCATCATGTTTTGTCGGTGTATTGTTTCTTCGTAAACATGCCCTGATGATTTTTCAATGACAAGCAAGGGCATAAATAGTCATCGGAGAATGTCGTAATCGCTTCGGATTAGTCAACGCAAAATAGGACGTTCCTATTGGCTGGTGCACTCGTCGTGACGTATCGTAAAGTTCCAAAGTCCATGGTAATTTTCTCACAAAAGCGAGCTTCTTTTACGAAGACGTCATTTTCAGTTGCATTTTTTATCGTTTTAACTATATTTTTCTGTGGTTTCGAAAGATTCAAATATGTCTGAAGTTAATCAAGAGCCAGTTCAAGTCGAGGAGAACAACGGAGTTGGTTTTTACGAGCGTTTAACGGCGTTGCCAGTCGTCAGCGAGGCTATTAGCCAGACAGGTGTGATATACAACGCTGTTAAAAGCCATAATGGCTTGACTCAATATGCCTGCAATACAGGAGAAAGTGTCGTGAAACGAGTGACTGAAACAGCTTATAATGTCGGCACTCCAATTGCCGGCATGGCGCTTAAAGTTGCTGAGCCATACGTTGGCAATCCAGGTTTGTATTTCATGTTTTTACAGACGAATGCTTGTTTACTTCATAGAGTTCATATATTTCATGTCTGTAGGTTCTCTGGAAGCTGGGAAATGTACAATATAGTGCCTGCGTTGTGAATATTTTGCACCAATTACGGTCATCGCTTCATTTTGAGCTCTTCATATATGCATATAATGATATAAACATATGTAGCAGCTTGTCAAAATATTTAATTTTTCCTGGAACCAGAGGTCCGCTGTTAAGAGTAGGTTCGTTTTACGCGCCAAGCCGAAGATATGGTCTTTTAAAAAACCACTACATACACCACCAGACCAGTCTATGCAGCTGCCTTGTTCCCATGAGTTTTTTCCTAAGAAGTAGCAATTTCCATTGTCTGTAGTCACTGGTGTGAAAAGTCTCAAGCGACTTTCTGTTTGGTCATATTTACTATATGTTGCTATTGACCCTTGAGTCTTTAGATTTTCAACATAACTTTGTAACCATTATCTTTCTTATTGATCATAATGTACTTGATTATGAACAAAGTAGTCATATAATCAAAGTACTGATAACCATTATAATTGTAGTAATCACCACAAACATTATTATTATAGTCACCAGGTTGGACAATGCTGCTGAGCAAACTTTGGCCAAATGTGAGGAAACTTTTCCATTCATCACAAAGACCCCATCAGAGGTAAGTTGGATATATGTTATCAGTTGCCATACCCAAAAGATTTTGAATCTTTATGGTTTTTAAACAACTATCTATTCAATTCTATCTAGATGGTCAACACAACTGTTGATGCACTCAAAAACAAGGCTGGTGAATACTATGATGCTGTAAACAACACTCGTGTTATCCAGTTCACACATGCAAGGGTGAATGAAGCTATTTCCCTGTCTGAGCTTGCTGTTGAGGTTGTTCTTCCATCCGACCCTGATAGCCCAGAAGATGTTGAGGAGGAAGAACAGGAGTCCCTTGAAATAAGGCAAAATGCTGCAAAACCCAAAGGTCATGCAGAGCGTGTCTTGGCTCTTGGAAAAAGGATTCAGCGTAGAGGAAGCAAAAAGTTGATGGGACTTAAGCCTGTTCAATTCACATATGACAGTGTGAGTTTAATATCATATTTCTGAACACCATTCAGTAGTTGAATACGTTACCACAAATATCCCAAACAAGAATCTGTTCTGTCAATACTCAATTGCTGACCAGATGAAGACTTTGACATAACATCATTTAAAGCCTCGAATTTTGTAGCAAAACTTTTTTGTTTTGTAGTTTAAACATTTTTCTGTTTTCTCTCCAGGTTATTTCTATTCAACAGAACATGACCACACTGATTCACCGATCTCAAGAAGCTAGCAAATCAATGCAAGAAGCTGTTCTTGTAATCCCAAGTTTGGCAATCAAGTTGACAGGAGAGGCAGTCGTGAACACCAAAGCATTTGTCATTGCCTTTAAAAATGTGAGTTAATGTGCCTTCACAAGGAGAGGGATATAAAAGCCTCATTCTAGCTTTTTGTTGCTTCATTAACTTCACTCTTGTTTAAACAATGCCAAAAAATGTAACTTCATTCATCATATCATTTGAAACTGATAGAAAATCTTCATAACAACTTTTTCTTTTCCCACCAGACTTATTCCTTGACTGACCTGCCAGGATCTGTTGCAATTGCGAGCGAACAAATCACCAAACCAGTGAAAGATGCAACAGGCCAAATTATCGGGAAACTCCTTTTGCCCCCAAAAATGGTTGCTGAATACATCCTATCGTCAAAACCAATCCAATGTCTCATCCCCAACGTTGTTGTCTTCGAAGAGATCTCGAGAATTGACATTGAGATGGATGAACTAATCGGAGATGACAGCGATGATGACACAGATCAAATGGAAGATGCTGCGGATCATGATGTTGATGAAACTGAGGAGAATTGAGTTTCACAATAACAATAATTAACAATATTTCCAGGATAATATAAATAATTAAATGGTGTTCTTTCCCTCTATTTAACAAATTATTTTATAGCTAGTAGTGATTGTGAGACAAAGACAAAGAAGTTTTTTATTTACAAGGTTCATGTTAGTTAACTGTTAATCGATGTTTTACCAATGACATAATTGAGATAGTAATAAAGAAAAGTAGTTTCGAATAACCGTAGTTCGTAGGGGAAAAAATACTGTGATGTTGCATTTTTAGTTTTCAATCTTTAGAGAGGTGATATATTTTAACCACTCAGATGATGGTATCTGTAGCACGTTAAATTTGAATAAAACTTATGACGCGTTCTCTTATTTTATTTTGACTTTGTTTTTCTAAAAATTTCTGAAGAATTTCTTCCGCACAGAATAAAAACACTCGCAAGCCAGTCTTAGGGGTCAGTTTCATTCTACAGGGAAGAGTTTAGACTTGTCTCTGGCAGTTGATAGATATCATCCATGATAGATATCATCGATGACAGATATCTTTCATCGATTATATCTTTAATCAATGATAGATTTTTTTGTTGTCAGTTCGCGAAAACCTTTTCTCGACACCTAAGTATGATAAATTGTTTGGTAGAAAAGGCCAAGTCAAGAACACGTTGGCGTTTGTTCTGCATCGTGAATTTCTCCACGTTCGCTTGTCTTGATATTATGCAAATCCCTTCGCTGAGCATCCTTTCCAGCTGGAGATGATAATATATTATGGCGATAAGCTGACAAAACCTGTCAGCATTTGCCAAACTTTGTAGCGCTTCAAAATTGGCAAAATTTGAAGCGCTTTGAGCCTGTTTGGCGCGAAAATGTTCAAGGTAAACAACTACACGTGGTTTGGCAAGTGAAACCGCTTCGGCGTCTTCGCAGTTTTCTAAATATTACAAATATTCGCGTTTTATTTTGCTAAAAGAAACCACTTCAGTCTGCGAAAATGATCAACATAACAAAAACGCAGCTGTGTCACTTAGCAATAGCAGTAATGAATATTTCATTTTTGAGTGGGATTGCTGAAACTGATTCCGAAATTCATGAATAAATAATACCTCGCAATAGACGGCAGGTGCAATTGACCTTTATTTTAAACATTTCGTCGCTTGGATCAAAAGCCAAACCACGAATGGGAAGATCGCTCAAATTTTGAGCCTTTTAGGTTGCAATTGTGTAAAGCAGCTATTTTATAAAACAAGAGAGAGCACGTAAAGTATGGGCAGAGTTTTTAACAGGATTACGTGTCTTTTCACGGTCCTTCTACTCGACATTTCATCGAGCTTCAAAGGCGAATTTTACGACAACAAATACAACGATCCGACTTGGATACTGTCAAGAAACTTTAGAAACGAGAATGATAATAATAAAGACGAACCCTCTGGTTCTGATGTTAAAAAAATCGACATGAAGATGCCTAATGTATCGCCACAAAAGGTACTAGCCGCAATGAAAGGTTATTGGTAGCGATATGATTATAGCGATATTTATATACTTTTTAAGGCCATAAATTTTACGGACTGAACATGCTGCTTTCACCAATCGTGCGGATTAAAGGCGAGATAAAAATGTGTGTAAAACGACGAAAGCATTTCGCTGTGTTGTCAGGAGATGGCCACGAGCAAGGAAGCCCTAGAATTAGAGCTTACATGATCAAAGCTAGTTCCATCAATAGCTGGCTCACAGCTTATTTGATTTGTTTTGACAAGTCATACATACAAAACAGTTATTTGTCGGATAAGATGATCTGGAGAGTTTTCATGTTCATGTCTATTCCTTGTCTATATCTACGGAAATATTAAGTTTAAACGAAAATTGTAACGAGTATTAGACTGAAAATGCCAGTACTTGTGTCATCATTTACGTATTTTATGTTTCTGTTACAACATATGAGTTGGCTTTTTTAAAAGAGTTTTTGACTTGCTCGCGTCTCCTTTCTTGGCCAATATTGTAATATTGTCGTACATATATATCTGTGTGTTTACTTCATTTTTTTAACTTTAGCATGATTCATATTTCTGTATTGCAAAGAAAATGCCTGAAAATGATGCATACATAGGTACAGTACTAATCTAAATGCTCAGTGATAGATTATAATAAGTTCAAAATTCAAGATGAATTTTTTATAATGTCACATTATAAAAAAATCATCTTGAATTTTGAACTTATTATAATGACATTTCACCTGTTAATATAATAGTTTGTAATTCATTATCCAGTTGGATATGAGCCTCATGCCAAAATGCAAACTGCTCATCATATGCTGATGTTTGGTTGTGATGATGTTGATGACTCAGGAACCAAAGGATATTGGTAGGGGATATCAACAAATAGGAACAAAATATATCATTGAATGAATTACATTAACACTCAGTAATTATTATTTATCCATGACAAATTTTTGAAGACTGAACATGCAGCTCAAATATTGTCACATCTCTAAGTGGTTTTTCAACATTTAACAGGGACTGTAATGAAATGGGAGGAACATGTAAAGGGAATGTGAACAAAATATTATATGCTTGGGCAATGGATGCACCTGCATTAGATCTCCCCAAAGGTGAGTTTCTATTCTTTAACTGTGCATGCATGAATATATATAGCGCAATAGTAGATGCTGATTCACTTATTGTCTGGGTATTTAACAAAATTTCATTTTAGATGTTGGCTTTCATGTTGGTGGAAGCAGTCGAATTAAATATATTGTTTTGCAAGTTCACTATGCAAATGTTGATAAATTCAAAAGTAAGTTTGTTTCAATGTAAACATGTGTTTCATTTCTCAACCTAATCAATACTGTAATAATTTAAATTTTAAACTTTGTTTTTAGATTTTCACGAAACAGATCATTCTGGTGTGATTCTGCATCTTGAAGCTAACAAGTAATTTAACCAAGTTTACCAATGCCCAAATCTTATAGCTATATACTGTGAAATTTAGGATTCTTGAAAACCTGGGGCTAGGCCTTATTCGTTGAAAACAAAAATAAGTTCAAATCACTTAACTGTGGTAAATAACAACGGTTTAGACTTCACCAAACCTAAATGGAAATTCGACCAGTTGAGTTTATAGTAGCCATTGGCATAGGTCAAAGCCTTATACCATATTTTATCGTGTTTTTAGACCAAAATACTTTGCTGGGATCTATCTAGTGGCTGCTGGTGGCCCTCCAATTCCAGCTAAGAATCCAGGTACGAAAAATCGCACGAACACCTAAATTTAATGGCTTATTCAATGGCATAAAAAATCGTTAAATATAATGAAACTGTTTAACTTTTCTGCATGTAAATTGTTGTTACGCGTACGAAGAGTTATTAACCTGTCGACACCGACTCTTTTCTTTCGTTGTCTTCGACTTCTTTTCATTTTTCAAGCTGTTATTTTCTGCTTTCTGGATATTTTACAGAAAAGTTGTCGCTTTGTTCGCTCTCATAGTTTCCTCGAGGCGAAGGCAAAACTGTGATAGGGCAACGTGATTGGTTGCCTGAAAAAATCCCCGCGAAAAAATAGGCTGAACTCAATTTCAACTGGAGTGATAACTCGGGGGGTTAAAGCCAGTACAATTTAGTTTTTCTTCGTTTGAGCAGAAATATTAAACAACTGAACGCCACTCTGTATATAAACTGAAAATTTTATAAAGAAGTCCTACATAATATTATCTGTACCCCGCGGTTGTTGAAAGATCGATTAGCAATAATCCAGGATTAATATTAACTGCCCAAGAACGGTGACCGTGCCCCAATACTGATTGCCACTTTCCTATCCATTTTCAATCCATTTTTAATATAACTAGAAAAAATCCTCTTTGCAGAATTTGATATGAATATGGCATGTCATTACTCCATGGGTCCAGAGATGCACCCGTTTGCCTTTAGAGTCCATACTCACAAGTTAGGTAAGGGCTTTCTTTCGGTTCTTCATGACTCATTTCCTTGATGGGCGCCGAGGTCTTCATCTTCCGGTGGACTATATTGAAGTTGAAATACTTACAAAAATACTATTTTATAGGCTATGTGGTGACTGGTTACAGAATTCGTAATGGTAAATGGCATCTTATCGGAAAGGGTGACCCAAGACGACCTCAGGTAAACTGGCATTATTCAGTATTTATGTGATTTTAATCAAAGGCAATTCCTCAAAGACTGAGTAGCATGTCAACACAACATGTAACTGTGATTTAAGAAATTCTTTAAAAGAACATACTTTCAGATACCGAATGAGGCGGCATTTTCCTGCGGACAACTGGTGTGTCTGAATAAAGTTCTCTGATGTGTTTTGTTCTGTTTTCTAGGCATTTTATAAAGTTAACAGTAAAGATTCGCTTCTTCCCGGAGATACTCTGGTAGGTGTAATTACTCAAAATTAAGCTGTGTCGAGCTTCATATAGTGTGATCCTGAGTTTGATGTTGCATACATTTCGTGGTGATTGATTCTTAGGTTTTTCACTAGAAATTTTTCACCCAAATGAGATGTAATCATAGTAACATGAAAACTGACTTGATATGGGTGTCCCCATATTAGTGTGGGATTTTTATCCCAAGCTATCAGGTGTTTTTTGACACTTTAATAAAGTTTATAATAATAATTATTATAAGGTGTAACGGTAAATTTTTGAACAAATTTTAGGCGGCTAGATGTACTTATGACTCCACGAAGCGTGATCGCACTACATATATTGGGTAAGTATGATTCCCGTAGATAGGTTTGCACTTTCTATCATTTCTATCATTCTATCATTTCTATGGCTGTGATTTTTCACGGACTTTGATAGGCTCAAAAGCAGCGTAAAAGAGCCAATTGAATTACGCGTGACATCACCTTTCCGCGTTTTACGAGAATAGCTAAACGAGAAATGTTACTTTTTCAACCTTTAACATAAAGGGCGACCGGTGCAGATGAGATGTGCAATTTCTATATGATGTACTGGTATGACCCAGCTGAAGGCCGATCCACTGATGCATGCACTTTACCAAATCCTGAGATATCCGATGGCGATTACCCCAAAGACACGAATGTACCATTACCAGAGGAGAAAAAGATGGAAATGAAACGGCGGGAAATGAATGGTGAGTGATGTACTATGTAGAGAGTTCTCTTTGACCATTATACGGTACCACTGAGTACCACTGTAGTAATTACCTCGTACTCTGACTGAAAACATTAGGGCATGCAGTAGATTAAAAATTTTTTCACGTAAGAATGTTTTCAAATAGCGAATTGTCCGTTGCAATGTGATGCACGACCTTGATGAGGCGTATTATGATGAAAACTACCAACTCTGAAAACGTTTCTCCCGATTTTTAATCCCAGATTATGGTGAAAACCTCTTCGATTCGGAAGATGAAGAATAGTGGCTTTAAAATACAAAATATCAAGATTTCAAGATTAATTTGACATTAACTATGACATAGTTAACATCCTATAAATGTAGTGTTATTAACTTATTGCTCTAAACAACTAATTTAATAGTAATTAATGACTGAAAACAAAAACTAGACTTAATGTCAGGTGCATGATTCGTGAATCACCTAGTTATCTGACCAGTGTAAATCACGCATATTTGTGACTATTGTGATTCATTAAAACTGACAAAATCGAATCTCCACAGTATTCAATTTTGTTCGAGTATTTCTATCAGTAGTATTGTGTCTTTTAGACTTTTTCTGATATTATTTTAGAAATTTGCATTCAGATATTTTACAGTCAAACACTTAATCTTGGCAACAAGACGCATCTATGAAATTAACTAACTGCTGAACTATAGACACAGCACACTGCAAATTTTGGTGCAAAATGTTGTAAATTAAGTTTTTGAAACCTTTTTCGACAACATTCCGCTAACAAACTTCAGACTTTTACTAAGCTTACTGCGAAGATAAAAAATTGATTTTATAAAGCAGATTTAGCATTAATGCATATGTTATCATATTTTACTATCCACGATTCAGTGTTCATTGCATGCAATGCGCTCAATTAAGCGTTTACTCAGTTCTGTGGATGCTGTTAAAAAGTATCGATATACTCGTGACACGTTTTTAGACGAATTTGTGGCGAAAAGCGCTCGTGGTTTGACTGAGCAAGAAAACTGGCCGGAAAGCAATCTGGAGTACGCTGGTTCAAAGGTTGGTCAAATTTCCGGAGTGGCTGTTCAGACTACAGGGGACGTCGTTATCTTTCATCGAGGTGACAGAATATGGGATGCTAGGTATGTGCGTTTAAACAATACATACATTTCTTTCAAAAGGTCCAATGATCTCGCATATTTTTCATCGAGAACAAACTTTCATTGTATAGAGGAATTGCTTATATTTTTGTAGAACGTTTGATTTTGACAACCATCTCAATCCAGAACTACGAAATTCGCCAATTAACGAAGATCCTGTGTGGTTTTTGAAGAAGGAAACTGGAGAAGTGGAAAAAACTTGGGGCAAGGGATTGTAAGTCAGCTTTTTCAACCGATAATGATTCATGGATGGATAAATTTGATATATAATGGCTGTATTAAGAACTCAGTGAAGCCTTCCAAGAATAGTTTTTCGCCAACCTCGAAACATTTATCGAAATTGATTTGTGATTGCCAAATATTGCTGATTTTTCGACTAAATCTTGTATTTCTGTTGCAGGTTTTATTTTCCTCATGGTATAACAATTGATCATGAAAATAACATGTGGTTCACAGACGTAGGAATGCACCAGGTATTTTTTGAAGCAGGGCTATAATCAGCGCTCTCACAATTTAAATATGCATACTTTTTACTGTGGAAATGGATGCTTTGAATAAGCCTAAACAAATGGAACATTTGAAAAGAATATATTAAATATTCCTCCCTCCCCTCGATACAACTTTTCTAAGGACAGTGACAACTGAACTCTGGTGTAACGTGGAACGTGTTTAGGAACAGTACATCTGTCATTCGCTGTTTTATTGGGATTAGTGGTTTTCTCAAACTATATGACTTTTTCAGTCATAAGTCCAAAGTATAACTTTATATTCTTGCAAGTTAAACAGAGTTGTTCGTATATCCAGTTGTTTTAATTCTATAAACTAGCATTTTATCTTATCATTCAGATATTCAAATATTCTCAAGACGGTAAAGAGCTGATGAAAATGGGCGAAAAATTCGTTCCTGGAAACGACAATAAACACTTTTGTAAACCAACTGACATTGCAGTGGAGAAAGATGGCAGCTTCTTTGTTTCAGATGGGTAATAAAACTAGTTTATGTTTCGTTCGATGTGGTAGTTCTTAATTCCATGCAGACTCATGAATGGTATGTGTTAGTGATCCACTTATCGATCTGGTTTTTTGTTCTCCATGTAGTTATTGCAACAGTCGCATAATGAAATTCTCTGCTGCAGGAAAACTAACGATCGTTATAGAGGATCATTTACTACTGGCAACGCGTAAGTGTATCACTCTGTGTATGATGTATTTGAACATTTCGACAGTTCAGATCAGTTTAGTGCTCAACTTGAGAGACAGTTCAATTCAAATCAGTTCAGTTCAGTTCAGTTCAAGTCTTAATGGAATCCGCAGCCCAAAAATTCAGAGAATCACTGATAAGGAGATCATCTAACCTCAACGACTGTATTCCGCACCCCAAAAATTCAGAGAATCACTTATAAGGAGACAAACTAAGCCCAATGAGCGTATTCCTTTCATGTTTTCAGCTGGATTCCCGCCTCCCCCGAATTTCCTCGTTCCACACAGCCTATCGCTGGGCCACGAGGGAAAATTACTGTTTGTCGCGGATCGAGAGCATGGTCGTGTGTTGACATTTGATAGCGGGAATGGAAAATTTCGTGATGAATATGAGGGATTTGGTGATAAAGTTTTCGCTATTTGTTATTCATCCTCGCAAGGTACTTATCTGGCATCTGTAAATTTCCAATTTTGAAGGCTTTCACAAAGTATTATCAAGCTTTGAAAAACTAATAGTCAATCCTTTGCCACAGTTAAGATGATAATCTTCTATCTAAGCGTATTTGTCTTCCATTTGAAAGCTGGATAGTAGCGTAATTTTCGTGCTGCTATGAGTAGTGCCACGATTCACGCATTCTGCTACCATCGTTTAATTTACTTCCGCCAAGTTGTTCTGCACGCAACCATTAAGAAACCTTATTCCATCTTATATCTCCATTCCAGGTGGGCTGCTTTACGTTATTAATGGGCAATCGTCTCAACAAAAGTTAATATATGGATCTACATTTCATCTGAAGACGAAGAAAGTTACACAACAATGGCAACCAAAGACAGTAAGTGCAAGGATGACAATGAAACTTTGTGGATAACATTAGAATGAGAATGTTCACGAAGTGTTCCCCTTAGATTAAAGATGGGGAAAAGGTTTAGAATTGATAGGCCGAACTTGTTACTCTATCATGCTGTTAAATCAAAGCTGCGAAGTCCTGTGTGGTTCCAAGCTCTCAACATGTCTAAATGCACCAGTTTTGAATTTGATTTACTCTCACACCAGATGGTCTTATTTTATTTCTTCAGGGGTTTTCATACCCTCACGACATCACTTGTGATCCATCTGGAAAAGCTGTGTACGTATCCGAGATCACATCACCAGGACGATTGTGGAAATTCCAAGAAAGTGTAATGTACTAGGTAACAAAATTATTTAGCGAAGGTGTAATTCTCACTTTATGAAAAGACACTGTACGTTCTTTTAAATGGAAGAGCTCTGTTAAACTATTTGATGGCTTCTTTTACAGCTTTGCGTATCTATCTTTGTTTTGAGATGTTTCTCAAACGTGAAGCTAATAAAAGATAACGCACGTCAATAGAATTTACTCAGCTTCAAAGGAAATATATCAAAAACAAGGATGTTAATAAGCTGTAAAAGTTTTGCTTGATTAAATAGTTTTTATCGATGGAGTTTTTCATTTAAGACAACGAAAATCAACTTCAAATGGCCTTTAGGTTTTTTCTGTTGTTATAGTAATCCATTAACGAGAGTCGGTCTAACACAAAGAGAGCCTATACAGTTGTAGTTTTTTGGTTGTAGCGATTTATTTAGTGCACATTTGTTAAGCTATAACATCAATGTATGGCATGCACTTTGCAGGACATAGTGAATGCCTTTAGTCTTAGAGAAATATCGTTGCCTAGATATTAAATTATAATGTTAAAAATAACATGCAGTAAATCGTTGGGCTTTGTTCGGAAATTTGAACATTTCTCTTTCTGATGCAGTTCCTTGTGAGGTTTCCCGCAGAAACCTTGTGATTGATCGAATCTTTCCCATGCAATCATTTGGAAACATACAGACAATATAATTATCCTTCTTACATGCGTGGAAAGTAAAAAATATTGAATTACACTCCCGATAAACTTTTTTGAATATTTCAAGTGACTTCCTTGCCAACAGTCCGCGAGGGAATGCCCCTGAAATTTCGTTCAATTTAGGACCAGAGCAAAATAAAAAAGAAATTTAGGCGCATTTACACTGGGGTCCGTAGATGCAAATATAAAATGCACACAGTTAAATACAACATAATTTATTTCAAATAAATCATTTACATGCATTGCTTCTCAGAATGCAATATACTTTCTATTATACAGGCGGGTTACAATTTTTCGCTAGCATAGGATTATTATTTTTCAGCATTTTTACGATTATTTTCTTTCAGTAAATCTACAAGGTTTATATTAATAAATGCAATCTAGTAATGCTGGTTTTTGTTAACGTAAATAAACTATGATCAACACACTTCTCAAACACGGTCCTGCCGTTTCAATAATTATAGATTTTAAGTGTCTCTTAGAAACATTCGTCATTTTCCTGAGCTTTTCGGTCCGTGTATGCTTTTGAGGAAAAATATATACATAAACACACAAAAACTGTACAGGGTGTATAAAAAAAGGGGCAACCACACTTATATTCACTTTCTTTTAACAAAACAAGAGTCGTTTGGTCCCTGGAATTTGAGGTTTGAAATCGTCGTATTCTATAGCGGCACAATTGTCTAAATAAAGTCGGGTGTGCAAACACAGGAGCTAGGTTCATTTACACCAGATTGTGCTTAGAAACAATATGAAGTTGATATAATATAAAGAGTATTGAAGTTCAAAATGTAAACAAACCGTTTGTTTACATACGGACTTCACATCCACTTTAAGCGTTTCCTTATTTTTTGATAGTTGATACACCCTGCAACATAATCTAATAATGATATCAGCCTAATGCATAGAGCAGGTAAATACTGCAACCATACAGGGTTCGTTCCTTGGTACTGCGAAACCAAACTATTTTATCAACTAACTTACTAATGGTTATGCGTTATCGTCCCAATTCCTGGAGTCGTTTAGCAAAATTTAAACGAGCAAAATAAGTATTGAAGTCGCCAAAAAGTTAGGTCGTTTAACTGAGATAAAGTTGCTCGCTAACCTCGGTATTCCATCAGAGCGATAGAAAAAGTCTAAAAGAGCTTGTTCTGATTATAGATATTTCAAACTCAAAGGATAGTGTCTACGGTCCATTTTTTGACCTGCGTTTTCGCGACTCTCAAAGGCAAGTTTCCGAACCATTTTATACAAAATGTACACGCGAATTGCAAGGGAACAACAAAGCCGCTTCGTAATATATATCATCGGTTGTTTAATTCGCTACTTCGTCAAAGGAGTATCTTCGGTTAATCCTCAGTGCTTCCACTGGGACACGTCTTGTTTAACTCAATCACGTTATGTCCAGCTTTATCCCCTGGCCAATGCTGGACTATACTGGGGTGTAATCTCTCGTGTTGCATTCATTGCCTTGGGACATTCACCCGGAGTTCTCATGTGCCGGCTGAGCTGCGTTGCCGTGTCCAGCGTACACCCGCATTTGTTGCACAAGAATGCACGATTGCCAGTGTGCGTGCGCATATGATTGTAAAGCGTGCTTGCGCCCGCGAACGAACGTCCGCAAAAACCGCATTTGAACGGTCTGTCGTTGGTATGCGTAACCACATGAGCGGAGAGTTCCGATGGTTGTGCGAAAGAATTCGAACAGTGTCCGCATTGGTACGGTTTCTCTGGAGGCCTGTAGAAATCTTGATTTTCGTTTGCCCGAGGACTGATTTCACCGCGTGGAATTGCGTGATTCTCGCCTGGACTTGTTTGATACTCTCGTGGGCTTACGTGGTTCTCCCGAGGACTTTTGTGACTCTCACGTGGGCTCATGTGATTTCCGCGTGGACTTCCACGATCTTCGCAGGAAATCGAAATAGATGACGTTGAACATGCAGAGGGTGATGGAATCTTTGGGGAAAAGGTGAAAACACTTTTTATGTCACTGCTTGGTGAGGGGCCGAGCGTCACGTGTTGCTGACGGTGCTCGTTGCCTGGTGACGTGGTGACAACACCTTTTATTAAATCTGGCTTTTGTTCTGAAATGTAACAAAAGAAAATATTACAATTATGGGCATTTTGGCCCATTAGAAAACGACGGAAATACTGGTTGGGCGTACAGCAAATCATAAGAATGTATTTACAACTTGTAAAAACGTACCGACTGGTGGTTCCAAAATTATCATATTATCTTGCGTTCCACTGGAATAACTGATTGGTTGCAAGGCTGGTTTACTAGCGGAATAACAATAAGTCACCGTTGTTGCAGGGATCTTGTTAGGGCTGTAAGGAATAGGCTTCGCCTGCGCGTAGTTTTCTGCTGCGGGATTCAACTCGATATTTCTTTCCTTCAAGACTGGCTTAACTTCAGCCTGTGGCACTGGATTCCGCTATGGTCAAAGAAAGGATTAAATGAGTCAATCTGGTTCCCTGAACGTTTCTCAGACCACAGTTCGAATTTGGCATTGGTAACACCGAACATTCATTGAATTTGCTAAGGTTTTGAAGGAAATAAAAAGAGTGGTTGAGCTATTTCCGTCGAATAGTGCAAACTGGGTTAATCTCCATTAAATTATTTTGCATCGCACTTATAAAAGGAGAACTGGGACCGATTGTAAGGCCTCAATATAGTAATGATCTCAATATTGATAGCATACCGTTTGGGCCGAGTTATTTTTGTCCTGGTCTTTCTTACATCCGGGAACGTTGCGCAGGCCGAGCGGCACTCCAAGGAACTGGTTATAGTTGTTGTTATACCACACGAGAAGTTCTGTGCCCGCGGGAATATCTCGCACTGCTCTGTAGTAGATATTGTTACCGTACTGAAATACGACCATGTTTTGCTCGTCCTTATGCCGAGCGCAGCGTATGAACCTCATCCAACTTGAGTTGTTTTCATCATTTCCGTCGAGATAGTGCGAAAACTTGCCATCTTCGTAAATCTAGGCGAAATAAAAGTAAATTAGCCAGAACTAAAACTTTCATCATGATCAGAACCTGAGTGTGAGCAGGGCACCCCCCCCCCCCACGCTTAGCCACTGATCTCTCTTCATCCTCTGAGATATTTGGCGTGTAATTTTTAAGTTACCTCCCAAACGTAGTTTGAATCGCATTTCGTCGTGATCTCGTCGGCCTTCACTCGCTTCCCTTCGTACGGCCCTATCCAAGTGCCTATCGGGAAGGGCAGCTTAGCTGAGACGCCGTAACTGTATCCAGGTATACTGGATGTGCACAGTTGAACTTCGGCAGGAAACGACATGACTGCGTACGTCAGCGCGATGTCGTGTATGGAATTTCCGACCACCTGGCGTATGGATTTTTGCGGTTCGCTCACGTGACACGGTCCGTTGTGCTGCTTTCGGCAGGAGTCACACCCTAAAGAAGGAAAAAAATCGTTAGAACGAGCAAACAGAGGCAATTTAAAACGGAAAACATACATCATCTCACAGCATGGTTAAGTTCTAACTATTTTGAGCGGATAATTATTGTGGCATATATATATAGTGCCTATTAGTGGAAGAGGCACTCGTGCTGGTTCGAATGACCTCCAGGTGTGTCTCATTGTATAGTATTGAACTTCCTTCTTCCCCTGGCCGCAACGCCAGGAAAAAGACCAATCAAGTGCATCTCGAAGCCGTCAAGGTCAACCAGGGGTGATCAGCAATAGATAAGAGCTAATCTGCTCAAGAGCCGATTATGTATGGCTGAAAACCAACCGAATGTATGCCTTTATACACGCTTTTTACCTATTAGCCTAGTATTGTGATGAAATAAGTATGGATTTAGAGAAAAGATTAGTAAAGTCTAAAAGGAATACTGTCGTCATGCGGCCGTCAAGCGTAGCGAACGTGCAAGCTTCTGTCCTTTTTTGATTTCGGTAGAAAGATGACTTGCCACGAACTCTCGAAAATATCGTTTATTATAACAGCTGAAGCGACACAGTCCTATGAATACGCTCTTTCAATAGTGCCATAAGATTTCTGATAAATGTTGTGAGTTACTGCGAGGCTCAATGGTTATTCCAGACTAGCTGACGACAACTCTAAGTCTTGGGTTAAGGATCTTTCTCGTTTACTCTTGTCAACCAACTTTCTTCCTCTGCTCTTTGTCGTAAAATTTTAGACAATACATGTCAAATGAATGATGACCAAAAATAGCGAACATTTCTATGGTTTTTAAGCACTCGTAAGGGATCAGACGTTTTCGGATCTTTTCCATATTTGATAAAAAGAATTGGCAAAAATTTTCCCCAAAATAAGGGGAAAATTTCCGTCCTGCGCACTTTGGGTTTGAGTAATTATTTCTGACAGGTAGCCATTTCAGTTATGCTATTCTAAACGGGTGCTGCCTGTTGCTACTTATAGTAACATTTCTACTCTAGTATTTTACTGCTTTGCAGTGTTTTATTCAGTGTCTCACTTTTAACCTTCCTCAATGTCAGCTGATCATTGCAATACTGCTGGTCTGACTGAGTATTGACTGTTGCTACTAGACATCTCTGCAGTGTCTTTCTTATAAGTGATTCCTTTTCAACCATTCCTTTTCGGTACTTGCTTGTAGGCTGGCAGAGTTCTGACTATTGTTACAGAAGTTACTAATTGTGGTTCCTGACGAAAGCTCCCTATTCAAAACTTCACATCCAACCCACATATATCCTCGCAGAAACGGACAGTGTACAGTACAACTGTACAAAAACATCAAACCCTCCGTGGGCGGTTCGAGGCAGGAAGTCTCGCGTATACATGAGCTATCATTATTACGCAGAACAGCAAACTTCCCCTACTCGTAAAACGGAACAATGGCTTAGAAATTAGAATAGTCAAGTTACTTCGATACAAACAACTTCACCCTCATTACAACGTCTAATCGCAATCACAGCTCTTTGTGTCAAAATCCACAATGGCGAGATGAGGGACATTGAAAGTCCAGTTGCATGCTGCGTTTAAATAAAGTATACGCCGTCTTGCATCGAAATGTCTAGTTGCTTGCACAATAGTCAGTTTCTTATGAGGCTATTTCTTCATTCCCATATTATGAGGGGGACTTTTTGTTGAAATGTTTTTTGATATAAGGTTTAGAATGTGTTGACCTAGTGCTGCTTCTATTGAGGAAATGCAAACCCAGGAACCTAAGAAAGACTAAAGGATCTCTACGTTTTCCAGCTAAAACCTTTATCCAAATTTTGAAGATAAAGGAAGCTCAGTTAGCACAAAGGTTGTTCAGCCAGGACAAAGATGTTTTCAGCGCTGATTATTTTTCATTTGAATATTCGCCACGGTGTGCACACTTTAATCTTAAAAACCCGTACCATTTATCATGCTAGAAATGCTGAACATTCCGAAGATCGTAAGCTGGTTCCTCAATGCGTGACAAAGTCAACAACACTTCATCAAGTCGTGGGTTTTTTCTGGCTACTTTGGCTTCCTCCCACGGGGAAATTTTGACAGGGATCTAAACTATGGACCTTTCATTTCAGCTGTTTAGACAAGGGCCTCTTACATTAAAAGCAATTTTAATACGATTAAATCAACCCAATTTCTCTGTGATTCCAAGTAAGAATTTTCACTCCAACTAAACCTTGGACTTTGTGTTTGATAAAATGAACGAAAAATAAGACGTTTTATGAGAGAGTTTAAAATTAGGGAACGAATCGTGACTTTTTTATGACTGGCCTTGAGCTGGTCCTTCAAAAGCAACAACTGGTTAGCTATAAATGGTCCTAGTCAATTTTTTCGAGAGCTTATTTATCACATTAAGTATAGATTGTTGCCGAAGCTTTCTCGAGTCCATAAATGTTTTATTTTTTTTGACACATTAACCAATGTATCATGCATAAATACATAAACAAAACAGTAGGTTAAAAATCAACCCGCAGTTGGGGCAAATCTAGCTTGAATCAGAACAACCAGTGCCTGATATATTAGTGCCATTGCCAAAAACACCCATAACCAATCCGCTTACTCACATCCATCAAAAGACGAGAATCGCACGGCGATTCATCATGTCGAGAATTGCAGAAGCGTCAACGAGTCCTTAGTGTGTTTTTTTTAAATTAAGCCTCGTCCTGTGGTGATGACGCAATTAGAATAAAGAGGAACAAGTTCTAACAGTATGCAAATGCCATAGCAACATAATTCTATTTGGCTTAAAGACGAGTTTAAGCGGCCAAACAGGGATCAAACAACTATTTTTCTAGCCAGTTCAAGTACGCGAACGGATATTACGTGCGGAGGAAAAACACTTTAAGTCGATTCTGTCTTAGACAATATAAGGTTATGAAAGGTTGCTAGGCATCAGCACAATACATGAAATATTTTGCCACTTCACTCGTATTCAATGCAATTAGAAAAAAATGTGTTTGCTCAAGCTTATTACGGAGAGAGAAATATTAACCGAAGATCGAGCTCATTTCCTTCAAAATGTCGAGAAGAGTTCGCGAGTTGTAAAACAACTCGAAAAATTTGCAAAAAAATCCAAGAAAGCGTTGGTTTATTGCTGCTTCGCGCCGAACACAAAGTGAGATCAGTCATGCGCTCCGTCGCGCATCGCTGCTCTGCCTCAAAGCCTTTTATTAATCAACTTCCTGAACTGAATATTTTGTTTCGAACCGCTGTATTCCAGCAAAATTGAGGTTTTTATGAAGCGGATTTAAAACATCCTCCAGCGCAATGCTTGCTACGGCTTCTTGTACGGATTGGTTCGTCCGGAAATCGGAGCGCGCTGCAGGTAGGGAACGGCGAAACAGGCCATTTCCCTACCAGACGTGCCTTTTCATGTCAATTTGTAGCGATAAGTAGAGATTAATATACTGCGATTGTCTTTTGTTTAGAATGCATAAGTGCAGAACCTCTGTCAATACGCATACGAAATTGTGTTGACCATTGCCAAAAACAGCTTATACTCACATTTTAATGGCTTAACACATTTGCCTTGTCCAAGTTTTTGTCGTTTCGCGTTCTCCAAATCGATTTCTTGAATTTTACGTTTTCCATACAAAAACACGTCCAGAAGTTCTGATGTAATAAGGTCATTTTTTGTCCCGCAGGATTTCTTTGTCTGAGTTCTATAGTTTATTGAATCCATACTTAGGAAGCTTTTACCATCGTCAAACACTGCATCGTTTTGCGCCTAATATGAAAGTAAACATTAGTGTGTCTCCCCCATCTAAATTAACCTAAGATATGCAAATCGTTTCAGCAAAATGCTGAGGCTTGCTAGTGACTGCTTTTTCCGCATTGCCTATCGGTATTCGGCCATCTGGCCTCGTTTTGCTCCAGTTGTTTTGAGAAAAAATATCTGTCTACCAGTTTAATATTTGTCTCCTGTTTTCAGCAAAGTCAAAATGACAGATGAGGTTATGTAACATTTTTGAACGCCTGTCTAAATGCCCACACCGCAGGTCTTTTAATGCATCACTTCATTGACTTAAAATCGCTGAGCACCTGAATATCTGATTTTTAAACGGTATTAATAGCATTTCGAATTTTACAATTTGACGTTTTTGGAACGCGCCGAATCGGATTCCAAATTTGACGCATTTCTTAAATATGTTGTGACGCAGCGAAGCCGATCATTACATGCATACAATCATTCACTCAATTGCGTATCCATACGATTGTCATTTTGGCGTATGTAATTGAGTAAATGTGCGCATATATTTTGTAATTGTAGTTTCGGTATCGACGTATCGACACTTCTGAACAGATTTTCATACGTCAAAAGACAAAAAAGGCATTGGCAGCGAGCGTTCGGAATCATGGGTCAATTGGATTTCACCTTGGCGCTATCGGTAATACGCTCGTGGAGTAATAATTTCCCCTATTATGAATATTCTGTTGACGCCTAAATCAGTGACTTTAAATCGCCGTCTGGGTGATGTATCACATTTCCTACGATGTTTTTGCGTGTGGAAATCTAAAATTCGCCATGCTAAGAATGTCGCTACATAGCTTATTCCTATGTAATATGAAGTTCCTCATTACTTGACAGACACACAGACACACACGACCTGGCGGCTGAAGATATGAAATCTCGGTCAGCTATTAAGCCCATGCGGCATATAGAGACACAATAAAGTTTAAACATACCGTATATGATGGCAACTTAACGATTTGTTCCATTCTTCGCTGAGAACTTTGTTTACGTCGCTATGTCGTATGTATTGTCCGCTTCGACACACGACACACATAATTTGAATTCGACAGGCGAACGCGCATTGCTTTTTTTCACTGTGGTTCGCTCCACTGGTTTTTCCTCATTCATATTCAAATGAGCGGCCAATCACATGCGCATATTTGCGCGCTCGTCCAATCAGCTCGCGAGATTCCTGGTAACTATTCGTTACGTGCTCGCTCATTTCGAGATTAATTAGGCGTCACTATGAGTCGTTGACAGTTCAAAGACAAAACGCTTTGAGTTTTATCACAAATACTCACCAACACAGATATGTTAATCAGGCGTTTATCGTTCTGCCTCAAATGCAGACACTTTTAATAGGGTTAATAAACATACACCATATCGCCTTTTTCAACGAGAGTACGGCTTCATCTGCCATTCCCAGGCGAAACTGGACTACACCAGACAATGTGTATCAGTGATTCTCAGGTTGTATTGTGACGTTTCGGCTTTGCAGATCGACCCAACGAAGTTCGTTTCATTGATTTAACTAAACTCGGGTAGTGCATTCGCAATTATTTTTTTGCTATGAAAACCCTTGTCTTCGCACAACAAAGTTGCGCAAACCCAATATTAGCCGACGGGCGTTGCTATACTGGACCTCGGGAACTTCCTTCTAGACAGAACATGGACCGACAGATAAAAGAATTTAAATAGATACTGAAGTAACTTATGTAATCCGTGGACACCTAGCCGTACGATATGTCGATCAATACATTCGTTTGCCAGTTATGAGTATGAATAAAGGTTTGCCTGACATCCGAGATCTATTGGAATGCTATTTAACAGCGTTTTAGACACCCAGGGTATGATTTAGATACCTAGTGCATTAGTGTGTTTTCACCACCTGCTCTCCAACTGAAGAATAAGTGGGTTGAAGGATAAGTGGGTGGGTGCTACAGGAAGCTGTTGTTTTTAATCAAATAGGATTCCGGGGAATTGTTCCTGGGACTTACTTAAAAGATTTGTTTACTGGATTGACGATACTTGAGAAAATATACCGCAAAACGTAATCTGACAACATTATAAACTGAAAAAGCCTTTGCAATTGATAGCAACTTTCAGCAAAAGGTAACGTCGACACAATTCGTTAATCGAATCTGTTTAATGAGATTTTCAGTGCATGTCATTTGTTCTGGATAAATTCATATGTTTCATCACGTCAATCATCTTCGGTGAAATTTTCGCCTAATCATCTTTTTACATTTTAACGAGCGATTAGCATCTGTGCATCAAATACGCATTCCGTGGATTTCTTCAGCGTACTGCGATTTCCTCTATCAGGAAATAAAAGTGAGGTATCACCCCTAATCTAGAATCGTTGCTGTCATTTCTAGCAACCCCGCACAACACCGCAATCAAATTCCGTCGACGTCAAATGAGCGCCATTTTGATTAAATGCTGCGGATCACGCTGTTGATTTACATAACACGAATTAAATGATATTTTGCCGTTTACAACTCCTGTTAAATCGCTTAAAATAATTAAATGAGATAAGAATAACTTTGTGGCATTTCTCAGACTGATCATATGGCATGATATGACCCCTTTTGTTAGTGTATGTAAATCTCACCACACTTAATCTCCAAAATTAAAAACCCCCTTCTTTAAATCTGGTACGCTACATTGCGAGGAAAACCTCTTGTTTTTCCAACAACGAGATATATTCACCCAGTCATACTAAAATATTTGGCACAAATATCAACAGACTTGGACAATCGGAGTCACGGGGGAAAAAATAGGTACTTAGAGATGACAAGAAATCGAGTGACCGGTAATTTCTTGAATATTATATTTGTCAGAATGCCTTACATATATCATTTGATCCGACATCTGATGTCGCTATATGGTTATTTAGTGCGTTTGGTCTTTTCTATGGTCGTTTTCAGCGAAAAACGGCCGCTTTAGTTTGCTTTATCGTCTCCGAGATAGATGTGACAGAAATCTGCGTTTTCTAACCAAGCCGTGACGAACGGGCTTCCTTAACCTTGATAGCGTTTTTTTCCCTCTTGGATGGAAGTATTAGCATAAAACAACACGAGATGAGGAGGAACCACCGTATAAACATGCTTTCAAGACTCTACGTCTACAAAACTATACCGGCCAAATCCCACATCTACAAAACTCTACTCTCTAGTGTTTGGTTACTCTCCGAGATTGAATGAATTTGATTTTCAAAAAAGGAACAACGCACGTTCATTACGAGAACCGATTTGAGTATTTTTATGAAATGTAAAGGAACTGTGAATAATATTTCGTAGCTTTTTCGACTATTTTCTGATCAATTATCATCAGGACGGTCTGCATGACGGGTCACATTCAGGACAGATTACGTCCAATATTGCCTCCTACAGAACCTGTAGGTTTCCTGTATGTCAATTGAACTCGGCATAGCATTGAGGATTACGGATTATTTTTGATCTCCAGTTCTGCAATAAGAAGAAGTGCCGACGTCTACCAAACAATTATGTTTGTAATTGATCACGTGTAGCAGGGATTCCTTCGTATTTGATGAGTTCCTAGGGGGGAATGAAACCCTTTTACAGTTCTCGTTTCTATCTCCGTTCTCCAGTACTTCTCCTGAGCCATGCACGGTCAACATTTAAGCATGTTGAAATTAAACAAAAGCAGTGGCAAACCAGATGCATTTTTGACAGGGAGTTCAAATGTTCAATATTATAGGCTTCTCGCTCAATCACTTCATGCCATTTACAATCGAGGTGAACTGAAAAATCTGAGCAACGTTTTCAGTTTCTTATATTCTGTGTACAGATCAGTTCCTCGCTGGTCGAACGACAGAAATGTGACCTGAGTTGTTTCACCCTGGCAATCACCAGGGATGTTTCGAGAAATTTCATACAATACCTTGCGGGGTCATGCTAGTCTCTAAGAAGTCAAGTACGCATCAATAGCGGTGCATTTGCGGTTTACATGCATTGCCACGGAGTTGATCAGTGAAAGACATTTAAGACAACATTCCCTCCTTCCTAGTAGGAAATAAAATCTAAAAGTACTTTAATTGCATTGGATTGGGCATATCGACGGCAAACAAGTCGCTTAAGTACAGGCCGATGCAAACTAAAGAAAATATTAAGACATACTGGCGTAACTGTCCAGTCGAGACACTGGTCCTGTAAAGGTGAATGTGTGCATCTAAGCTAACTTATTTTCATGATTCATATGTATTGTAGCATACGTTTTTGATTTATTATCGAAAGAATGCGTCATACGGAACCGAGAATTTTTAGGGGCCCCCTTCAAAACGTGCGGCCATAAATTAGTGTTTATAAAGTTGAACTATTCGACGGTTATTGTGTGATTTGACTTTGGGATACAAAATATTGATCCTTGAATTCTAACAGTATTTAGAGTTCTCGGAAATAAACAAACCATCATCCCTCGAGGGCTAAAAGTTTGAGCTGTTCATCATTTCTTAAAGGACAGTCTCGATCACAGCTTTCAACTTGCCATCACCATTAACCCATTTGGATCTACATGATAAGGAAAATGACGGAATATAGCTCGTGATTTGAAATCAGACGTATCAGGTGCACTAGACTATAGCGTTTAAGATATTTTTGCAGGTACCCAATTAAGGCACTGAAAGCACGACAGCTTGACTAAGACCACTACAGACACTGGACCACCACGTCTGGGATGTCGTTTCTAAGTATTTAAAACCACTAGGTCCATTATATAACTTTAAGCTACGCTAGGCCAATGTGAAATATACTGGAATTTTTTAAAAATATGCCAACACCAAAATGTTCAGAACACAATATCGCACACACTTCCCTGTTTTTCTATACGGAAAATATATTCATCGCCATTCAAGCGTTCAAATTGTTAAGGAAACCTTCATATGTACTTAGTAACGCGGTGGTTCTAAAGATAAAGCAACAAATTGAAAGATTATGTGTTCTCTTTGTCCCTGGGACATACATCAGCTGATTCAGCTCTTTAAAGACCTCTTCTTTGAGAAATGGTTATTTCAAATTTATGCGTGAATGGTAATGACTAACAAGGTCGCCAGGCCATGCACAGGAAGCTCAGAGGAGCTTTATCAGGATTTCATTTCAAGCACTTAAGACGTGTTTATGCACTTTATATGCATGATGGATATCCTATATAACAACTCTAGTACTTGCGCTATAACAAAAGATAAACTGCACCTTATTTTCACCGTCCTTAATCAGTATTGTTTGAAAACACTACATTCTTCTCACAGAATTTCCCTATAAACTATCTGCTTTGTTTTCAATGTTACTCAATATCATTTGAATCTTGGTAAATCCCATCATTTAAACAAGAGTTAAGAGCAAATCGTGATGTTTGTCATGTCTGTATAGCTTTATCTTCAGACTAACATCAGACAAAACGTCAGTCAAAAACGTAGGTAAAAAATCTGTCAAACCCCCTCATTAATGCCATACAAAGCCTAAATTTATTCCCTGGTTGCATGTCAGAAGATTTTATCTTCGAGTTCACATCATTAAAAAAAGATACGGGTTATTGATAAAGTGATGACTATATCACTTTTAACAAATCCTCGTTAGGTCTAGTAAAAGTTCTACAAAAGCAAATATTTTTTTGGTTTCCCTTAATTCCGAGTATTTTTTAATCAATATAGGTCTAGGAAATGTTATTTATTCATCATATGCACATAGCATAATATATTTTTTTTCCTCATTATTGTGTTTTGACCCTCCCATATCCTGTCTCAAGCGGCAAAACAGTATACCGAGGAGGTTGAGAAATTACTGTTTATTGATATTGAATCGCGGATATTACAATTTACTAGTGAAAATGTCTGTCCATTCAAGGATGTATATCGAATTCAGTGTACGGCAGTGCAACTGTGACTCCAGTTAGAACTATATATCTCAGTGTGGCGGCGTTGCAAGTCATCTCGGGAAATCGGCGGGAAAATCCATTTATCAAAAGTGATGGTTTCAAAATGACCGCTTTCTTTGTTCATATTTTTCACATTTTATCAATTTTCTTTTCGAAACGAAGTGCATAACGAGTTATTTATGGCGAAACGTGAAACCCGAGCTCATATGAAACGAGTTACAGGTATTTTAATCGACAGGGAGCTGTTTATTTGTCAAATTTGTACGCATATTATGTGCGTACAAATTGTGGTGTGCTGATTTGTAATTCTTCATGTTTTATATGATATTTGCTTGTGAAATTAACCTATTCAGTATGGTCAAGCTCTAACGGTTACTGACTATAACTATTAAAGTTTGCATGTTTATAAAAGATCGCTATATTTGTCTTCAAGTACTTATGATAATTAGTATACGATTATGTTATAATGGTTTCAAACTTGGTGGTACAATGTAGATGAAATTGTGCAATTAACCACCTGTAGTTTGTCTGAAATACCTTAAAACCACATCACAAACGTGGCTATCTAGTGTGTTGCCTTTAAATATTATCAAATCTGCAGTTTCAAGGTTTCATGCTCTGCATCTGAAATGTCAAAGCTCTTTGAAATTTTCTGGCCAAAACCTTTTGTTGAGAATCTTTCCTGTAGATGAACATTGAAAGTTTTTTCTTTCAAGTATCAAACACAAAAAGAAAAAGATCTTTGTTATTGCTGTTGAAATTGTGCTTTATATCTTTGTAACTTGCACATTGGAGGTTTTAGTATGTGCAAGGTCATCTTTATATGTCCACATTTTACTGAAGTAAGAGCTCATGACCTGTGTGTGCTTTTTGAAATGTTAATGAGCACCCCTAATTATTTCTATAGCACTCCAAGTTTGATCGACATTATATCAGTACTTAATTGCAGTTACTTTTCACAGTCCCTGAGAAGTAAAATATTATGTACATTTGGCAGAGTAATTTTGTAAGGTAGACAGCTATCTGATTTTGCTTAAATTTGCTATGAATGCCAAGCAGATACTGCACTTTATCACCAATGAAGTGTGAAAAATTCCCAACATTTTTACTTGATAACTCCCAGTTTCCAACCAACCCTAAGAATTCCAGCCATTTCCAAATAATGAGAGTTAATGAATATATTTCCTGTTTTCGTTTGTAAGATTATAGCTTGTCAGTTTTGATATTGGTGATTATTTAAACTTCAAGTTGCAAAATCAGTACATGTGCTTATGCTAATGCAGGGCAGCAAGAGCTTGTCTTACATAAGTCTTACCATTTATTGAGCTGTTGTACAGCGGGCTTCCCTCCTTAGAATAACCGCTAGTTTCAGTGTTATAACCTTTCAACTGTGAGAAACTATCAATCAAAGATTTTTCAATAGCGGGGTATTTGTTATTGCGTAAGCCGATTCTAGGTTTCGCGATTGTTTATTATTCGTATTTTTTTGTCGCAGGCCTAGTCTTCCGGACGGACAGTCGCGTATATACAGTGTGTTCAGTATGTTATATAGCTCAATGCAGTGTAAATTGATTCGCCCAGTACCCCGTCCACGTAGACCGAGTACGCCTACTTGGAGTCTTGTTCTCTAGTAAAACAGAGAATGGTGGTCGTAATCTGACGGCGTCACTTTAACAACAGCGGTAAAGTAATTTTCTATGAACTGTCATCTAATATATAATTGGTACAATGAAATATGTAGGGAGAGCACCCTTAAAAGTTTGACCATCGCATTCATTCTCCGAAAGAATGCGATCACCAGAGAACGATTTTGACAACCTTTTTGATGATCACATTGTGTTTATTTTTATATATAAAAAGCTGTGCAAAAATATCTACATCAAATGTAAAATATTAAATATATTACACTCTTTAAAAGGCTTCTTAAGTAGGCCTAAATTCATGTGGCGGCTACACCTGCCAACATAAAACAAACATAAAACAAACATTAAATAAAGTATTATTATATACAATAAAATGATTCAAGTTTCGACGAGTTTGTAAAAAATGATATAATTTATTGCGAGAGTGTGCTTATTCACAACGTTTTTTTTCACGGTTGCTTGCAAGGAACCTTGACAGGTGAGTGATGACGCGAAGCCGAGTCGTCACACTTTTCTGGTGTGCGCGTGGCAGTAACGTGAAAAGAAATCATGTTTGATTGTAGAGCAACTTGTAAATTAAGTTGCTTGCTCCATTCGTGCTGATGAAAACACTGCCAAGGTCTCTCATGAGCGGCAACGTTCACCGTGATTCAGTTTTGAACTGTTTTGTTGCCTTGGAAGAACTACCAACAGAATTTTTCGATCTCAAATCCTGGCAATGTTCTTGTTCATGGAGTCACGCGACTTTGACGCTCCACCAATGGCAATGCGGTAAGTACAACTGAAATACCAATTCAGACCATTTTATAAATTTTTCACTGCTCAACTGTAATGTCGACAGGTTGGTTATAATCGCCGACTTCTTTCTGTCTCAGCCCGCATGCACTAGGCGGCCGAAGATGGCGACTAAGCTGGGTTGCTATTGCGAATGTTTGTCCACAAACTTTGCATTCGTAAGGCCGCTGACCAGTATGAGTTCTCATATGGTTTCCCAATGTTGTTGCGCCTGCGAACGACCGACCGCAGAATCCGCATTTGAACGGTCGCTCGGTACTATGAGTTACAACATGCTCACGCAATTCTGAAGATGTTGAAAACGTGTTTGAACAATGTCCGCAGTGAAAGGGGTTCTCTGGTGCCTTCGAACAGACGTGCATCCTTAAGGTGACTTGTTGGGCGAACATCACTCCACATTGTCCACAAGTCCAGGAGATGTCTTGATCTTTGACGTTCCTTACGGTTGAGGAGACTTGATTGTGCTGTTTGTCTGGTGGCTCGCTTTCTAGTCGGTTGTTGTGGATAGATGGGGTCAGATTTTGCAGCGGAGTTGCCTTCAACGTTTGTGGATATTTGGTATTTTTTTGCTGCGAATCTGGATAAATTTAAGAAAAGGGTGTAAGACAAGCCAGAGTTTGTGGTGTTAATTGAGATGGGTAAAAAGAGGCAATGTTTGAACTGCCCAATATGGAACTAAGAGGTCAAAAAGAGTTGAGAGACCTTTAACATTGCAGTGAGCGCGGAAGAGCTGAGTAAGCATGGAAGAAAGTATTGGAAAGACGCCAAAAAATCTTGAATTGAATCCGGTGATGAGAGAACACAGTGAGTGGAAATTTTGGGATCAAGAAATGTAAAGTTTGGCTAAATACGTACCTAAGACTGCGTCATAATCTTTTGTTCCACCTAATGGCATATTTTCCTTTACTTCTCCTGTCGTCCATTGGTCTGTCTCTGGTGACATCGACGATCTCTCGGCAGCACGGCTTGCGTAGCCGTCAGTTTCGTAGTATGCCCGAACTCTTTGTCTACGTGAACTCTGAATGGTCGTTTGCTGGTCTGCGCATGGACTTTGGTGGCTGATGGGCTGCTGGCTGGCGTGTGAACTTTGGGAAGAAGATGATTCCTGTCGTACTCTTGATTCTGGGGGAAATTGTTGTGGTATTTGGACGGCTACTTGTTTTTGAGGGCTTGTGGGTGCCCGTTGTGTTTCGCTGACGGCAATTGAGCTGTGAGAAGGCTTATCTGAGGGGGATGTACGAGCAATGTGTGAACTTGGTGGTCCCATTGAATGGGCTATTTGTCTTTGTCGCGCAAGAAACGAATCCTGTGGTGTTCCTGGAGAAGGTACAACTTGATAATGGGTTGATGATGGTTGATAGAGAATAGTACCTGGTGGTACTGGTGGATATCCTGATTGTGGTGGGTATGTGTATGGCGTGGATTGAGGTGCCATCGCAGGATAATGTGTACTTATCTTCACTGCTGATTGTGGATGAGGGATGCTACTTTTCGGTAATTGTGGATATGGCGCTGGAACATTTGGGGGTAAATATGGCCGTGGAACAGGGGATACTGGTGGATAGGGTAGGGTAATTTGTGGTTGATGATGCTGTGCAGGTGATACAGATGTATCTGGCTGGGCTTGCATTGGTACAGAAACTGGGGAATATGATAATTTAGTTGGCAGTGAATTTCCTTTTGATGGAATTGATCGTGGAATCTGTTTTGGAAACTGGAACGATTTATGGGGAGCATATTGTTGCAGGATACCTGGTGACCTGTATGGCTTAGCTGAATGTGGTGACGTAACAGCAGGAGCAGAATGTGGCCCTTGGTTTTGTTGCGATGTAGGAGCTGCGTCCTTTAGCACTGGTTGCAAAATGGCAGGTGGTATGGGAGGACCTAAAAATTTGAATAGAAGAATGTTTAGAAATTTTGCCAAACTTTACTGTAAAGCTGCCTCTTCGCATGCACGAACTAATGCATTATGGTTCAGCTGAAGAGCGAAAACGGAATTTGATGTCAATACATATAGTCCAAGTCTGTTTCATAACCTCTTATCGTGGTTGTCAAACTCATCTTCAACGATCAAACAATATTCTGGCCTGGATGAAGACGTCTGCTAACAACACGTCAACGGACGCGCATTATCACCTGAAGGCCTCTTAGGTTTCATGTGTATTTTGCTCCCACGTGCTTTAACGGCAATTTTAATTGCTTTCATAATTGTCAAGGTGAATGAGTTTGTGTGTTTTTTGTGTGCTTTAAAACAACGTACCATTCTGTGCGTCCAGTTCGTGTGCTAACACCAGAGGAACACCCCAGAATTGATAGTAACATTCATGATACCATACAAGCATCTCATCACCAACCTCGATATCACGTATGGCGTAGTAGTAGATGTTTTTACCATATTGAATAACCGACATGTTCTGTTCTGCTTTATATCGAGCACAACGAATGAACCTCATCCAACTGGATATATTTTCATCACTGCCGTCTAGAAAGTGGGAGAACTGACCGTTCTCGTAAATCTGGAGAGAGATATAAAGTTGATTAGAGGATGTACATATGATGTTAACAGACGGATAAGATAGAAGACACGACGGAGATAAAATGATATTTTGTGAGGTTCTTTACCCCAAATTTGGTCCCTAAAATTGATTATTTGAACCCGTAAAGTATTCCAAATTAGGCTCTTTGTTGAGATTAGCGAAAGAACCGTTGCTGATCTTAGGCAGAACACCTCAAGAATCATAGAATAGAATCCCAGCTAAAGATTCTTCACGTACCTCCCAAATATAAACATTATCTTTGTCGCTTGGGATCTGACTTGAGTACACTCGCCTTCCTTCGTACGGTCCTATCCATGTACCACGTGGCATCTGTTTTCCAGCGCACGCGCCGTACGTGTATTCTGGAATACTTGAAGTGCATAAACGAACTTCCGGCGGAAACGAGCCCACAGCGTATGTGAGTTTTGGTTTCGATGTGTGGTGGATAGGACATTCGCCCTGTATATGTTTACAGCATTCTTCACACCCTAAGTTGACAGTAGAAAAAAGGTGATGTTTTTAAAAGACCTTGTTTGAATAACTCGGCTCTCGACCAACTGGTCAATGAGAAACGCAGTCCTTTTAGAAATTGTTTTGATGGGGTATTTTTGCCTATAGACATCAAGTTAAAGATTATCCAAACTAGACTATAGGCTTGTGGCAGCTTCGGAAAAAGGTTATTACTGTGGCTCATAGATCTGTAGCGGTATGGGAGAAAAATTTCTTTGGTTACTTTAAAGTGTTTTTACACATGACTAATGTTCGTGACACATTGATGATATTCACAAGAATCTGCAAACATGCCTATTCATAGTTGATTAAACATTTGATTACTAATAACTGGCGTCCTCATATGACACTTTCATGGCAAACATTCGTGTACAATCGAATTGTGCATTTTAAATGAATAGGTGTCTGCCCTCATATTGGTTTATTTAAACAACAATTGCGTTGATAAATATATATTGAAACATGTCTACGCATGATCGGGTTCTTTTAGTTAAAAGTAAATAACCTCACATGATGAATTTTTTTTCAACGCAGGGACTCGTACACCTCCTAATTTTGTATTTCAGGTTAACCTTTCGTAGTTTTAATTTGGTTGATTTAAACATTGTTGATAATATTCAGACTAAAACATGTCAACCTTCCGGAAATTTTTTTGGTTATATTTTGAAATATAAGTGGCTCTTCTCACATGACTAGTTTTCTTTCGATGCAGGCATTCAGTAAATCACCGAATTTTGTATTTTAGATTAACTTTTCATAGTTTTATTTGAAAGATTTTAACAGTATTAATATTTAAACTAAATCATTTTCATCCTTCAGGGATTTTTTTGATTAATTTAAAGTATAAGCGACTCTTCTCACATGAATAGTCTGCTTTCAACGCATGCATTCGTATCCAACGAATTTTGCATTTCAATAGAATTTTCTCAGTCTCATATTGGTTTAATATAACTGTCTAACAATGGTTATATTCGCTCTAACGTCTTCATACTTGACCCCCTTTGACGTTTCCCTTGGGATTTTATTATAAACGTCGTTCTGTCACGTTCAATGCCAGAAAAGAGGCAAAAATCCGTTGAGCATTTGTCAATTCAAGTGACATATTTGAAAACAGTAAATTTATTAATTTAGGCAAACAAATACATCACGCAATTTTTGAAAGCATGCATGTACAATGGAAATCGTATATTCAACTATCATCTTGTAACAAACGTTTCACTCTACAGGCTTTTTTAAAAAAATGTTTTTTAGTATATGACCTATAATTTACAGCATGCAAACTTGCTGTACTGCAAAGCTTATACAACTTGCGTAATTTGCATGTGCACTTGGTTCCATTTCATTATATATGAAATATCTGCGCTTGGTTGAGCTTTTATTTGCTAACATAAGGTTTGACTGTAGATTAATCTCTAATGTTAATTAAATACAGCCTCAATGATTTACATCTAATGATCGAACGATAAAGATTTCGGGATAATCGTCGATTATTTTCACTTCTGTTGTGATTTGAGGTGCCCGGCGTTTAAACCAGAGGTTTACACCAGCAATATTTGTAATTATTGGGCGTTTTCCCATATTGTACCCATTTATGTCGTTTTCATGTGAATATAATTGTAACTAAAGTTGTCTTGCTTCTTTTGTTATGTAGTATTCATGTCTTGACTCGTCCATCACCAAATCGAGAAATATTTTATAGTTTTTTGGGCTCATTTTTTATCTTCGACATGAACAAAATTTGACTACAAACAGACACACAACCTCTTCGCCTGTTGTGAAATTGTTTAGTTTGGAGCACTTTCTTTGGACATCTCACAGATTCTTAAACCGATAATATGTTAACCAATATAAATAAAACTTACTTCATTTATTTATTTTAGCCCGATGTGTCAATCGATAGTTAATGATTCAATTAAATTGTTTGGCCTTTGTTTAAGTCGGCACAAGTTTTGACTTATTCTTTACAAAGTATGCTAATTTAGAACAAGCATCTGCAAGTTTTTTCCCTAATTTGCGTGGGATAAAAAGCAGATAGCCATAAATTATCGCTTGTTTATTATCATCACGTTAGATATTTGCGGTTGTCTATTGTCCATTTGATATCATCCTTCGAGACATCATAGGTTTGATTTTACTGTGCATTTTGTGTAGGTTAGGTATGCAATATGGATATCACCTCCAAAATTGATCTATATAATGTACGTCTCAAAAACATAATCTGGACCGTCTCGTATGAGCTGTATTAAATTTCCAAAGATAAATTTGTTATTGTAATAAGCTTTGTCAAAATAACAAATGTAAACAATTCAAGGATCTGTGCTAATTATTCATTCAATGAGCTGAAGGAACTGTCGGAAAGAGTGGCTTGTTCACATTATTGGGATTTTGTTGTCGCATAGACAGATTAGCCTGTTGTTTTTCAACCAGAATATTTTAATTGTTTAAAGTCAAACGGGTTTTTTCTGGGCATGTAATTGCGACCAACGTCGTCTCATATAGATTACCTCTTGGGCATGTGCATAGGTTTACTGATAGCAAAGAGACAGTATATAGACAAGGTGTAGTCGTACTAAATTAGGTTAAGTTAAACGAAAGACAATCTTGTTGTCTGTAGTGAGGAAAATTTTTGGTCTATTCCTATGTATATGAGAATGTTCACTATAAGAATCTGTTTCTATCCTTCCTCGTTTAGGCCTATATTATAGCGATTGTAACTTAGGCCTATATTATAGCGATTGTAACCTATGTATTGCGGGCAATGTGTACAAAATTTACCCACAGCAAAGGACGGAGTTCAGATAAATTTTACGGTAAATTGGCTATATATATTTGTATATTTATGAAAAAGGGCTGGTCTTGTTAACCTGTAGGGTGTTGCCTGAAGGTCAAGATACTTAGCCCTATATTCTAAAAGCACGCTTAGCAATCGTCATCACAAGTTCTGAAATTAAATTGATAAATATTGCGGTCGTTTCCGTTTATTTTCGCCCATCACTTATAGATAGATATATTTATATACAGTGGCGGCGCTAAGTATGTGTGTACAATATTCGTTCACACCGAATCATACCATGTATAGGTACAATCTATGCACGTTAACCACGGGGCAACCCTTTTAGAGGCTGTTTATAAATTGCGGTTAAACAACAATGCCACCATTGCAGATATCACTTTTATGAAAAATTTCTTTTACATGCACTGCTGGCTCGGCTGTAGGTAACGATTAAATCTTTGTGCAAATGACCCCCTCATGTGCCAGTGTTGGCCAAGCCAATTGCAAATGGACAACGCATTCTAATCGGAAGCTCCGCGATCATTCAACCAAGTCACCTGTTCCCCAATTTCTACCGAAAATCCGACCAAAAACATTGACGAAAATATTTAACTCGAACTTACGACGTCGCGAAGTTAATTTATTAAAAGTCAATCGAATACGGGGGCGAGGACAGTTTTTTTCCTCAATGCAAATTGCTTAGTGGACCGGTTAAGTCGTGTAAAAACATGTTATGAATATGATTACGGTTCATTGTTGACATCGCAATCACGCGCGGTGGCAAAATATCTGTCCAGCGAATTAACGCTAAGTTTTAGTAAAACTTACATAGAGACTGGATTTTTCGATTGCTTCCGTCTTCACGACCTGTCCATCTTCTCTTCTTTGATTCTCCAGAATGGACGTCGACGAATTGGGCTCTTTTCTTTCCGTACAAGAAGCCCTCCAGCAACTCTTTTGTGATTTCTAACTGCGTACTCGGTTTGTCTTGACGCGAGCTTGATTGTGGGCTTGTCTAAACAGAGTTGAAAAAAGGCTAAACATTGGAAAGTTCGTACGTTTCGCCGAGTTGAGTTACAGAATTCAATTTAGTGGCAGAGTTTCGGAATTCATTACACAACTATTTACTTAAACCATGCTGTCTTGTTGATGTTGCACAAGTCTGGGAGGAAGTACAAAAATAGAGACGTTTTTATGCCATAAAATGGCCTGTAAGAGTCTCTTTGATGATAGGCTAATATACTTACAGCGTAAAATAAGTACGTATAAGATAGAGAGCAGATACATTACGACACGTGAGTAAACGATGATTTCAATTAATTCTGCATCAGCGGCTTCCTTGAACGTGCGATTTGTATGGCTAGCAAATGTTGACTGTGTTTGTTCTCTTTTTCGAAACATTCGTACAGCAATACCATATTATTTTTGAAACTGAAACTTATTCAAGACTTCTTGTTCAATTGTGATGTAATTTTATGGCCTTGTAATTCTCTAGACGGGCCCGAAGCTCGGTCATGGAAACATACATGCAAAATGTCGCAGAATGCGCGCCCAAATTTTAACTGAATCACCTAATATATTTCTCTTGGAAACTAAGCGTAATTTTTCTACAATATTATAAACCATCTACCTCTCGATCGATGTTGATCAGCTAGGGTACACATCGTTGTTGGTTTGCTCAATAAATAGCTGTATCCTATATTGAATCTAACATATACGTACCTCGGTCATGCTACAGCAATATTATTCTCTAAAAGGTTAACGAATTCTTAAAGTTCTTGTAATCCAATCAACAAGTTTCTAGAAGAAGTAGCGTTCTAACCATGTAATTACATACAACACAGCAGCGTGCTCAACTCCGCTGCCTGACACGTTCTGGCGGGCAAATATTCACCGTATTGAATTTGTATACAACCCCTTTCCCCCCTCCCACGCGTCAACATGAATTTCTCATTTGCCGTTCCGGGCCATCCATCACAACGTCTCCTAAAAAACTGATACCAATGAGCTGCTAGATAAACATTCCTGATTGGCCGTTTCTCAATCGCGCCACTTGGCAGTCAATTTGAAATTGACAAAGAAACCACATGTGTGGAATTATCACAACAATAACGTCGTAATCCCTACTTAAATGCTGTCACTGGACCGTACACAACGGCTTTTTCACGTTCGGTTCTACATATGCCTTGTCTACGTCTGTTCAGGGGACCACAATCCCGCGCAGCCTGGTACCGCTTTAAATGAATTGTGAACAATTACGGGAGAAATGCTATTACATTAGAGAGGTCTTCAAACAGCTCGGTGTCATCTCGGTGAAAGGTTGAAGACGATGCATTATGTCCAGCGAACCTGTGATATCGTTTCATATAGGTTTACTAGTAAACTAGCAAAGTGATTGAGGTTACGACATGCACGTGGATTGGAAATTTGAGTAGTATTACTTCACGTCCGTGTCGTAGTTTTGGTGAACTTTTTAACATAGTCAAAGTCCAGCCTCGTACCCAGGCTGGACTAGTGAAATATATAACGTTGCATTCAGTTATTGTATAAAGTCAGTTGGAAAAGGCGAGCGCGCGGGAGTGCTTGAAGTGGTTTTATTTTGATTTTGTCAAGAGCGCGTGTGTACGAGGCTGGTCAAAGTCTGAGTTAGCTACTTCGTGGTCAATAATACCTCTTATTGTTGCTGTGGAGCTCATCTCAACAATCTGTCCACATTTTGGCCTGGATTAGGTTATCAGTCTTTTGCAAAGTATATGTCAACTGATGTGAAGGCCTCTTATGTTTTTGAAGGATTTTGTTCCGATAAGCCCCTCAAGAATGTTAAAAATAAGACCACGTTCATATGCACGCAGCACGCCAGTACAAGCCCACAGAAGATCACAACATGCAGTTTGTAACCGTTCGCACGATACCTACCATAATTCGTTCAGTACCAGTAAGTTCACCGTTCAGCTTGGTAACTGCTCAACATTTTTATCAGAATATCATTCAACTTCAAGCTTAGTTATCCAGTCAATATTAGCGGTTAGCTGTTCACACAATATGCTGGAGTTGCGTTTTCACAACTATTTTGGTATCGTGTGAATGCTATAACCGTGAGAATTTCTTTCCGTTTTCTTTCTCTGTCGCGGCGGTATCTTGTGAACAGAAACTAAGTCCTTTTCACCTTCGACCATAGTTTCTCTCTTTGTGCTTGAAAAAGTTCTCTCTCTCAATATTCTCTGTAAAAGGTATATTTTTGTTATAATTTATTTGTACAATGTATAATGTTTTGTTATAATGTATTTGTTTTATCTGTCTTGGTAAATATTCCACCTAAAAACATGTAGAAGGTGTCACTACTACACAGACGAGAGAAAATTGGTTAAGATGCAAGAGGTGCAGCCGACATCTTCATGTGAAAACGCTATTCGACTTTCTATCATCTTTTCATCTGAACTTTTTCTTGAAAAGTAGAAAGGAAACGCTGGGGTAAAACATGGGTCAAACCATGAGGCCGTGAGAGATGAAAGATTGGTCAAGTTCTTTTACCTGGCACAGAAATTTCATGCAATCGTTCCCAAAAATAAACCTTGAGTACAGGAAATGTATTTCTTGACGTCAACAAACTACAGACAAGGCCGAAAATAATTCAAAATAGAAAAGACTGTGCCGATTTCTTTTCGTAAAGGCGAAGCCACAGAGCCTCCTGAGTTACTACGAAGTTCAAATACTTTGCATTGGTACCTTAAAAGACAAATCCTGAGTACCAAAATTTAGGCGAGGTTTAAACTGAAATGCCTTTTTCCTGGAGTGCTTGATGTGCTTTTCATTTTGGCAAGCTGGTGTGTTGAAGGGGGCTCATGGCTCACGCTCCAGCATTTTGTCGCCATAATTCTTCCGTATAATTTGGATATCGATTGAAGAAGCCATTTTTTTACAATCAAGTCTCTCTTCTTCCTAAACTGGCTTGCCCCACATTCTACATTTGCAACACAACTGGCTTGCCCCACATTCTACAATTCACGTAGAACCGCTAGTTGCTTTTCTTAATTTATATATCACAATTTTATTATCTTAAACACAAATAAATCCACTTGTAATTACCCATTATATTAACTTCCTGCACAAAAAGTTCCTTATCGTAATTTATTTTCAGTTCAAACTTAGCTTAGTAATTTCTCCCTTTAATTTGACACATTTATTCTCTGTTATTTACATTTTTACATAATCGTCATGACATTTGATACGCCCTCAACATTTTCTTGAAGTGGTGTTAATATGTGTTTATCTCGGCCGATTTTTTCCCTCTGTGGTAGGCTGGTCGCACCGACCAATAATAAATTTTGGAATCATATCGGTAAAAAGCAAGAACTAATTCTTTGGCTCCGAATTTCTCCTTTTCATGGGATTGGACTGTTGGTATACGCACGAACCGTATACGACTGTGCAAATATTCGCTCGGTGATGATTTCATCTTTAGAGGTGATGAAGGGGAGGTCAATTGTCTGATTTTAGAAAAAAATGTGGATTTTTACCTAGAACTCGTGGCAAAGCTATTGAGGCAACATCTTCAGTTGTTGTGTGAGGCTTTCACCCTCTCTAATTACACATATTTTCTCAGATGCATAGCTTGGCAAATATTTATATTGTGAAACTGACAGCGCTTATGCTACTCACCTCTGTGCTGAGGTGTGAGGAGGTAGGCGTAACCTAATTCAGCGAAATTTTATGTCAAAAAACTAAGTTCAATAGAACTATTTCATGTAATTAAAATATACCATAGATCGTTAAACATTAAACCATTTTATGTAATTTGACTTGAAAAACGTGCGCCGTGAAGAGAACGAACTATGCCAAACGTTTATCCAAATTGACGTCCAAACTAAGCTTCTTAAGTCTCGCCATCAAGTTCGATATTACAAATCATCAACATAAACATTCTTATAGCAAAGCCCGGAACTTTCTTTTGAAAAGTTAACAAAATCTACAATGTCAACAAACGCACATTATGTCACCCACCGAAGAAAAAGCCATAAAGCCCATATGTTATAAATAGATCAACAAGCTTCGTTTTAGACGCGTATTTAAACAAAGCATGCAACAATATTAACTCGAGGAAATCGTTGAATGGAGTCTAGACGTGCGTGTCATGTTATTGATATTAGCAACTATATACTGAGTGTTTTTGCCCTATGGCTATTTCTTAAAACCTACACTGAATCATCGTGAATATAATTATAGGAGATATTTCACTCATCCATCATTTATTTTAGTTAAATACACAAATCTGCCCTTGAATTCTGTGGAATTGTTCTGTGGAATTGTTCTGCCTTTGAATTCTGTTGAATTGTTCTGTGGAATTTTATCTCGAATCTCTACGTCAGTATATACATGCAGCTAGCTATAAGTGTGTTCTGTAAATAACCTAAACAAAACTGGCATACCGATTTAAAAGAGAAATATTTACGGCAATTAACTATTCAAATGAAAATAACTGGGTTTGATCACTATCGAACAATTGTTAGGCATAGCATGATATTTTTTTGCTGAAACGGAAGACCAAATAAGTGCAAGAATGTATGTTTTTGACAACTTGATCTTAATCAAACATTTTTTCTATGTCTATTTAACATTCATCTAATACTTCAAGACCTTGCGTTTGAAGATTCATTGTTATGAAGATAATCAATTCCCCATAAATATTTTGAAAACAGATTTATGTACTATTTCAGAAAATTCTGGGCTATTTATCAACCTCGACAGGGAACCTTTAGGCCTAGAATAGTTGGGCATTTCAACCACCTGCAGGCTGTCTCCTCGATAATTATTACCCCTCACATTGACCATTGCTTGGAGTGACCACTACAATATATTTTCACGATTGCGAAATATTGGAACTTTTTTCTACAGATGCATGAAATGGACATAAATAAAAATGACAAAAATATCAAAGCCCTCCCTTTTCCAGTTCTCACTTTGCCAAAAGAGTAAGGCTCATGAGTTCGCATCAATATGCAAAAGAAACACACTCCAAAAAACATATAAACGTCTTGTAAATCCATGCGAGATATACAGTAAGTCGTGAAAAACAAGGCGGCAAAATGGTGAAATTTCGACTCTATTTCAAAGTCATTGTCAAAGTAATCAATCATTCTTCGCGTTGGGCGACTAGCTCTTTGTCAAATTCAAGTCTTGTGCACGCTATTACCGCGACTTTCTGAGTCCACATCTCGAGGTTGCTTGCTTGAATATTTTGAAACATTAACACTAAGGCTTTTGTCTCACGTCACCATATCCTGTGGTTGGAAAAACGCGCACTTGTCTTTTTCAAATTTTTAATGAATACAATTTCATCTGACCAATGATCTGATAACATCTGGGACGGGCTGTTCAAATGTTATGTAGCCCAACCCTTGGTTTCAAAGTGAATCTCAAATCAAACTTTCCAACAGCTCATAGTTCATATTGACATATATGTTTCTTCCATGGCTTCGTGGGTTTCATGGACTCTCTGGTCACGAAATCTTTGTTTGCTTTTTGGAAACAATGGTCAGTAGCTAGCAAATGCTGATTTGGTTCGACAGACTTGATGTACCTATTTACGATATTTGGCATTGTAGAAACGTCTGATTTAAGTAACATATCTAGTTGTAGCTGTTTGCCGAACCTAAATTGTACCCGAACTTAGGCTTAGCTCTAAAAATCATTTAGTCAAAACGTCTGTCAACTTCAACGACAACGGTCTCTCTCATAAGACTTACCAACCTAGACGGAACAATATTCGCAAATATGTGAATGACTTGCGAAAATATCGTTGTTTCGTTTATAAATTTGACACTTTTCTGTTGTATCTTTCAATTCGCATTTGTATCTTTCAGTCCGGTCGAAATCTGTGACGCATTAGAATTTATCCGCACCGAATATTTCAGTTACGTGATTATCAAATTGATATATTGAGTACGTAATAAGAGTTTACTTCCTTAAGGGTTCCAATATTCGTACAAGTTGGTCCTACATTTCGTACAAAAGCTTTCTATTTAGACGTTTAATGTATTTCACGCGTGTATCATAATACAGAGACCTTTTTGTGCTCTTTGTTGTTGGAATTTGTTCAAAGTAGCTTTGCAAACCAATTTATAGACAAAACCCTTAGTTCGGATCAGCGGTAGAAGCCGATGGTAAAACGATGCCCCCTTTTTTACGCAATGATCTCAAGAATTATTTTTCTTTTTTAAATTAACCATGACATCAGTTAAAAATGGAAGAAATGTTTTTGGAAGATCAGAGGCAAACGTGAATGCTCCCAAATCGTATATATAATAGCATCTTACAAACGCAATTATTTATTTAAATCTTTAAATCTTTGCTCTACATTCGGTTATTACCAAACCATATGCATCGATTTACAGGTTTGATAAATTATTGGCTGACGTTTGCCTCTTGAAATAAAGAGTGCAATTATCGAGTATTTTTGAGTAGAAAAGTTTTCGTAAACCTTATAAATGTTGAGGTGAAATTACCATAATAATTCATCTTTTACTTTAACGCCGGGACCGCTATCTTGTCCATGAACACTCATGCATGTTTACCTGTAGGTCTGAATTTTTAGCGTTTTGTGCAATTAATACCACGATATATTTCTGATTCGCCGGTAGTTATACTTCCAAAGACAACAGAATGTTTACTGCAGCCTAGGTAGGGCAGAACATATACAGCGGTTGACCAGACGATCCGAAAAAAATCACACATAAAAGCCTTTTGTAGGAACGGTTTAAATAAAGGTTTTTCATAATTCTGTAGACAAAACACTTACACAAATTATCTACTTGTGATAATGATGTTAACTTAGGTCTGTTAGATGCCAGTAACTTTTATTTATTCTTCATTTATACAACTAGCAAGTCAAGGAATAACGATTCTTTTATGTATATAGCTAATATACACTCAGTATATATTTATCCTATAGTTGCACGAGAAAGGTCGCATGGTATATATGACTATCAGGATGTAAAATTGCATTGAGGAATCTTTAGAAGCAATGTAAGACAAAGCGGACGTTTAATGCATTTCATGTGATGTTTTTTTTATGTAATGAGTATCTTTGCAGAATAGATTTGCATGAGAAATATGATTGATTGTTTTGACATCAATCTTTACGATCTCAATAAGTCGCGCGGACTGTTTTTCTCCGTCTCAAGTACCCCGCGCTAATCATATACCGCTCATGCAAATGTAAGCCATTTAGCTTCAAAAACTGACTGCTCGTCCTTGTGGACGAATGCGTAATAAAGTATTATTACCTTGCTGCTTTTTTTAATTTAACGTTCTCAGTATATACATGCATGCAATCGCACAGAAATGGTTGAATAAATCTTTATTCATTTGGTATATAAAAGCCTTTTGAATCTTTGTTTATAACTGTGGGTCGACCGAAGGCAAGGTTGTTCATTGCCAGCAATACTGTCTCTGTATGCGATGATATATGCTTGGTGTATCAATTGCACGAAAGCTTTTCATGCCAGCTTCTTTTATTCCAAACTGATTTCAACATATTGGACAAGGAACGTTTTATTCATGTTTGTATGTGAAAACTGTGAAGAATCCATGATTAATAATTGAATCACAATTAATAATAGAATTTGATATTTTCGACTACATTACATCTATATGATAGGTTGATATTATTTTCATGCAGCTATCCATAACTAGTTATCATACGGTGTATTTTTTGTGCTAATCTCTTTCCTGAGCAAACCAGATAATTCAATGGAGCACTTTGTTTAACTCCTCCATGCTGCTGTCTAACTGTCTGTCATGAGGTCAATATACAAACAGGTGATTAAACAGTGATTTCATATGCATTATTGTGGCGTTCGCACAAAAGCGAGTCAGGAAATCAAGCTATTCCACTGTGTTTCGACGTCACGTGACTTTAGGCTTGAATGAGGTTGAAGAAAAACTAGTTGGCGTTTGGAGTTATTTGCATTTGTTGGAATTTCTCTGCGTACCGTTACCACAGGAAGATACTCCCGGCTCGGCGTGGAAGGTTATATTTGGAACAAAAAAGTTGGAACAGTCCTGGATCGGCGTGGTTGTTGCGACACGCGTTCGTACAAGGATCAATATGGTGAGCATACAGCGATTTATAGTCGGTTACAGTAAATATGACCTACAGGCTAGAATTAGCTATTGTTGTAGAACTGTGTTGACCGAAACGAAATATATACTCTCCCAGGCTGTAGTCATTCGCAGAGTTCTATTCATCATCACCGGCGTTCTGCATACGGCGTGAGGATAAGCTTGCGATCTGAAGAAGGAGAGACCCCGTCTCTCAGTGCGCGATATTCAGTGAGCTATTATGGCGTAACGATGTGCTTGGTAGCAAGCGCAGACATATTATAGAAAATGATATGCAAGTCTTTAAACAACTCACAAAGCCTTCAGCTACAATACAATAGTGAATATATAATCCTGTTTAAGTGAATAAACTTGATTGATTTAAAGCAATGGCAGTTGCCTTCCAACTATAATGCATTGTGTATTCACTGTTACATAACTGACTGGTGTCGGGCACTGTTTTTGCTGGATTCATCTTATGCACTGTCAGTGGTATACATATCTGAAATCCAACTTGGCGTTATCAACTTATCAGGCAATAATAACACACAATGTGCATTTGCAACACAACCTGATTATGCATTTGCTTGTATTAACAAATATATCTGCGAGCTTCTTCTGTATCGCTGCTGACAAGGTCATCATTGCCATTTGTGTTTCTGCATTTCTACGCGAGTTTTCTGGCCAGATTTTGCTACTCTTTGACTTTAGGACTATCAAAAAACGATATGACCGCGGGTTTATTCATTTAGAATTCTGAAGACTGGTTTTCAATTGTAATTCGTTGCCATTCGCATGATCCTATAATTCGTTGTCATGCGTAATCATGACGAATGAAAACCGAATTAAAACTAAACCACAACTTGCAAAAGCCGATGGGGCTGGGCAACATGACCACCCTGAGTGATACTGTAGCTTAAACAATAAACCTTGTTGTATGGGAAAAATGTATCTCACATGACAAGCTCTTGAGTCAAATCATCCCAATACAATATGAAACGTATATTAAACGAAATAGTACAAAAATAAACCACGATATTAATGTGACACTATAATAGCAGACTAGAGGACTGTCGAGGACATTAAACTGATATGACTGAAAAAATGACGTTCATTCGAAGTTATAACATATTTGTCCAACATCATACTGCATTGTTGATGAAGCATTTTGTTTGAATAACATTGTGTTCTCTCAGATTAGTTGTTGAGTGCATGAGATTTAAATGTAACTTGTTCAAATATATCATTCAACACTCTTCAACTTGCATTTACCAACACTGTTGGCCCGGTTAGAACAGTTCTCACAGTGTTTATTATGTATTGAAGGGCTCGAAGCAAAAGGCTTTGCGAACAAAAGCTTTTAGAAATGAATTTGTAAAAACGGAATTTAAAAGAAACAGGATGAATCGTGTTTCTTTTAAATTGTTCTCACTGAGAGAGCCTGCAATGTTATTTCAGTATGCAGCCGTAGTAGTTTTGGATTCGTTCATACATCAGGTGATATCGCGGTGCAAGAATATCACACCACTGTCACGTATAAATCTTAAAAAAGTTGCATATGGGCAATATCATGTCACAGTTATGTCACTCATAATTTGTTTCGTACGAGAATCAATACATGCCCAAACAGCTTGTGAGACGACTTGGCACTGTTTTCTTGCTTTATTCAGTACTAGCATGAACTGCCGAATAACCCGTGCATGCAAATTGTATTGATTCAATAAATTTGTGGCAGGCCATGCATTCAGATTACTGCACGTCACTTCACAATGAAGCTGAGACGATTGTTGTAGATTGTTGTAGCTGCTAATATACTTAAGTCATCGAAACAGCAATGTTTAAAGTCTGCTGTTATAAGATTACGATTGTGGTTTTATGCCGTGTGCATGGGTTAACGTTTTTAGCCTGCACACAAACTCTTATACTTCTATACTACATTATATAAGAAGAAAGGTCTTCAGTTATATCCTGGGCAAATATTTACCTTTCCTAACCATCAACTGAATACAGAGTATAAGTTTAACTTTTAAGAACCACGGCAGATAGCAGAAGGTGAAACTCCTGTTCAAAACTCGTTCAATTAAATGATCCCTTCAATCTTCAATGCATGCATGGCATGCATTCAAACCAATTTCAAAAACCTTTCATTATTTAAAATGCCAACAGCTCAACAGTAACGGATGTGTTGTAAATTCTGCAAACCAGTGCTTGTTGCCTTTTAAATAGGCAGTATACGTTTCATATTCTATGTCTAAGTGTCTAAACCATATACCAAATCTTAAACCAACGAACGTGTGTTCTGGAATACACAATACGCTGACATATACATGATAATTATTGCAAACCTAAAAATTGATAAGTGAGATTACCTGTCAAAAACTGTCTGCATGTCCTAACCCAGCCTATCAAGAACTCCATTGCAATGGTGAGAAAGCACAGGCAATCGCGAGCAAACTCAAAACGTATGACTTCTCGTTTCGCAAGAGTGTGTGAAGAGTATAAAGTTCTTAGAGAGAATCGTGCAAACTTAGAGCTAAAAGACTGACCTGAAGAATACGCCACCAGTGGAACTGGATTGTGAAATGATATAAGTATAGTTTGTATGCTTTCCCAGGTCACGTATTGATGTCGCTATTCACGAGTATGCTAGGGAATCCTATAGAGGTCTGGTTCTGAATGTTTGGGGACCACTAGGTACCTCTCAGTTATACATACTTTTTTCTCGCATAATTTACAGAACAAAGCAATATTTATGCCTTAGTTTTGCGATAAATTGGCGGTCTATCTCCGGAAGTGTAGTTTAAACGATTGTTTACATTTTGTCACACTCTAAACAATTGTACATTTGATAATAAACTCGTTTTAGTTTTTTCTGCTTTTGAATAGTGGCTGTAGTCGATAAAGCCATATCAATGCTTTTTCAAATAAGTTCTTATCAAATGAATGTGCTTAAGCGACAACCTCGACGTTTCGTCCTGAGAGCCTTCTTGAGGGAAATCTCGAGAAGTTTTTTTTTCTACATTCCGTGCAGATAGTTCTTCGACCACGTTCATTGAAAAGGTCAATAGATTCATAGTCAGAGTTCTAAAAGTTTCCATATATATTCTTTGGAAATAGAAGACAAATTTGAAAACTGTTACAAGTGAATCTCAACTCTTTCACGGACCGTCCTAAAAACCGTCCTGAGGATTTCAGTACATTTTCAAACCAGCTACCTCTGTAGCTCAGTGCATGGCAAGAGCACTGCACCGGCATCGCAGAAGCGTAAGTTCGATTCCTGCCGGAGGAACGATAGTTGACTAATTTTTCTCAACTGTTCCTGGCTTGAATTGAGTTGTGTATGTTTCCACTCGAAATTAAGACCCTTTACAATAATCAATATTAGTAGTTTTTGAAACTCCTTTCAGAAGGAGTTGTAGCGAAATTTTGTTATAGCATTGTTTTGATCATGTGCGTTTTCTTGTTCTGTATACCTGCGCAGGTCAGATATGGCCGTCTTTTCAATTTTTGTTGTGATTATTACTAAATTTTCCAACTTCGCTAATTCCAAATTCAGATCGGCAGTTGAATCGACATGTCCAACGAGGCGAGACCTGAGGACAAAGTTCGTCAGAAAAGTGGGGGAACAAGCCAGCACCCTGCTGCTAAAGTGGTTAAGGAGGGAGCCAATTTTAATATACTAGAACATTATTTGTATGGCAAGAATGTTGTTCGTGCAATTGACATGCAAAATATACGGAAACAAAGAACCACGGACGAGTCTAGAATTGAAAAGAATAATAACAGCACGTCGTCAGGTTCAAAAGGTGGGGTACTAATTATATTTACATTATATATGATTTAATTAAAACAATTACTTTAACTAGGTATACATAAAGTATGATACAAATAAGAGAGTCGGCTTTCCTTTATACAGTAAAAACGGCCAGACCGGTCCTGTTGTATTTCAGTAATCAGTACAGAAAGATTACTGGTATTTTAGAGTGTTTTAAGAAATCTGCATTCAGGAATATCGATATTTACATCTGCCGGTACAGGAAATCCTGTTTCACTGCTATATTTTTAACGGAATACTCTATTTCAATTCAAAATATAACCGTTCTGACGATTTTGGCTAAGCCAAGCTAAGATTTAGACTGAACCAAGTTTATTTCAAAATATGACATGCAGTTTTCAAAAACCCTTTAACATTGAGGGGCAAAGAATGATAGGTAACTTCCTTATTAGTTATTAGACTCCTTTAAGAGGTCATAGAATGGAGCACCACATCTATGACAGGATTGTGTGCAATATTTTACTTTCATTCGATTAATCAGCATTATAATTTGTTTCGTGCACGTGGGTCATGCATTTGACGGAAAATAATCGTAGATAAAATGCATATAATCGTAGATAAAAATGATCAGTTTTCAGGTACTACACGTGGATTTCCGCTTTGCAAAATTACAAGATATTCATTTGCATACAGTTTAAAAGGAAAACTGATATTGGGGCTTGAATTGTGTATATTGTAGCAGTAGGTGTCATATTTCATGCTGTGATATTCGATACGCCAAACCTCGCTTGATTACATTCGTGCTCTTTCAAGACAAATATTTGATTGTATGTCGAAGTAAAATTCTGCCAAACATGGCTGCCCATGGTTATGAAGAAGAGCGTTTTGAAGTTGCTGTAAGTAAAAGTTTTCGCTGCCCGATTTGCTATAGCATTTTAAAAGATCCAGTCATGTGTCGTCAAAACCAGCATACGTTCTGTCGATGTTGTATAACTAAACATCTCGTGAGCCTTTCGACAACAAAAGATTGTCCCGTCTGTAAGGAGCAACTCAGTCTCGACACGCTCAGCGATCCGCCGAGAATTCTAACCGACTACTTGTCTGAGTTGAAGATACGTTGCGAATTTTTCGAGCGGGGTTGCAAAGAGTTTGTCGAATTACAGAATCTGGCAAGGCACACGGAGGCGTGTGGTTATGCTCCCGAGGTATGCTCGAACCCAGACTGCCAAGTCGAGGTCAACAGACGCGATCTGATCCACCACGAGTGCATGGAATGTGAAGAGCGGAAGCTAAAATGTCATAGCTGTGATCGCATGAGCGGCGACGTGGCGCAAATAAAACAGGTTTTAAAAACAGTGAACGAAAAAGTTGGTGTACTTGAGAATACCTGTGAGACAATGTGTGAAAATGTCTGCGCCGCAGTTAATTTAATTGCGGAAAAGTTTGATTCATTTCAAAAGAAGTTTGATTCATTTCAAAAGAAGTTTCATTTAGTGGTCGAAAGTCAGAAGGAAATGAAGACCAATCTTCAATCGTTGAAAAGACGTTTTCCTAACCAAGATAATACCGAGCAAGATTTACCAGGTGAATCATCTTCTTCTCCAAAGAGATCCAAGCTTGAAAACGATGATAGCGCCGAAAGAGCTGATAATGATGACGATGATGAAGATGATGATGATGAAGATGATGATAATGAAATCGAAAGTGATTTTGAAACCGATGACTCTGACGAATCTCAAGCTGAAGCATTTTTTTCACCTGATCTTTCATCACAGAATTCCTTCTCCTCTAGCTTAAATACACCTGCCACACCAAACGTGTAAATTTCTTATAATTTGGTTTAGTTATAGACCGCAGACACCTTTCCACTGAAACAATATACACTGTGAATTAGTTGATAGGATGGTGAGAAAATTTGGCATGGCAAGTCAACTCTTTCTGCTGTTGAAAGACTTTGTTTTGAATGTTGTTCGTCCTCGTTCAGTGAATGAATTTAGATATTTAGCAACTGTCGTAGATTATTAAACTTTTACTCAGTATAAAATGCCCACTCTCGGTTCCTATTATATATATTAAAATACTTTTTGTATCCATATTTTACTAGATCAGTAGTGTGTTGGATGGTTCCAGAGCATTTTCTGAACCGTAAACCTCTTTTTAAACAAGTAATGCTTTTTCCGTCTTGAAAAGAGCGATTGCTTCCCTGTCCCATTTTTTAAAGAAATACCACCAATGTAGTAAATCGAAGCTTCGGTTTTTCCATTTTTACCAAAATTTTGACTTCAAAATCTCATTTCCAAGTTACCCGTGTATTAAAATAGCGATAACAATCAATTTCAGCTGGCGTCGTATGTTCGAGTCTAAACGACGGAGAATATTCTACCCACGCTCCTTTGCAGTCGTTACACCAGTTAGTACACGCAAAAGATCATGTGATAGGCGGCAACATCAAAGCAACTTATGCAGTGATGTCATTTCCTGATGAAGTGCAGTTGTGTACATCAAGTATACCTGGTTATGTCTACGGAGTTTGCGCACGGCGACATCTTCCTTCAGGGACATGGATCGGTCCTTACGAAGGACGGCGAACTGTTGATCAGCAACAAGATGGCTGTGAAAACCATGATTATTTGTGGGAGGTGCGTGTCTAAAGGCCCTGTTACACGATGCAATTGTTCTTGCAACTTGCAATGCAATTCTACTTTTGAGATGTAAATTTGGCAACTACGAAACTTTTATGTGTATTACACCCATGGACGTTTCTTACAGTTACATTTTAAATACTCTGTACTGATCACGTCTCAGCCATTCAGTTTGAAATCAGTCTCTGTGTTCAATTGAATACTTCTGTCTTCATTCCAGATTTACAATCAGGGTAGTTTCTCGCATTTCATTGACGCCAGTGACGAGAACTGCTCCAGTTGGATGAGGTTTATACGCTGTGCAAGATGCAAACAGGAGCAAAATATGTTGGCATACCAGTGCGGACAAAATATTTACTATCGTTCTTTTCGTGACGTTGCCGTTGGGGAGGAACTGTTGGTGTGGTATAGCGACAGTTATCAGAAACATTTAGAGATTCCACTGACTCTAAATGAAACAGACCAGGCAAGAACTGAAGGTATGCCATCCATTAATATCAGGGTCGCCAAAACAGTTTATTTGGTTTTTTTAGTTGGCTGATATGCTGTTCCAATCTACAAAAAAAAGATTCTGTAGGATTAAAGAGAAATATTACGAATAATTGCGCATGAAATGTAAATATAAATCACTTCAAAGAAATCACTTTCGACCAGTCGGTTGACAAGATAGTATAAACCCCCTGAAAAACTTTGAGAACGGTCCTGCATTTCCAATTTTCGTCATATTCCATGTTATAATCTCTAAATGAAGTTACCAGGTTCAGAGATTTGTAACTTGCGATATCAGGTTTTTGTATAATATCTGTTCATACTATGTAAATATCTATATTTGAAAGTTGCCCAATAATTATTTCCCGAAAAGGTAGATGTGATATTTTACCAATTGTAATTGAATTTTTTGAATAACTTTAGAACTTGCTGGAAAAGTTGATGAGAGAGGACAGACAGGTAATCTTGCAGTTCCAACCCCACAAGCTGCTGAGATTCTCAGCTCTGTGCCTGAACTGCCAGGTCCTTTTCCGTCGGGAACTCCTGTAGACCATAGCTACCCTCACGAGTCCCATACTATAACCGCACCACCATTAAAATCAGCGTTTCATCACACCGAAAATTCCCCGTTTTCGTCCATCTCCCTCGAGCCAGCAACAACGACGACCACCGTTCAACAAGCTTTAGCTCATCAAATAAAGAAACGAATCGAAAGCGAAAAGCAATCACAAACCGAAGGACCTCTGAGAAGTAATTCACCGAAAGAAGGCGAGAATTATACTTCGAGCGAAGTTAAAACAAGTAGTTTTCAAGAACAAAGTGAGAAGAGCGTATTTCACCAGCAGATTCACAGCAGCGATTTTCAACACCAAAGCGCAGGAAATTTTGAGCGCGAAGGTTTTAAAACCGCTGTACTCAATGATCTCAGTTCGCCATTCAAATGCAAACAATGTGAGAAGGTTTTCACCCAGAGGATTCAACTGCAAATGCACGTGTGTCCAAAATCGCCGTACAAACCTTTTCAGTGTGGCCATTGTTCGCTGAGTTTCGCTCAGCCGTCGGAGCTTCGGAATCACGTCGTGGTACACTCGAGCGAACGACCGTTCAAATGCGGTTTTTGCGGCAGGTCGTTCGCTGGCGCGACTACTTTGAATAATCACGTGAGGACACATACGGGAGAGAGACCGTTTTCCTGTAAAAGTTGCGGAAAGACATTTGCGATTGCCACGCAGCTCGCGAGACACACGCGTGTACTGGGTGATTGTACCTGGGCATGTGTCAAGCACGGTCGGATCAACATACCCGAGTGAAAGTTTGGTTGGAAATGATTAGGTGTGAAAAGACATTCGCGATTGCCACGCAACTCGCGATACACCCGCGTGTATCGTGTGAATGTCACGAGTATGTATCAAACACGGACGGATCAACGAATCCAAGCTTGGTTTACAAATATTAAGTGTGTTATTTGTGTATTTTGATAACTTAAGATGGCGTGAACCTAATTTTGTGCTTGTTTGATTTTCTGGCCCAGTTAGTTTGTTGTGAATCAGCTTGCCAGTAGCGCCTTTTACTACCTGTCTACTACTACTTTACACTACACGTTGAAAAAACGTTTTCTTTCAAATTGACTTGAAAAAAGCTTTTCTGCTCGGTTTTTTCCCTATATTTTTCAGTTTCAGTAATGCGTTTGAACAACTAGCTTTTTTAGCTACGACAACTTCTAAAAGCAGGTTGATTATATCACTAAAGTCGTTTGCTACTGTACAATGCTATGGGTTATTTACATGTAAATGTGATGAAAAAAGTTTGAGAAAGTCGTGAAATTCGTGCACAGCCCTCTTGACCCAGGCACGCAGCTCTCTTGACTGCTGCGATGATTACGTGTCATACAAAAACGCGCGCCCACGAATTAGAACCACGTGTCTCGCGGGACTCAGAAGTTAATAAAGCCCAAAATAACCTGGCTTTACTTTCGCCAAAGGCCCAATATCAGAACGGATAGCGTTCCAGTTATATTCATCTCAATGCGTATAAGTGTAGGATGGCTTCTAACTATGGTAAGTGGACAGCAGAGATTAATTCGCGTGTTGCTGGTGGATTAAACTGAAGCACCTTTTTGTGGGTTTTTTAGTGGAGATTATGCATCTTGAAGTGCTGTTGACTTTCAAACGGTATCAACTATGCCAATATTACGACAGTTCATGCGTATAACAGTGATTGTTGTGGGTTTTAAATCTATAAAGCCTGTTTATTTAGACCCTCGACTCTCTGTCTTCACTGGTTATTCTGCCCTTCCGTTTGTCAATTAGCTATTATATATATAACATATTTACAGAGGATGAAACAATTCAGTATAAATACTGCTATCAACTTGTGTCCTCTCTAACAGGTCTAAAATATATACGTATAAAACTATCTAAGGTATTGCGAATGTTAGATAATAATTTAAAATAATTTAAAAATGAAAAATATCTAATAAATAAAATTTTTGACAGTTTAAGCCACTTATCATCCCAAATGTTCGCTGAGTAGTTTCTTGAAATTTTCATAGTCTTCAACTACACGTATGTGTTTAGGGAGATCATTATAAATCTTTGCAGCAGAAAATCTGAAGGATTTCCTAACATATTCAAGTTTAACTTTAGGAAGTTTGACCAAGATTGAATTGTTACAAGTTCCTTTGCAGTGATTGTTTGTTTGAAAATAACCTTGAAAATTGCTGCAAACCTTGTTATCCAGACACTCTCTTACGAATTGACAAACTTTCCTTCTAATTAGACGTTCTGTGTTAGAAACATTCTTCCCACATCCAACAATTGCACTTACACGACTTTCTATCGATTGAAGCTTCATTAGTTGAGTATCTGTAAAAACAGGCTTAATCATAGAATTATATGTCAATATTGGTAGAATCATCATTTCGTAAATTTTGAACGCAGCATCCGGGGTTAGGTATTCACGCAGTTTCGATAGCAGTCTCAGACGGTTACTGACTCTCTTGTACGTAATGTCGAAATTTTCGTACAGTAACAAGCATGTATCCAAAGTATAGCCCAAGTACTTATAGAAGCTACGTTGTTTATAGCATGTCCTCTGTACCTTAGCTCTAAATTTCGTTCTGTGGCAGAAATTCTCTTTCCTGTCCCGAATAACATGGCCTCAGTTTTTCCTTTTTTGAGGTTTATCATCAACTCATTTTCATCGAAGTACTGTGCCAGGGCTTTAAGATCCTGAGTAAGTGCTCTCTCGATTGTTCCAATTTCGTGGCCAGGAAAGTATATAACAGTGTCATCAGCATATTTTAAGACACGAGCATGAACAAGCTGGTCTGCCATATCATTGTAAAAAACGAGGAACAACAATGGCCCTAATATTGAACCTTGTGGTACCCCACAAAAAACCGGTTCGATGGGTGACTTAGTGGTGCCCAAGTTGACATATTGCTGGCGATAAAAGAAATAGTCGGTGAACCAAAGTAACTCATTACCTTTAATCCCATATGCTTCTAATTTCGTGAGTAGGACAGCATGACTTAAAGAAATCGAAGGCTTTGCTTAGGTCTACAAAAACGACACCCACTAGATTTCCTTTATCTACTTCTCTTCGAATGTCATCAGTGAGCAAAATAGCAGCTTGAGTTGTGGATCGTTGAGGTCGATAGCCGAATTGAAATTTAGATAATAAGTCTTCTCTTGATAGGAAGTCCATTAGCTGTTGATGAACAGCCTTTTCCAGTATTTTGGACACTGCGGGCAACACTGAAATTGGTCGATAGCTGTCAGGTTTATCAGTGGTCCAGATTTGTATATAGGTACTATTCTTGCTATTTTCCAAAGTTCAGGGAAACAGGATGACTCGATTGATAAGTTAAAGATATGGCAGAGAGGTTGAGCAATATGTTGACGACAGTCTTTAAGAAGACCAGGGGGTAAGTTGTCTGCTCCTGTCGATTTGTTTCTCTTAAAAAGCTTCAGTTGATTCATAACGAACTCACTGGAAATATGCTGTGCTTTGAAAAGCGATCGTGTCCGAGATGTTACACCTAATGGAAATTTCCCGGCAGACAAAATTAACAAGTGGAAAAGCTTTTTCTTTGAGACTTTGGACAATGTTAGAAAAATGTTTACTAAAAATGTTTGCCCTCTCTTGTTCTTTAGCTGGATTTACATTTAACGTTGCCCTTGCCGTTTTATTGAGGAAAATACTTTTGATGGTGCTCCAGAAATTCTTCGGATTGCTCACGTTCTGATTGAGCAAGTCCTTATGATATAAGCTCTTAGCTTGCCTTAATTTATTGTTACAGGAGTTTCTTAATTTCTTATATAAGGACCAGTATCTTTCCTCTTTGGTATTGCGTGCTTTTCGTAACATACGATCCCGGTCTATCATGAGCTTTCTTAAGTCTGCGTTCAGCCAAGGTCTTGGTTTCCCTCTGACTTTTCGAACGGACTCAGGCGCGTGTCGATCGAAAATACCTTTAACAATTTCGTTAAAAGGTTCCACGGCTGTGTTTACATTCTTTGACATGTATATTGTGCTCCAATTTACATTTTTGAAATCCTCATTCATCGCGGCAGGATCATATGTACAATAATTACGGCTAAAAACGGTCCTCGGAGAGTATTTAAAGTGGTTCAGTTTTCGTACGCAGCCAACCATGTCGTGATCACTTATGCTAGCAGGGTAGACACAATGTTTTGATATCACCTGTGGGTGATTTGTCATTATTATGTCAATCAAGGCAGAGGATTCGTTTGCAATACGAGTCGCTTTCTTTATCAATTTGCTTAAAACCGTATCGACGAACTAACTCTTTAAAAGTGATATGTTCGCCTTTCTTTAAAAAGTTAACATTAAAATCTCCTAATATGATAATTTCTTTAGATTCACCGATTCCTTTTTCTAACATTACATTAAGAATGTCATGAAAGTCAGATGGTAAATAGTTGGATCCGTCTGGGGTCCAATATAACACGTGGCAAGCAGAAAGCTTTTTGAATTTTTAACAAGCACTTCTATCCAAATGCACTCGACGTTATCGTTTTCCAAATTATCCCGCCTTACCCAGGAAATACTCTCTTTGATGTACATAGCCACACCACCACCGAGCCCCTGTTTTCGATTTCGATTGATAAACACGTAGCCCGGGATTTTACATAGGTATTCGTTATCATCATACCTGTCATTAACAATATGCGTTTCAGATACTGTCAGTATATCCACTGCCCTATGTCGCTGAATAAGTTCTTGTAGACCGAGTAAATTGTTAAATAAACCGCGTACGTTCTGGTGCACGATTTTCATACCTTTAGTGTTCGTAAAACTACCGAACACATCGTGTATTGGACCAGGACATGACTCAATATCGCCACACAACAGCAATAAGATTGTGAACATACTTCCTTGCGAGTGACGATACACAAACCTCACTCTTTGGCCACGTCGACTATTCCATAGACTCGATAGGGCAAACGTTTCGCTCTTATTTCCCTCATCGTCATTCATCAGCGATACACTTATTCCATCAGGCTGTATAAATTCTATCTTTCTAACGCAGATGCTTAGATAAGACAAACACACGGCGAAGCCGAGAATCGTTGACACATTTAACCGTAACACCGCCATTGTTGTTGAGTTCAGTCAAATGTCTCTCTGAATAAGCGAAGCAGAACGCCAGTCTAGGCTATACGGACTGTAGTTTCAAAAGGATCACACAAGAGTGGAAGGGAAACACTTGATTGAATGTTGTGAAAAGATTCTGTCAACTATGGCTGCCCATGGCTACGAAGAACAGCGTTTTGAAAGTGTTGTTAACAAGTTGTTCAAATGTCCTATTTGCTTGAACGTTTTGAGAGATCCAGTAATGTGCAGTCAAAACCTGCACTCGTTTTGTCGAGGTTGTATATCTAGACATCTCTCGGTTAACGAAACATACGACTGTCCTGTTTGTAAACAACGACTCAGTCTCGACACTCTTAGCGACCCACCAAGAATTTTAACCGATTACTTATCTCAGTTGAAAATACGTTGCGAGTTTTTTCAGCGGGGCTGTACGGATTTCGTCGAGTTGCAACATCTTGAAACTCATCTCGAAGCGTGTGGATACGGTCCTGAGGTTTGCTCGAACGACGGGTGCCAACTTGAAGTGAACAGACGCGATTTAATCCACCACGAATGCAAAGAATGTGAGCAACGAAAGCTAAAATGCCACAGCTGTGATCGTATAAGCGAGGACATTGTCGAACTGAAACATAATTTGGCAGCCATAAACGAAACGCTTGTGCACCTCGTTTTAACTCTCGACACGTTAAAAAGACGTTTACCTCCAAATGAAGGCAATGCTGAAGAATTAAGAAATCGTGCACCTTCGACTCCTAAACGATGCAAGATTGCAATTGTTGCTAAAGGCGGAAAAGTTCCTCCTGCTGAAACCGATGATGAAGATTATGATACATCGTATGATTCTCCTTCATCACAGGATTCTTCGCCTGACACGAACTAAACATCGCGTATAATTTGACTTTCATATACCTCATAGGTCATTGTATGTTGTTTCTGTGATATCCTAGGAGCATGATTCACTGCCCAAAATTGCCTTGGTATATTTACTACTTCTGAACTCAATAGAAAGACATTTGAGCCTCTCTATTAATAGTACAAATTCTAGGGTTATTGGAAATAATACTGAGAATTAACATAGATTTGTTAACTTTGTTCGATAATTCAAGTAAGTTTATATAAATGATAGATCCAAGTATAACAGTGGGCATATCATATTTTTATTCTAAGGTACATAATTTTGTGTTGCACAAATTTATTGCGTTTGAAATATTCTAATGGTGGTATTAAGATGTGTACTACGTTTTAATATTCCTTTGGTTGTATCAGGGAAGCACGTTTGCGTTTTAAATATCGTACTAGGAAAATGAATTGTTTATAAATAGAGGAATTCTGCATATTGACGTATAGTGATATTTTACATGGTAACTATTTGCCACTACTCATAAGGACTACTCACTAAGAAAACACTTCACCTGTAAAATTTCACAACGCAAAGGCCAGAGCACTCGCAACTTGTAATAAATTTGCAATTTCTTTGTCTTCAAACTAAAGAATAATGCTATGTCTTGCATTTCGAAATAACCAGGTACACCATTTGTCATCTACACAATAGTCATTGGTATTGAAGTTGAAAATATTGTTTACATTATATTTCTAAAAACAAGTTGATTATATCACTAAAGTCGTTTGCTACTGTACAATGCTATGGGTTATTTACATATACTATCTACAGGATTTGTTTTGAACGTACGATTCACTGATTATTCAAAAAAGTTTATTGTGTTCTGATTTCATTGTTATTAACTGTTTGTATTCCTGCTGCAAGTTTATATAACTGATTTCTTTATTACTGCTTATCATTGTTCAAAGACAGTCTTCGGCAAGGCGTTGATGCCTGCTCATCTGGGAGGCCTGGGAGAAACTCTTGCCACATTTTTCACACGTGAACGGCTTCTGGCCTGTGTGAGTCCGCACGTGGTTGTTCAGTGTCGTTGCACCAGCAAATGTGCGCGAGCAGAAGCCACATTTGAACGGCCGCTCGTTGTTGTGGGTGACCACATGAGCCCGCAATTTTGTCGGGTCAGCGAACGACAGACTGCAGTGACCACATTGGAATGGATTGTTTGCTTGACTTGGGCATACATGAAGTCTTAATGCAGAGCGTTGTGTGAACCGCTGTTGGCATTGACCGCACTTCCAAATCCCAATCTCTTTGTCGTCCATCACGTCGGCGTTAGTCGGCGATCGTTCGTCGATTGGAGATGCTACGGGTGAGGCCGAGGGAGGCGGCGAACTACTATCGGAGGAAACTTGTCTTTCCCAGTCATTGTAATGTATGCTTGAGGTGAACGTTTGACTGACTTCTGGCGGGAATTGACGTGGCAATGTGAGACCGTTATGTTTGGTGAGGTACGCCGGTAAAACTGCTTGTTGGAGTTGATCAGAATGTTTTGCTGGGATGATCTGTTGGACTCCTGAAACTAGAAACATTTTATTTGTAAGCTATTAGGTGTTTGAGAAATGCATGCGTTTGAAGTGGTCATCTGTGCATGGTTTTTCGATTATAATGGAGTACTAACATCCCTTCTCTAAATCTTCCCTGGAGTTGAAGATTTTGCAATATGTTAGAAAGTGCAGTAGATTTTCAGGCTTTTAACCTGGTTTTGCAAATGACCATTGAACTGAGTACTGCTAGGCTGACCGGGTGTTTTTTGTTGCTGGATGTTTTTTAATATTGGTAAAGACTTTGCGTTGTTTATAAGGAAACAATTATCAGAATCTCAACAACTGTAAAGCTCTCAATGTGTACCTTTGTTTACTGCCGTTGGCTTGTTCGCAAAACTCGACAGTTTGATGAACATAGGTATCCCAAAATATTGCTCGTATTGGCTTTCGTACCACACCAATAGCTCTTCACCAGGCCTTATATCCTTGAACGAGCGGAAGTAGATATTCGGACCGTACTGCACCACGTGCATGTTCTGTTCGTAACGGTTGCGCGCGCATCTTATATAGCGCATCCAGCTGGACGAGTTGTCGTCTGAGCCGTCAAGAAAGTGGTCCAATTTTCCATCTTTGTAAATCTGATGAAAAAAGTTTGAGAAAGTCAGTTTGATACTAAAACCTATCTTCTGTGTCCCAGTCTTCATGTAAACCATGGATTCAGAATTTGGATTAGAAATTTTGTATCGTATGACCTCTATCTACATATTAAAGACGATCGATCGTACCTCCCAACAGAACCCAGGGTCAACACTTTCTCGTGATAGCATTCCTTTAGGAACCCTCTTTCCTTCATACGGGCCAACCCATGTTCCCGCCGGCATAAACTCTTTGGTACAGACACCGAGCTTATGTCCTGGGATGCTTGAAAGACATAGCTGTGCATCGTTTGGGAACGACATTATGGAATAGGTCATTTCAATGTCGTCCAACTCATCGTCGTCTTCCGTGCTTAGGATCCCTGAATTCCAAAGATTTTATCGATTTAAAAAAGGTACAAGAATCTAAGCCTACGAGATTTCAGTGTGAAACCACCCAACTGAAATACTTACTGGATCGTTTGTTTGTTGGATTTTCACTGTCCAGTAGCTTCCTCTTTCGTAAAATCCTTTCTATATCAATTACTTTCACTTTCTTTCTTCCATAAAGATGTTTGTTAAGATCTTCGCAAGTGAAGTCGAAGATTTCCGCGGATGTGATTGAAGAAGGAATGGAACGAATTGTGTTTATGGCTTTCGCACCAAGCTGGTGAAACGAAGTGGAACTTTGAATCCACAAATCGTTTTCCTACGAGAGATAGATCGTACATAATTTAGCTGCATTGTATAATCCGAGTCAGGGGGGGAATACAACTATATTTATGCCGTTATAAGTAAACAGACAAAAGTTGATATCAAGTCTAGTAATCGTGAAATTCGTGTACAGCCCTCTTGACCCAGGCACGCGTGGGAATTCTGCTGCGATGATTACGTGTCATACAAGCACGCGCGTCCACGAATTAGAACCACGCGTCTCGAGGGACTAAGAAGTCAATGAAGCCCAAAATAACCTGGCTTCACTTTCACCAAAGGCCCAATATCAGAACGGATAGAGTTCGAGTTATATTCATCGCAATGGGTATAAGTGTAGGGTGGCTTCTAACTATGGTAAGTGGACAGCAGAGATTAATTCGCGTGTTGCTGGTGGATTAAACCGAAGCACCTTTTTGTGGGTTTTTAGTGGAGATTATGCATCTTGAAGTGCTGTCGACTTTTAAACGGTATCAACTATGCCAATATTATGACAGTTCATGCGTATAGCAGTGATTGTTGTGGGTTTTAAATCTATAAAGCTTGTTTATTTAGACCCTCGACTCTCAGTCTTCACTGGTTATTCTGCCCTTCCGTTTGTCAATTAGCTATTCAAATGTCTCTTTCAATAAGCGAAGCAGAACGCCAGTCTTTGCGAGGCTTAACTTGTGGGGAAAATTTTGCGTAATATTCATGCCGAACAACCCAGGACTCATACGAGGACTAGCGCAGAGACTGGTACGGATATTTGAAATGTCATGTTGACTGTTGACTAAACACACCCAGAGCGGGTGGTGTTCGTCGATGATTCCAGTGGCTGGTAATTATAAACACAATCGCATATCAGCCACTCCTACGAAATGACTCGAAATATCTGGACTAAAAAGTCGCATCAAATTATTCTTTTCAATTCGATTTATCAAAGCGCGTTTCCGAGCAACTATTGTGTCCACTTTGAATGCAGTTCCCAGGACGTCTATTCTGCTTGAGGGAACAGCGAAACCTGTGGTGTTTGTGGTCAAAGAAGTTTCGACCAGGGAATTCTTAGTTTATCCCTAAATCATTCCTCCATTTTCATTGGAAATCGTCCCAAGAATCAGAGGGATCTTATTCTGATCGAAATGACTGTTAAAACTTTTGCGTTATTATGAAAAGGAAAATTTTGCATTGAACAATTATTGATTAGCGTTTAATTGGAAAATCTCTGAAGCGTTAAGAGCGCTGGATAAACATTACTCAATATTAGCATTTTGCTTTTTTCTGATTTCCTGTTTATAGTTTTCGACCGCATTTTCGGTTCGAGGTTTTTCTTTGTGAGAACAACAAACAGTATCGCACTGCCAGATCTTCGGAATATTTTTGCACCCTCTTTACTGAACACATTCGCATCATGCTATTTTGACCGCAAAAATTTGCATACGAATTATACAAGCCTGGAAATCCTTCAACTCTATTCTGATCGCGCGTTCCTTCGAAAGTAAAGTACGCATTTGTTGGTCGACAATGATGCGATTTCGTTAGAAAACATGCACATACCGTCTATACTCCATGTAGTATAAATTATACCATCTTTGTAGTATCGTAGCCATTGAAGATTGATGTTATCATAGAATTATAAGATATAGTAATATTTACGTCAACTCTTCATGTGATCTGTTTATAACCTTTCTCCTTCACCACATGGTCTAGGTAAAGGTTATCTAATGATCGAAACTAAGTGGACTATCAAAGCACATTGTTTATATAAGATCGTTTGATATTCGTCGTGTACTAAACATGTGTCTAGACGTGACTGTATACAGTTTATAATAATCACAGTCATAATGAACACAGCGTGGTATATACTCCTTCATTTGATGACTGAAAAACATTGCTACTGGTTTTAATATCCAAAATCTAACTCCAGCATTAACAATCATACCGGGATGCGATTCCCGAAATTAACACCCCATTTACCAATGTTACGACAATTTCAAACGAACTTGCTTCAGGAGACATGCATTCTCTATGGTCATTCAAAACAAACCCAATCCTCGAACATTCGAGACGATATATCATCGACGAGCCTTACTGCTTCCCTAACTTTTACACGAACAAAACCACTCATATAGTTATATTTGTTCGCTAGCAAGTGTTTACGGTGCTGCCATCTAGATTAATGTGCGGATTAGAATAAATTGAACTTCATTTACATACGACAACGGAAAAAATCGCACTGCATACATGCACGCGCCAAAACTATGGTACCATGTGAAAACCGAAATAATAATTACGAGAATAACACAAGGTCGTTGGAAGTATGGTGAAAAAAAGAAAAGGTAACCTGTTTGTGATATTGTATCAAACTGAGTGTAGTTATACCATGCAGTGGTACACTGAGCCAGTTGTGACCGTTGTTGTACTTGAAGTAAATATAACTCAATAAGTATATCTTATAGCTACTACCATTATTAACCTCAATTGGTGCTGGCATCTGCATCAAAAGTGGCACATTCCGTGGTGGTTGTACAGCGACTGACATTTTTAAGCAACCGTTGCGCTCTGGATCTGTTCTTGGCGGCTAGGCGTGAACACGATGTCTAGCGAGTATCAACTCTTTCGTACAAATAAATAACACAATGATCGCTCGGGCTTATCACACACATTAAGTTAACAGAATAAATTAAAATCCCTTATTTCCTCTCGCTCTTTGTGTTTGTTAAGTCTCCCATTGTGTGCGTTATCTCCGCCTTGATGTTAATTTTAGTCAAACAATAACGGTGCAACGTCATGCTTGAATCTCATTGGCTCGTTCGAAGTGAGTCTGATGACAGAATGTCAAAAATTCTTAAGTATGTTATCTTCTCGGAGTCAACAGAGCGTTCGAAAATATGAAAATCTCTAGGGTACTCGGAATTACAGTTACTTGATAATTTCAAAACAAATATGGGCCCTCAGTTTTGATTTTCAGTCAATCTTAATAATATCCTTCTCAGAAATTGGGATTTCGAAAACAAACCATGGTTCTTCCCAGCTCACATTGAAAATGCCTTCAATTCCTTCACAGTGACTGGGCAACCTGTGCTGACCACATGTACCACACAATATTTGTTTCTTAGTTGGTCTTTCAACCAGTCAAACTGGTTTGTTCCAGTTTACTGCGCATACACGAAGTTGGACAGTACACTGAACATTTGCCACATCTCATCTTCTTTACTTCAATGTTTCGCTCGACGATCTGGTTCATCGATCTGGTTCACCCATTTTAATCCTAGTCGACCCTGATACAGGAGGGGTGAATAAATCCATTCATTCAATCCATCCATTCCGGGCAAAATCATCTATTCAGACAGTCACGGGTTTGGGCCAACCCCATTCCAAACGTGAAGCCTTTTGACCAACTGGCAATGATTTGTCATAGTTTCTCGCGCAATGATCACGAGATTGATTGAGGAAAATTAAAGGCCGTTTCCTCAGATACTTCGAACAACTTTAATGAGTTTGATGGATTGAAAAGAAACAACAATTTCAACTTTAAGTACGTAATTTAAGATTCAAACCAATGCGATGTGGTAATCATGAAAAGTAAATTTTAAAATGGTTTGGATTCCATTAGTTCGCTTTATTAAACTATAGCTCTGTGCAGTCTGCAACTGTAGATCACATTCGAAATAGGTTTGAAGTGCAAATCAGTTTGCAAAATTATTTCGTGCAAAAGTGTGCGATAACATAACAAGTTTATTAATTAAGATTAACAAATACTTTAGGCAGGAAACAAGGATTTAGAGTTGGACAAAGAGCACTCTATTTCAAAAGCAACGAAGCGTTTGAAATATCAACACAAAAATTTGCATGGCACTTGTAACTATTGTAAAATGGTATAAAGTCTAATTCTGGTTTAGCGAACAACATGTGTACGCCATCTTAATCACATAAGATCGTCTTTATCCACTTCTATAAAAAGACGGCTTTAACGTGTTCCGCTGGTTGGTCGAACCATTTTTTCCTAACAATACGAAATTGCAGGAAGTATGAACATAAACAAAGTTACGAAAGAATGGTTGACGAATTCCTACTTTTTCACACCGCAGTTAGGAAGACAATTAATCCGACTGCATTAGGGGGATGTTCAGCTTTGTTTTTCGACGAGACTTCACTTGCACATTCCTCTATGACTGCGGTCGGTTTTGAGTCGCGAGTATAAACTATCGGTGTCCATTTCGAGGTCACCCAAGCGATTGCAGTGTTTATATTGTAACTTGAAATGGCGCAATGAGGCGCGGTCTGTTCGTCAGGAAGTTTGTGAGGAACAAATTAAATATAATAAGTTCCCATGTATATAAGATGATGATTAGTTCCCATTAATTCTCTAATAAATTACCTGGGAACCGCTTGTGTAGATATTCGAATGAATATATTAACCAATTGTACCTAAGCCCTAATGTATTTGTACAATACCATCTTTTTAATAGACAGAGTAGGTATAAATAAACCGATTGCCGCAGTGTGGAACCAGCAAGGTAGATGCTGGATCAAAGGGACTCAAATGGGTGTGCATGCGAAACTCTCAATTTTTTGCCTGGCTAAACACAAGCATTTGTATTTATACCACAGTCTTAAATATTTAGTCTTCAACAGAACTTCATGGAATGTAGTTTTGTATCTTGCGATAGTACAATTAAATTTAGCAACAAGTTTATTCAAATTAAGCCAGCTGTCTTCATCAAAGATGGTTAAAAACTCTCTCAAACAATCATGACATTGCCTTCTTGAATCTTGAACGATCTTCATAATCAAAAGCCACAGGAATTTAATCAACTTTTAAAATTGCCGGAGCGTTAAAACTACTTAATTAAACGCCGACTTCTGACTATACCGATGAACAGAACCTCATTCTTTGCGCTGACTACGTGTCAGAACAATTATTAGCCTTGGGGAAACGAAAAAGCTTCGTTGTGAAGATCATAGACCAAGAATTACTCAATATCTCTTCAACCAAATCTTCATAGAGCCCTGGAAATTTTGTCGACTAGAAGTTTCGAAAAATCACCAATCCTGCATATTTCGGGCTAACGAAAGATACAGTGATGTCTTTTCCTGCAACATTTGGAATTACAATGAATTTGTTAAGATTAGAAATTTGAAAACAAGAAATTAATCGAAATCATTGGAGCGTTTGATAATGAGATCGACTTTGACAAACACTGTAATTGACTATTCATAAAAGATATATGCACTTTCGTTTGGTTTGGATAAATTAGTCACTGAATATAAATTGGAACAGGCCAAAACATATACAACAAGAAGCTGTTTTAAGTGCTTGGAAAGTGCAATTTTCACTGTTTTGGACAATCATTCATGATTTTTTGTCTTAATTTTCATGATTATTGAAGCGTTTGAAAGCGACTTAAAAATGTGCATACAAGATTAATGGTCCAAAGTACACCTTGTTTTTATCAAACTGTCGTAAATGATTATGCTACGTTAGATGAGTAAAACATGAGTAAAACGATTGAACTAATGTATTATCGCATGTTACTATTTTTGCCAGGATGTAGCTTGATAGAATTATTCTGAAGTTCTAGAAGTAACCTTCATGCATACTCAAGATTATTTGGGACATAGTTTATTATTGCTATTGGGTTTCGCTAAAAGTAACGCCACTGTTGAAAGATGGGTTGTTTTACAAGTTTACTTTGTTAATGCATGTGTTTCAACGTTCAAGTTTAGATCATTAGACAGTGTTTAAATGGTTACACTCTTGCATTACGAAATCAGTTTTCAGTAGCAACAAACGTCTAAAATCAAGTATGTGTGTCCGCGGAGCTTTTTGAGAGATCTCCATAACATATAATTCATTGTGGGTATCCAAGAGTCTTGCAAATTTTACCAGTATAATTCGTAACGTCATCTTTTGCACGTTCATCACAAAAGAAAATAGCATCAATATTAAATAGACGATGTTTCTAAGGAATATGGTGACTTGCATTAACGAAATTCATTGCAAAAATTACTTTTCATTCAAAACTTGCTGGACCATTTGAAACGAGTTATTGAGAATTTGCAATTAGTGGGTAATTATTTGCGAAAATTATCGCGATGTATGACGTAAACAAGTTGAAACACTGATCTTAAAACATCGACTGGAGAAAGCAGTGGAATCCAGGGTCAATTATACCGTCTTGAATCCAGAATGTATTGAGAAGTCGAGATTCGTGTCGGCAAGTTTTTCAAAGTGAATCCTTAAGTAAGGCTTCACCGTAGCAAGTTTCGCAATGTACGCAATTAAAACAACATCAGTGAGGCATATCAACAAAAATTTAAATTTCAATGATTGTGGTTGACTTAATATCGTTAACATGAGGAGCTATTCAATTCGGCTTGGTTGTGAAGAGAAATTGTTTGGTTGGCGTTTTGCCACGTTGCCGCAGACTGCAGTCCAAAATCGTCAGCGGGCAAAAGTTAAATTTTTCTGAGTGTGACTCACAGTCCCTCAGGTCGAAACGTCGAATCATATTCGGCCAGGAAGTTGCTTAACTTTTTTTTCTGCGTTGACGTAATCGAGAAATTAATTTGGTTTTTGTATTACGATATTAGGCACGGTTCTTAAGCAGCTGACCTCGTATTTATCATTTATCCACTGACACCTCAAGAGAAGCTTCTTTTGTGTGATTTGAAATAGGTACCTCCCCTGGCCTGGCGAACATGCTAAACCTCATGAATGTATACTTCGATATGTCTTTTATAAAGGTTATTAGTGCTATGATACTTTGGATGAATTGGCACTCGTAAAATTACGTGCTGGAAAAGCCTTAGCCTTGATGTACGAAACCAGCAAACACAAGAATGTGAATGCCGGTCAACTCCCGATGATTTGTACTCATTGATCCAGCTTGTGCACTAGGTTGGGTACATGAAAGATTCCCACAAGTAAAGTCTCCTCTATCATATCAGTTTCTCCTTCTTGGAGAATTGTTAATTGTATTTATTATTTATGCTACTCACATCTTAAGGGAAACTTTATTGCGTGATCTCAGTGAAATAAGTATCTCCACACTTCTTTCATAAACTCCACTATTATGCTACTTTTAATGAATTGTAGCTCTTAAAATAACGCGCTGCAAAATTACTTTGCCGCAATATAGAACAAACGAACATTTGTGCATCCTGAAATACCATGCATGCATGCTGAAATCTCATGGGTAGGTCTTTGAGATTTCTTTCATACGCTATCCTTATTCAGTTAATGGGTTGAATGCCACTCGTAAATTACTTTCTGTTAAATGCTTGGGCTCGAAATAGAACAGCGAATGCAAGAAAATCATACTCACAAAGATCTCTCCTTTTATTTTTATGGAGTGACTTTGTGGAATGATGTGCCAAAAATAGTATTTAAATTTTTCTGATTAATTTGAATGAAACATCCAACTGTTTACCTCATGTGGCGATGTCATTTATTGTACAAAGTTTGTTTTATTACATTTAGTCTATACGACAGATTTATACTTTCTGATACTAGTATTAAACTCTGGGAGAGGAAACAGCTTTTGACTAAAGCTACCATTATCTTTGTTCTATCTCTTCTAGAACCTAAACAAAGTTTTGAGGTTCGTCTGAAATAACCTATAATTAGCCCTTTATTAATTCTTTCTATCATATGCACAATAAAACACATTGAAACAAAGAACTACTGTGAATCATCATTCACAACCTTCGGACTTATAGCTAAAACGTTTTCTAAATATCTCAGGCAGTAGTTATCATGCACTCCAAGATATAGTGAAGAAATAATGGCAACTAGCCCTGGACACCTGTATTTTCACGTCTAACTCAAATGTCAGATCTAAAAAGTCTATCTTTCTGTACATTTATTAACATTTGGACCAAAGCGCTGCAAACTTTTTCAGAGCTTTCTAATAGACCTCTCTCATAGTGACGTCAAACGTGAAAGGCCTGATGTTACACAAAGTTTGATTGGCTCATTTGACATCATTAGGAGAAAGGTCTATTTTATTTTTTCATATTTACAACTTGTAAATGTAGGTGCATAAAGTGTCTTTCCGATGAAATACCTGCGGTTAAACACAGTCATTCAAGTACCCAACAATGATATCACTGCTTGGAGTTCTCTTGGACGATAGTTACCAGAATGTTTCTTCATGCTTCTTTATGTTTCTTCAGAAAAAACGACTTCGTGTTCACTTTATTTTATACACAATCCCCGGGGATCCTTTGGTGCCTGCTCAGCTGCGACGCTTGCGAAAAATCTTTCCCGCATTTCTCGCAAGAAAACGGTTTTTCGCCGGTGTGTGTGCGGATATGATTGGTCAGCGTCGTGGCGCCCGCAAACCTGCGCCCGCAGTAACCACATTTGAACAATCGGTCGTTGGTATGCGTTCCGACATGAGTTCGTAAATCGTTCGGATCGGCGAATGACAACGAACAATGTCCGCAGTCGAAAGGCTTGCTGGTCCTCGTGGGGCACACGTGAATTCTCAATGCAGACCGCTGGTTAAATGACTGCTGGCACTGACTACATCGCCAAAATCCAGATTCAGTGTCTTCAGGTGTTGTGCGCCCTGTCTCGCTTTCAGAATTTTGAGAGCCTAGGAACGAGCTATCATCATCATAGCTATCCCGTCTAACGGGCTTGGATCCGATATTATCGTCCTCGACCCAATTCTGTCCCAGTCTCTCGTCAATCCAAAGTCGCGTTCTTTCCATTGTTTTTAACATAGCAGGCGTGAATATCTCTCGACGAAGGGACTGGTCATCACAATGACGCGGGCTTCTTAATGTATCTAAAATCAAAATATTCAAAAAGTAGGTCAATGAAAAGGTCAATCCTTTCTTTTTCCCTCGCTGGTTTGACTGCGTTTGCAGCTCCACTTTCAATTAGCCTTTCTCACGATGACAAATATCCGCCATTTTTGGGGTACTTTCAATTTTCTTAAATGCGTTCAAACAATGATAGAAATGTAAGAAGCATAGACCATTTGAACAATAGATTAGGCCTAAAATTAAAGACAGCCGCCCAGACAAGTGCTTGCGCGCTCACAATTTAAAAAAAGTACCCCCAAAAATGGCGGCACTTTCGTCACCGTGAGAAAGGCTAATTACCATCAAACGTCTTACCTTGTGATGCTTTGTGATGATCTGAAGGCAAAAATATAGGAATTCCAAAGTATTCCTCGTATTTGTCCTCATACCACACGAGTAACTCGGTGCCAACGGAAATGTCAATTAATGTTCGATAAAATATATTGTCTCCATGTTGGATGGCGCATAAATTCTGCTCCTCTTTGTTCCTAGCTGAGCGAATGAACCTCATCCAGCAAGAGATGTTCTCGTCTGAACCGTCCAGATAGTGGTCAAGTTTACCTCCTTTGTATATCTTTAAAAGGGATAAGGTCCATTTAGCAAGCTAGCTAAATATTCTTAGGACAAATCAGCTATTTGAAATTTCATGCAAATTTTATCGATTGATGCCCTAACCTTGGTCAACGCTGTTAATCTAAATAAATGCTGAGTGTTGTTAGTAATACTAGCCTGACTATTCTTTGCATCGCATTCGGCTTTGTTATTCTACCCAATGTTTCACTTTCATCGATGTAGGTTGGTCATTGATGTACTGTTCTGCTAGTCTGAATTAGTGATGTATGTTGTTTTAATAATTTCACGACTACATTTACTGCTTAGCTTTGTAATGTTTTATGAAGTGTCTCACTTTTCGCCTTCCTGAGTGTCTGTTAGTCACTACACTCTTAGTCACTACACTGTTGTTACTAATTCAAATCTAAACTTGGTTTTTTCACTTCCAACATTCCTCAATGAAAGCTGAAACACTTCTAGTCCTGACTATTCTAATATTTACCTCCCAAAGGTAAGACATGTCAGCGCCATTTCCCATCTTCAGTTCCTCCGGTCTGACTTTCCGACCTTTATACGGTCCAATCACAGTATCCTTAGGGATTTCTTTCCGAGAACAAACTCCCAACTGACCTCCAGGTAAGCTGGACATACACAACTGGACTTCTGGTAGAAATGACATAACCGCATTTGTTGGGGCAATATCCATCTTATCAGGGCTTTTGTCGTTTCCGGTAAAATTTAATTGACGTGTCTTAAGATTAGGAATCGACCACGAATCTCTTGAGAAAACATCGTAGTCTATAAAAAAAGGGTTGAGGTGATTAATCTCGTATTCAGGAGAATTTTAGTACGCAGGAAACCTGGGAACGAGGATGATCACAATGATAGCATTTAGACTAGTTTCCAGGAACTAGTGTCTAAGCATCTATGAATCTTCTCAGGTACTGGCCCTGTAAGCACTGTCTATCTTTATCGAATATTTAATATTTGTAACCGTCAGATGTCTCTGTACTTACAGTTTCCATGGTAACCAATTCCGCGTTTTGCATCTTCACTCCGGTGGCTTGAGGACATTCGTCGTTTTCTCTGTATTCTTGCCGTATCGATGGGCTGAACAACTGATTTGCCACGCAGGCTGAATGCCAGGTCTTCGAACGTGAATTCGAACGGCGGAGAGCGACAATTTGTTGTTGGAGTCATTCTCCTTGCCTGAGGCTTGACCGGGTAGCTTTCGTCAGGACTGGGGCGAGTCGAGGAACGAGGAATAAAATTAAAATACGCCACATACAAATCCTGTCAAGAAGAGGAGTTAGATTGGTTAGTTGCACAATTAAAATCTTGAATGAACTCTCATATAACTCGTTGATTTTCGTTAGCGCCCGTTCTACGATCACTAATAGTTTAATAGTTTAATTCGGGCTGTCGCTTACTGATTTGATACCGACAACTCGCTGCAACTTATATAATCATGAAAGATTTAAAATTTTGCAAACTAGTCCGTTCTGCAGAATCCGTATAAACAGCTGTGTAACGAACTATTTTTGTACAGACATTCTATCTTTGTGCAAATTGCGGAAGTATAATTCAGTGAGTTGTCGTAGCCCAAGATTGACGTAATAGCTTTCCGTAATGACTGTTTCTATAAATTGATACTCTGACGACGAAAGTGGTTGGTGATAGTTTATTATTGACGTACCTTTTTACGACAATAAACACGGCGTAGAAAACAAATTTCCGCTAAATTTACGTCAAAAATTTTGATTTTTTTAAACAAAACTCTCTTTTTTCAGTGTTCGTTGGGAAGAGCTGGGTTACGCGTCGTCATTTTAGCTTTTCTATTTCATAATATGATGATGATTCTAGGCCAGGCCTATGACTAGGCGGAGTTAACTCACGTCAAACTTGAGTCACGGGCGCTTTTTCTCGGCGAAATGCGAAATATTTCGCCTGTTTCTTTTGAATTTCGACCTAAGTTGTTGTATAATTAATCCCCATATACAGCTATTCTTCAATCGTTGATTCCATAAGTATCATTTATGATTTAAGTGATTTTAAACTTTGACATGCGTACGTACGTACAAAAAACGCGACAGTGTAAGCAGCCCTAAGACAGTTACTTACTAGACTTATATCTTATTGCCTTCTGTCCCCCTGAAACGATGGTATGAACATAGCTTAAAAGTCTTAAGAATCTGGGTTAATTCTCCAAATGCCAACCATCGATGATTTGGCAATATAGTAAAAGTACGCAAGCCTCTGATGCAATATAAGAATTCGCGAAAATTTTGTAATCTTGCCAATAAACTTCAAACTCTTGAATAAAATCGTTTAGCGTTAGGTAGAGTAATATACTAAAATAGAAACATTGCTCTATCTTGATGAAGACAAAAAACTGGAAAAAGTGAAATAGTGGGCCGGTAATTTGTTAATACTAGACACGAACAGTTGAAGCAGTGAATGGCAGTTGTGGTAGGCTCATTTCCTATTTTACATTCGAGTGGAAACTCAAAAGATTTGCCTTAATGTCCTTTCACAACAACCCTTCACATATATTGGCCCTGTGACGAAAAGTTTGGCACAACAAACCAAATTAGATCTTTGCCAAGCAGTTTTTGTCTCGGCTTTATATTGTTGTGGAGTGTTGGTTTCCTACGTTGGTTGAGATTTCGGTTTAATTAAAAAAAAATCCACTTGATGATTGTCAAATATGAATAATCACGATTTGCGGTTGGTATTGTGTTGACTTCGTATTGTAATTATTTATATTATCACGGTTTAATACAACAAGCGATGGTTGTATTGAAAAAATATGATAATTGAAAGAGTACTACGGGAGTTAGCTACATCCAAGTTTTATCCACGCTTGTTTCAAACGATAATATGCGAAAATGATGTAAAAACATGGTTCCCGCCATGACTCAGACGATGGTAAATATGTGTTATGTATACTTCAAGCAAACCTTTGTTTTCTATTGACTTAAAACGTTTCAGAAAACGTAGGCTTTAGCTATTGTAAACAAACACTGAAAAGTTGTGCACGGACAAAGACGGTTAGAAATCGTTATTATTAACGGCATATCAAAGTATTAAACGGTATTTTGAAGCACTTGCAAGCGGAGGCGTCTTCAATCCATGTAACGGTAACTTTAAAGGAACGGCTAGAATCAGCACTATAAAACTGCCTTCTTGTGGTGTTGGGAAATTGTTGTTCTTCAGCATCCAGAAGCCATCAGGTTTCGACAGAAAAGACTGATAAAATTTGCTAGGTAATAATTGACTATATATAGTCTATATCAGTAGGCTTTTTCCTAAATTTGCTGACATGTAACTAACGAGAACTATAAAATATGGTCGTCGTCGTTTGAGCCTCATTATCGGGTGTTAAAGACATGAAATTTCGTTTGAAAGAAGCGCCGAGGGACATTTATTACTCAAATTTCATTGGGAAACGAGCAATTAGTTCGCGCCGAACAAATTGAAAGAACTATTGTGATTAGCTCGAAACATCACCAGTTTTTTAAACCTCAGATTGACTGCAAATTTGACGATCGCGTGTATAACGAGAAACATCAGGTCCTTCACATAGCGTGCAATTTTCAGCGGTGATCTGTACCTAAACGTTCTCAGTACCAGCCAAAGCAAAGGACCGTTCCTTCCGGGCGAAGACACATAAGTATACGTCCTTGAAAAGTGACATTTACCGTACTTAAGACAGGCATGTTTAACAAATATATCTACTTATCAAAACTGGGACAATGCAGCCTCACAAATATCTCGCCAAAACTACAAATCCGCGTGGCTTCCGAAACACGCACACCAATACTGCTTGAGTGCTTGTAGCGTTTTCCCCTGAAAATGCGATCAACATTTCAGTGGTTGACCTTGAACTCTAGATATTGTGTTACAATTTTCGGCGCCAAAACCGTAAAGTTTAATGGTTAGAAAGAAAGCGTTGTTTACTGTCGCCGTTGAGCTCGCCATTTCGACTCTATGTGTACAAAATGTTTCCAAGAGTTTTACAGCAGCCACTGAACTTTAATCAACATAAGAATAGCGGAAAATTTTATTCCGTTCTGACCCCGATGCAACCGAAAAATGCACTTTGATATTGTAAACGAATAGTGAACGATTAATTTCCATGAGATGAACTTTGTTGTATCACTTCAAAGACGGAATGTGGCATAGAATATCTCTCATAACAACTGCAACACGTAAATGTCTTACATACTTCAGGGAAATATCAATATACTAGCTCTCATTCCATACTCGGCCACTTGAGCTAAAATATCTGCCGTTAAAAAATAAAAATGTCACCGAAAACATTATTCGTTGGATTTACAGGATTCTATTTAGGTCGTTGTGATGCACGGATGTGCTGGAACATTACTAGCTTGAGTATTTTCCCGTTTTTGAACGAGTGTCATCACAAGAGTCCTTTCTTTATGACAGTTTTTCATCAACCGACACTTAATACTTGCATAATACTGAAAGCGCGGGAAAAGGCCTAATTTATGCATATAACTTTTACCTCGAAGTCGGGGGAATAGACGCAGCTTGGATCAACGTGGTTCAAAAATATAATCCATAATGGTAATCGATAGTTTGGTATTGATCATTGAGCGAATGTCTTATCGATATTTCGAGCAGGCAGCCTGATTTATCAACTATGAACGGAACGAATTAGCCAAGCTATAATGTTGCCACTGCATGATAAACACTATGGCAGAATTTATGCAAGGTATTAGTAAAATTAACATTGCTGTTCGCTAGAGACAAGTTAAATGAATTTTTGTATGCAGCATGCTGAGGCTCATGTTGTATGAAAACTGAAGACATCTTTTGGCATTATAGGTTTGCGAATAAAACTCGCTTGCATACATAATATAATATGTGCAAAGTAAGGCAACTTGTACATCGATAGGAACATTTGGAGGTTTGCAAGAAACGCTTTGAGCCTAAATACGAATCCTTTTAAATACACCGAGATATTAACTAATAAGTCAATGATATTTCTTTATCATAAATTAAAGAGCTTCAACATGCATGGATGTACGGTCATGGTGCTACATTTGTGCATAATATATGCAAACTAGGTATAATTACACCTTATTAAAAACATTAGCCCTTGTGTACAAATCTTTAAGTCGGAATGTATACAGTTTAAATCCGCTTTTGTAATGAAACATATTCGGAACCTTCGTTACACAATTTATTCGTCTTGTAGCAGTGGATAGCGAGCATTCAAACGAACTTGAGTGCATTTATATTGGCTTAACTACAAATGAGCCATTTACCAACACGACCTGAGATAATCACAGCGCTGTTTGCAAGTTTTGGCGGGTAAATTTTAAAATCCTACCTGTTCTTTCACAGCGTCTGTTTGTCCGTATCCTCGATGAGGTAACCTCTCTTTCAGAAAACTGGAATGCATTTTGAACGGGCCTGTGAACGTGTCGACAGCGTTGCACCGTTTAGACTCTGGTACGACTCTCATACGATGGTTGATCTTCAGAAGGCGAGCAGAGACTGAATATCGTTGACTTCAACCCACTCTCAAAAGTCTGATATGCAAATGAGACCTGCTTAAGAGACCTGGGAGGGGCATACGGATATCACGCGTTATGTTCTTCGTTGATTGTGTCACTGGAGTGTTTGTCTTTCAGCTGTTAATGTTTGCTTCGCTAATTATCTCGAGTGGTTTTGTCGTTAAACGCAGTCATAGTTGTACGTACACGGTTACGAGATCAGTAAAACCGTCAAAAGCTTTTGCGATAGAGCATTGTTTTCACCCTTTAACAGGAATGTTTGACCTGTGGTTTGACGTTTTAAAAAAAAACACTCAGTATAGAAGTACATCGCTTTAGATGTTGACATTTGTTATATCAGAGCTTTTAAACCGCTTTTGACTAAGGAGCTAAAGGATTTTTCCCGAAAGATTTGTGACTTCTTGAACTGGCCTGATCACGATTGGGAAACCAGAGTTTGCGGTTCAGCATTTCGGACATTTTTTGCTCCCCGTTAACCTCAGCTAAAATTGACTAGAGTCAGCCTGCTTTTGTACCCACCACGTTCGATCTTCAGAGTTAGACCAAATCCTATATGCAAGATAATCGAAAAATCGTTAAGAGCAACGAAACTGTGTTGAAAGCGGTTCTTCTTTGGTGATAAGGTGACTCAAATAATGATTGATTAATAGAGATTTAACTTTTGCACGAATTATGGCTGCTTAATGGCCTACCTTTACGCATGTATACCGCTGTGTCACTGCTAATGTTGCTTCAAGGCATTGCAGAAGTTGATCGATGTTGATTATTGAGTCTATTATTGATACAACGGTGGTGTATTGCGTTATGGAATACATAAATGTGCAGCAAAATCACTTTAATATGATTCAAAGCATAATTATATCAGCAGCCTTTCGAAAATATTTGTGTGGAAAGTATTCAGGACCTCTCACTTCCCTTCAGCGCATTTGACTTTTTCGACTTTTTTAAATAAATCCAAAAATTTTACAGCAACAAGAACAGCGAACAAAGAGACTTTGTGAAGGTAAAAGCCACCTGATAAACACTGTGAGTTTGAACTGGAAAAAAGCTTAATTATAATGTCAAGGGAAGCACTAGAAATATAAGAGGAAATAACAGGAAATTAAACCGGATTCACATTTTTAGATTGGTTGACGGAACGGTGTGCAGTCTACTGTGGTTGTATTTCCCCTATTCAAATCTTTCATTTTACAGCGATTGAAAACCAGTAGTCGATAGTCAGCCTGACAACTTTATCCTGCCATCTTTTTCTGTGTGGAAACAATGAATTTCTAAATCGTCAGACTGGCTGCGCTACGGCTGAAAATCGTCTTGCACCCCCCTTTTGAAAGTGATTATTTTCCTTATAACTAAAAGTCCTGGTTTTCATGTGATTACAGCATGCCCTTGGCTTCTGCTGTTGCCAATAGTTCTCCAATGTATCGTAATAACGTGTGATAAATTCTTTTTGCTAAATAATATGGAAATAGCTTGGTTTTTTTACTACTTGCAGTACGTAATATAATCTGTTATAATCTGATAGAAAATCATTCGCAAGAAGCAATTTCCAACAGAAATCTACTTGCAGTTCCAAGGAAGGAACCCTGTGACCTTAGAAGTTGAAATCCAGCATGTAATATATTTACTAACGTCAAATGTACTCGACTGAATCTTATTATTCAGTGTGCATCTGCCTGTCCAACTTTGTAATAATTTTAATTATTAAAATTAATTAATTATTATTAATTATTAAAATTATTCTCTTTTAATTCTCAAACAACCCTACCAAACCAAGACCCTTCTTTCTAATATGAGCACTTTTTCCGGTATTGGCCTCGATCTCTCTAATAAAGACCTCCAATACGTTCAGCAACACCCCCCTTAACATAGGCACAATCTCTAATATCCCCTGTCTCCGAAAAGCTCTCCTTCGTCTTGTCTCATTTCTAATGACTAGTTTCTAATGGAGATGATTTTAAAGGATAAATAGAGCGGCTGTGTAGGGGTGGTTTGATTTTCAAAGCTGCAAGGACGACCGTTTCTCTGGTTTGACCATTTCAGTTTGTGTTCACCTAAATGATTCAGATGCTTAGGGTTCTCAAATGCGATTCCTTGCTTTCTTACGTCAGTCGTTCATTTAGCAAAAGGCATTTTTTATCACATAAATAGCACTTTTGATCCGTGGCTTTGAAAATAGTGTTGAGAGCTGGGCGCACTATTTGGCGGTTCATCTAACTGGGCATTCTGTCCTCTCACTGGGGACACAGAATGGAAAAAGTTGAATACAGGACACCTGTTTTGTATAAAGTAACTTTCACAACGGCTAATCGCGAAATGCCCGTTGGCAAAATGTAAATGCCAGTGAAGTAGATTTTTTCTGACAGTTGAGTGCCCACAATGCTTCGTCACCCTAATTACCTTCTGAACTCTTTGCATTCAAGTGGCGGAATTGATAACAACATGTGACATTACGCAGATCGGACACAACGTCAGAGGGAAGCAGTCATCTAGTTCATGCACGGCATTGTTTTATGCTATTTCACGGGGGTCTTGACGCATTACTCTACGTTGGCATTATAAAGTCAATGAAGTGCACGCGTCGTTTAAGTCGCGCTGTAAAAGCCAATCTCAGGGTCGTCTTACTCTTTTGATGCCTCTTTGGTGAGAGGTCGTATTTCCATAAGAAGTGTTCACATACCGTAAAAGCATTGGCTTCAAACGAAATCAGTCGAGCATATCAGAATACGAACCCTCCCTTATCCTTAGTTATCCTTAGATTGCAACTAAAGTATACGACACTTGTATGTGATGTGCATGAAACAATATTCCGAATATTTAAAACCTAAATTCATAATGTTCACTCTTAGCACTGTACTTATACGCTGTAAGTTCTTTGATTTCAATATCCTGATCTCTCCTTTAGTGTCTCCAGAGCGATAAAGTTAAGGATCAGGCTTTCCTGGAATCTTGTGTGAAAATCAAAAAATTTTGGCATGTGTACTATTATGGCTCATTTTTCATCTTCAAGTCAAAGGAGCACTATTCGTGGGCCCCTCCCCCAGGGCTGGGCCTCCCACAACCGGTTGTTATACCCCTTCCCTCGTTGGAAATGAGCAACCTTGCTGTTGTGGCTTGGCTTCACTCTTTCATGTGAGGAATCTATCAAAGGTCTCTCACTCAAACGCCTGCTTTCCAATTATGACGTCAGCGAATAGCAAATGAGAGTAACGTCATCGTCTTCTTCGTACGTAGCCGGATGGCGATGACATCATTTCATGATGCATTGGAAAGCATTCGGGAGCCGGTTGTATAAAACTCTTAACTACATTTTGTGCAGTTAAATTACGTAGTTAACTAGAAAATACACGATTCTTATTGGCCAATTCTGCCACTACCTGTAGTTTTAACTACCTTTTTATACAACCGGCCCGGGTGAAATTAGGAAGCATTTTGGCATACCATATAACATATTTAAACATTACTTTGCCTTCGCTCACACGGTACCAAATTCGCTCGTCCGTCTGCCGTGAACAACTGTTAATATATCCTTTTTAAATTGACAGATTTAGTATATTTATTTAAGTACATCTAAAATCTTCACTGTTTTTTTTTACTTACAAAATTTCACCTCTTTCGATAGCAATCCAGCATCGTGCAGACGAGCAATTTCATTGTTATTCAGTCAGATGGTAACAAACTAACGAATACCCTTTATCAAGTTATTCAGAGTATGTATTTTTCCATATTTACAAAAGTCCCGAGAAATTAAGTCCTTGTAAAAGGCTAGCTGAATACTGCATGCTAGATGACGGCTGTGTGGTCATTCTGTGCGTTGGTCCACTAGCGGGATATATGGGGTGTTATTTATTTGTGTTCTAACTGTCTGTGCATTTTTCTTCAATGTCTCGAATGATTTTTTCATGAATATACCACAACTTCATAAATTTGTACTATATACAATGTCCATTCTTTGATGTCTTCGGATTATTGTTGTTATATTGTGTGTAAAATCTAACGTATATAATGTAATCTTTTTTAAATACATTAAATAAAAGCAATGCGCGCGTGCAGCGAAGTTGCGCAAACTGAAGCGACATTGAGCCGAAACACTTATAAATTCTTCTTATAAATAGGCACAAGATGCTTTTTTCTTGCACCTTTGGCCAAACCTCTCCGATGTGCTTTAAGATGCTTAGTCAAAATATTCACGTTTAAGAAACTGCGCCCGCAGTAAGCACATTTATATTGTCTGCCACCGCCACACCGTTGCGCATGCGCCTGTAGCTCGTCCGTGCTGAGGAAGGCCTTTTCGCAGTTACTGCATAAAAATGGCTTGGCTATCACGCACGGGCAGCGATGAACCTGCAACGCCCACTTTTGAGGAAACTCCAACGAGCAGTGTTCACACTTCCAGAATCGAGTTTTGAAAATGCGCAATGTATTCTCAGAGTACTCAGTCGCTAGGGCCAATTTCTCCTGGGATATGCCGGAGCTTTTATCGACCGTGCCAGAGTTGGGGACTTTTTTCCCTTGGAGGTAACAGGGGGAGGTAGACGGACATTCACGTTGGGGGGAACACTCACTTTGAGGTTTCGGTGGGTGTGTTAGCTGTGTCGGCTTTTGTATGGGTGTAGGTGGGGGTGCCGAGACCTTGTCTTGATGTTGCCTCAGTTGGGATGGAGGATGGTTACTTGGTGTCGGGTGAGGGGTTTGTGGTTTTCCTAAACAGGAACTTGCTAGACTCGTCGATGGTTTTATATCACTAATATTTCTCTGTGCTCTTTTTAATATCTCCGTCGTCGCTGTTTCTAAAGTAAAATGTTTTAAAAACGTCTTAGATTGTATGTATCCACAGCATGATTCAAGCTCTGAGTGAAACCATTGTAGAACATTCATACTTATTTTAAAATCACAAGAAGGCCCTGTTTGTTACACGGTGCATATCAATAATATGATTATGTTAATGCAACCGAATTAATGCATAATCTGCCAATCCTGCTCGTTGAACCTTTGTGATTTGGTTTTGGGACTTTGGCCATTCGTACCTGTTTCCAAAGGACTCTTCTTCTTTGTGATTTTTCGTACCCCGACGGGTATCCCATGATGCTGCTCGTAATATTCGGCATACCAAACCAACACCTCTTCACCAGGTTGAATCGTTTTGTATGTCTGATAATAGATATCGGCTCCAAACTGAAATGCAACCGTGTTTTGTTCCGAAATGTTCCTCGCGCACTGAATATATTTCATCCAACACCACGTGGAATCCCCTTGTGCCCCTAAACCATCTATACCATGGTCCAGCACGCCGTTTTTGTAAATCTAAATGACGTATTTAGAAAAAAAGTTCAGGAATCTGAATATACGGAAGGAATCTGAATACGTAGGCCAGAAGTGTGTCCAGTGGCTTATTGCGGTCTGTGATGCTGACGCACGCACCCGACATATAGTATGCGTGTGTTACACATCGCAATATGAAACCTGGAGTGCTTACATTTACGTTTATAATATAACGTTTATCGTACGCGTAAATATTCTAGGCACTCATCTCTGGCTGCCTTTGACAAGATATAACGTTTTATTGCTTTCCTGAGTTGGACAAATCTTTTAGCTGGCAAAAATCCCCTCCTTACCTCCCAGACATAACGTGTGTCTAGCATTGACCCAATCTCTTTAATAGTTACGCGTCTGCCTTCGTACGGCCCGATCCATGTTCCTGATGGAACAACCTCTGTGGCACAAATACCAAATCCCGTCCCAGGAATGCTGGAGTAGCAGAGATAAAGTTGAGCTGGGATGCATTTGATTGCAGCTAAGACTTTATTAAACTCTTCGCTCGAGCGAAATTCTTTCTCCACCCCGGGTTTATAGCGCAGTTGAAGAATGTCGACGCTTTTTTCTGAAGTGAAAAAGAAACGAATTTGAAGGTGCTTGTGTATTTCTATAGATCATGATTAAGGCTTCACCAATAACGTTAGCTGCACAAAGCAACATCAATCAGTAAAGCCTAGCTTCCATTTTTTCGTGAGTGTCGTGAGCAGATGTCAACGTGGCTGATGTGATAGAATATTTCTGCGTGTGTGCAGTCAACAATGACCAATTTGAATGCAGTAATAAAGACAAAATGTACATGCGTACTATTTCTCATCCGTGAAAATGACTTGTTCACAACAATTACGAGGAAATGGAAACTAAGCTATAGTTATACACGCTGGATAATATTTAAACGAATGGGTGCATGTAAACTGTATTTACAGCATGCCAATGATGTTGATGGAGGAATAATCCTAAAGAAATAGTTCTTTAAGAACATATAATGTATCCAGCCCAATTCTGATTTGCCGCATTTCTGTATTTGCACAAGGTAGGAAGACGACGACTCGAAGACGATTGACAACCACAAGTTGTCTTTGAAAGGGTTTTACATGAACTAAAACTCTGATGAAATCCTGACTTCATTATCAGGGGATATTAAAATAACGCTCTCTTTCCAATTCATAAGAGACTCGTTCACTGTCGGGCAACCTCTTTGATCTGTTTGTCTGGGTCTTCACGCACAACCCCCCCCCCTCAATTAGCTGCCGCCCAACTTCCCAAGCTCGTTTGTCCAGAGTTGATGAACCCATCATATATCGGTAAACATGCAAGGCCACGTGTAATGCCCCGCCATTCCGTGCATTTAACTCCTCTCTCGAACTCATTGTCAGAGATCATCGAAGAAGACAAATATTTCATGTATACAAAAGATTTGATTAATCAGTGTTCATCTTTCCCGACAATGGAACACCCATCAACTGTTAGTAACATGGGATTGTTAAATTGCTAGGCTAAAGTGTTTCAATGGTTTAAATTGTACGATCTGGATTCTCATATACTTTGGGAGATCGACTGCTTGTTTCCCAGCGATTGCATATGTGTTTGCCTGGGGCTGGTATATTGATTTCATAAATTCATGTTCACGAACCGTAAAAACAATCGCTTTCAAAGGAAATCACCCGCTTATAAGACGAATATATGAACAAACACTTAACCCAAATTATCGCACCTAAACTTGATCGGTCTTTTTGTCATATTAAGCACGAATTTTTCTTAAACCAAACTTGAATAATTTAGTTGAACTTATTCGGTCCAAGTAACGCAGGGAAGCGTAACGTGCTCAGTGTTTCGGTGTAAAATGCTTTTAGGGCGTTTCCTCTGGAATGTGTTATGTGATCACTTGTATATGTCTTTCTTCTCGACAGCTCACGAGTTTATCAGTCGAGAAACAAGTGAAACCTCATATTTTGCTGACGGAAAATGACCCCATTCCCTGAATTAAGATCATCTCAGGGCTGGATCGAACATTTTGACTGACTAAAGCGATATTTTGAACTATACCGCAGCACATTTTGAACTATACTGCATAAATAACACAAGGCAGTGTTTTCGACCATACCAAGGTTGAATTTTCCGTATTCCGATATATTCGACCTTACCAGGGTCTAATATACCATATAGCAGTATATTACAGCCTACCAAGGTCGAATATACCATATTTAATGCATTCAATTGGTTGTGAAATTCTGACTGATGCATTATATTAGGCGCTCATTACTTTGGCGAATGGACAAGTTCAGAGTGTTTAGTATAGGGTGTATGATGTCAGTTGGGACCATGGTTCTGTATCCTTCACCTGCCATTTGTTATATTTCATTTGCGAACTTATTATTAAATTAAATTCTAATTTAAATTAAAATAAAATACATTCAATTCACAATCTTATCGAGATCTTGATGGGTTTTGACGGGACATTTGTCATCGCGCGTGTTTCCCATCATGATTTGAGTTTCGACTTTGGAGCAATTAACACGATTTTTTTCTTGCCGGAGAGAAAGTTGTAGAAAAAATTATCACGTGGCTATTGTTTTTCTCGAACTAGCCAATAGCAGCGTTCAAAGTGAGTTGTTAATGTCAGGGATGAACGACTGAGACGAGGCATTGTTAAGTCGAGTATTAGTGCAATAATAATATGACCCGGTGAAGCGAAACGAAAAATTTTTTCCTCATAACTATAGATCATAATAATGCGTTGTATAATGAGTTATATTGCACTTTTAACTGCCTATAAACCGAGTTCCATTCGGAGTAAAGATATCTTATAAAATCCCAGGCTTCTTCGGAACTTTTTATACAAGAAGAAACTCTAAATTAGGCGACAAAGATCCATATTAGACTAGTTAGTCCTTAACCTAAACTGGGAAATTAACTAAATCAGTCCTTTGAAGCTTCAGCTTATTTAAAGCAAGTTTGGAAACAATTTGAGTTGAGAAAGATATAAATTAGTTTATTCGTGTAGGATGGACTCCATATGCCACGGAGTCAACATTTATCTGTCATGTTAAATAGGGAAAATAACGGTTAATATGTATTTTAGTGGAAGGTTTTTGGCCGATAAGAGGTGTTTATAAAACCCAAATCACACTGACTCAAAGATGCACTTCTCAAAATTCAATATAGAAATAGGTTAATACAGAACTATAGAGCGAAATTCGCAGTTATTATTGTTTGCAGTTAACGAATATGAACTGTCACTCACTGCCACTGGACGGCGGTCTTGGCTGAATACCTAATATGAGAATCGTAAATCTTTATAGCCGCGGAATATGTTCTGTTTAATTTGTATTTCTTATAACTGCCTACCGTTGAGGTTTTTGAAGCCGTTAGAAGGTGAAAACTTTCTGGGAACAGAAGTCTCTATCGAAAACTTTCAAACGACTAGTTTCATGTAGGCATGCATGCCGTATAGCTCGTAACTAACTCTTATTCATACCTGAGTAATTTGGGATTTTTTTAACAATACTTTGCTGCTGTTGTGTTTCGTTTTCTGAACTGCCGTCTTCCAGTTTAACAGGCGATACGTCAGTTCTTCCATACAGATAGAAATCCAATTCTTTCGGGGTCACCTTCCTCCGTGACATAAACATACTGGCTGAGTCTTTGTAACTGTCCATAAAATCATAAATCTCGTTCGTTCTCTACGTCGAAACACAGAAATCCCAGTGTTAGTTTGTCGTAAAGCGTTTGTGGCTACGACTATCACGGTGTTTACCGAGAACACGTAACCAAACGACAGTTTGACGCGAGGCGATGTGGATTTTGAAAACTTCCTTGTATTTACAGATGAACACAGGTCATGCATGGAAAATCAGTCGAAAACAAAGAGTATATATGTTATGGTAACTCCCTGTTTCTAAGTGTACGAATATGAAAACATCTTGCCAAAATAAGAAAACGCACAATGGATGTAATCTCGTTTAGATAAACGTTAGGGTAAAAATACATTCCTCAACACTATCAAAGCCACGAGCCTCGATAAACTTTGATTCGCACAGGTATAAGCGTGTTATTTCAAGCTCTCAGCGAGAGGCAGGCAATACGACAGGCTTAATTGAATACTTGAAATTGTTTACGAGCATAAAACACGTTAAACAAAGTACGCATAGCAGGTTACGGTTATCTTAATAGAAACACAGGAAGATTTTACATTCAGCGTTCCTTTTTGAACTTCTGCTTATCAACGGCAGAGATATGAAAGAGAGATTTACTTGTCTAGCGTAATCACGCACGAGTTTCATGGATCAATGCCAATGAATTGTTACTGAATAGCAACACGCATTCCTGACTTGAGACATGCACCCGAGAACTATTTGCTGAGCTAATTGACGATCAGTTAACTGATCAACCCAGCTATAAACCAACAACGAATAAAGAAAATCACAAGAGAAATCAGCTTTAGCAGGCCCCTCCTGGTTATACACTGGCTCAGTTTACAGTCTCTTCGTTTGTTTTGCTTTATTGCGAAGGGGAGGGGGGGGGGGGGTTGACTACGAAACTGTTTATGAAGCGCATGCATGCAGTTAGAGCTCACCACTGGAGCTCACATAGAAACCAGGCCTGTGCAGCAATGGCGGGAATCACATATACATGCAACATATTATACCAGGCCGGTTAGAGTCGCCCTATATTATGCCTTATTCTAGTCTCCTTTTCCGGCTGATAACTTCAGCGGATCTGGCAAATCAAAGTGTATGATTAAAAAAGTCTAAGTTCATAAAATAGACAAATTCATGCAGAAACACACAATTGATAGCTCAGTGCATCTGTTATATTACACGAATCACATCAGATTACTGTTTAGAACCGATTCAGAGCATCTTATAAATGAAACTCTCTATATAGTATACTTTAAATTTATACAATCATTATTCATTCATGCCTGTTGTGAAACTCAGTAGGTATGCTGAAGATGAACGCGGTTTGATTCGAAATATTCAGTTTTTTACGGCGAATGTGTCTGTTATGTGCTCTCCTCATTCGGATTAGCCAACTTGTATTTTTTCCTTATTTATTCAGCTGTTACAGCATAGACGCGCGTCTTTACATACAGAGGTCTATATGCTGTAACTAATTAACTGTCATCTATGTATAGTCTATTTCACATGCTGTGATACGTTGTATGGTGATTCAAAGTCGTTAGCCTACATGCATGCCGTCGGCCGCAAACCAAGAAATAATAACAATCAGTTATTCAGAATTTAAGAAATATTTTGTGTGTATTTATGTAATGACAATGTGTGTGTTTATTAATTATATTGAACTTCATCGTTAATGTTTGTTATATAACATATGTTGTTCTTTTTTTGTCTTTAAAATTCACGCGGCAAATTTTGCGTGACGTTTTTGATACGAAGAGTCGGCGTTCAATCTCTTGCCTAAATGCATGTACCGTAACATCTTCAGTCCTATCAACTCTTGGCAAACGGGCAAAACATGAAATTTGTTTCAAAGATAATGATTCTTTGTAGAGGCTGGGCTTGAAGGTTAGCTTGATGCTTACTTCTGTCATAGGCATCGACGTTTCACCCCAACAATTTCTGACAAATACACGGCTGAGATGCTCTAGTCAGCGTTTCAAATAGTTGGAGGAAGAAGACAACATTAAACAATATATATGTTGCGACAATGTCGTTATAAAGCTACATATACGACGCGCCAAAATCGTTGCAAGTGAGAAATCGTGTTATAAGATTAAACTAACTTGGCATAAATGGAGGCAGTCATAATAATTAAAATCCTTCGCATTGTGCTTTCATGAAGTTCTGTTTTATTTTTACGTCGAATATCACACTCATTCCGTACGGTATATAATTTCGAGTTCGACCACACGGATTTAAAGTCGATAAGATTGTCTAACCAATTAAATCATATACATATAGAATCTTTTATACATCCATAATGAATTATATATAAGTGAATTAAGCTTGTATATACTGACATGCACAATAAAGAATTGGGCAAGTTCAGTTTCCAATTTACCGCCATCTTTTTCTTTTAGTTCTAGTTAATCCTGTATTCAGTTTCAATAACATCTTTTCATACCGTTAGGCTAAATCTCTGTAATCTATTTACGGAAACTTTACGTCTATATATGTATCGATAAGAAAATTGTAAGCACTGCATGCTGTGTTTGATTAAATAATATATATATACCCAAGGATTTTTAGCGAATCATATATATCTGATGTATTTTCTTCTGTGTCCATAACTCGGTTGGTTTCATCGGGTTTCAAGATGATGTATCATAATGTACTTACATAGTCCGTGCATGATAGCTACAAACACTAACATGTCTACTTTATTTACACTTACAATCATATTTCTTTCCAACAGCGGCCTCCGTAGCCTATCCAACGCTTTTAAACTGTGCGTCCAACTTCCAAGTGTGAATCGTGTAGAGTTGGGTGGCAGGGAGAAAGAAGACAAGAGAACAGAGTGTTTGGAGGTGGAGGCGATGCAATTTATAAGCGCCCCTTGCGTTTCCCGATAGTCAGTATGACTCCACTAGCATCCACTTTGTAGTGGCGCTAAAAATTTAACGCGTGACCAAATACCCAGCAAAGTGCAATGAAATAGATCATTGAGCCGAATCAAGGTCAGATCATAAACGAATATCATAGCAGTTAGCGCTAGGGAACTTCTTTCGAACGATGTCGTAGTGTATATGAAGTTTTCTATCAGTGTTCGTTTATAATATTACGGTGTTTCTAAAATTTAAAATTTAAAGTGCGTAGTTTCCGCGATAGTGGACATCATCGTTTTGGTAATTCTAATTTGGCCACTTGACCGCATGCAAGGCCTCTCATCATGGGTCAATGCTTCACCAATGCCGCAGTAATTGCGGACTCGTGAACATTTGCAGCCAGTCCAGCTAAGCTACGGTCAGACTTCGCTGTTTTTTGAACACTACCTGCTGACTTGCATGAGAACTGTACTAAGAATAGAAGCGATATTTCACAGAGGCGTTGTTCAATTTTGAACGCGACGTTTTTCGACATGTCTGATACGACAACCATGGAACATCAGTTTAAATTAACCTGGATTGTGCGCTTCAGTTGTTCACGAGATAACTTTTAATTATTCCAGCTTCGGTTTCCTATTGGCTACATGCAATCACTGATCTATATATATAGCCCTTGGTTCTCCAGATTCAGTGTTCTGATTGGCTACACGGATCACTGATTCATAAAGAGTTATCAATCCAGGTTTGTCGCTCTACCGGATGTGCAATTCAGGTTTATTCATATCGTTGCTTTGGAACAACAGAATGATTACAACTTCGTGAACAAAATTGCTTCAATTATATTTGAATGGATTCATGATATAATTGTGGCTTTTTGTATGTTTTATGCTTACATATTAATAGTAATTTACGTTACGAATGATTTTGCTGAATTCGTTTGGCTTTAAAACTGCAGAATTGAAAAAAACAATCGATATGTTAGGTCGGGTGTATTCAAAGACCGTCTTTAAACTTGCAGCGGGTCGTTTTGTTTTATACAAACAATACGATGAATGGACAATCAATCGGAAAGAAATATAGTGAGGAAATACGGCGGGTTTTATCACATGGAATAATGGAAGCAGTTGTTACGTGTACGAGATCATTGTTAGTATGGACAAAACGGACTATAGGAATATGAAATATATGCATGATATTTCACTTCGAGATATGATGCAGAACGTATTATCGAATGACCAACACAGCGAAACATTCCAGAGCTGTTTTAATTGGTATTCAAATGCCTGTGCATCTTTCAACCCCCCACAGTTGATATACATGCTTGCGATGGGGTATAACAATAAGTCGTCGCTTCCATCTATGTCAAAAGTGACTTTTAACTGATGAAGGCACCTATTTTCTCAACTATATCTTTCTTTTTAATTCACAATACCAAAATACAGACATCATCCATTCACCTTTGTCTTTCTCTGGCAATGCAGATGCCTCATCTTTAACGTCAATTTTATCATTCTGCTACAAATTACGAGCAAATCTTACTAGCTTTGGTTATCATTGTTAGAGTATTGGCGTCTTATGTTTCTGGTAAAAGCTTGAGAGATAGCACAAAGCCAAAGCACCGCATATAATGTTTGAAGCACCGCATATAATGTTTAAAGCACCGCATATAATGTTTGAAGCACCGCATATAAAGTTCAAAGAACCTCCCATAATGTTTGAACTTTGTAGCACACGGCATATAATGTTTGAACCACCTCACAGAATGACCAAAGCACTGGATATAATGTTAGAAGCACAGTGTAAAATGGCCAAAGCACCGCATATAATATTCGAAGCACCGCGTATACTGATATATAGAAGCACCGATTAAAATGACGATTAATCACTTAAAACAGCTATGGCTTTCCATAACGGGAGCATGCAGTTGTTCCGACACAAGGCTAACTCAAAATTATTTCACGATCTCGAAAAAACCGTGAAACTGACTTAATATTATCAAAATCAAAGAACGAGTTTCTCAAAAGAAGCTTCAAATACATTTGAACTATCCATTATTGGGTTGATGAAAAGTCTGTTTGTTACAGTCTTTTCATGCTTCATAGAACTGTTATTGTTCATGCTGTTTGCTAAATTCGTGTGTTAAATCACGCCCTTCGTGAAAACAACTCAAATCTATTCCAGATGTACATAACCACATGACATATGTGTTAGGGCCTACATTTTTTGAAACGATACAGCCTTTTTAGACACGAGAGAATCGATTCTTTGCTACGTGTTGACTGAAATCACGCATGTAAATTTGTGTCAAGTAGAGTCAGTCAGGCGTATACACGATTCTCGTCGTAGATTTCTGAAATATTTGCTTGGGGTTGGGTGTTTATCAGAACCATAAAGACGTAGAAATTCTTGTCATTATAAACGCAGGCCCCTTAACGGGTCAGATATATTTCTTTGCCTTCGATCTGAAGAAATGAGGTGGAACATCTATTTGCGTTCGACCATCACCGTTACGCCCTTTCAGACTCTGGAATTTCCGTTGTATGTTAATATATCTTAAGTGCCCTTATTCCTTTATCAATTTCCAAAGGCTATATCCTATAGGAACTGCTCATGACGATATAATCTGTTTACTTTTTATCCGGCAAGTGCATTAAGGTCTTAAATTGTCAGGTTTTCATAGTGATATCCGAATAATTACAGCTGAAGCAACGCCCTATAGAATACAATACTATACATCTAGTTGAAAACTGAAGAAAAAATAGCGACTCGCCATTCAAACTACTTTTTGACTGAATCTTGACTGTGATTTGGTTACGAATGCACAATGTTGCAGCAAATATATGTTCTTTGTATTGACTCGTTGAATTGGAACAGGCAGAAACTGTTTAATGGTACTCATCAAGCATCAAATGTGGTATAACAACTGCCTATAATAGACAAAAACACTTCTCGACGTTTCGACCTAAGGGCCTTCGTCAGGAGAGTTAGTATACATAACTATTACATCTATCTCCTGACAGGTCCTCAGGTCGAAACGTCGAGAAGTGTTTTTGTCTATTATTTTTAAGCAGTTGTTAATTGTTATACCATATTTGATGCTAAGTTGTTTGAAGACGTTGCCAGGCGCTGCTCCCTGGTTATATTGGAAAGTACTCAACAACATTTAGACTGTAAATGTACAATAGCATGCAGAAGAAAACCAATCGGGCATAAGATGAATATATGAATAACAGCCCCATCCATTTAAGCTTCTAGCTACATTTCTCGCCCTCAAATATATAGGAAAGCACTTTGGATACTTATTCAACCTCTCAAGGTCAAATGTGAACGTCGATATTTGCCCAACAAGGAATATCGAAAAATTACTGGTCCCGATTTTAAACTGTTCTGTAAAACTGACTGTTTAGCCTCTGCGATGAGTTTCAACGAACTAACCTGGCAAAACGCAATCATAATGTCCTGAAAACACACCCAAATCCTGACCTATCGTCTCACATGCTATGTTGAGCTATAACAGTAACATTTGCTGTCAAGTCTGACACGCCTTTTAAAACATCTGAGGCGGCGGTTGTTCGAAAGGCTTTTCAAGCTTAAACGGTGGATAAGTTCAAATTGGAAAACAAAATAATCTACTTATTGAACAACTGAGCTGAAATATTTCGATGTAAATAGTTTAATTGTCAATGGAAGTACATATTAAATGCATAAGATGCAGGTTCAGTCATTCACCTAAGATCTATCAGAGTATTTTGGCTTGTTCATGCACCGTTTAAGCTAAACGCCTTTCGAACAACCGGCCCCTGAATGATTATAATTCTAGCAACATTTTGTGTATTCGCAGAAGAAATATTGAGAGATAGAATAATCATAAAAGATCTGAGTGAATGTTGAAGTGATAAAAGATTAATGTCATGAAACAATATTTCGCTGTTTCCTGCGCAATCAATAACAACTGTTCAAATATTCCGTGTGCCGGTTTTGGAGCGCGCCTGCGAAAACCGTTTGACTTATCCTGGTTGGATATATATATACATAAACTGTTTAGTACCTGTTCTGAGGCAGGCGAATCGTTTTCCTAAACATGAAAATTGTGACAAATTGTCTACTCACGGGTACGGCGCAGTCACATAGCATCGAGATATGTTGTCTAGCCCTAGTGCTTCTGAATGCATACAGTCAAACTAGCAGGACTGTATTCTTTGATCTAGCTCTCTCTGGCATACTGAGTTGAATGTACAACAGCGAGGCACTTATATACATTTTAAAGCATTCCTGTCAAGGAGTCTATTTGTTGTGTAACTTGTGTTGAGCATGTAATAACATCTCACAACATACCTTGTGCCTTTTGACGCGAGACAAATGATGTCCTTGCATTTGTCGACTTCGCGAAGACCTCTTAACTTCTGTTATAAACGAGGCAGACTGAAATAACGCGTGCATCTTAAGCTTCAAATGAAAACACTTTTTATTTCAAATTTAGGCGGTTTTAATGTCGATCGGTCTTGATATTATGTGGTTGTTGCGTCTGAGTGTTGGTGCGTCTTTGTACGAACAGTGGCAAAATAAACTGTTTTTTTTTAATACCTTTACACATCAATGGTCGCATATAATTACAGCTTTATTCCACGCCTTTCTTTGAACATTCTTGCACGGAGTATTCGCATAAATCACATGCTTTGAACCGGGATATTTTACGCGTAAAACCTCAGCAAATCTCATCAATGATAGTGAGAGTAAAACAACTTTGGGTCGGAGAACTAACCAAAATCAATTGAATTTGAAAACCAGGAGTTATGCTGGGCATTTGATTCCCTTAGCGCGCTTTCCATTAAGCGGCCAAAATGGTCAGACCGGTCATAATTTAAGTTGAAATAGAGTATTTCGTTAAGAATATAACTGAGCGGTGAAACTGCATTTCCCGTGCTAGGCAGATGTATAAATAACGATGTACTTGAATGCGGAGTTCTTGAAACACTCTAAAATACCAGTAATCTGTCTGCACCGAAATACAACAGGACCGGTCTGGCCGTTTTTTCGGCGTATAAAGGAAAGCACCCTTAGCTATCACGTCCAACCCGTAGGCTCGGTATTACAATGGTGCATAAAATTATAAAAACTGACCCGAAGCATGTTTTAAGAATCTAAAACCGAAGAGAATTGCCATATAGACTGGTATTGTTATTGAAGTGTATCGCTGTGAGAATGTAACTATATCCTTTGAAACCTGAAAAGTGAGATAACAACCGGCACTGCTGAGAATTGTTCAGTTACGCAAGCATTAAACAGTATATTATTAATCACAAGCGCTATGTCCTGCTGATCTAATGAAATTTTACAAACTCCGAAAGAGATATAGATCTTTTATATATTATGTTTACACATGCATGCAGGATTTATGTAATAGCAATTGTTGATCAATCTTGTAGTTTTCTAGCGGTCATTTCAGCATATGGACACCTGGAATTTTGCCCCAACAAACAACGAACTTGAAAAGATAAAAGCGCTGTGTGATTTGTCTCATACGCGAGGTAAAATATTCGCTACTCATCATGCCGTGAAATGGCGTCTATTTGTCTCTTTTAATATAAGTCAAAAAACCACAACAAAATCGCATTAGTATAGTTCTAAATTCTAAGTTTCTATGAGAACACCAAGTTATCTGTGCAGGCTAATAAAGCCTTTTGTACGGCCGGGTTATTTATGAATGACTTTCAGTTAGCACTGTACAACAACCTTAGTTGCTTATGAATTAACTCATGGTTATCGTGTACAGGCGAGTTTCATAACACAGCTTAAAATTAACTTCTTCCAAACATGTTTCAGTTAGTTGAGATGAAAGAAATTCTTTGAGACATAACAAATGCAGATTAGGAAACAAATATATGATTGAGTTAGAATGGGTTTCACAAACTCAGAGCTTGTTGTCACTGTACTTTCGTTTGCTTTCAGAAAAGAATCAGACTCAAAAGCGTATTTAGAGTAATAATTCAATCCTTGCTGAAAAGTAAGATAACATCTTTTGGAACAGTATACAGCTTGATTGTGCTGTGTCTCATGTGTTTATTGAACTTGCTTCATGCTTGGTTGGCGTTCACTGGTCGACACAACTAGCCACTAAATGGCCTTACGTCAAAACCTCTGGCATAGTTAGTAGGTGAATTTTTGTCCTTACAGACATAAATCTATACAGAAAATCCTTGGTCGCATTTGAGATCACGGGCTATAAAATTAATTTAGTCCGAAAGCTCTAACCAATTGTATTTCTGGCAATTAAAGGTATTAGGCAACCAAGACGTCATGTAGTGTGACATCATATCGGCTATTTCGCTCAAGCGAAGTCCAGCGAAGTTTGAAATTCCATGCAGTAAGGTAAAACAGCGATTTCTATTTCACTGTGTCTCTTTGAAAACTTCACTGTGAGAAAACCAGGATATTTTTGTGAATTGTTTACGCAATTGAATCTATTTTTGTATGCCGCACGTAACGACGCTGTCATTCCAGGTATGTGCACTGAAGGATAACCTCTTCTTCACCCCCTCGATCCGCAGTACCACTCGCTTTTGCGGATTTTCAGATCTAGAGGCTTTTATTTCCAAACATGCAAGAAAACGCTTGAAAAACGGTGGGCTAAAAACCAGCCTATTAGTAAGGAAGAAACGTTGTAGAGTGAACTTAATCACAACTGGAACAATAATCGCTCATTGAAACGACATGGTTGGGTGGCGCTGTGTGGCCCAGCGATTGTCGCAAAAACAGTCATAAACAGTTTAATTAACAACAGTTTTATCATTTATTCCCTGTGTTCCTGACGGAAAGCTCTTAGCAGAGTATCACAAACGATACAACTGATCGCGACTCGCGAGATTTTTGTTCAAACGGAATAACCTACAGCAGACAGCAGACACGACTTGTAATTTTGTTTCGCTTGTTCATAGTTAATACTATGGTTTTTTACATTCAATATCCCGTTATGCATCTGCCGACTTTCACGGCAACCACTGAACTATATGATTACACTGTATGGCTGTATCGTGTCCAGCTGACTCAGCAAGCAGGTTTTTTTTTGGCGCTGACCTTGCGTGGGACTGGTAGCGTACGACAATTCCGTTTCAAAATGACCTAATCTCGTCCCCCGACTTCCTTTGCGAGGGAACAAAGTCTCTGGGACAAACGAAACAAATCCAAACCATTCCAGTTCCCATGTGCTCACCGATGCTCCTATATTCCACCATATTCTCACACCCAGTTCCCTACCCCTTTCAAACGTTGCTCTCAATATAGCAACTGAAGTGCGATTCGTTGTTAGTCTAACTGAGCGCATCGGAACTCTATATAACTGGAATAATAACTAAAGCAAAGCCAGGATTTGTCTGGTGACCAAACATTGTTTTCATTTGTGGGGGTGGGTGGCTGAGGCAGCTGGCTGAGGTGGAAGTCTTCCAGCTCTTCCCCCTAGAAAATGTTTGCATTTCTTTTAACCCTTGATAAAACTGGCAATTCCCCTTGTATTACACACACACTTAGGCATTCAAAATGACTAAAAAAAAGTAGTTAAATCAATGATGCTTTTATTTCATTAAAATGTTTTGAATAAATATTATCATTATACAATATTTATATATATACCTAACCGTACTCAAAATTGCTAGTGTCAAACAAAAATGAATTTATGTATTAGTTCCACATCAAACTTGAAAAGTTCCTTTGAAAGGCTTTGTTCGCAAGTCATCATCATCTTCATAATTGTTTGCTAAACATGAAATATGCATGCTATCATTTGTCTTTGGTTGATTCGACCATTACTGGCTCCCCTTTTATGTCTGTGTTCAAATCTGCAGGTAGTTCCCCATTTTTCACAGAGCCATTCTGAAAAGAATGAAAATAAAAAGGATTTAAAATAACTGGAGTTATTGATCTGAAAATATAGTACTTTGAAACAATAGCAATGCATCAGTTGCATTTATGCAATTGGGATTCTGACAAATAAAACAATTTATTGTATGAGTTTTGAGAAGTAACTTTGACGGCGTAAATCCCTTTTGCCAGTCATGACAATTCCATTGTGACGACTGATGAGAATATTCAGTGTTTTTACTGTTTTAATACATCTGCGATAGTACATTCGTGGTTGAAAACAAAATTTCAAATTCTATAATACTATACCAAACATGTAAAGATAATATACGACATTTAACATTTAACGTGTGGAGAAACGATCGGGAAACCAACTTTACCTTGATTTCATCATCAACCGAAGCGGATTTGTCGGAAATAGGTTTCTTCCCATACCACATATCAACTAAAGGCTGAAGAAACTTGTGCCAAATATACAGTGCGATTGGCACAAGGATGCACGTTATTCAGACCATAGTTAGAACTATAAAATCTACACAAAAGAATCACTTTATTTGTCTGAAAATGAGCCGAACTGCCGTACAATAATCCTTCGAATTGCTTCAATATTTTCGGTATTTTCAAAGTTTTTAATACTTTTTGTATAAAAAGATGATGTATGAATATTAAATGAGCTATAATTGTGTGATGATTCAATATTTCGAATGCTCTGATTGGTTTATTGGAACACGAACACATGAAATCTAACCAATCAAAAAGTTTGTTAGAATTTTTTCGCGGATTTTCGAAACTGTATCAAATTCAAAACAAAATGGAAGACGTTTTGGTATGGTAAATGATAATTTAATCTGTTTACTCGACAATTGCTAGGATTTTACCTTTCTAAGGATGAAAATGTGCTGCCGTGCTTTACATTCGGATCTGTCATTTAATTTTGTAGAAACATCTAAATGAAAAGACAGAAGATAAGGGCAAAGTGCAAAGTATTTTTCATCTTTTGAAAGTGTACGTGACCAATATCGTCCAGAATCCAACCAATGGAAAGTACAGGAAGATAAGAAAAAGTGAGAAGTTGTTTAGGTTGTATTTAATGCGCCTAAGCAGAGAAAATTTCGCGGATTTCACCAGTATGGATCAAGATATCCATTTATGGGACATTATTTCTTAGTTCATTACCATAATAGGCAGCCCAGCGAACAAGGTGGATTCGTAAAGTTTCGTCATTGGACGTAATCTTAGAAATAAACATTGTTTACAGGGCTGCCTATGACAGTACTATAATTCAGAGTTCAGCCTTTCGCCCCATTTTGAATATATTGTCAAGTTGCATTTTGAGAATTATTTAGTTAGATTTCTGATTTAAACAGGTAACCCAAAATTTCATTCAACAATCTGGAGTAATGAGGATGCAAGGTCTTTTCTACTGTTAGCAGGTTTTGAAGAGGTCAGCACATCTCTAAACCATTCCTTTTGTATACACTTCATGTAACATTGAAATGTAAGCACCACTCAACTCAACCGTTTTCAACCAATGTAGTTAGTTATATGTTATTTAGTCCAATGATTTCCTGGAACTACCTGAAGGAGTTCATCTTCATGAGGCCAAGACTATATTGGATGTCCTAACTACAGATGATGTCAAATCAGGTGCAGATAGCAATACCCAGTCTTCCACATCAACACAGCAACAACAATCAAGCAGTGTCCTTCAGCTGAGAGGGTCATCAGGTACAACACAGTATGTCTGTGGATAGTACTTTTCCTAATGATTTTTTTCCATGAGAATCATTTCAATATTTTTTAAATGAAGAATGGACATTACCTATAGAAAGCCCTGATATTTTTGTCCAGTTTATATTGCAGTCAGTGACACATTACATCCCCCACATACCTAAATATATGATTATGAAACTGGATATCTGGGCTACATTGGGTCAGGGCTTTTCTATAATAACATTTAAAAAAAATTCCATCTAATTAGCTTGTCTTGATACTTGTATATTAGATTCCAGTATGTTTGATGAGACTTCAAAACCAGACATGACTCTCTTATCATATATGAAGGAAATGGGTAGGAAAAAATTCATATTATGTTGTCCTACAAGACATCTTGTTCCCCCACTGGGGTTTTTCTTGATGTAAAATATATCCTATTGTTTAAAGGATTTGATGTGGCTGTTGCAGAAAAGGCTCTGATCATGACTATGAACCAAGGAGTTCAACCAGCAATGGACTGGTATGTTTGCAATTCCTGGAGCTATTTAAAAAATAAGAAAAAATTTCCGTGTTTCTATACGAGTTTGGGAGAACGAGAAATAATCAGTGTTTTTCGACGTTAATGTCAACAGGATAAACAGTAATCCTGGTAAAGTGAGTGAAATTCAAATGGCACAATTTCATCAAACCAGCTCAGCTGATAAGACAGTTGAGCAAAATCCAGCCAAAACAGGCGATGTCGCTAAAAGTGAGAGAGGGACTGGATCGAGCACAATAACGAGTCCCGTTTCACGTTATCAAACAACGCTTGATGAAAGACATCGATTTCAAGAACGTGTTAGACTGGAGGCAATTGAGGCTGCAAGGTTATTTCATGATATTTTGCTGTTAATTTTCTAAGAAGCTTCCAAAACAAGGTTGTATGCGCCGTTCGTGTAGGCTGAGGGGTGGATGAGTAAAAAATCTAGCTAAGTTTGCAGAGTTATCCATTATTTCAGTAGAACAAGTTTATTTGCAACGGTCTAAGACTAGATATTTCATATATTATCATTGTAAAATTTGTGAAACTGTTTATGATAAAAGTTGTTTCATTTTCCGTTAATTTTGCGCAGCGTTTGTAAAAAACCAATCTTGCTATCAATTTGTACCGAATTTGGTGAATATTTTCGTTGCAGATTAGAAAAGGCCGAGCAAAAAAGACAAAAAGAATATTTGTTAAAGAATTTGGAGGACGAGAGAAAAGAAAGAAAAGAAAAAGTAATTCCTAGAAAGAGTGATTTCTAGTTAAACTAAACCATTTGAGCCCCGATTGACCTGGATCAATCGAAATTATCATGTGATGTTTTGGTACTTAGGGGGAGAGAGTCAAAACTATGAGAATGCAAGATGGCTCTGCCACAACGACAGGGGAAACTGGGGAGAGACCGCGGGAAGCTGGGGAGGATGAAAACAATAGCATTTCGCTGCGAATAAGGTTACCCGATGGAAGAGTTAGTATAAATTATAGAATATTAAAAAAATGAAAATTATTGTACTTTTTAAACCAGGTGATTTCGCGCTCATATTTTAGCCAATCAGCGCCCAGAAAGTTTGTCAAGATAGAAATCATTTTTGCAGCATTCAATCTATTATATATTTTGTTATTCTTTGTGAAATCAGTAGAAATATTGTGATTAGGTTTAGTTACAAGAACTATAGCTCCGACATAAATTTAAAACCGAGCTAAAGTATATTTCAAGGAATTTTAAGTTGTTTCACCCGAAAATAGATTTTTATATGACAACTAGCCCCAGTTTTTTCCCGCCATTTCAGAGTCACGCGGATTTATCCAATGTAAAATGTGGGATAGATTTTACTCAGAGTCGCACAGGTTTTGAGCATCATTCTTTTATACCATGCTCGAAAAGGTGTATTTTGTTTTAGAGCTGGTAGCCAACAAAGGATATATTTGGGAATATATGACTGGTCTCTTAAAAGATGTTGTATTTACATTTTTAGATAAATAATCTGAAATTGGGGTCGCACAGTTGTTTGGAAGAAATATACAAGTATGTCACATAGACACGGTAGAGAAAGCATTAAATTAGCATGTACTTCTTAGAAGCGTGGTCAGAAGTGTTTCATCGGATATTGTTCATGCATGTTGAAATATAGTTTTTTTATTTAGGCATATTTCCAGTATAAGTGGGTTGAAAGAGAATGATTTCGTCATCATGACAGTTGCACCACAAATTAAACTCACCGAAAAGGGGAAAACGCTTGACGATCTTGGTAAATATTCATATGATTTTGTATTAAAAGAGAATTTATCTATTTATACACAATTCAACGTCCATTTCAAATGGGTCCCATGGGCTCTGATAGTGCAGAGCACAAACAATGATGGTGTTAACTGAAAAATAAGTTACGTTCAACTCCGCCGAGGTTTGCATCCAAATGGTCGATAAGTATACGAGATATCTTATCCTAGGTTTAAAATCACAGGAGACTCTGATCGTACAACGTGTTGACCAAGCTGGAACTATGTCAGAGGGCCATGGAACGTGTTAGTAAGAGTACTAATAGCGTACATACTTTAAGCATGTCAAGAGTACTAATAGCGTACTACCCAATCAGAATGCATGAATATTGATTACTTCCGGTAAAAAGGTACATTATCTACCATTTTACATGAAGTATTAAAAATTTAGGCATTCTGGATCATGAATGTTCTGGATTTATAGCTTTGCCTGAAAATTTAAAGATATAAACAAGTAGTAAGCCGAATAGTAGTTGAATTAAAACGATATTCCTCTTTGTTGGTTTCATCACACAGTTCGTCAAATCTTGGAGGTGAGAAGTCTTGCACATTGGGGCGATGTACAATGGCAGAACAGAGATCAACTGATTGTCGCACAATTTTATGTTCCGAGGTATTAATTATAAAGAACTACAGTTTAATTGTTTATCGTACAAAGTGTATGAAAATTCGGGATTCAACTCACTGTCTATTGCCTTTTTTATTGTCTATTGACTATTGTTAGCACATCAATGCTCAAATAAGCACTTAAGTGCATGACATTTGTGTTTATAATATATTTTGTGTACTTGTGGCTGCAGCAGATCAAATTCTAACAATAGAACACTTCATATATTCACATGTCTGTCCCTCTTTTCTCCAGTGAAGATGATTGGGAAAGATTTGAAGATTTAAACCGCAAATTTGGAATCGATGAACAAGCTCTGTTTGTCCGAATCAATTTCGAGTTAGAACCGGTAGGAGAAGAGCGTTTATTTTGTTTATTTCAGTGTATTTTACGCAAGGCTGTCTGAACTTCAATCACATTGTTTACTTCACAGGCTTTCAAAGAGGTTTACGATTTAGAATCGTTTCCTTCTTACAAGTTGTTGTGGAATAACGAGGTAAACAGTAGCATACACATTGATGCTGGTTTAGATGCTGTTCATAAAATATGACCTTAATATCAAATAAATAGCTTCTAATCTTTAAATGCGACACTTCAGAGCACAAATTTATAAACCAGTGTTACAACTTTAGGCTACATTCAAACGAGCAACCCAGACGAATTCGAGCACTGTTCGAAATTCGGTCATTCACGTGTGAGTTAATTTTGAGTTAAGTTCACGTGCATTCGATTCGGCAAAGGACAAGTGCCCCCCCCCCAGTAGAAAAAATTGAAGATAAACAAGCTTATTCACAACCTCGTACCCAGGGTCTTTAATTATTTTATTCATAGGATTGTTTGAAAACCTTAATCTGAATTTCTCAGTCAAAAAGATGGTGCTAAGTGGAATAAGGCGCGCAAGGCATGAAGATTATTGGCGGTTAAAAATAAATTATTAGGCTTTAGATATCAATTATCTTCATATTTTATAGACATTATTGAACATTACTGACCCGGAGTGCTTGGAAACGTCTATCAGTGAAAATATGCGTGGCCCTGTGGCGGAACGCGTCGCTGATGGAGAGTGTGAGGAATACTTTGATCCAAGATGATACCCATGTGATCTAAGGTAACATCAGCTACGATTTTGCTGGAAAAATAATCTTCCTACAGATTATATTCCTCCATTCTACCGTTTTAAAAGCCTATTTTGTACATAGGAGAATGCATCACCGTGATTAGGCTAGGTCGATATATAAACCTAGCCATAAGAAGAAAGTGCTGTATTTTTTTGCGCGAATGACGTGGGTAAAGCGCGCGATAAATTACAGCATCTCCCGCACGTGATGCGCACACGAGACTGGAAAGAATGTTAGAATTAGAATCAACAACTGGGCACGCATTGAAGAATTTCGCTGACCCAATTTCTCACCATTTTCGTACAAACGAAATGGATAAAAAATTTAAAAAAAACCGATTTCGAGTAGTTGGATTATCATGAAACTTTACTCGGGGTTTTTTCATAGATTATTTTTATAAGGGACATCAAAGAACTTATATTCGTATAGTATGATAATTTATTATATTTCTAACAATTTAACTCCATATACAAATCAAATATATATAAAGATTGTACATGATTAATGTTGCAAAATAAGGCCGGAGCGTGTTTTCAAAATGGGCCCAGGCTAGTAACGAACTCTGTAGTGGTGCTGGCATTGTTTCTAAAATTCGAATATCGTAGAAGTTGAAACGTAATAAGCTGTCAGTTGTTCTACTTAAAGGGGCTATCGTGCGTTTGTCTCGTGCTTGTAAGAAAAGCATAAGTGACGCACTATTGAAGTAAACTCAATGTATATCTGAGGTGAGTAATGAAAAAGTTGCTTGATAGAACAAATGAAGCAAACAAGGCGCAATTTTAAAATAAGGTTTGCTCTTGTAGTTTTTATTCTGCATTTGTTGAAAGACACTGGTCAGCCTTTTAAATGATGGAGTCAAACGTCGAACGATTACCACCATGGGAAATTAACTAGGGAAAGCAATTAAGCATAATTTAAGCTAAATAATTAAATGTTTTTAACATTTTGAATGAGAAAAACATTGTGTTCGGCAATCATTAATTATGCTTGAATTTCCATAGTTAATTTTTTATTGATTAAGGTGGTTATGCGTTTTAGTTAATTAACCATCACTCAAAAGGCTTCACTGTGCCTTTGAACATGCTTCTGAATATATTTTGTCACAATTGTATGTCACTGTATGTGATTTCAAACTGTCTCAGGAATTATAATAACCTACAATCTTGGAGAACAAGGGTTTCATCTATAACCTTGATGAGCCAGAATCTAACCAATGTTCAATCAACTGTCTTGCGATTGCCTGTCTGGGCGGGAACCACAAGGATGGTGGCTTTGAATGATCAACAACACGGTTACTCGCGCGTCTTACACTATCCATACTGAACCATTGCGCATCCTCGAGTTCCTCTTTATCCACGATTATCCTGTCTGTGGTGGCATGAGCTAGGCAGCCAATCATAAGCTGCGTAGGGTACGGCCAGAACTGAGAGGAATGGTACTCGACGAGACCCACGTGGATACCGCTTTCTTCAAGCACCTCGCGTCTCACGGCATCCTCAATTGACTCCCCTGGTTCCATGTATCCCGCAAGACAGGAATACATCCCCGCTGGAAAGACTGGTTTACGACCCAGCAAACACTCTGTGCCATCTTGGGATACGACTAACATGATACCAACCGGATCCATGCGAGGGTAGCTCACATTAAGGATTCCTCGTTAAATGAAAGAATAGAGACATCATTACATAAATTCAAAAAAATGACGCTGCGTGCAATCCCGCACCCAGGAACTTCATTGATGAAGAAATACCGCCTCATTCAGCTACTATATAGAGTTCAGGTTTATCGCGTTCCTTTTTTGACTGATCTGTATATAGAAGCTGAACGCATCGTCATGTGTTTTCCGATAGAGTGCCTGGGATTGGAGACTATTCTTAGCGTCATCAATTTTTATCGCTTTGTTAGGGAATGTGGAAGAGTCAGGGACTGTGTGACTAACGTCTGGTGAGATTTCAACACGTACAGCATACTAAGGCCTGTTTTCCACTTCAACCGTATCGTAACGTAACGTAGCGTATTTCTTTGTTTCCGAAGTATTCAACCAGAACTAATGACTTTAAAACAATGAGATACGCTACGTTTCGCTACGATATGATTGAAGTGGAAAACGGCCTTAACTAAATAACGGTAATGCCTGCAGACCGCAATATGAAACTGGACGCAAAACATCTGGTTGTATTTTCTCTCGACTACAAGACTTACTTTTATTTGAATCACATTCATTATTTGAACAACTCTGCTTGTAACCGCCTTCGTCCATAGACACAGCATTTCCGCATCTTGGGCAGAATCTGTTAAACTGATGCCACTCAAGTATCGGCCGTGCTTGGGCCAAGATCGTCGCATCTTCTATGTGGACTTGCAAAAACCCCGGTCGGGGCTCCAGGTATTCCGTTCCTGGAAAGGCTTCCAAGAATTTCGACGAGGCATCGTTGATCCTACCAATATCAACAGCAAACCATGCGAAATCATCAATCGCCTCTTCGTCATCATTTTTTGTCAAACTCTCCTCGATTCCAAGAAATACAATGTTTTTTAGCCGTTCCTTGTCCTTTCCAAGAATACTGCACAATTTCTCGTAACTCAATACCGCCAAACGAAATCGTTTCTCACCGGATAGTTTTGCTGCTAGTGGTTTTAATTTGCTAAATACGACGTATTTTGACTTTGGGTTTTTCATCTGTTCGTTCAGCCATGTTGTGTCTTTTCGTTTGTCCGCACGTCGGTTCAAAGGCGCGTGGCTAAAGTAGTTCACCGTCGGGTATTTGACCGATGTTAAAGGTTTTTGTGAATTTAGTAAATTTATTGCTGCTCTCGACTTAAAATGCCTTGCTATGTCGAATGCTGTTTGCCCTTGGTTGTTTCTGAGAGTTGTGTTCGCTCTACAAAACAGATTAAGATCAAAACGTGAACATTCTTTCATTATTTGCCTTCAAATACCTCGATAAATGGCAGTAAAGAAGTGAAAGTGTGCTGTTTTTATGGAGTTGAAACTAATGGTGGATGTTGGGGGTTGTTTGTATGGATGGAATAGATTGCAATTGGGAAACTTGATTTAAACTGGTTGGCAACTTGGTTGTTTTGATAGACCATAGACAATCAAAGAAAATACATATTATATTTATTTGATTGTCTATGGGTAGACCCAATGCCTTGCAGTTCTCTTCTAGTGTTATCTCAATATTTGTAGGGCTCCAACTGTGCTGTCGACAAATAAAAAAGCATCTCTTGCTGACTAAAGTGGCAAAGTACGTAGCACAAAATACATACAAAATGTAGCATTGCAGTATGAAATACCTCTAAATGCTCCTTATTACCTGATCACTACACAAGGTCATAATTGTACTCTGTAAAGTTGCTGTTGGGGGGAGCAGGATGTTGTGACACAGTTCAACTATTCGAAATATGTTATGAAAAGCCATCAGATAACTGGTTCAGTACGGAGTTTTATTATGGAGTTACCTGGTTCAGATAACTGGTTCAGTTCAAATATTTAAGAAGGGATGTACACCCACCAAATTTGTAATAGTGGCTTTCTTATACAATTGATATTACACTAGAAATCAGAATCAATTACAGATTAATGACTAATTTGAAGCGAAAAATACTTGTTTCTTATTCCTTTATACTTGATATACTTAAAATAAAATAAAAATAAACTGGATAAAATAAAAATAAAATTTTACCTTTTAATTAAAATATGTCTAGGAACAAAGGCCATATTATTTATTATTTGCAAATTGAACAAAGACCATTTTCATACTTTTTATACTTTATTCTAATATTTCTAATAATATTAAAATCAAGTGTTTTAAGGGAGTATATTTATTATTTAAAAATCTTTCGCAAGAATTCATACCTTATGTTACTATGTAAAAAACCTTTACGTGCAGATATTTTATTGCAACATCGATGAGCCCAGAAAACCGACCTTGAAGGAAGCATTTTGAAATGCAAGGAACTGGGATGAATATTTGTCGATGTGTCAAGCGAAATGCCACGTTAATACATAACAAATCGATTAGAATCGCTTCGTGATTCGCTTTCGCACGATTGCTGAGCAAATGGCCGTCCTTTTGTTTACAACTTGTACGCATGCTCAAATAAACTATATACTATCATATTAGCGGTCGAGTCGTGCGAATTTATAAAATATTTCGCATTATAAAGCTGCCTTTTGAGGGTTTATGTGACGTACTGACCTGCGTTTGATTATTTCCCGTGTTATTTCGACATTGTTTTGTCGGACTGCGAACATTAAAGCGCTCCAGCCGTCTGAATCTTGCACATCTATAGAGCTGAAGCTGGAATGGTCGACGCCATCTTGTTTTGCCAGAATCGTGCGTGCTTTGACCAAATCATTGTCTTGAATTGCTCTAAACAAATCTTCGGATACAGGATTGTCGGTCATCGTTCAGATTCGAAAAATTGCAATTGAGCAATAATGGATGTCAAATCCAAATTATTAAATATATTACAATTTACACGGAGCTCTTGAAAGGCAATGCTACTCCCTAGTCCTCTGATTGCGCTCGACCTTTAAATTATCCTTTTATTTCCTTTCATATCTTAACATACAGGGAGCACGTGATTGGCGACGAGCCGACAATATCACTTATGTATAGTTTTTAGGGTAAATTTATTTATTCTTTCACTGGTTTTACGGTTTACTCTCAAAATGGCGAATATTTGTCGACGTACAAAAAGCAGAAGCACCAAAAAAGACTGTAATCTAATTTCAGTTTTCATACGCAAATGGGGCTTGGAGCGAGATTGGAAACCCTGGTTATCGTCCTTGTTCCCAGGTTTTCAGTAATGCTCAGTAACCCAGGTTATATATTCGGCTCTTTTGGGTCGATGGACTTGGCGATTCCTGCCCTTATATAGAAAACCACGAATTAACAGACACGCAGGCATCTTACCAAAACTGATTTCTCTATTGCCGAAGGGAAGAGCTTGTTAAGATGAAAAAACTTGGTTAAAATGGACTTCCTTTTTGAACTTGTTTCTATATTCGTTCGTTTATTAGCTTGCTGCAGTCGTAAATTTCAAAAAGACAACCAAATCTCAGTTTAACCGAAGATTGATACGGAATGTTCCACGCGTGTTTCAATGTTTTAATAACTAGAAGAAAAAAACACTTTCCACTTGAGTTTACGGTTATGTTGAATTTACTAACAAAGCGGGATATATATTAGTAGAAAAGCTTTACAATGATCTGGACTAAGAACATGCATAAAAAGTTAAGAAAATGTAAGATACTATAAGATGTCTGGAAATGGGACGATATTACGATAGATTTTACGTCTAAACCGATATTCCAGTATTCGTCAAAAGAGAATTTAGGTTAGAAAACTACCCAGGAACAAGCAAGCGACGAAGAGGACAGATGTATGTGTGACAACTGACGACGCTGATTTTCCGCCACCAGGTGTGTTTGTTGAATTCACGGTGGATGAAGCGGACATTTCGTTTGATATCGTTGCAGGACCAGGCTTAGGACCAGGCTTTTGCATCGTACGATTAGATACGCCCTGATCATGCGATGCAGAAGCAGTCGGGAGAGGGGCTACTGGCAATGTCATATTGACCGTAGCTGTATTTGCCGTTTTGACGTGAATACTAAAAGTTGAGAGAAGAAATGGTTAATAGACCTTTCCCCTTTTAGCTTTCAAGCGCGCTATGCGTGACGGTAGTTGATTATCAAGCAACTTTAAATTGCAATATCGCTCTGCATGCTTAAAAGCGATTTTGTTTGTACCGATTTGTCACGCATTGCGCGCTTGAAAGCTAAAAGGGGAAAGGTCTATCGTCAGGTGGTACATGTTGGTCCTAGAAAACGGTGACTATAGCCACGGTGTGTAGTTAAAAAGAGACTTGACATAATCTAAGGGGCTGTTTACATGAGCCCGGTTACCCGAGATTCAACGAAGCGTGAGATGATTTTGAGGTATTGAAATGAGCCGATAACATCATCCTGGAAAACTAGCCTGGAATAATATGCTAGCCTGTCGTATATTACCAAATGCCTGAACCCTTCAAAGATGAACCGGATTAAACTTTCAGAAAGTGATTGTTGAGAAAATTTAGTTACCAAACAATCACGTTTCCCTTTGCGAGCGCTAGCTTCAGCACAATATAGGCATGCAGTTATAACAGTATGGTTTCTCGAGTCGGAATCCTTAAAGTTATTGTCTTTCCCCAACTGTTTGTTGCTTTCCATGTTTTCTGTCAGAAAATCACATTTAAACTCTACGTTTTGGCGACTATTTCAGCTACACCGCCAAGTTTTTAGGGCAGTAAACGGAGTGAAATATCTCTAGACAGTTGCCCTAGCGTTCAGTTACGCTACACCTTTTAAATCATTGGAATGAATAGAATGCTTTTCTTGTCTCGACGATTGACATCTGGAACAATAAGTTATTTTTAAATTACTTATTGCATGTTTAAAACATTACTTAACGCTGTCATTTTTATAATAAAAACTTTAACTTAACCTTTGGGTATATACGACAAACTGCTAACGGCAGACGTCGTGCTGCATTTGAACGTACATTATTCCAATCTCACCGCGAAATATATATTTCCGGGTACGGTATTGTTAAATGCATTGCTCATGATATTATTTCAACGCTGAAAAATGCAATAAGGAAGTTATAGATGTCAATTTGACTAATTTTAACACTTGGTTTCGGTACATTCAAACGTGGCTTTACACGAATCCATATTTGCATTTTTATAGGCGTAACATTAGCTTTGCAACTTCAACCTATAACAATAAAAATTAAAAGGCTTCTTGAGTCGGAACCTTTGAAGCGATAGTGTCTCCGCCCGCAAGATTATTCCAGTTTCCTTTCATGTAAATCATGATTTAAGTTTGGTACTGAAAACTAGCAAGTTCGCCACATTCCAAGACAGTGAAGCTCATAAAGTTTCTGTAGATATTCACCGCTCTTTATACTCGTAGTCTCGACTACCTCAAATTCTCTTTGTCTTTGAGAATCATTCTTTGTATACTATAAATTGTATGCCTAATCAATATGGAATGAATAGAATGTTTTTCCTTTTACGAAAATCATCATCTGAAACAGCAGGTTATTTTTAAATATATTGAACATTATACTGCTATAGTATTTATCAGCGATATCATTTTTGATAATAGAGGCCTTAGCTTTACTTATATAAGACGAACTGCTATCGGCAAACTTTGAATCGCGTTTGAAGTACCTAAATAACTGTTCAATGATAAGTGCCACTTCCGTGTACGGCTATAATTTGTAAAGGTTGTAGAGACTGCTGTCCATGAAATTTAGTCTAGAAAAAGTCTACAAACGAATTTTTTTCTGGGTGTGGAAGTTTACCTCGTCAGTTGGGGAAAAGTTGAAAAGAAAGCCATGCAGGAATGTGCATGTATTTGTCAGGAAATCCTAAATTTTAACACTTGTACACAAATTAACGTGGCTATATGTGTGTCAGGAACTTGTTCACGACGTGACCTCGCTTGAATTAATTAATAATTGACATAGGCGTAGTAATAGTTTTAGCTTCACCTTCACCCTCGCCTTCACCTTCATTAGCTTTGCAAGTTGTAGTTATAATAACTAACATTGAACTAATTTCTACAAACGCTCTACCTGACGTTATCCATAAAGAATGGAAACCTCTTTCGAAGCATATAAACTAGCATTAGTTATTATTTATAACGGCTTACCTCGTAGGCACTATTAATGATGACGTTGCAGTGGCAGATTCATAAACATTTGTTACCAATAAACATACAAGTACCAAAGATAAAGACCAATACATCTTTTCGTTTAATTTGTCGACTTCAGACCTCGCACAGCTCAGCTCAGCTCTGTTCCGTAGCGCTAGATTGCTTGAATGAGGAAATATAACGAGATGTTAGCCGCACCTATATCCGGATGGGGTATTTTGAGAACTGATCTATAATATTACACTGGATAGAGAACGTTACCATTAAAAACAAAACAAGAATTAATTGACTTCCGGATACCTGGAAAATTTCCGAATTCGCGGAAAACATAGAAATTCACTACCGTTCTACCTTAGAACCTGATACAACTGAATTCCTCACCACTTTTCTGGAGTTAGGATGTAAGTTCATTATTAATCTTAGTTTTCTTTATCCAGTCAGGGGCCGCGGAAGATCGTTAATTGAGGGGGGGAGATATTCATATATTCAAGTTCAGCATTATTAATTTTTTTGAAATTGATTGTTTTCACGGTCTGCTCACATGAATATTTCCCCCCCCCCTCCCACTTAACGTTCTTGCGCGGCCCCTATATCCAGTGTATCAATAGATCAGTGATCTTGACTCGTGATCCATCGGTGATTTTGAGAATGGTTGCTGAAGATTATATTCCGGTGCTTTTCTGAACGAATTTGACTCCTTATAATCTTAGAGTCAATAGCAACTTTGCATTGAAACTAATAACATAATTTTCATTCAAGCCAAGTGTAATACACGAGTACAAGTATTGAACACGAAAACGTGGCCGTAGGATAGTACGAATAAAGGTAAACTTCATTCAGTGCAGTCAGAAGAACAACTAAAATGGCTACGAGCATAAAAAAATAATTTCTCTCGCAGTTAAAACATTCCTGATGAAAGTTTAGCGGACTTCAAGCATTGAGACAACAGAAGTTCCGCCAAGGTGGCATTTGCATTTAAAAAGCTCGCGTCTGCCTATTAAGATAATTCATTTCCAATCCCTGTGTATTGAGGCTCGGTTGGGCTCCTCTTGTACATCTTGTATAGTCGTAATATTGAACCCAGCGTAATCTACAATTTTGATGTGTTTACCTGTGAAATATGACGAAAAATTTCAAAGTTCAAATGTTCGTGTCATTGTGATAAAAATCTTTCGTTAGGAATTCGTTGCAGTAATTAAATAACAATTGAGTTATTAACTGCTTTGTTGACTTGTTTGGGCGGTTTTGTATGCCATTAATGGTGTCACAAGACTTGAATATTATTTCCTGCAAACCACGGAGTTTCGAATCCTGGTGACGGGCTGCATGCATGTATCAGACTTGTGATTGTAAAAATATAAATGTACAAACTAACAATCTTACGAACAGCTGTAAAGTTAGCATATCCAGGTTTACGATTGTCTGAACTTATCTATTTCTATAACCGCACATCGCCAACCTGCTGGCTAGTGAGGAAGCGGTTTGCGTGCTATATTCTTGCATTTGGTTTTTTTTGGAGTTCATATGACAGCAAACACCGGGTTTAAAACGCTATAATATTAAGATACAGTATTTGCAACAATGTCTGACAATTTTTTACGACGAAACAAAGCCATGGACCATGGTTTCCGCAAAAGTATAATGACATTTAGTGCTATTCATCACGTATTTCCTTGTGCTACATGTGTTTTTTAAACCTAGTTCTTTAAACCTAGTTCGTTAACTCTATAAAAGTGCTTTGTACCTAGTGCTTTAAACGCGATTTCCTTTCATGATAAATTCACATTGCAAGAGTTCCTAAGAATAAAAAAACGAGAAAAATGTGACCCAATGTAGACAAACGTGATGCTGCGGATTGTTTTGTTGTTGTTGTTGTGTTGCCTCCCACTGTTGTGCTGTGTCGCACTGTTGGGCTGGCCAAGAGGATCCTGGTTGTTGAAAATGTAATGCCAGTCATTGGCGTTTTTGTCGATACCATTGAATTTTCAATGTCCTTTATTGAGATATTTTTTGCTTTTTCTTCGTCAGGGAGTCTCTGGCAGAGATTTGTTGCAAACCTCGTGAGATTGGTATTGTTTGCTGATTCCAAACTGAAAGACAGAGTTCATTGAATTATGTTTCTATAGTGGTTGTTCGGTTGACTTGCCAAGAATGCGTATATGCGCCCTTTTTGGGGAGTGCGTGTGTTGAGAAATATTTTCTAGAACGTTCTAGGATCCTATTTGCATTACCTACCGACATGCAGTAGATATGAGCTCTGAGTAAGAGTTTACAATTTCGTTAACAGCGCAGAACTTTGATAAACGACCGGTCTTTTTGTCCGGCGTCCAAGAGCCTTACCATTTCATGACTTTCAAGCAAAGCTTTTTACCAAGCAAGTTGACTTCATACGCTTCATCTCTTGTGCATGCTGGGGAGCCAATGTAGCATACAGCTATAAGCACATGATTGCTGCAATTTGTAGTCACATTGTTTTCTTTTAACATCCGTTTTGCTGTTTTCTGCATTTCAACAAATGACGTGAAATTGGCATTTTTGGGGACCTATAATATTGAAAAATAGGTATGCAATGCATACATGTGGGTAGCCTCCAAAGCATTGGCAAAGATTTTCAAGTTTTGTTCAATGTCAAATGACAGGCCGCAATAATGGCGGGGAAATCAACTGCATGATGCTTAGTTTTACGTTCTAATGTCATACCCAAAGGCAAAAATGGCCTAGTTTGCTAGTTGGATACAGTTATAACAAAGTAGACATAAGTGTGGGTCTCTGTATGTTTGCTGACCATATATGATGGCGTAGAGTAGAATAATACGAGTAAATTGTACGATTTAGGTTTGAGGTATTTCCTGCTGCACTTCACGTTTAATTGAGCAAAACCGAGCAATGCGGAATTTCAAATCCAAATATGAGAATTGTTATGCAAATATATAATACTGAGTATAAGTAGGCTATATTGCCTGTGCCTGCTTGCTGTTAATAAACTAGCTCGAATAGTCTTTATTTGCTGCCTTGCAGTGCTTTATCGCTGTGGTTCATTTTTTCCTGCCGTTTTAAATGCCACTCTTTTGGCGATTTCAGTTGTGCTAGTCTAGAACTGAGTGCTGACTGTAGTTACAAAACTATAGTGTGACTAGTCTAGTAGTTACAGCATTGCAATGTTTTATTCAGAGTTTCACTTTCAACCTTCCTCAATGTCAGTTGATCATTGCAGTACTGCTAGTCTGACTGAGTGCTGACTGTTAATTGCTACTAATACTAGCCTGACTAGTCTAGTACTTACTGCTTTGCAATGTTTTATTCAGTGTTTCACTTTCAGTCTTCCTCGATGTCAGTTGATCATTGCAGTACTGCTATTCTGATGGAGTGCTGACTGTTGCTACTAATACTATCCTGCATGACTGGTCTAGACTTTAGTACTTATTGCTTTGCAATGTTTTATTCAGCGTTTCACTTTCAACCTTCCTCAATGTCAGTTGATCATTGCAGTACTGCTAGTCTGGCTGAGTGCTGACTGTTGTTACTAATGTCAGCCTGACTAGTCTATAGAGCTTACTGCTTTGCAATGTTTTATTCAGTGCTTCATTTTTAACCTTCTTCATTGTAAATTGCATAATCGTATAGCGGCTGCTACTAAAATTAGCCTATACTGCGTGTATACCTAAAGTTAGGCTGCATCTTCAATCTTTTTATTGTTTACCTTATAATTTCGCTTGGGGCATGTATCATTTTCCAGGTCAGGATATTTTTTACACATCACTGGTTTGTCATACCTCACAGTTGCATTGGCGTATTGAGCACAGTTGAAAAATTTGTTGAGGTTTATCATTCCTGTCCCGTTGCACTTGTCGCTGGCCGTCATACACCGTCTGTGCACTTTGTGCGTGTCCAAATACACGTAGCTTAGATTGGTTTTACAGACGTAGATGGTTTTTGAACATTGGAACATTTCATTTGCTTTTATGCATTCATCGCTTCCACCAGCAACGCGAAGAGTTTGCATAGATGAATTCAAAACTTTCTTTATGTTTTCGCTGTCGATGCGTGTTAGACTTTGATCCAAATTGGGAACTTTGTGATCAAGCGGGCAGAAATCGTTGGCAGGGTTTGAAATGCATGTTATTTTTGGCAACTTTCGAATAACAAACCCTTCTGAAGCATGCTTATAACCACAGTGGACATTGGTTATCACAAGGCATGCAAGTACGAAAAATTTCACCCAACGCATCTTTGAATGATTAGACTGCACGTTCTCTTCTCTTCAATGCGTTTGATCAAGTGATGTTGAGTGACGTGTTACAAGAAAGTTAAGTTGGGTCTTAACAGCATTAAATTCCTCATTAATGCTCTCTTTGTCTTCCAAGAAAAGTAATTTTGTAATTGGTGCATATACACGGTCAAGACACTGACTGCTGAATTAAAGGAAAGATAAAAGGGCTTCCATTTCAAAAGGCTGAAAATATTGATTTCATTGCATTTTGGTTTACCACAGTTGCTTAACAACATATCGTTCTTCCTATACTATTTATCATTGGATGATGAAGTTTTTGGGAATAGGGACCTTGGATGTCCTGATGGATCAATATGGGGTTTCTTATGTATACGAGTGTTGTGATAAAGAATGACACTGTCAAACTTTTTTTCGTAGCGTTTATTGAAATATCTAGCTGCGAGTGACATGAAATAAGGGCTAGTTTTCTATGATAAGTCATAACGCATGTGGTACTCAAATTCAAGAGTTCTTCTTTTGAAACAGAATCTGATAAATGGTGAAGCTATGCAAGGAAACATAAAGGACACTTTCACGTCAAAAACGAAGAATTTTCGAGGTTATGGACAGTTCAAAGTCTTTTGTAAGGTCGATCCAATATCGATAATGGTTCACGCTGATCCACAGAAAACAGCACATGTTCTTAGGGGACATTCGGGCAAAATTACTTATGTCTTTCAGAGTGTGCAGAGTGGGCAGAGTCAATATGTCCTCAGTCGTTTTCTAAACGTAATATAGTCCTCTGGACGTCGTCTCCTGGGAGTGCGGCGATTTACTGAAACAAGGGACGAGTCGCTTTGATTCTTTGTATTGTATTTTTGTATTCGCCATGCAATTAGCCTTGTTTTTTAATAAAACGTGAAGTGGGCCAGGTTGTCATGACAGGATCTTTTGAGTTAAGTGGTTTTG